TAAAGGTCCCTTCACTCACTCGCAACTCCTTAGAACCAAGCACTTTAAAATCTCTTAAAATTTTTAGCAACAAGAGAACACACTGGTAAGCTGGTGCCATCTCTGCGGTGATCTTGGAACTGCAAGTTCCACTAGAGCGAAGGTTCTGTGGTATTTGCAAAGTCAAATGTATGTACTACCTATTAGAAAGGGTTGTTTACAGCAGAAGAGACAAGCGAAAGAGACGTAAAAAGATGGGTCCTGCACGTGCGTGCTTAAATGCCAACGCGTGAATAAAATGTTATAACGAGAGGCTAATTGACCGGGGCAGAGTTTTTTTAATGAAATAAAAAAAAACTCGAAGGAGAAAACAGGGAAGCTGCATTGCCAGTGACTAAGGCCAATATGGAAGCGCCCGTAAATGTGTGTCTTTCTCGTCCAGCGCCTTGCACAGATCGCCTTAGCACCGTCTCCGACCTCTGAATGTGCCTATTCCCACAATATTTGCTGCTCCGATTCTTTCTGGATGTGTCCCCCAGGGTTCCAAGACAGTAAGTGCTTCCTTAGTGCCGGCGGTCAGCAGTGATAGGAGCCAGCCATGCGTCGAGCTGTCAGTCGCCCCCTAAACACCGGCTAAACTATAGTAGGTTACAAGTCAAGAATGTAGCGGCAAATGCCCCTCAAAGGGAATCATATATCCCACCGCCACCTCCGCATCCAATAGCGTCCCATCGTTTCCGTGACTTCGCGGCCAACGCGCGAGGAGGGTCTTGCCTTTCTGTACATATTTGCTTTATCTTTCGACTTTGACTTAGCATTGTGGAAGCGACGAGAGGGAGATTAGAGTTTTCCCACTCCGACAAGAACAAATATGACTTTCGGGGATTAGGTTCCCCCTCCAATGGATACAAAGGCTGCTTTCAGGGGCTTGGTTCCCCCTCCAATGAATACAAAGGTCGCTTTCTTAAAAAGTGGGATCGGAGACAAGTTGGCATCACTCTGTAGCCAATATCTATCCATTGAAGCGGAACAAGGAGCATTTCCAGTGAACTCTTCTTTCGACTGCGGAGAGATTTGAAACCTTGTTGGTTTCAAATCGCTTGTGGGAGGAGCTTCTACTTTCTTAACTTGTAACCGACTATAGCCGTACCCTGCGTCCAAGATTTTTCGGTCGGTCGCCTTCTAAGTCGCTCGGGATGACAAAGCCCTAGACATGGTCGGTGAATACAGAGTGCTTACTTAGAGGCGATTACCACCTGCCACGTGATCATTTTTATTGATGATGTAGTTAGCGGTTAAACAGGTGCTAGTCACTTCTGGTGAATACGGCTGCGAATGTTTCCCCCACCATATTGTGTTACTAACTCATGACCCACTCTGCATTAGCCACCCCATGTCTGCAGTGAGATGTCATCGCATTGAAAGGGTATCTCATCATAGTAAGTGCCTTTGGCTTTTCCCTTGCAACCAACTGCTCACACTCCCCTATCTGCAACCATCTCCAAAGATATTACCGTCCTTCATTCCCTTTTCTTGTCTAGAAAATTACTTTTGTATATTTCCACTACCGCCACAATTTAATGCAGCGGAAAGCATTTGCTATGCAGGAACTATGGATCCATACTTTAAATTGTCGGACCTTTTTTTGATTGAGAAAGCATGTTTTTGTTTGAAAACAAAACAGAAACAAGCTTATTTGTTAGTTTTGTTATTGGAGATGGATAAAGACTGAGCAATCTTTGAATGCAGTGATCAATTGCAGACCTAGCGGAATACCAATGGACGAGAAATGTTTTTGTAACGCTACTCATAACCGCGAATTTAAGTGGGCTCGCTCAGAGTGGAGCAGCAAAACGTGAATGAATCTCCATCTTGTGTAGGGATGTCGCGAACCACCCTAGGTTCGATTTCGAAGTGTTTCGATATTTGCGAAGCGAACTGAGGTTCGATTTCGAAGAATTTCGATATTTTCGTACCGACCGAGGTTCGATTTCGAAAAATTCGCAACTTTTGACCACAGCGGAGTTTCGAATTCGAAAATTTCGAAGCTTTCACGGTTTACAAAATTTCGAATTCGAATATTTTGAATATTTTTTTACTTCAGGTTCGATAAATTCGAAGATCTCGAAATTCTTTGTAAAAAAATTCGAAAACTTCGAACGCTTCGAATTTTTATAGACATGAAGTTCGAACAATTCGAAGATTTCGAATTTCTTTTTGCATAAAGTTCGAAAAGTTCGAAGGTTTCGATTTTCTTTTAACGCTAAATTAAAAAAAAAAAAAAAAAAAAAAACTTTGAAGATTTTGAATTTCTTTCTAATCCAAGTTTTCAAAGTTCGAAGTCCGATTTTAAAGTTTTTCCACAGTTTCAGTTTTAAATAACGTTTTCACGACTCACTGGTTTTCACGAAATCAGGTTTAGAAAAGTTAGGGTGTGATATCTAGATTCTGCAAAGTTGGTCAGGCAATAAAATGAGACGACGAGTGTCCCGGACGTGCTAGAATATTTGCCAGTGCAGAATTGTGACCGCCAGCCCCGGGGGAGGGGGGGGGGGGTGTTTAACCTGCATCACGCAGTAGTGATTGCACGAACACACTGTTTTACGAGACTCATCCAGTTCGAAACGGCCAGGGGCGAGCAGGAGGTTGAGGCTCAGAAAAACCTTGAAGCGACCTGGCAAACTAGCTCGCCACCCCTTGCACGCTGGTAGTAATCCGATCCGGTGAAGTTTATAATTGTCCTGGAGGTTTATTTTCTGGGACGGAGGAATCGCCTCGCAAAAAGCACAAAAGCCGACACAACTCGAGGTCGAGGAGCGTTCTACCATACAAGTGGCGTCGGAAGAGGAAAAACGGGGGGAAAGAGGGTAGCGGGGGGGGGGGCTTCAGCCTCCTTCTCCCCCTTGCAGGTATTTCGAACTGTTAAAGAAAACAATACGGGGAAAGAGGGCGTGGTCGAGCTTATTTTAATCTGAAATTATTTATGCATATGTATAGCTACTGTCGCTCTTCACTGCATAAAAGGTTGCGTAGATGGTCATTGTTAGAAACTCGTTGTCAGAAGGCACTGCTCGTCACATGCTTAGTGGTTCGGAAGTTCAAAGCTGTCTTTTCGACCTAAACACCTGTGCCGATAGTAACATAAAAAAGAATAAATGCGGGAATAAAAAGCAGGAGAAAAAAAAACTATCAAGAATTCGTCGGAAGTGTTCTATTCTTGCATATTCAGAGGTTCAGAACTTCGAAACAAGTTTCTTTTACCAAAATGTGTACAGGCTAAAAGAAACACGTCCCAGGAACGTAAAGCGAAAAAAAAAAAAAGTTTTCTTTTAATGACGTGCTGAGCTTGAACACTATTAGAAATCTTGTCCCATGAGTTAATTTATTCATTAACGTGAAAAAACAATAAATATATTATTTCGTATTGTGCAGATGGCAATGATATGTACTGTCTGTGGTGTTAATTTAAATGCGATACCTCAAACAACTTAGACGGAAATAAATATAAAGTTTAGGTCATAATTGCATGCAGATATATGTTTGGACATTTCTTCGAAACTCACGTTGAATAACAATAATCACATCTTAAGACGGCACTTATCTAGGCTATACATAGATCATTCTTAAAAAAAGTATAACATATCTACCATAAATAGCTCCGGCTGCAGCGTGCTTCAAATCTGGCACAAACGATAATCGTCAAAAACCCGTCGTCCTTCCTCGCCCCTTCGGGGATTTATTTCTTTAAACCTAAGCATGCCAGAACATTGAAATAAACGACATTGTCTTTCGTAAGGAACGCAGCACCACGTGTAAAAGTTCGAGAAAAAAAAATTACGAATGTACCCCACTACTTGAAATCAAATGAAACCGTCCGCCGGTCTTTCGAAGTTCGACGAACGTCGAACTTTTACCCTAAAAGTTCGAAGTTCGTCGAACTTCTTACTTTTTAGAATCCGAAAGTTCGAAACTTTTCGAATTCTCTTGATAAATAAATTCGAAAGTTCGAAATTCATCGAATTTTTTGGTCAGTCAAGTTCGAAAGTTCGACAAGCATCGAACCTTGCAGCGCAATAAGTTCGAAAGTTCGAAAAAGATCGAATTTTTTAGCGTAATAAGTTCGACGGTTCGAAAAGCGTCGAACTTCTTAGCTTAACAAGTTCGAAAATTCGACCTCCGTCGAATTTTACGATATAGACAATTCGAAAAATCGAAATCTTTCGAACCTTTCGAACCGCTTGATTCGATCATCGAAACTTCGATTCGAAAAAAGTTCGCGGCATCCCTAATCTTGTGTTATTGCGAGTTCGGCTCACTCTAGCTAGATTTAGCGAGTCACAAGGTCAATCCATCCGCCAAACTCTCTCAATATATATAATTCTGCTCTCGCCATAAGAGATTTCAAGAGGTTTCAAAACACAGGGTCCTAAGAAGTCGCAAGTGTGTAAACGGGCCTAAGGTGATGGGGTGTAGCGGCTGCATTACGAACAGGTGTCAGACTTTCTTGGTTATCCACATCAGTAGAGATCATTTAAAAAAAAAAAACTTTCAACCTTTCCACTCTGGTGAAGAAGGAAGAGCAGCGGAGCTGTAGCTTCTGTTCTCGGCGGTGGCTTTCCAGGCGTGCGATCTGCTCTTCTTTCGCAAGGGAATCTGAAGTGCTCGATGCAGTGGAACTTTAGACGATAGCGGCCTCGCGGCGGTTGTTAAGCCATTCGCGCTGCTGGGCACATCGCGCTCGTTCCATTCCCGCTCTTCTTGCGAACAAACGTTGCCGCCGTCTATGTGCAACGGCAGCAACCAGTTTTCTGGTTGCTGAGGCTGGAAAGGTTGCCGCGATCTATGAGTGACAGCGGCAAGCAGAAAACCGGCAAACACAACTCTCTGAACAGCTACTGCCATCTATGAGTGACGGCGGCAACCAGAGTGTTGTGTCGACATTTGTTTGGTACCAGACACGATCCTGGGGACACTAGCCCTTAACAGCTTCGCTGTAAAAAAAAAACAAAAAAAACACTCACCCTTAAGTAGAGGCGAGTTGTCGATGGGGCCCGGATGCGTCGTTTGCTCCCCAATGCCACAAACGTCCCAGGTGTCGTATCCCACATATTTCTTCCACTGCTTGAACCACTTGTTGTCCACGAGGTACCTGAAAGGGGGCCCACCACAAGCATCAAACACGAGCGAGCAAAATAATTTAAGGAAAACAAAAGTTTAGCTTACAATGGGGAACTATGCCGCGCTATATGGCCAACTCAAAATTTTTTTCCAAGTACGATTCGAATGGCGAAATTATACACGCCGGCTGCCGCCAACGTCTCAAGAAGGCTGAGCACAGCCCCTTCAGAGTGTAGGCTATGCTGGTTACACAGTGGTGGCCCGGTGCCAAAAAGAAGTTGTCCGGTAGTCATTCATTTGGCGCCGCGAATCTCTCCTAATTGTCACGAACTCAAAAAGCCAAATAAGGCAACTCGGCCGCAAATCATTCCACTTTTTTTTTCTTCTTCTTTTGCCGCCAACTGCGACGTTTTTGCAACCCGAATCGAAAGGTCTAGGGAGTGCAAAGCTCAACCACATCCGCATGAAAGAAGCAGAGAAAGCGGCGAAGGGGCTTTAAAATGAATGCTCAGATAAACGTGTGCTCGGCGTGGGAAAAAATAAAAAAATAAAAATAAAAAAGGCGAGCAAAGCCGAGAAATCATTGATGACGCCACCTCCGGTTGCTACGGTACTCCAAGTCGCGTCAGAGATTGACCTTGATAGCGAAGTGACGCGTCTAAAGACTGTCGGAGTGCTAAGCTCGCGATGTTACGAAGACACCTCAGGAAAGCCTTCGAAAGCGTTAGAAGCGGTGGTGAGCTCCACCAAAGAGCACTGTCGCCGGCAATCAAAGGCACGCGTTCGACGGTTGCACTGGGCCTTGGCGGCGAAATAACCGTGCTGGGCGAAACAGCGGCTCTCGGGAACGTACCAAATGTCGTCTGGTTTCAGAGGCTTCTTCAGCAAATTTGAGATGTCGTTTTTCTGGGTTTCCAAATCGGGTGGATGGGGACCACCTTCCGCCATTTTTGTAGAAGAACCTAAAGGCGGAAATGACATAAGGGCAGAGAAACTTTTTTGTTTGTTCGTTTTTCGTTTCTCTGCTCGCTCTTTTTGACCTTTTTGAGCCACCCAGAGCTCTGGAGCCACCAGCTCAGTCCGTACCTCAGTTGTGAAACTCGCCATGTTGCAACACCCAAGCCTCAAAAAGCTCTAAACATCAAGTGCCCTCGCAATATTGTATTTTTCGCTTTATGTTACGCTTATAAATTATTCGTAAACAAATAAAACATTTAGTATCACCGCTTTATATGTATATATATAAAAAACGCCTTGAGCAACTTAAATAATCCGTTACTAGCGCCATTACAACAAACTTACTTGTGACACCATACTTGTGATACTCGAAAGCAGCCTCTTTCCTTCTGGTTGGGCTGCGTGGTTTGTGTCATGTCCGGTAAATATTGATAGTGGACTCCGGCGGGTCAAGTTGCATGTCGAAATGGTACGTGAACTCTCCTCAAAATCCACCAAATACACGCAGTGTGGGTAAAATGAAAAGGCCCACTTCACCTGAAAGTTCTGAAGGCCGGTACTTTCGTAGTTTCTGCGACCCAACATCAAAGCGGGCCGACATCGGCATAGGCGTTGCCATGCTCCAACTTCGCCCGGCGCTTAGCTTGATTGCAAAGAATTGTTTCTCAACACCAGTTGGATGAACCGCTAATTAGACGCATTCTCATCGAGCTTATTGTACGCGTTAAAGAAATAAGAAAATATGACTATTTCATTAAAACGGATCTAGCGCAAGGGACGTAAGCGAAGCGTTCATGCGTGAATAATGGTACAGTTGTAATTCAACGCTGATATGCTAGCACAACCCACGCAGCCCTTCCATCGGGTTCAGACAGCCGATCGCGCGAGCTCGGAGTATTTAATTAAATATTGAGCCCGATGAGCACTAAGACCCAAGCTCTAATTGGTCCCCGTTAATGTTGTCGGGGGCGGTTACCTGCATGTCCGTCACACCGAGACCGAATCTCTATTGTTAAGGTGAGTCACGTGCAACACAAAAGGAAACTCCACTTGCGTTCTCCACTCCAATTCCTCCGAGATAGAACTCGCATGGTTCCGTCGTCCTTAGCAGCAAGCTATCCTGAGGGGGTTGAGGGATTGCGTCTAGTTGTGTAGCATGGAGAGTCATCCCCTGTTCATGCAGGATCCGGTTAGTCGAAAAAGCTTTACTGGGGTAACAACCGCGCCGAACGCTAGAAGCCACATAGTTTGCGATTCCAAAGGCTGGTTGTAGTGCAGTCGGCCACAGTCAAGCGCAAGTGTGTGAAGCAGCCTTTAAGGTTTGGGTGAACGGGAGGCAACCAGTGCTTCAGCGAAGGTTTTCTCTCAAATTTCAGTCTGCCACGTTGCGGCCGTACCTGACAGCCGTGAGGCACACGCTAAACGCTGCCATGTGCCTTGAGAACTTCTCTTCACAAGTGGTGGAGAGACACAACAAACCCGAAGTGGAAGTCAGGTACGAGCAGCCTACCATTGCGTTAGTGTAGCACTTCTTCTAGGGTGATTGGGCAATTTTATCAGCATGCTCGGTGTACGCTTTCAAGACGGGTTGAAAATTGCTGACAGTTTGCTGGCTAACAGCAGAACTGTAGGTGAAAATTTGGGAGAGGAGAAGCTTAGTGGCAGATAGTGAGACTTTGCTTTTGCAAATGATAAAAGGAAAAAGCATTGCAGTACCTTGGGAGTATTTTTGTGACTCTGGTGATCACTACAATTGGATTGCAAAATGTGGAGAGAGTCGTGTCTTGACCCGCGCTTGTCCCGGGCCTCCCACCTTGCAGGAGCAGCAAAGAGCTGCTGCTGAACCCGGTAGTGATCAGCCGCAATGAGAAGGAAAAGGTGCTCATCGAGGGCTCCATCAACTCGCTGCGCGTCAGCATTGCCATCAAGCAGGCCGACGACATCGAGCACATCCTCTGCCACAAGTTCATGCGCTTCATGATGATGCGGGCAGAGAACTTCATCGTGCTACGGCGCAAGCCTGTCGAGGTATCCGTCCTCTTCTCTCTTTAGTGGTGCGGAGAGGCCTCCGTAGCTTCTGGGTCGCAAAGCCCGCAAACAACTCGTCACCTCACTCCCACCGGAGACTGGCCCACTGTTCTGGGACCGTTTGGCCTCTGACTCAACTGATATTGTGCCTGAGCTGATTTGGGTTTGTGGCATTTACCTAGCCGGGATCATGGCATGCATTATGGTGGCACCTTTGTGAAGCCAGGAACCACTCTCATGGACATGTTAAACATGGGGCAGAGACGTGCTCCAGGCACTGCCGTAATGACCAATGCTGCTGCAAGCCAATTGAACAAGGGACCCTGCCTGGCTTTAACAGTCCTCAGAGCTCAGTACATAAAAGTGCGAGGGAAGCAGGACTGATGCATTTGTTCTGTTCTTGTGCAAGCGTGTTTAATGCATGGCATTGCTTGTCGACAAAAACGAAAGGGTGCAACCTTGCCGGCTAGCAGCCGTCGTTGTCGTTTGGGGGGCGGGGGAATGTGGGCTTCCAAGCGAGTCTTTGATTGAACTGCGCTACTAAGGTTTTACACTACATACATAAGTTTGCAGTTGCTCTCACTCGTGTATGTCACGTGTTTTACTAGTCCAAGTGTTGTTTCATTTTAAAACCTTAGCAGTGCAGTTCAATAAAAAAAAAAAAAAAAAAAAGGCAAGCCTACTAGCCCAATCTCAAGAAGTCTTGAATTTCCACATCTAATAAAAGGGATGAGGTAAAGCTGAGTAGTTCAGGACATTTTGGTAATGTAGCGAAGGTCCCTCCACTATGGTGATTAGTGAAGTCACAGTGTACAGGGTGTTTAGTTTTACATGTAAAGGCCCGTTCACACTCTTGCGACTGCTTGCGACCTCTTAAACCTGGGTTCCTTAAAACTTCTTAAACCAGAGAACACACTAGCGCCATCTATTGGGAAGCAGTGTAAACTCGGCGGTCCGGCATATTTTTTTTTTATTTCTCGCGCAATATCCTTTCCTTTCTGGCTCGAAAAGCTTTTGTCAGTGTTATAAACGAGCCTTTCTATGGGTATTACGCACATTTGACCTCGGAAATCCCGCAAAACCTTCGCTTTTGTGAAATGCAGTTCTAGGATCACCGCATAGATGGCGCCACAATGTCAGTGTGTTCCCTCATTCTAGAAACATTTAAGAAGTTGTAAGAGATCTCGTCTCTCTCAGTCGTACTCGGTGGCAAGAGTGTGAACGGGCCTTAACAGATTTTTTTTAAAAAGTGGGTGACCCTTACATGGTGCTGTTTTCACAGTGTATTTAACAGGATTGATGGACATTAGACGGGACAAGATTTGTCATGTATAGTCAGCTAATTGATTAAAATTGCTTTATGAACTTTTTAAGTATTAGATTTATGAGTCACGTTCAATTGCACTTTTAAAACCAATCGCTTATAAGGGTTAGACCAATTTATACAATTTCCGAAAAAGTCTTTGAGGTATTTAGCAATACGTTTTTGAATGTTTGTTGGCAAATCAAAAAGTGTGCGCGCAAAGTGCGCCTCATTGGTACAAAAGTGACGTATCCGTGCCGGTTACCTCTTGGTTACCTCTTCTTTATCTCAGCAGCGCGTGGGCGTCGACCAGACGCTGCCTAGATAACGACAAAGTGCCAGTCACCCTTCTCCGTATTGTTCAGGGCGCCCCACCCTAAATAATTGGGCATGCTAATATGCCCACACTTTTTTAACTGCCGACAAACATGTGAAAACTTGGGGACGAATATCTAAAAAACCACTATCCTTTTTTGCAAATTGTATAAATTGGTCTATCCATTATTAGTGATTGACTTTAAGACTGCATTTGGAACATAACTCATAAAATCAAAACTTAAAAAGTTTGCTAGCCAATTTCAGTTGATTGTCCGACATATTGGGATGAATATTGCCCCGTCTAACGTCCGCCGAGCCCGTTAAATACGCAGTGAAGACAGCATTCATCCAAGGATCCCCCCTTTTGAAAAATTGTGTTACAACTAAAAAGAAACACCCTGCGTGTTCTTAAAAGGAGCGGAGAGCTAAAGTTCTTTGACTCCTGCTTTTGTTGACACAACAAAGCGAGCCACTAAAATGGTGAGCACTGGTTCACTGCAGTGATTGAGAGCATGGGAATGGATGACATCTCGAAAGGACTAGCAATTTAAATTCAAAAGTCCATTTTGCATTTTTCACTTCTGCCGTATCCAGGGGCTCAAACCGTAACCAAAACCGAAATTCCGTTAGGAACGAAAATGTTTCAGTAACCATAACTAGATCGAAACCGTTATTTGAAATTTATGAAAACCGTAACTGTAAATTATTTACCAATAACCAATATTAAACAATATTACCCCAGGAAATAAAAAAAAAAAAATTAGTTTTTCTTAAGAATAACTTTGAGGAGAGATCTTGAAATGCCGTGGCCATTTGACAGATTGACAGAGTTAGCGTCAGCGAGTGTTGCACCTAGTAATACATTTACGTTTAATCTAAATTTAGGATTAAGAATACTTAGTTGGAATGAGTGGCCGAGCTTATAATGAAAAGTCTATATTTCTAAATCTGCCACACCTACAACCGCTACATATATTCAGTATGTGTTGCCTTCAGGGTTAGATTTCATAGATCTCCATTCAACTCTGTTCTTTCAAAATTACCGACGTTCCTGACCTGCAGTAGCCAGTAGGAAGAAACGAGGTAAATTAATTGACCATCATGCAGAGCTGGCGGAAAACAGAACCTGGTATTCATTTCGTCTGAAACACGTCGCGAGTAACGATTTTGGAATACCACAGAAAGAAAAAAAAAAGTCTGAGGTTTTACATTGACGTTTTATATAAAGTTTTTGGATATTTGGGACTGCTTTAAACCATTTATTATAAAACTGCTGTCTAGCATTTTAGTAGAACAAATTATTGGAGTAACCGAAACCATAAAAATTTAAACTGGAAAAAACTGAAGTGAGACCGATATCAACAGGAAGCGTTAACCGTAGCCGAAACGTCATATTTTTCGGTTTCAGTCCCTGACCGTATCTGCTCGAATAATAGCCGCACTTATAAATGAGGCCTCTGGGTCTGCTTTCCCGCGGAGTACAGGAATAGCGAATCACCGCGATTGGCAGAAAAATGGCATTAATTTACGGGACAGAGATAGGCTCTTTTTTTTTAAATTGCTATCTGCTCAGATCGCATTTTTATGGGGAATCATGTTCTCAACCTTGTTATTCGCTGCGTTTTTTATGCAGAACGTTATGATTAGCTGTGTGTGTGCGCTCTGCAAAAAAGTAGACGGAAGGGCCTTGTTCATAAGAAGTGCGGCTGTTACTCGAGCAAAACGGTATTCTGACGTGAAGCTGACAAAACAATATTATACTCTGTAAAAGAAAAAGAAAAAAAAAATTGGGTATTTCTGAAAGGTTTGCAGAGAGGAAATTCGGATACTATGGCGTCTGACAGGCAGATTACTCGCTCCTCTGTTAGAGAGGAGCACACTGGATTGATTGGCAGTAGTCACGTGAATGGTGCTTTTAAGCATCTTTTTCAGCAATATTCAAGCGTGTGAAGAAGCTCATCGGACAGATGGCGCTCCAAAACTGAAGTTGACACCTTTCGTGATTTTGCCGCTGATTGAGGATGGAGGTCACCCCAGTTTGTGCCGCTGTGTGGATTGTTATTTTTAGCAGTATTGCTATCGGAAGGCTCAACCGCAATGTTTTTGTACGACAGGTAGTGGTTAACTGTCGACATTAAGAACACTGGGTAAATGGTGCAAGTATAATAAATGCTGACACAAGTGAAGAAGACGGACTATAGATTAGGCGTGTTTGTTTTGCTGCGGCAAATTGAGAGTGTTTGTGGGCTTTTCAACTTTATTTCTTTTTATGCACCGCACAATGCCAGTGCTTTTGTGCAGTATGTAACTAGAAAAACACTATATGCTGACCTTGCAAGTCTTGTTGTTACAATGTTGTTACAATTAGAAAATCGGACCTCCTCAGATTTAGGCGAGGCGTCGGGAAGCTCGGGCGACGCTGTGTCGTCCTGTCGCGGATCGTTTTAATATTTCCAGAGATGAAGGACCGTTCCCTGCGGTTTCAGATAAAGCGTCGTGCGACTGGCAACCGTCGTTTGAAGCGTCGAGATGGGCGAAGAGTCGTTCCTCTGAACCGTAGCTTGTTTAATAGCTCCAAGTTCCCCAGTGTCCGCTTTTTTTCCTCTCGTGCTCTTCTGTCCTCCTTGCCTGAAACGAGCGGGTTTGGGAGCTATGCTTTGTTTCAGCCCAAGTCCAGGCGCAGCCAACGCTACAAGCTATAGTTTGTTGCAACTCAAGGAGGTTGGGTGAGGGAAAGGAAGGCTGGGGAGGAGGAAGCAGACGGAATGCTGGAGAGAGGAGGAGGTTTCTCCAGAGTTCTGTCTGCATTCTCCTCCCTAACCTTCCTTTCCCTCGCCCTACCTTCCTGAGCTGTAACTTACTATATAATAAGACCAATCAAGCAGCGTCAAAAGCGTGGGTCGCTGGGCCTTTTCTGCTTACGATTGGTTCGGCGATGATACATGTACAGAAACATGACGAACACCTTCGGCACGTAGCGTCGGCCGCGTCTGGACTTAAAGGGAAGCCGAAGTGGTTTTGTATTTAATAAAAACAACACTTAAATTGTCTTCATTTGACCTCCAGAATCACGAATATCAATATTATATTCCAGGTTGTTGAGCCAAGTGGCCAAACAGTGCTTCCAAAATAGCGTTGAAGCTGCTCCTTCTTGCGCGTTTGGGTGGAAGGAGGTAATTGCGACGTATTATATGTAGATGTCAACATTTCCGTGCCTTCTGCAAGGCATGGGAAATGCGCGCAGTGTTTTTGAGTCCTTCCCTCACAAGTGGCACAAGCGAGGCAGTTGGAACCCCCGTGCAAGACGGCACACACAGTGTTTGGTCTCGGTTTTTTTCGCGTCTATTAATACATTCAGGTCAAATGCTCGTGATGTTCAAATTCACGTGACAAAAATTGCTAGAATTCGCCTCTATCTCGTTTCTTTCAAGAACCCCTTCAGATTCCTTTTGAGGTGAATAAAAGTATAGGAGGGGAGGGGTTTCCTCCTTCTTGATCGCGTGTCAGGCTTTAAGGAATGGCTGAGAAAGGAAGCTCCGTTGCAGCGAGCATTCTGGGTCAACGGAGTGTTCGGGCTTCGTTCTGTCTCGCAGGGCTACGACATCTCGTTCCTGATCACCAACTTCCACACGGAGCAGATGTTCAAGCATAAGCTGGTGGACTTTGTGATCAACTTCATGGAGGAGATTGACAAGGAGATAAGCGAGATGAAGCTGGCGCTCAACGCAAGGGCGCGCATCTGTGCAGAGGAGTTCCTCAAGCGGGTATGTCCTAGTACGACACTGCGCAAAGCTGGTGCTTTTCTTGCAGTTTCACTATTCCGGGTTAGCGCCAAGCATCAAATTTCTCTGCCCAAGTAAATGCTGAGCACGAGGACATTGCGTGATGTTAGCAGCTTTGTTTGAAATTATAGCCAAAAGAAGCACGTACAAACTTGGAAAAAGCTTGAGGTGCACTTAGGCACTTCTTACGAGTTGTGAATGCGAAAGCATAAGAGCCCCTCTGTTGATGTGGATGCTAGAGGCGGCGCCATGTTCGTCTGTGTTAAGACGAGCAGAAGCACCGCCGACGATGTGGATGATGGAGGCGACGCCATGTTGGTCGGCGGCGAGACGAACAGAAGCCTCCGAGCGCGCGCCAACGTGTCCGTTTTAATTGGCGCGGGGCCCGTAGTGGCATGGGGTTGCGGCAGTTAGTTTTATCGGTGCGCTGGTGGCACGGACACGCAGCGCCATTGGGCAGCGGTCGTTGAGACTGACGTGCACAGCGGCCAATGGGAGCCTCGTCGCCACTCGCCAGCCAATGGGACCTTGGGGATCAGGAAAACTAGGTGCCAAACTGATGACGTCGGCTCGCTCCATGGGACAGTTAATGCTTTCGCATTAATAAAGACAGTGCCTAGAGGCTCTAGACAAGGTAACAGAAAGAAGGGCTAAGTGTGTTTGGTTTTGTTTTGCTCCCTTTGAATGGGAGCATTGTTTGTGCTCCTCCTCAGCAACCCTGAGATGTCACTACACTTTGAAGGTGTAACAACTTAAAGTGGTTGCACTGTTGCTCAATGTAAGCATCGGTTGATGCATCAAGTTGTCACAAGCCAAAGTAGCTATATGCTGCCACATGTTTATGGTTCCGTGCTTCCGTGCTTAATTTTTCCCCAAGACAGACTGTCTTGGGGAGAAATTAAAGGGCGTCTTAAATATGTAGCATTTAAAACACCCTACGATTTAAAACAAATTCTGAACATATACCTTTTGGGATTTTGTGTCCGTGGCACGTATTCTTGATGACATGACAGTGTCATGCGACACTGACGTCAGGTGACACCACAATGTAGCTTCAGTGGCCAATTTACTTTGCCCACAAAATAAGGAGCACGAAGAGGCCCTATAAATGCTGCACATTTGGAACGCCTTTAGAAAATGCCAGAGACCGCCAACATTTTTTATATACAGTAAAACCTCGTTATAACAAAGTTGAAGGAGCGGTCGTAATTATTTCGTTATAACCATTAGTTTGTTATAGCCAATGTCCATTTCTTCCCACTATTAGCAAGCAAGGGGAATTATGATTGCTTTGTTCTATCCATTAGTTTGTTATATCCCATTTTGTTATAATGAGGTTTTGCTGTATTTGTGATATTTGGTTTTGACCTTCATTAGAATAAAACATGTTAAAATACAAACGTAAAAAGACTACACAACTTCGAAGGCCAGTTGCCTTCAAAGTTGCCAATTGCCCAGGCCCCATAGCCACCGGCAAACTCTCCTTCCCCCTACCCCTTTAAAAGCGGTTTATTAAACTTTTTAACTCCTACTACTCTGACACGGTCAATATTTACACCACCAGTGACAATGTGCTGGCTGGTTAAGATGCCAAAGCTTGAGGACCTGGCATTATTGTAGTCAAAAGTTAATTTAAAAAAAATTGTCGGTGAGAAAATGGTTAGCGGAGCCTGCAAATAGATGGAGATGAATAGCGTCTGCTGCCAGGGAGTCATTTTCTCATCAAAAGTTTTTGAGGTCTGCTCCGACTTTCGAACGAGAACATGGTAGGTCTTGAAGCTTTAGGAATTTGATCCCAACACCTAGCAGTACATTCTGGCAGAGTCTGGAATTTCAGCGATGCAGTTTACTTTCGTTATGCAGAAACAAAGGGGGTGTACCCCATTTAGTACACCCCTATTCCTTCATTGATTCAGAAAGAGGTTGATTAACTTAATCTCTTTGATCATTTTCTCATTCCAGTTTTGACAAACCCAGAAGGAGAGAGGTGCGGGGGTCTGCTGGCAAGCAACATTTTTGTTCCACACCTAATATATATATTATATGAATCATGTTATTGTAATAAACATTTTTGGTAACATACCCATGTCTTGGATAATATTTATCTTATTGTTCAAAGGACTTGCCACAAAATAGTTCAGGAACAATGGAGTATTGAATGTAAACAAATTATGTATTTGCTTCAGCTCACCAGTAGAGGAAGAGCCTTGAAATTGCCATGAAAGCTGGGTCCAACTGGAGAGGTGTACAGCAAAGCAACTTATTGATCAAACAGCACTTTTTGCTAATTCTTAAAATTCCTTTTATATGCATGTACTTGCACCAATATGAAATCATTGAAATTTCTGCATATTCACGTTTACCCACACCTACCGCTGGAGTGTCATTTTAAGGTGAAGACGTCTTCTGAATAGGGTGCGAGATACACTGGTTTTTCACTGTGGTTTCTCACCCAGTTCGTATTAAATTCTCATAGCCATTGCAATTTTGGGCACTAAGCACAAATATAAAATTATAGGTTATTCCTATCCATTAGTTTTCAAGAAAATCAACTTTGTTGCAGCTGTTTCTGCCCAACTATTACAATATACCCATTAAAATCTGGGACAAAACATGTCAATGTGTTTTCCAAACAGTACAGATATGGACCAAAGCAATTCTTGTAATTTTAGCATTCTAGAAAAAGTTACCACATTTTGAATTTTTTTCAATGATAATTGGAAAAAAGAAAATTAAGTTGCTGCCAATCGGAGAACAGTATATTTGAGTTCCCAGGAATCTTAGTATTGTTGCCCTGTCTGATTAGTGTAATACTGAAAAAAAGTAAGATACAAATTCTAGGTATAAAGATACTGTTAACAAAACTGTGTTGCAACAAAACAAATTTTCAGAGGAAACGTGGAAGATTTTTGAAACATGCTTGTGAACAACCTGGACATGAAACTTTGAATCGATGTAGCTAAATAAATATGCATAGTCATTTGAGTGTAGTAATTTGGAGATATGTTAACTATAATTTAAAGATAAAAGAATTAATTTTTTTTTTTTTTTTTAAGATTATATTTTGTTCACGCTGAGAGCGGGCTTTTTGCCGTTGTTAACACAAGTGTGAACACCCAGGCATGCGTAACCAAAGTACTGCGGAAGCCAGCCAGCTCGCGCTGAAGGCGGAGCTTCCAGTCTCAGCTTAAGGGTGAACGGAGTATAGGTTAGCGTTATGGTAATAATCAAAATGCATTTAATGTAATCTTATCAGAAATAAGTAGCAACTGATAGGTATACTAATTGCACTTTACAAGAAATGCCAAAAAAGAGACAGGAGCTCGCAATGTACAACTAACCACTTTACTGGTGTAGAAATAAATCGTACCGGAACCAATGGTCCGTCCCATTCATTATCAAGACTGGTTTGAATTTTCGATAGGCTGTATATAGATTAGTTAATTAAAGGCAAGACTTCAAAATTTATCCTATGAGATTGCCTTATACATCCTTGCGGTAAAAGCCAGAAGCCATTATTTTTGCTTTTAGTTTGGTACATTCAGTAACAAGCTCATAATTTGATTCTTAGCCACATTTCTGTGGACGAAATTTTACAGCGAAGCTGTTTATGGCTAGGGTTTCGTGGATTTTTTGTGTGCATCAAGAAAAACTCTGGTCCCGAATTTGATGCAAAATCTCTTAATTCTATGCAAAAGCTTATACGTCTCATCACTTGGATATGGATTTTCAGTAGATTAGTTATCAATAGGCACCATTTTTAAGATCAGTAGACTCTCGGGTAGATAATAAAGGTTTCTCAAAGATTTGCAGCTGTGCGACCCGCATCGGCCATGTCTACGCTGGCACCTCCCTCTTTGTTGTCGTTCCAAGCGCTTGCGTGCCTAGTTTCCTTCTGCTCTCCTGGGGTGGCAGTCCCGTCGCGCGTGTCTACTTTCCTCTGGGTCGCAGTCCCATTGCGCATGTCTAGTTTCCTCCAGCTTCTTAGGGCAACGATAGTTGATCAAGACTATCGCCGCCCCGAGCGTCAATGACCACCGATCAAGACAGCAATAAATGTGGGTGTGTATCCTTTCGTCATGATGACCACCGATCATAAATATAAATAAGTTAGTACCTTTCTTCAAAATTCTGTGTCACGTCTGCATTCAAGAGGCTTGTTATCCACCAATAAGCAGTGAGCTATTGTAAAGAGTGGGAACAGTGACCAAACATATTACTGCACTGCAGGATGGTAGCATGTGGTGCAGAAGTCTGTGCTCCAGACTCCAGACATTGGGAGCTCAATATTCATTCATTCCAGTTTTGACAGTAATAAGAGTTTGGCATCGTACTGACATGCAGTCAAACTTCTAGCAGATTGACATCATTTTAAATCTGGCCAACTTCCTGCTGTCTGAATGTGCTTACAACAAATTTGACTGAACGCAGGCACCGAGGAGCATGCTGGGAATACAGTTACCGTATTTATTCGAATATAAGGCGGTCACGATTATAAGGCGAGGGAGCAGTAGAAGAAACCAAGAAAAAGAAAAAAAATCGTCATATTGCTATACTGAGCTTCGAATATAGGGCGGGGTATGACTTTGAGACTACGGATTCTGGAAAAAAATCCTCGCCTTATATTCGAATAAATACGGTACACGTGCAGCATGGTGCTGGCATCTGTAGCAATAACTTTTCTAAAGCAAAAATCTAAAAACACTTTGCACATGCTTTCGTCAATGCCTTAATTTGGTTATTCACTTCTAATCTTTTATACGGATAAAGCAAGCATGTGCAGTGCGTCTACTAAGTTCCCAGCCTTGTTGCTTGAGTAATTTGGCAAAAGGTCTATTTGAGTGCGAATAAATATGTCATGCTGAAAAAAACTACAAGGAGAAATTAATTAAAAAAAGCTTCTGTGGAATATGTTTGAACCAAACACCAGTGAGGGAAAGACAAAAAATGTTAGCCTTTCTACTACTGGCTGCTCTGAGCTGACTGATATGCACACAATTATAAAAGGTATGGTTCATAAAATAAGCTGTTAAGGTAGAGGACGTTCTGTAACGGGGAGAAACCCTGCTTTGGTCTCCACACTTGCACCTGCACAAGGGCATCAAAGCTCGACAGGTTGCATTCACTGATCTCTAATATGGGGGGCTGGATGGCACTTAGCTGCTCTCCGAGCCTGGTGCAAGTGAAGTCACCGGCAGTTCGATGCCTGTCCCAAAAGTCGGGCGTGCGCTGGGCTTCCTAGTGCATTCAGCCAATATTTTGGTCCCTGCTTTTTTGTCTTCGATTGGGTTCAAATAGTCCCGTCTGGATTAAATCCCGAGAATAAGGCATTTGAATGTGGGACATACGCACACTTGATAAACTAGAATCTCAAAATTTTCCCATTGAATGGCTTCCCAGGAGATTTCTCGGGTCCGCATGCACTGTTACTCTGCAAAAAGCAGGCCCTCTTGGGATGACAAGAAAAAACCTAGCACCCCGAGTGCTGTTCGAACCAGCACTAGAAAGAGTTGAAAAGCCTGCCAAGCGCTCACTTCCGGGACAAGCCACTTCCGGTAGCTTCATACCTGTCTGCTCAATGCACCATCCAGTCCCCTATAGTAGAGATCAGTGCTTGCATTCCTCAGTTTCAGGTGTGCAGGGCTAGGAGGCAGCAATAAAGATTGCATGGCCACTTTCTCTCCTCCATCCATCTGTCGCAGAGTAACTCATATGTACTTTTCCCAATTGTTACATGTGTAGAAAAGACTTGCAAAGGGCAACATGAGGCTTTTTCTTATTTACAAACTAGGGTACATACTAGACTGGGTGATAATGATATAGTAAGTACATTTGGCAATGGTAGATTAGGTGTTTTTCTTTGTTTGTTAAGAGGCAAAATCCTGAATAGTATGGCAGTTCATTGTTTTAGCAACACATTATCTTGTACTTGGAGGATGTGCTTCCCTACACAGTACTAGTAGAAACATATTTCTGCTATTGAGTGGATCACAAGAAAAGTCTTTTTGTTTTTAAAACCTTGCTTGCACATTATGTGCTTAGGTATTGGCTGTACTAAAGTCATAGCAAACAAGATAGATGACACAATAAGATATGACATATACACATGGCCTGCCCCCATGACAATGCTGCAGATCATGTGGGATGCACCATCATTGTTAACTTTCTATTACACAAGTGTCTATAGATAGAGCAACTGAATGTGCGAAGAGAGTGTTTGAATACTTAAAAATAAGGCTTTATTGCACACCAAGGAAGTCCACAGACCCCCAATAAATGTACCCCAATAAACTATTTATTATATCAAATCTGGACTATGCCAATGTGGTCAAACTTTTGACTGGCTCACTTATAACTCAAAACAGTCCTACGGTGCATATGGGAGCAGATATGCTCGAGTGCTCACCGAAACCGGTATCTACGAGTATGCTCGCAACAAGGTGAATCTTACACTGGCGAGCCTCGCCCCAAACACAAAAAAAATGCCGCTAATAGAACTTCGGACATTCAAACTGTGTGTAGTCTGCCTTTCGTTAAACTTATCACAGAGCCTACCCGACGGACAACAAAACGAGCTGGATGGTTTGATGCTTGCGCTCTCGTCACTGTGACCGACTGTTAAGTGACGAGCGTGCAACGGCAAGCACACTTTCTGCCTCGCTGATATGCAGTCTCCAGCTGGAAGCCGGGCGTCGGACGGTGCCCAGGAACTCTTCTTCTAGACTGCTCCTTGGCTCATAAACCTGGAGCCAGCCAGTTCAGGAACTTCATGGCCACCTCGTACCCCATGAAACAGGCCTTTGGGAGGAAAAAAAAGAGAAAGACGATGTAGTGCCGCTCTCTGACCGCAACAAACTTGGCCGTGTGCTTGGTTTGCCTCCAAAATGTCGGGCCCTTTCTGCGTTCCGGAATACAAATTTTCACGAGGCAGCTATGGTCAGCAACAGGTTAAGAGTTCAGTAGATGCTCCACCTCGAGCACAAGCTTTCCACCCTCGATAACACTACGTCCCACGTGCAGCCAAAGAACAAATATGTGACGGAGGTAACGCTTTCAGTGGATTCATAACCTCTCGTCAACTATATAGAGAGTGTAACTATGATGCAAGTTGAATGAAAAGGCAGGGCAGGCCCCAGCTAGGTGCGCAACCCAATAAGCGTAATTCAGAAAGTTTGGCAGTTTGATTGATTAATGTTTTGCAGAAAAAAAAAGGCCATAGTTCCGCTACAATAAGCTCTGCTGTTTGTGTTAACGGGACCGCATAAAAGTGCCGCACGAATGTGGTTTGTATACCCAAAAAGTGAAGACGGCTGGAATCCCAATAGAACAAAGTTGAAGAATGCAGTACTACTGTCGAGAACGGTTATAACGAAATGGCGGCTACAGCAAAGCGATCACGATTTCCCATTCCCGTATGCACTTTTTCAATGCATTTGTGTCCAATTTTAGTGAAGGAAATTGAGCGGCTCCCGCAGATATAGTAAAGAGAAATTTTGTGATAATTTAAAAAAATAACAAAATTTGGAAAGTTTATTAAGTCTAGGACTGCCATACTGGCATGCCGTTAGGGGTGTTCGGAGCACTAGCGACAATGTTCTGGCAGAGATGACGGAGAGAGCCTAGATTTAAACATCTCCACGTGGTGAATGATGTTGACTGGGGTGAAGCTCTGGTGGTGCTGATACGCTGAGCCGCAGCATGCTGAGCTGTTCGTTCGTTTTCATCCATGTCAGAAAGAGAATGTGGGGAATGGAACGTGGTTATATTAGCATTTGAGCATTTGACCGCAGCGCCCTCTCGTCTATAAACGTTGAGCCAATGCATGCAAAGTTTAACGCGATTATATACGCATTTGACCGCAGCACCCTCTCCTGTATAGACGTTGAGCGGCTACATGCAACGTTTCATCCATGACATCCCCAGCTCTTGAGTTACTACCACATCTCAGAGCCCCCTACTTGTCCCGCTGTCGTGGCCGAGTGGTTAAGGTGATGGACTAGAAATCCATTGGGCAATGGGTCTCCCCGCACAGGTTCGAATCCTGTCGACTGCGCAAACATTTTTTCTTTTCTTAAGACGACAGATGGGTGGCAATCAATGTGAGCACAGACGCCGGACAAGGCTAGACCCTAAGGAGCTTCGCCCCTAAAAAGGCAGCAGTAATTACGCCTGCATTTGATTGTCGCGTGGCCAGCGTAGCGAGGAAACTGGGCGGAGAGGCGGACACGCTTGCAGAAGGTGAACGCTTTTGAGTTTTGACTCCTTGCATGCTGCAGCTCATTTTGCAAACGTGGCCCACAAACCACGTGACCCCGATCGAGTAGTTGCCCCATCTCTTAAATCTAGGCTCTCTATACCAACGACAGACAAGCCTGAGTACGAACTCGGTGCCATGTGCACTTCTTTGTTTGCTTCGTGATCCATGTCAGCATCTGATCAGTGAAATCGCTCTTGTACGAAAGTCTACTTCGCTCAAGTACCGATTCGGTAAATCATCGCCACTCAACGATGGAGAGTCCTGGCACCGCCAGCACCTCGATGAGGAAGATGAAGCCAATCTCCTAGAATAAAAAGTGTGCCATACTCAATGGAGTGTGCATAAACGTAAAGAATGCCGTCCAACGCCGGCGTCTTCCGCGGGGCCATCGCAGCTGTCGACACGGTCCGTATGCAGCAGGATCTTTTTTCGAACCTCCACGCTGTGTCGAAGGACCATGTCCTTCGACACCGTCCTCCGATCTAGCAGAGGACACATGCAGGGAATCCTTGAGCACTTTCTGCAGACTCGATAAACATGTGCTCCTGACAACCCGTGTTATCTTTTTATTTTTTTTCATGTTATTTGTATGAGTTCATATATAACGATGAAGCGGATATAGTGAAGCGATTTCCGATTCCCGTTGCCTTCGTTATAACCGATCGCGACAGTACAGTTGAACCTCGATTTAGCGAAGTCACCGGGACCCCCTAATTATTTCGTTAAATCGGGAACTTCGTAAAGTCGAGAAAGACATTCTTCGGGATAGGCTGTGCAGGGAATCCGAATTTGTTCGTTAAATCAGGAAACTCGTAAAATCGAGTTTCGTTAAATGGAGGTTCAACTGTACTACTGACCCCAGCATGAAATAACGATGCAGGAAAAATGCCACCGCAGCAGGGACCTTGTTTGGATAAAATGTTTTTAAAAGAGAGGCTCGACCAGAGCACAGAGCAAATGGTAGAGACAAAACTCCAGCAAGAAGGATAATGTAACGTGCAGTAACTTACCATATCAAACACTGGAGCATCACAGTTCATGCATGCTGTCGAGACTGGTTATAACGAAGTGAACGAGAATCTGAGATCACTTCGATATATCCGCTATTTTGTTATAACCGACTTCGGTTATAACAAAGTGCAAAAGGGAATGGGAAATCGTGATCGCTTCGCTGTAGCCGCTATTTCGACTTTGTTATAACCGGGCTCGACAGTACTCCAGATAAGCAATTAGATACTAACTATATTATATTTACTGGAACCCTAGTTACGGGATACTGATTCAATTGTCATTTATTATGAGTCGTTACAGTAAACCTCAAAGTAAAATATTATCAATTTTAATACGGCCCCATTCACAAAAATGTTGCATGCACGATCATGCTAGTTTAGCTGTGTTACAAAAATATTACGTTATGTCTAAAACAATTTTGAAATAATAAAATCATAACATAAAATATGGGCTTGCTCATTAAGTATTTAGAAAAATAATTAATTGCATGGGACTCCTAACTGACACTTTTCAAAAGTAGGCACCAACACTTGTTTGCCATTGCTTGATCACATACTCCGAGCATGTCTTCGACATAAGGCCTGCGTCATCGTTCGGCGTAAATTCTGCTCGGAGCTCGCATTGAAAACAAGTGCAGCGTCAGCATTCAGCGATGACACAATCCAATTACGCGCTTCTTGTCCAAGCAATGGCGTCTGCCAATGTTGCTCGATGAACTTTTTGAAAGGAGTATATTCAGAGAACTCTAAAAACCACACCACTATGCAGTTTCCATTCTTCCTAATTATTATGGTGCCCATAATTGCTGCAAAAGACAAACATTGGCACAATTAAAAGAAATATGAACAGAGAAAATCACTCGGGGGTTTGTAGGCATGTTCCTATTGGATGTTCACAAAAGCATAGGATTGTTGAAGTGTCTTTCTCATATATACAAAGTACATATCGTAATATTTGACGCATTAATAATGCTGAATTTCGATAAAATATCTTTTTTTTTTTTCCTCTGATGTTATCATTGCTAGTAAATTGTTATAGTGTAAGCAGGGTGGGACAGACCAAACTGGTTTCGGAGCAATTTCTGGAGCAGAAAATTCCGCATCTCGCAGCAGCTTAGGAGCAGAAATCCTACATTTTGGAGCAACTTAGGAGCAGGGAAACCTGCACTTTGGAGCACTAAAGTATAAAAAAAAAACATTTTGAAGCACCCTAGGAGTAACTGTGACATCCTTTCAAGAAATCATCTTAGCCAGTGATTGTACCATGTGTTACAATTTGAGCAAACTAGGTTTGTACTACAAGTGTTGGAAAGTATGGAATAAGCAGAGAAAGTATTACAAAAAGCGCCTTTGGCGCATCGGGATGCAGGAAGGATTACGGCAACCAAAGGACAACACAGAGAACACACAGAGAATGCACCACAACGAAACAGGCAAGCGCACGCTTCATTGGTTGAGGTCGGAAGGAAACAAAAGCATGTGTGCGCATCTGGAGGGTAAACAAACGCACGAGGCGCGCAAAGAGCAGACGGACTTGCACTCCGTATAGAACTTTACTGTCAAATATCTGAAATTGCACACAGAAAAGTATCGACTTACAGAAACAAATTTCGATTAAAAATGGAAGAGCACGACTCGGCAACATAAATGTTACATGCTACGTTGCATTATACATTGTACATGTGCAATGTATGATACATCAAATTCATTGGATGGATGAATGGACAGATACTGCTGAACCAAGGAATCGGGTGGCGGCTTGAGCCACTTGGCAACAGAATAGCCACAGTTGTCTATTGAGCTTTCACTTTTCGCTAAATCTAGCGTTGCCGTGATCTTTGGCGCAGCGTGGCACTATTTTGGTTGATTTCACGCGTTTGTCGTCGATAGGCGCAGAACATCGTGAATGTATCCAAATGGCACAAAATGGCGTAGCTGTCCTACCCCTGTGTAAGACTGTAACCACCACAATATTTTCCATAACAAAAATGAATGTCCAAAAGGGTGGAAGGAACACAGACAAAAACCGTGCATGACAGCTTGAGTCAATGCGGTGGCAAGCGAGACGGCGACTCACGGCATTGGCCGGGAAAGCACGAATCATGACCGGAGCGGTGCCCTTGTACATCCCACGAATGCCGTCGGTCCGCATCACCTCTCGGAACACGTCCCGTATTCCGTTGGGGTACATGCCTTCCGGAGCTGTGGAAGGAAATCGGAGCACTCTTCAGTTTCCTTTGTCGCCTACTCGAGACTTAACCACCTTTTCTCCGGTTCTTTTTACGACTACCGTATTTTCCGGACTACGGTCTGCACCTGGTGCATAGTCTGCAAGGGCAAGATTTTTTCGTCAATCGGACAACCGTACATATTGGTCAAACTTTGGGAGTCGCCTCGGTAATACGGAAGACTTGGCAGGTATGACTCTGTTATTCGTAAAGTCTTTCATGTCATATCACAGTGAACAATCTAGAAAAAGCAAAACCTCGTATAGTTCGCACCTGTCTGCACCAGGTAAAATATCGGATTTTAAACATGTATTAGTCCGCAGACTATAGTCCGGAAAATAAGGTATGTACTATACTAGTCACTGACAAGGTGAGAAGGGCAGGGAGGGAGCTTCGGCTGCCCAGCCTCCAGTGCTAGCTTTCCACCTTTGACAACGCTTGCGTGCGTTGAGCGCGCATGCAGAGCCAAAGCACAGCAGAAGACATGCGTTGAAGGCCGGACGTTCAGAAGACACGCCCTGTCCTTCTCACTCTGTCGGTGATTATGGCAAACTTGGTTCGTGTCAGGAAACCTGTACGAACCAAGTAAGTGCAAACATTTTTTTGCCGTTATTTACAAAACCTTGTCACGCACGTAGCGGGTACCATCTGTTCAGGAATGCTCGCAAGATTTTTAGAATATTATTCACTCTAGCAATCATCGACAGATTTGTGCATTGATACGGTGTGTACATTTTAAAATGGTTCAAGTTATAATAAGCTTTCACTCCCTAAGGTAATTCCAATTTCACCCCATAAAGGTGCCCAGATTTAAGAATGTAGGATTGAAATTATTGCTGGTTTCAACATTCATTCTGTATGCCTCAACTTCAAAAATGCAGTGTATTTTTGAAGTTTGAAGCATTCGTTCTGTATGCCTCAACTTCAAAAATGCAGTGTATACTTCACGGTGTATCTATTTGGGAACAAAACCTTATTATTTGGGAACAAAAGCTTATTATTCGGCATACGCATGTTAAATAAAGAGAGCCAATCACTGAAAAAAAAGAAGAAAAAAAAGAAGAAAAAAAAAGAAAAAAAATCACTGAAAAGAAAAAAGAAAAAATTGCAGCAAAAGTTGCTGCAATGTATTGCAAAGGCATGCAATACATTGCAGCAACTTGTTCACTGTAAGAGAAACAATCTCTTCACGATAGAAGTTTGAACTTTTTTTTTAAAACAACCCGCTTGAATCGGTGTGCTCACCATAAAAATTCCCAGACTTTTACCATATTTTTTTTTTCTATCTGGCGACATTTCCTCAACTAATATGGAGAAGAAAGGTCTCATGTAACCGGAGTGATTTCAACACAATGAATCTCTTTCTTAATATGCTGGCTGCATTCCAAATCTTACTCGAACAGATCCGAGTTACTCCCACAGGCCACATCCTGTGATAACGCAGATAAAGCGACACCGGACCCCAGCAGGTTTTCAAACGCCAGTATAGAAAACCTGTACTCCGGACGAAGAGATCGAGTAGATCTTGAAAAATGGCTTTTGCAGTGATGTGATTGGTTTCAGCCGTTTTGGATCACCTTTTGGAGCAGCCAAAACAGTGTTTCGGAGCAGCGAAAAGTGGCTTTTGGAGCAGTTTTTTGTATAAAAATAAAAATATTTGTTTTAAGTGCTGTACAAAGGAAGGGCACTTTGCTCGCCACAATAAACAAATTATGGTCAAGTTAGACGACCTGTGAGTCTTTCAAGTTGTTAACTGAAATGCCAATGACACAACATATCTTGCAATGCTTCAGTTAAATTATACATATATATGTACCCGCTATAGATAAATAAGAACCAAATTGCACATATTAAATTTATTTGAAAATGATCAGCTTAGCAGTAAATATGAAAGCATAAACTTCACTAGTTATATAATATAATAAATTGAAGCAGTATCCGACTGATGAAACACTTAAAGGGACACTGACACCCCCCAAAATTTTTTTTTTAATTTTTTGCCAGGCGCTTTATTATGGTGTCGGAGGACTACCCATTTAATATTTTGCAACAGAGTAGCGTATTTTTTTAATAAAGCCAAAAGACGCAACTGCTCGGAACCGAAACCCGACAGAGGTCGGAGAAGTGGAGAGAAGAGAGTGAGTGGCGGAAGTCACGTGGCTACACCCGACCGTGTGTTTTTTTTTTTTTTTTTTTTTCTCTTTCCCGGTAGCAGACGACATGCGGCGTATGGGAACTGTTCGCCGTGGGATTCTTTTGCAGTTATGTACGTTCCGCTCGTTGTTCTGTAGTCCAAGATGAGTTGTTTTGTACACTGAGGAGTTGGAGATGAGTAGTGAGTGCCCGTGGTGAATCTTGATCGGCTCCGAAAAGAATACACCCAAGATGTTGCGTGAAGAGCTGGCTCACATGTCCCGCGTCCGAAACAGAAGTGGCATTGTGCGACAGAGTTTCCGAAAGATCAACGGGATCGGGACCAATGGCTGGCTGCAATTCCTGTAGATCATTTACGGGCATCTCGGAAAGCGGACGCTACCTGATTTATATGCTCCTTGCATTTTGTGGAAAGTGATTACATTGAGTTCGCAGGTGTCAAAAAGGAAATCCCATACCATTTAATTCAGCGACGTGCCGTCCACAACATTTGTTTCTTATATTTCTTTTTTGTTTGTTTCTTCAGTAATAATTGTAAAAAAAAAACAGAAATGTAGACATCAAAAAATATTTGAAAAAAAAAAAAAAAATGGTTTCACGGGGGATCGAACTCGGTCCTACCGCGTGTGAAGGGGACGTCTTTCCCACTGAGCTACTGGGGCATATCGAAATTGCGGTATCTCTTTCCTTAGTAATAATTCAGCCGATAAACTGTAAGTTGGAAAGTTTTCTGCCAATTTTCCTCTAGCAAAAGCACTCCCGGGTCGAAGTCGGGATGCACCACGCATTGGCGACATTCTCACCTAGTAAAGAAATCGTACGCGTGCATATTCAACTTGAAGTAGACACGTCGCGCTTGAGGTTTGCGCGAGCGATGTCTTCAGCCACAAGAAGGGAGCGACGGCTCGGCGACGTCTTCGTGCAAATCGGCTTGGTGGTCGGGCGTGTCGAACGGGATGAATACCAATTCTTTTGACCAGTCCCAAATCTCTCTTTTAAAGGCAGACAAAATTCGCCGGTACCGCGAACGACAGTTCTGAAATAGAGGTCCCACGCCCGTCGTCCGCTGCCATCGCCGTCCCTGCGAGTCCCACGATACGCGAAACGACGCACGCACAGAATGTTTCCGGTTGTCTGTGGCACTTTTTTTTCAATTAACGTATTTGCAGCTTTTTAGAAGCCGCAAAAAATGGGTTTCATATTTTTTTCTATTTTTAATATTCAGTGTGTGCCTTCAGTGACCCACGACTTTGATTAAATTTGGTGGTCGCATCGATACCTTAGAAAATGGCCCGTGACCGCGGAAAAGAGAGTGAGCGAGACTCGAACCGGCCAGTTCTTGATCGGCGGTTTTCGGGCGGAAAGAAACCGAATTTCGAGCCGCAAATTCTGTTCTGGGTAGTTGAGCTCTCATATGTCACATACAACTAAAAACCTCGGCGAGCATAAATACCCTGTCAGTGTCCCTTTAACTACTGCAATGCAATACGAAACTGTACATATGAAAAAGGTGCAGTACGACTGGTGGGCGCTTTTCCTTTTGCTTGTTGAAGCTTTCTGCAAGGCTGCTGCAAGCCTCGCTTAGCTTTCGGCAAGTAATGAATGTCCACTTTCAATGTCTCCAAAGAGACATTGAGACATCTCACAAGTGTACAGTGCTGTAGGCGTTGCCGAGCAATTCCAAAACGTCTCCCACCGTTTTGCTGGTTCCCGACACGCCAGATTTTCGTCAGAAGCAAGCAAATGTAAAGCAATGAATTGCAAGCGTCCCGGCTGGTACCAATGTCGTGCAATCATGTTCGCATGCACGTGAGGGCAACTTCGGCAGCTTGCAGTTGCACGCGCTTCGTTATGCAAGCGGAGACGGCTGTTCGATCGAAACCAAAACCATGCCACTCCGCTCCGTCGCCATCTGGTCCCCAAAATTGTATGCAAAATGTAACAATCCAGCATTAAAAAAGAAAAACAGTCCAGCGGCGCGTGCTTACCAGGCCAGTATGCGAGGCACAAGCTAATTTAAAAGGTTAAAAAGCGAAAGCAAAACAAAGACAATAAAGCTAATAAGAAAAAAAGAACCTGAGCGCGTCAATGCAAGACATCGCGAGTAAGGGTCAAAAAGTTCTTGGAGCGCTTTGTGCAACAACTGCACTCAAGATAAACAAGCGCGCTGTGCGAGTTCAGCGTGCAGACATTGCCTTTTTTTGCTTTAGCTAACTTCTCTTAAACTTTCTTTTGCGACAGACTTTTCACGTACCGGGGTCCCTCTCAAAAGAAAGCCCACCAAGAGAAACCTAGGTAAACAGTACTTCGACACAACAGCCTTTGAGCTAGAGGGATTTTTGTAGTAGCGTTTAATTTAAACAAGGACAGGATTGCTGATTTCCCTGCAGCGGTCCTTACGTTTCATTTTAGAAAGCGCCATATCTGCAGCAATGTGTGGACGGGAACACCCGACGTCATAACCACGGTGACTGGAAGGCAGGGACCAAAAATAGTTTTGCCACGGCCGTTTCTTTCAGAAGCGAGTGCTTCAGATCACAAGTAACTCCCAATGCGCAAAAACGTGGTTTCGTTTTACAACATAACGGCATGGCTGGTACCCGGCAAGCTAGCGTCGGGGCGTCCATATACGCTTGCATCTATCGTTAAAATATTTTCAAGAGGATGAGAGACGAAACCCATGAGAGCGCGAAATGAGGAACGGCGGGAAAAACCATGCAAGACCGGATGGGCGATTGATGCAGCATACTTTCTGTCGGGCGGCCGCTTGCGCCACCTAGCTCACGCATGCTCAATTACGGTACTCAGTTTAGTTTCGGTTTTGAAAGGCGACGGAAATTGCTCCTTTGGCGCAGGCTTGGCGCAGATTACCAATATTTCGGCGAAATGTAGCAGGATGTAGCAGGGTTAGCCCCTTGGCGCAGTTTGGCGGAATTGGCGCAGCAATCACATCACTGCTTTTGTCTCTTTAGTATGGAAAATACTGCTACAGCAAGGCATTGAGCACGACAACGTGCAAAGTTGGGGTCTTGCCTGTCTGTAGCCTTGACTTGAGGACGTCGGGGGGAATGGCCACCATCCAGTTGAAGATGCCAGCCATGCCCCCGGCAAACAGGGTCTTGCCTACACTGAGATCTGAACGACTGCAAATAATCACCGTTGCCAGGAAATTAGGACAATCTGCTCCGAGGAAGGTTAATACTCTTGCTACGAATGGTTCTAGAAAGATCAAGCATTCGTTCTGTATGCCAAAAGGCTCGGCATGTCACAATTAAAGCTGCTTCAAACATTTGCACTTCGGCGTGATAGACTACGTTACAATTCCTTGAATTCCGGTACGAAGCATTGCGCAGGCTTCAGTTGCCGTGGCAACCATCTCGTGGTAAGCAGTTACAACTCGTCACACCCGAATGCGAATGTTTGAACCAGCCTTTGGTGTACATACTTCTTACAACTTAAGTTCTGTGACAGAAATGAAGTTTTGGAGAAAAAGGCTCATACAAGCTTTCAAGCAACTTAATATGTTTTTGTTTCATCACTCTATTTCCTTTGGCCTGATCTACTATATGGCACCACGGTTAAGCAAAAAAAAAAAAAAAAGGAGCTGCAAAGACATCTTGAGCAGTTTCCTCATAAAACAAAAGCAAAATTTTACATAAAATTTCTAAACTTATTTACATAATGTACCAGATATGAAACTAACCAAATTTTTACTCCAAAATCTAAGCAAAGATAAATTTTTGGTCTGGGCATGCAATCAGCTAATTCATAATTTATACACAATTTTAAATTAACTCGACTGTATGTCAACCCCCCTTTCCTTATAGCGTGCCAGCAAAATGAAAACCAAAAATTGTACCCAAAAGCGCATCCCACTCTGCTTTGTAAAAAAAAAAAAAAGAAGTTTTAAATTTTTTTGGATAAATTTTTCTATTCAGGAACTGGTGAAATCACATAACCCAAAAATGTACCGACTTGGCAGAGTTCTGGCTGAACAATTCACGTTCCCAGTTGTATGCTGAATGACCTCACAAAGAGTTGTTTTCACCAATGCACATGATAAGAAAAATGCCACGCTGATCACGGAGACATTAAAAAACAAAAAAAAAGACTGTAAAATGCTGGTTCATTCACTCCACAACTGGAAAGGCATAAATCATTCAGCTCGAACACTGCCGAGTCAGTACGAATCAGGGTTACGTAAAGTCACCGAAGCAACAGTCAACCATTAGAATATGTAAAATAAAGCTGATCTTGACCAGACCAAATATATACCTGTGATCAAAGAATTCAACAGGTCCCTAAACGTCAGGATGTTCTAGTACAGTAGAGATTTGGTATCTACACATGTACAAAATAATATTAAAAAAAAAAAAAAAAATTGAAAGGGTGTAAACTGCTAGCTGAATGCTGCCTTCGCTAGGTGTTTCTCGAGTTTGGCGGACATTCGCTGAGGAAGTGAGCGTCATGGTAAGTTGGCAAATTAACTAAAATCTGTTATAAACTTTTCATACTTGTTTAGCCCAATTTAAAAATTGAGTGCAAAAAGCGGGCTGCAAGCCCTGCCCACAATGACGCTCAGAAGAGTGACTTAGTCACTCTTCCAAGCGTCATTGTGGGCAGGGCTCGCGACGTGCTTTCTGTGCACAATTTTCAAATCAGACAAAAAAATTTGAAAATTGATTAATTAATATCTTTAACACTAATGAACTTTTGCATTTTCTTTTAATCGGTCTGGCCTCTAATAGCAGTTGCCCTCCATTCTGAAATTGCAACATGACCCATAAAACCAATTAGAAAGTTAATAAACAAGATTTAGTTAATTAGCCAACTTACTATTCCCTCAGCCAATGTCTGCTGAACTCGAGAAACACCCAGCAAAGTTGGCATTCAGCTGGCAGCCTGCACCCGTTTTTGAAAATTCTGTTTCCATTAAAGAATATTAACCCATATATTGTGCAACTGTTTAGATCACTGGTTCTCAATCCCCCGATATTCTGGGACCCCTTCTGGATCGGCAAAAGTGATGGGAAACCCCATCCGCTAGGGAGGATTGGGAGGTCTCGAAGAATTGCAATGACGAAAGGGTGAATGAAAAACACTGACTGTGTGCAAACCAATTTTGGAGCTTTGAAATGGACAATAATCAATCCTACTCACTTGGCACACATGGTTAGGTCTAAATAGCTTTGTAATAGAGCCAGCATCAAGAAAAAAAAAAAGCTTGAATGCTCTGCTCGATTGACTGTCGAGGGCTCCGGGGACCACAAAGGGTCTGCAGACCCCCATGTGAGAACCACTGGTTTAGATATTACATCTAACAGGCTGAGAGCACTTAGAATTTTACTTTTAAGTCTAATTTTCCCCTACATCATAGACTCTATATTTCCCAATTCAAGCAAACAATAGCTTCCACAAACAACAGTAATGGTGTCTTTGGTTGGTCTGGACCGTCTTCCTCCCATTTATCCTCAAACAAGTATCTCGTGGTAGAACTTAGGACACGCTATTGATCCCTACCCCCCTTTAGGATGTATCACCTTTTGCTGCTTGAAAGGATAATCAAGGGGGTGAACATGTTTTGATCTTTACCTGCCGCCTTCAGGCAAGAGGGCCCGCTGAAGCCATTCGTAGCTCATGAAGTACATGCCGCTGGCTGGAACATCTGCACATAAAAGAGCAGTACAGTCCGTGACTGTAATACAGCAAAGTTTCTACCGACCAACATGCCGTCGGCAAAAGAGTGCATTTGCCCATGTCGGGAGTCGGCACTGTGCATAAGCAGAAATCGAAGAGAAGCCTCTGCACATGTGCTGCACAGACAGCAGCGCCACCGCGGCGGCGTTACGTAAGAGCCATGTGTTGGCTTATACATACTAACTCTACCCTTTGAAAATATTGGTAGTATATGAAGACGCAGCTTGATCCTTGGAATCCTAATGCCATAAAAATTGTTCTCCACCACTTGAAGCAGTGGAGAAGACCAAGCACAAAGAGCATGATTTGGCCGAGAGTGGGATGACGACCACCGATTAAACACTAATGCATGTACACATTCAGTGACAAGTAAAGAATTCAAGAGCAAATGACCCTCACAAGGATAAATATTACTCTGCCAGCGAATCGCTTCAACTCGTTTTCTTGACGGCAAACAAACTTTTTGTCAATATGGCAGTATGTCTAGCATTGAGGCTTCTCACAGCAATTGTTTTGCTCTTTACTTCCCCCGGGTTTACGCTGCAAATTCGTAGAGTGCCAGCTTTCATTTGCAAAGGTGTCTAAAGGGCGGTATGAAAGCACTGTGGTTAATGGACTCGAAGTGGTCACGCTGTGTGAAATGTGCGTGCTTGTTCAGGTCCTCCGCCGAGATATACTTTTTTTTATAGTAGTTGACATTGAAGATAGTTTAGAAGCACGTCAACAACTAAGCAAAAGTGACATTTAAGGGAATAGGTTTATACTAACAGCTCTTATAAAGAAACTAAGTGCTTTAAGAATCTACAGTTGCAAAAAGGACCAGAAGTGCAGGGCACTTCTTCCGAATGTCCAGGCTCCAGGCACGCACTCCAAGCTCACAAGATGCCGAAGTGTTACCGAAGGTAGGAGGCTCACACTGGAGGTAAGACAAGTGAAAGGCTTCCCTGCCGCTCTTATCCCGTCAGTAACTGCGGGGGAGAATATACCAATTAGTGTTCCAAGATCCAAGGTTACGGGGGCTTTTCTTTGCACTGCCAGTCCTCCCAAAGGAGAAACTGCGACCCACCACGAAGCAGGGTGGCGGCCGTGCCCTTGTAAATGCTGCGGATGCCGCCTTCCCTGTATAGCTGCTTGGCACAGTCCACAGGTCCAGCGAACCGGGCTTTGCTGCTGTCTGCACTGGCCTGCTGGACCTGAGGGAGGGGAGGAGGGGAAGCGGCAATGCAATGCGGTTGACCAGGAGGGAATGCGCTGTTGAGTCTCCAGTTCGGAACGACCATTCCAGTCGCAGTTCCGAGGTAAACTTTTTTAAACAAGCAGATCTATCGTTTGGATGCTGGTTTTTCTAGATCTTTTCATTTTGCCATACTAATAGTTGAGATGGCATAAAGGGAAGACGATAAGGAAAGGGATGAATGATGCCTGGCTTCGAGGCTCGGAGAACATTGAGAAAAAACAAATGAGACCGAATACACTGAACATAACCTGTGCCTAGTGGGAAGGCCAACAATACGTGTACGGTATCATATTTTCTGGTCTATAAGTCGCACCCCCCTAGAGAGACCTCAACCCACCCAGAGCCAGCAAATTCTTTGGATTCTGTCCCAACATGTGGACAAATTGGAAAACCTAACAATTCCCTCTTACTCTCGTTTATGCGAGAAATGGCACCACTGTAAGAAGCGCTCTTGCCAGTTGCTTATTTGAGTTATACTCTGCTTTTTTAATTTTGTTGTGCCACCACTTTATTTTGGTTAGACTTACCTGTAGAAGGCACTTGATCCTCTCACCAGGAGCCATAATGGCAGTTGTGAAGACTCCGGACAACATGCCAGCGGCAAACAACTGCGGTAGCCTGGAAAATGAAGTATCGGCAAATCAGTAACGTGAGGTCATCCTATGCTGAAGCTCGTGCGCTGAGCTCAAGCAGCTTTCAGCACACAACTAAACTAGCAGAGACCTTCCTTCCCATTACGTTGCAGAATTCCTTTTGCAACCCAGTCCTAAAAAGCTCTTTCCACTGCTCTTTCATTTTATACCAATATGTTCCAATTTTCGGTAACTGTGCAGAGCAATTCTGCTTGTGACATTCAACAGTAAACTCCTCTGGTAGATTCTAAGCAAGCTAAAAGTACTCCTCCTCAAGCATGCAAATTCTGCTAACAGATCCCGATCAAGTTGGTTGTCTTCTGCTCGTTGATTTAAAGCAGCACCGGCCCCATGGAGCACTCCCAGTCATGCTGCAACCTCTCCACCAAACTCAGATCTTAGTGGAAATCGTCAGTAGCAAGCTACATCAGTTTCTATCAACCAGCACCAATTATACCACTTTTTTTGCGCAATGCATGCATGCCAGCGCCTGGCCATACAACTCGGGCGAGAGCACCTTCCATTGGTCAAGTTGGAGCATGCCTCGCACAGCAAATTTGTTTCAACCCTGAAGTTTGGCTATGGTCTGGCTCTGCGAGTGGAACTCACCACAAACAAAACTTTCGCCCTGTTGGCAAATTGATTACAAATGGTTCTGCACTTACGTCAGGTCATCCTCGGGGTGTTTCTGCTGAAGCTTCTTTCCAACTCCAAAGCCGAGGAAGCAAACGGCAAACATGGGGGTCACCCCCGTCAGGGGTGCAGCCATGCCCTTGTAGAGGCCCTTGAAGCCCTGGGGCAAGACATTTCTTTTCTCAGATGGCGTCTATATGTGGGCAATGAACGCTAACAGCATTGGGAAGAAATGGGATGGCTGACTAAAAGAGGCCAGTAACAAGACAGGGAAAGATAAAGCGTGTAATGCCTTGAAATAATTAATTTAATTTAATCATTTGTCCAATTAATCTCATTTTCTTCTTTCATAAAGTTAAATCCAACCAGGAATTAGTGGGGCAGAGGCTAAAGTAAAAGCGTGCAAGAGAGGAAAGGGTAAGTGCACTACTCTACATGGTTAGTATGAACATGACATCAGCAATTTTTCAAATTTAGCTCCTTTGATACACTTATATCCCATTCACATGGCAGCATAAAGCTACCTTTTGTTAAGGTTTTTTTAGGGAGCTGGAGATTTTTATCACTGGGCACATAAAGGCCCCATTAACTAAGAAAGAGTCTATGTTAAAGTGAGATCACCAGCCTCCCTTTACAGCTACAGGGTGTAGTTTCAAACCCAAGAGCTCGAAACAAAAAATGACAGATGTATAAATGTATGCTGTTTAATGTATTTGCTACTTGTAAGTAGCAATTATTGGATTAATGTATGCTGTTCAATGTAATTGCTACTTGTAAGTAGCAATTATTGGATTAATTAACAACACAAATGTGATGGAATACGATAGCGAGAAACTTATACTCACGCTAGTTCAGATTCAAGTTCAAGCATGAACTTCAACTAGCAGGTTCAGTCATCATGCGTTCCGTTGAACGTGTCTATTTCAAAATTATGCCCACTTAAAATACAGCCCGACGGCATACACAAAGAACACCATCGAGCTTGAAATTTCATATGTTATCAAACTCACTTCCAAGCATTGGCATGTGCTTCTCAAAGTGCATATGTTTGGTGGTGTAAGACGTTTATTTTCAGAGGTCTTAAAGGGAAGCACTTCATTTAAGAGTTAGCTTGTACGATGCCTGCCGCCAGTGGTTTCTTGTGTAACAAAGCAAAACAACAGCAACAATAAACTGGTTCTTTGCATTTATAGAAATACACTGCCTGGAATCTCGGCCCTGTTATGGTGGCCACAATAACACACCTGTCCGAGGAAGCCAACTGCACGAAAAGATGACAAACCTTTTTCAGGACAGCATACGCGGATGCGTTGGCGAATCGTTCGTAGACAAACCTTTCACTTCGAATAGATATCTCAGCTTCTTCATTGGACCGCATTGAGGTGTGCATTGCACTGCTTGTTCAAGCTCATACTACTCCATCCATCATGTAAAAAGGGTTTTCTTCTTCGTTCATGCTAGTTCACATGACGCAAATCGTTATGATTAGGCCGCTACAAAGAGTATGACCAGTACCACCCATCTATGCATTCATCCTCCATTTATTCACCGTGCGATACCGAACGCTTTTTACTAAAGGCATCTCTAGCTAAGGGAGCTTAGCGAAAGGTACACTTACGCTGCTGTGTGAATGGGGTATAAAAAGCACAATATTTTATCACTTAAGTTGGTGCTGCAGACCAAGCTTTCCCACTTGTGGGATGGTCACGGGTGGTGGTAACCGAAGGGTTCAGCGGCGGTCTCTAATCGGGAGACGCCAAGCCTACTCCCACACCCCGCAGCTTTCTCTCGAGAACACCGCTACGGGTGGGTCCGAACGTCAGCCGCACAACTGATCGCTTCTCTAAAAAGGAGGAGCACGTACCACAATAGGACTGGGTCCAACGGTGTTTATTGGAACACCAAAAGACACACTGTCCCCAAAACCCCTGCGTCGACAAGGTCAGATGAAAAGGCTCACCCTGTCGACACTGTCCCGAGAGCGCAGTCCAGAGCGGGCAAAGGAAGTCCTTCGCGACACGTCCGATCTCTATCGCATCCGCGGGAGGAGTCCCCCACGTTCCCGATGTCGGGAACGTGCGTCGACCTCCTCCCACCGCGGGCGTCGTCCTCACCCAAAACAACCAGGTCCCGGATGAGCAGGGGGACGGAAAAAGGTCCCCCCGGGAGAGAGTGAGGAGGAGAGCCCCCCAAGCCAGGCAGCTCTCCTACGCTTCACGAACAGATTCGAACTCACGGCAACCAGGCCGCGCGTCCCGAACCACGGCCGCCATCGGGGAAGGGCGACCAACGGTCCCCACACACTATACTGGTTTAGTACTTAATTTTTCAATGAGATAGAAAAAAAGCCAGAAATGGCTTGTTTGTGCCAACTGTGCCACACTCCATACCTCTAAAGAGCCACTGACAGGTAAAAAATTGAATTTCTTTTGTATCGGCTAGTTAAAATCTAGTTTAAAAAAATGAAAGACGTTCACAACACCCTGTAACGCCGAATTAGAGCACAGCTCTTGAGGAGGAGGAGGAGGGAAGGGTACTGAGGGGAAGGTATATCCCTCCTCCCTCCTCCTCATCCTCCCCTCCCCTTCACCTCCTCCTCCTCTCATCCTTCAAGCTCCTCTCCTACTCTCATCCTCCTCCCCCCCTTGTCTCCCTCCTCGCACGTTGCATCATGGGAAATGTCCCATAATGCACCGCGCAATTACGCTGACAGCGACGGCGACGCCGCTCAAGCCGGAAACGGGCGCCTAAGATCTGCGTTTTTAAAGGAACATTATGACATTATAACCTCGAGAACAACCAGACATTTTCAAGAACCATCATTCTCAAGAATAACAATTTGAGGCCCTCCAGCAAACACTTAGAGTGCCTCCAACCATTGTCCTTACAAAAATAATTCTTGGAGTCAATGAGAGGCCTGCTAACCATTTCTCAGGATGAAAATCAGCAGTGAGGGGGTGGGGGGGTATGAGGATCGGACGCGGATTTCCGCAAGTCCGGATCGACATTTTTGTCAAGGTGGCCCATAAACATGTGCAAAGTGTAGAGTGAATAAGTGAGTGACAATAGGAAGTGCATCATTGAATGTTTTGTGGGAGCAAATTACTCTCCTAGAAAAGAAAAAAAAGCCAATAGGGAAGAAAATTGTTTCTGACGCCAAGTATGCCTCGATTCTCACAAAAGATTGCTTTAGGGTTTTCTATCTCGCCAAAAATGCTGTCCCCTAAGAAAAGAAAAGAAAAAAAAACGCAGGGGCATTAATTGCCCAGGAAAAAAGTTTTCTTGCTTGGCAGGGAAAGAGCGGAAGACGTTCTTCGGACAAAGAAAACCCAAAATGTGAAAGCCACAAGAAAGTGAGAGAAGCTTCGTCGACGAGTAAAACTTGGCCTGTGTGTTCTTGTATTTTTTTTTCTCTCTACAATTAGCAAGTTGCTGCTATGTGGTTTATGTCGTTCAGAGCGCACAGTTCCATTTTTTTTTTCTTTTTTTTTTTAGCTGGAATCATCAGGAGGTACTACCATTATTGAATATTGTCATACTCTCCCAGTGGTGTACTCATGTCTTACCACATATAAACGAGTACTTCTATGTGGTGATTGACCACCTTTCCTTTCCTAGTTTTTTAGTTCAACTTGAATAAACTGACAATGTTATTAGTCTGTCTTTTATTAATTTTAGAAGAAAAAAGAAAAATGCATCTGCTTAAAATAAATTTAAAAAGCAAAAAAAAATATATATATATTAATTTTTTTTTTTTTTAGCACATCTTTTGGGTTGTGGGTCACAGACACCAAGGACAATCTCATAACTGCGATAATCTTTGCAGCGACGTGAAGTGTCTCTCGAATAACGGTTGCTTATAAGTATATGATAAAACAAAATATGATAAAATTACTTTCACCTCATTCTTATTCGAAAAATTCTTTGTACAAAAATAAGCAAACAGCTTATAGGGTACCATCCAGACGCTTCTTTTCTTCATTCACGCTTGATTTCATAATATAACATGAATGCATAGACCAGGGGTTCTCAAACTTTTTGGTCTGGCGGAACCCCAGGAAGCCTCAAAAGCTGCCGCGGAACCCCTCCCACCCCCCCCTCCCCCCTCTCTCCCTCCCTCTCCCTCTCCCTCTCCCCCCCCCCCCCCCCCCCCCGCTCCATATTTGGCGACCGAGAAGCAACAGATGCACAATTATAGGCAATTTTGCTTGTGTTGCTTCCCATATATCCCCCACCATATCAATCACGATATCAGTACAAAGTGAGATGAAGGCGCTTTGCATGGTCCTGCCGCGCAGCCTGCGGCATGGGGGGAGAGGGTTTGCAATTTGGGTGTTCACGGAACCCATGAGACCAGCTCGTGGAACCCCTGTGTTCCCCGGAACCCAGTTTGAGAACCCCTGGCATAGACAATGGGTTAGAGAGGGCTCCTAATTTAGTGGATGCGGTTCAGATGCGGATGCAAAATATACATGCCTTGCACTGACGTCACATCATCCATTTCACACCACCACGCAAGAGAGAAAGGGGAACGCTGCCTTTGTGTGAATTTTGAGTGATGGGTTAATCCTCTATAATAGCGAGATCTGAGCAAATCTGGGACACACAAAAGAGAGCCCCAGTGAGAGGGGAGTTCCTCCTTTGCCTCTTCTCTGGTGGTGGCTGGGGAGCTGACAGGATGACGTCAGGTGCAGGTCAAGTGCGGACGTGGTTCGGGTCCGGGTAGAAGGTTTGCGGATGCGGATGATCAAACTCTTATCCGTGCAGGGCTTTACCTGTCAAGTCATATAACACCTGAGACTGTGGTGGAAGAAAGTGGAAACATTTTAGTAGAAGGAACAAACACAGAAAGGGACGTCTCAAACTCAGCTGAGTTTGAGACGTCCCTTTCTGTGTTTGTTCCTTCTACTAAAAAGTTTCCAATTTCTTCCATCACGGTCTCAGGTGTTATATGACATGTTTAGTTATCACCAGCTCGCCTGCACACTCACTGCCTTTTCACTTTACCTGTATTTACTACTTGATCAATGCTATCTCAGACAACCCCATTTATTTAGCGTCCAAGCAATACATACTCTCCCAGAAACAAGAATGCAAATTGATTCTCCATGCTCGGTTATCTCGTATGGCAATAGTTTGAGTCTTGAAGTGAAACGGAAAATGTCATATGAGGGCAGGTCATCTGTGTAGTGGTTTAACCCCTCTAATACTGAGATCACATCAGACTGGTAATGGCACATCATGGGTGCTTGTCGAACCCCTCGGGAGGCTGATCCTGGCATGCCTCAAGGTAGCCAATGCCCATTCAGCTGCTCGAGATGAAACAGGAACCGAAACTAAGCAATAAAAACGGAGTGGTAAAAATTTCGGTTGTGTGAGATACGATGCTTCAACTTCGCTTCCAATTTTCCTTAGGTTATTTGTTTTTAAGGATGTGCACTGAATACTGTGTCAATTAAAGATCATTATATGTGTGTAGCAGCCATTAAAAATGATGACTAACCTCTATGGTGAAATTCTTACCTCTCTAACCACAGTTTTCCTGGCACAGTCAAACGTTCCGGCATAAAGAGGCAATTCCCCTGGGGCTGGCCTGGGCATGGTCTGTAGTCGTACCTGACAAAATGAGAGAGGGACGACAAAATGAGTTATCCTACTAATTGTAATTGCCACTTCTAGTCAACTTTTTACAACAATCACGAAATTATTATACCAAGCAAAAGGATGGTGCAAGTAGTATAGGCAAAGCACACCATGTAGACAATATGCAAGCCATGCAGAACTGTTGCAGCTACCAAACTTTCCCCATTCCGTCTTGTAACAGGGGAACATGCTGCGAGTGTTTTTGCAGACTCTCAACAAAGTACATGACTGCTAATGGACTGAGCAACTGTTATAAACTGCATTCTGTTGCAACAAAAATTGAAACAATAAACTTAGGCAGTTGGATTTTTTTTTATTTAGAACCACCAGTAAGCACCTACCGAATAAATATTTCTAAATAATCCGTTTAAAAACAGTCATAAAAATTTAAATGAACGTCAATTATTTATTTTGATTTTCTTCCCATATACGTAAGTACTGAAGACTTGACATTAGTGTAGCCAGTCATATGGTAATATTGCGCCTTTGTGAATATGCAATCAGTTAGGTTCATACAACAAAACAAAAAAGGGTACCTATACAGCTGTGCCTCTGCTCACTTTTGCGCATCACTATCTGCTTCTTTAGATCCTTTTCCCATGCTTTTTCATGCGACCGAGTCATATATGTTCATGCAGTATACCGACAGACACTAGCTTGCCCTTCTGTGTTTTTGAATAAACTTGAGTTGCAAGTGCACTTTCTCTTGTTCGACTTGTCTATGATCTCAGTCTTTTTCCGCACCCTTCCCAATCAGCGACATGAACCAACTGGCCCAATGATCCACTCTGCTATCATTCTTATTCCTATTAGTAGGATAAAAAAATAACAAATCTTAATTCATGATTGAGTACATGGTATCCTGTCTTTGCTTTACACTTTCTTTTGAAAGTCCAACATTCTTCGCTCATCCCTCTAATACAAGCTGACGCAACACACAACACGATTTTCGTGGGTGTTGTCCCAAGCCTGTTTGCAACTGGATATCCCACTATCTCAAAGCAATGACCCCTGGCTTTCAGAGTTCAAGAAACTAGGCGGAGCTGATAAACCAAATCGTAAAAGTTGACAGCATGTGCGTAAGAGGTTTACTTCAGATAAAATGCAATCAACATAGCAAGGTGATACATTTTAATAAGTCCCAGGATTAAATAAAAATTTAACAACCATTATACTTTGTTCCTGGTTGAAGTCAATGGTGAGAATGAGAATGAGCTGGTGGAGATCAAGCCCATTAAGTCAAAGACTGTGACATGAGATATTAGTTTGATAAGCTGATGAATTCACAGGTACAAATAGAACTTGGAACTTGGGCTATGCTGTACGATCGCTGCTGCAAAACCAAGGAATGCCGACCAAACCAAGCATTCCACGCGAGTGCCGTCCCCGGCCTGGTTAGCGCAGAGCCGCAGCGGAGTTGTCGAGCACGCACAAAGACTACAGTTTCCGCAAATCCATGCCGGCAGCGGCGGCGTAGCAAAACAGGCTGGTGATATCAATCTATTAAAGACAAAAACAAACAAACACAGTAGCTGGTGATGTAACAAAATTATGAACATTAGTAGAACTACATAATGTAGGGGTTGAGCTCCTAATATATGCACAAAGATTATATTCAATAAAAAATGGCGATAGTTTTCAGGAAACTAAATAGGTACAAATGTGAGTGGGATGAGAGGCTCATAGCCAAGCAAAATGAAAGTGTAATTGGGCCAGCCATTGCAGTGTTCACACTCCGGAAGATGACCACGCTCAGCCGCATATAGCAGTGGTGTAGCCAAAAATTTCTTTCGGGGGAGGGGAGGAGAAGGGGGGAGGGGGGGGGGGGCTGAAAAGTTTCCCCACTGGCTCTGCCACTGGCCACCCAAGCAGCCACCCAAGCAGCAACATCCCTGGAATGTTAGGACATCTTAAAGACATTCCCAGGGCTAAATGTGCTACTAGGGCAATCATCAAAAAAAAATACTGCCCAGAAGGAACATTCACGATTGCCCATATGTAGCTTGGTATTTACCTCATCGTTTTACTCGTGTTCCCATTTTTGCCTTGTGCAATGTTTTACAGTGTTTAGACAATCCTTATGGGGAACATATCAGACAGTACCAGAACCTATTTAAAGCACACTCCTCTGCTCCCTTTCCAGGGATGGCCCCATAGTTTGGGTCCCGAGGAGCTCGAACTTGCTTTTTGAGGCAGAGATTATCTCGCGCAGACCAGCAATCAAAGGGTTTGGGGCCACCTTCAGTGTGGCAAGAGCTCATAATGCACAAAAAGGATCAGCACAGACAATCACACTTTTAGTTACATATTTTGTAGAAAGCAGTAAAACATGTAACTCCCCCATTAAAGGTTGTGGCGGAAAAGCTGCGCCTTTAGATGTGTTGAACTAACAAACTTTAAATAAGACTGCAGTCACAAAGGGTCCAAAGTCAACCATGTTTCAAGACTAGAGGTGTTCCTCATGTCTCTGCAAAACTATTATAGAAAAAGAAAAAAAAAGTAACTTACAAAATTTAACAACTGAGGGTGTGCCAGGATTCCAAACTAGGAAGGTATCATTGTACAACATGTCACCGAATTATCGTAACAAATAGCAGCTGGATGCAGCCTTTTTGACACGATTCTGGATTGAGCAGGACAAGGGAGCAGCCTTCTGACAGGAGTCAACCCAAAAGCAGACAAGCAGCAGCATGAGGCAGGAACTGTTTTTGCTAATTTATTTTATTGTTTTACTGGACGTGGAGTGCACAGTGTGACAGTGTCCAGCGAAACGTCCCCCTCCCCGAAGAGAATGCGTCTCCCTCTACGGAGCGCAGATGAAAGCAGCATTCGTGAGTTTCTTAATGTCAAGGCACACGGAAGACACCAACAACTGTCAAGGCTTATTCCTAACATCTGCTACAGCAGGTGGCCAGTCGAGAATAGATGACTAGGCACGGCAATGCTATCATGGTCGGAATTCCAGAGACGAAAACAGGTCTTTCCATTTTTCTATACTATACTGTTGTACCCACTAGCCACTGAAGAGGTGAGCACAGCAGGGGGCGCACCTCTTTCGAACGCCCCACCTCCAGCATGCACTCCTTGCCTTTTGCCGTGCTTTGGTTGCGCGTGCATGCCCGAGCCTCACGAGATGCCATTAGAGAGCTCATGCTGGAGGCAGGGCAACTGGAATGCCTCGACTGACCACAGAAAGAATAAAACAAACTCGGGACAAAGGACAACAAAAATGTTTTTGTCAATGTTTGTTGTCCTTTGTCTCGAGTTTGTTTTATTCTTTCTGTGGTCAGTCAATCTTACCAACAGACTCTTCAGCTGATTTGAACCTCCCAAGTGTTCTCATCCTATCTGTGACTAAAGAAACATTTCCTGCAGAAGGGTACCCCTCATTTGTCGCCTTTGGGGAGTGAAAAGGGAACAAAGTTTGGGAAAGATAAAAGTGCTAAAAAGACACAATAAGAAGACAGAGTGAGTAGACGTACAGGCGAGTTGGTTTTTGTTACATTTCAAAAATGTGTAACAAAAAGAAACTGACTTTTGAAAGGCTATATATCTGTGACATAATATAGGATTGCTGTAAAAATAGGGTATTTAAAAAAGAAAAGAAAAATCCATGCAATTGTTCAATAGCTGAAATTCTCACTCACAGTTACATCCTACAAGCTGCAGAAGTTTACTCTTAAAAAGGCAATTAGGCTAACACAGTTTTTGTAACTGTATAACTGAAGTGTACATTTACAAATGTACCTTATTAAATATAATTACTCCCCAAAAAAAAAGAAATAAATATATCTACCGTAAAATAGTAAAATACCGGACAAGCGCCCACTCAAACTTTGGAGATAATCACAAAAAAATGTGGGATGGGCCCTTCTCCGGTCTTTAATTTTATATATAAATGTACTGCGTGTATTTTCTCAGATCCTATACTATTTTGGAAATGGGCGCTTAGTGTGGTGTAAGCAGATGCACGGTATTCTACGGTAAGCTATATGTTTTAATTACTTCCAAATATTCAGTACAAGGTTGTAAATTCAGCACTTTACTCGTGGCAAGGTTTGATGCAGTGGCAAGACATAGCACTGACAATTTTGAGAAGCAACTGTAAGTGGACTAATTACAATGGACATTTTACAAAGCTTCTAAAAGTAAAACCGTTTATGATTAGCATGCCACAGTGAATGAAATGCACTGAATAGAACCAGAACTGAAGCAAGGAAGTGTCATATGACTCCGGATGCTCGTAAGTAAATTTCAGAAAGATTAATTAGTGTTTTTCACCTAGCAACGTTCCCCACATTGTTCACCGACACGTTTTCCTGGTAATCATGCGGGTACATATTGCAGGAATGTTTTGAGCTACTGTTTGTCGGTGCACTAATTGCAACGAAAAGATAGCTAGTTCTGAACCTGCGTAAATTTCGGACACTTAGAAGTGCCTTTTTAAAATTGCTGTATATCGAAATGCTATCACTTCATCAGATATCTGCCCTAGTATAATTTGTAAGAATAATTCGTAATCACGCGAAGATGCTTGTCATAGCTGACAGGTGCCATACTTCCCCAGGCTTCGCTGTAGATGCAAGACAATTTACAAGCAAGTCTACATGCAGCTACTCACATGTACACATGCAGTACATGTGCACTCGCACATGCATGTGATACAGTGCAAGGCGCGTGCGAAAGGTACGAAAAGCAAACAATTCCATCTCGAAGAATGAATGGACAGTGGATTATTTCATTCATCTGAACCTGTTACCTTGATGGTGTCGAGGGGGTGTCCCGAAACCACGGTGCAAAATCCGCCAAACCCACCAGCGATGAAGTCCTTTGTGGGGCTTATTTTTTTCTTGCCCGACATTTCTTTTTCTCGGCAGTTTGAAGTCAGGCGTTGACGACTATCACTGACCACAAACAAGGTTCAGGCGCACAGTTTCTTTTTACGCTAAAAACTGCTTCAGACTTCTTCTTCGCCAGGGCTCGCGCACAACCATCAAGTTCACACAGCGCCGCTCACTGAGCGCCAGAGATTGGACCGCCTCTACTCCAGCTCGCGCACTCCTCTGCACTACACTGCACAACGAAGTAGAGTCAAATGAAATAAGGTACCGTGCAACCGGGCTGAATTCAAGGTAACATAGCTTGGACAGTGTAGCAGCGCGATTTTCTCCTGCACCGACGAGCATTTTCTATTTATTTTTCATTCAAGCTTTCTCTTGGATCGATAAAAGAGGCGACGGCACTTCCGTTTCAAGCAATCAGTGCAACAAGTGGCGGCACGTGCGATATCTGTTAGATGACGTAAAGCTTGTAGAGAAAAGTACGTACAGTATAAGCACCCGAGAATGATAACGATATGATATGATGAAGGATAGGTGCCCTGTAATTCCAAGTAGCAAGGTCAAGAGTCGAGATTTACCGTCCTCCTGAACTTGCGTAAGATATTAGTTAGAAGTGTGGAGTACTTAGACGGAAACCTTACCTTGATCGTGTCAAGGGGATGTCCCGTAAAGATGAGGCAGATCCCGCCGAAGCCACCGGCGAAGAAGTCCTTGATCGGACTGATTTTCGGTTTCTCGGACATCGTGTCGTGACGTTTCGAGTCGTTGACAGACCGCTCCGATCACTACTCGAGGTTCCAACTTGGCGTCACTCGGCCACTCGGTTTGAGCTTGTTTTCTCAAAGACAAAGTTCCGAATGAGGAAGGACGAATACGGAAAAACGGGAAAACTGAAACACCACATGCACAAAGATTATGAAAAAGAAGTGGGCGGGGCAACTTCAATAGATGGATGGATAAAACTATTATTCAGTGCTTTATGGATGGATGCACAGGTGCCCACTCTGGTGCTTACAGTCCGCAGTCCAGTAATTTTTTCGGATCCTAATAACATAAGAATTGAAACTATTTTTAATAACATCTTATTTTGTGTATTAATTTAAAATACTTGGCCACGTAAAAAAAAATGTGACTGCAATGTGCTGTCCCCTAAAAACAAATAGTGATTAAAGACTAAAAATATCTCTATTATTTTAGTTTTAAATATTATTTTAGATCTAAAACATTAATTAATAACAAAACTATAACGCAGTTTTGCTTTTTCGTTGTAAATCTAGAATATTTTCGGCCCACCTAGAGTGGCTGAATCAACTTGATCTGTTTCTTGTATCTGACGGTCTGCGTCGACGGGCAGACTGGGCAGACTACAGTGGCTTGCCGGTCCTCGGTCGTCTTGTTATTTATTCATCGTGCAATTGCCTTCAATTGCCCGCTTCCTGAAAGTGTGCTTAGACCTCGGCACGAGACATGATACAGGCAGCGAACAAGTCGAGAGTTCTGGTATGTCGCTCAGTCCCGATCATCTGTCCAAAACAAAACTTAGCAGACGGCGTTCGTCGCGTTTATTGACTTCGAAGAAATGTGAGCGTGATTATGCTTTGACACTACTTTCATATCATTTAAAACCACGTACAAAAGGGAGAAGAAAAAAAAGCAGCGATAACATGAGTATTTTGTGGACCCGTGTTTCTAGTCTTGTTTACCGCTGGTTTGGGCACACGCATAACTTCGCTTTTTCTTCGCAAGGTCCCGGCGTTGCTGTCGTCCTTCTGCAAGTTTGCGTCCAAACAACGGCGCCACAAATACGCTTTGCTCAATGAGTCTGCGTACATCAACGGCAAGTGGTGCCCTTCAAAGAGTGGAGAAACTTTTCAGGTACGTAAATGAACTATCTGTCGGAACAGAGGTGCAAAAAACATGAAGGGGACGGGGGGGGGGGGGGGGGGGGGGGGGGGAGAGGGGGAGGGGGAGGGGAGGGGAGGGGGGGGAGCAGGTCGGGGCGGGGGCTGCACACTCATTCCTACATTTGACCAGTCGACGCTACGAGCCATCTAATCCAGCTCTCTGAACTTGTCACGTGACAACGCGCTCGCCCCACGCGTTGCTGGTCTCCCTGCTTTCCCCTAAAGATCATTCAACGCAACAACATTGTACTACGTTAAAACTTGGGTTTGGGCTAGTTGGTTCATACTAATTTAAAGGTTTGAAAAGTGTGCAAACAAAACGAGGATAAAGACAACAGGACAGATGCTGTTCTTTAATTGCCCTTGTTTGCGCTTTTTAAACCTTTTAATTAACATTGTATTGGCTCCGGTTGCTTGTGGCATCTACTGCAGTTTATTGTGAGATGAAATGGAATAGAGTGAACAATTCAAGGAAAGGGATATGCTTATGCGTGCACACTTTCAAGAAATGCTCTGTAACCGTGCAACATGTTTCAAAAAAATATACAGGTGGTGCTTTCTTTGTTCCGTTTGAAGCATGGCTCTATAAACGAACCTCCGGTGCGCACGTTGGTCGTGGCCTAGCTTAAGCAAGGTCACGGGAGAAAGTGTCAGCAACGAAGACTCTCCTACGATTTGACTCTATCCCATTAATTACACGAAAATAAAACTTGGAGGACGCTTATGCTTCGCCTTTAAGAGTGGAGCGCGATAGCGTTATCGGGCCCTGTTCGCATCGCCTTCTCATTCGCCATGCAAGTGTGCCTTGCGTGGCCTAGTCAGTATAGTGTGTCTGTCTTGCAACTGGAGGGTCATGGGTTCCAATCCCACCTAAAATTCTTCAAACATTTTTTTTAGGGCAAAGGGATTAGTTTAATTATTAGGTAAAATCACTTGAGACATGTGGCGACCAATTAATTCGCATTATGTCATTTTTTTTAATCACTTTCATTCCACGCATGATGTTGCATTTCACGTGAGCGTTGTGCAACATTGTTTGCAATTCCCGCGCAAGGTCATGTGATTGTGACATCATAACCCTACCAGCCAATCAGGATTTCCGCGTCACGCCACCAACGCTGGCTTTTCCGCCACACCACCGTTGCCAGATTTTCTGCAACATGAGCTCCTTTACGCTATCGTATTAAAAGCACCAGGGAACATGACAAGAAAAATTGTAGAGCCCATCCACTTCACGTGAGGATGGAAGACCAGCGAAGTTGTTATCTTTACGACATCTATACGATTTACATATGATTGCATTGAAGACACATACATGACTTCATTGTTTAATTGTCTTTATTTAATTCGAGGACAGTTTTTTTCGATTGAGCCCAAGTCTTTTTATCAGCATCGCGGAAGCGAAAGAAAAGAGGGTTAGATTTAGATCGGCGCATTCTGCTCTCAGCCTCGTCACAGCGCACTTTTAGCTGAGATAAGTTGGTGACCGTAGATGATAACATGGGATCAGGACCTCACTATCTATAAATGCCAAGGGAGGCTGACTCACGTGGGTTGCCCCATCTTTTTATTTGTACTTGCCACGACCAATCGGAATGAAGGAGCACTGTTTAAATGGGAGTTCTAGAGCGGAGCTATTAAGGGCTAGTTTCCCCAGTTTCGTGTCCGTTACCAAATAAATGTCGCTACCGCCATCTATGAGCGACGTCGGCAACCAGACAACCGGCTTGCCAGTTGTCTGGTTGCCACCGTCGCTCATAGATAGGGGCAACCTTTCCTGCCTTTCCACTCTAGTTTTCACCAGAGTGGAAAGGCTGAATTTCTCTAGGCGTCCTAGAAGTCGTCCTTGAGAACGACGCCTAGAGGATGCGTCTTCTAGGCGTTGTCCTAGAAGTCATCCTAGGCGTCGCCCTTGAGGTCGTCCTAGACGTCGTCCTCGAGATCGTCCTAGAAGTCCTCCTTGAGGTTGTCTTCGAGGTCGTCCTAGAAATCGTCTTAGAAGTCATCCTTGAGGTCGTCCTAGGCGTCGTCCTAGACGTCGTCCCTGAGGTCATCCTAGGCGGCGTCCTCGAGATCGTCCTGAAAGTCATCCTTGAGATCGTCCTAGACATCGTCCTTCAGGTCATCCCAGACGTCGCCCTATACGTCGTCCTCTAGGTGTCATCCTTGAGGTCGTCCAAGTAGTCGTCCTTGAGGTCATCCCACCATAGTACAGCTTTGTTGGTCTTCCTTCCTCACCAGAGTGGAAAGGCTGAAAGTATTTTGTTGTCATCCATGGACACATTTTTTTCCAGATCCCAGCACATGACAGCTTCGCTGTAAAAGGCGAGATAATCAAGGCATTTTGTTTGTCTTGCCTTTCTTGTCCCGTTCTCTGGCTCTTATTTTCGTAGCAATGCACAAATTATCCCACCTTTCCATTCTAAGAGGGAGGGGAGGGAGGTTATCAGTATGCTATAGGGGTGTGCGAATATTGAAATTTTGGAATACGAATCGAATATGAATAAGACAAAAAAAGGGGTTTGAATATCGAATATCTGTTTAGTAATAAAAGATTGCAAAACAAGAGGTAAGAGCAGGTTTTATTGCCATTGATTTTGCAAATCTTGCAAAATCAATGCATCTGCATATTACTGGGCTGCAGCAGATACTTCTAGTAATGCACTCATTACAAATTATCGTATAAGAAAATTAACTGCTCAACGTGTTCAGAAAGTAAGTGCTCCCTACGCGCCGTGACAACATTTCCGCCAGTAGAAAGACCCTTTCACTCGGGAAACCTGCGAAATTTCACTAAAGTTCGAAGAAGTTCCACTTATGGACAGTGTAATTGCCTGGCTGCTACACGAATATTTCGGATTTTGGGAAACAAATAATTTATAAAGTACTTTATTTTATATTTCATGAAATGGTTACCAATGTTTACACCAGATAAAAGCGAAAATATGCGCTTTTAACGCTTTCATTAGTTATTAATGTGAACCAGTGATGCCAATAAACCCAACAAATGTAGCACTTTTCCTGTGCCGGGCGGTGTCAACTATATTTTTTTTCAATTTTTGTGCATGCGCACAAAAGTCAAACTTCACTCGAACCTTTGTCAAACCTCACGTTGAAAGTTAGAAAAAGTCAAACTTGGTCGAACTCGAACCTGGGAAGGTTCGCGACAATCTTAGTTTTGACTGTGCGGGAGTGGCAGGAGTTGTTGTCAATGGCGATGCAATGTTCTGCTCACACCTAACTTTTTCTTTTTTTTTAATTTTCAAACATTTATATTAGATAACACCCTCGAGATTCATTTTATAATTATATTTCACTTTCGAGGTTTATTTCATTGTATCAATTTATAGAATGTGCAGTTACATCACATATTGCTATACAAGTGCCACACAACGAGGGCTTGGTGAAAAAGAAACCGAACCTGATCCTGTCTTGCTGGCATCGGACAGATAGAAACGGAGCAGACGGATAACTCGCGCATCGTACGCCTTTCTCAGTGAATAAACATATTCATAGGGTAACGCGTGGCAGGCAGATTATTCGTTACTTGCTCAAATATTCGCAGTTTGTGCGAATATTCGCCGTTTTTCCCCGAATATTCGGCTTTGGCCGAATATTCGGACACTTCCAAATATGCAATTTTCTAATTGAATATGTTTCGAATAAGGAAAATATTCGATTCGTAATCGAAATTTCGAATATTCGCACACCTCTAGTATGCTAGCATTCCTCTTTATGGGTGCTGTAGTATAGGGTAGTTACTGCATGTTATCTAGTAGGTTTGGAGACATGTCGCAGTCAAATTGTATGCGCAGCAGCATTTCGGAGGAAAATAGGCAGTGCCCCCATAGAAGAAGTGAAGTCTTTTCTAGATTCACCATTCCTTCGCCACATGTCAAGCCGCATAAGGCGCTGCCGATTAAAAATCTCATCTAGTGCTCGTTTATCGCTTTAGACTGATTGTCCTAAGCAAGCTGTTTGTCGCAACTTTTTCCTCTTGTCACCTTTTCAACATTGTTTTTGTTGAAAAAAATAAAGGTATTATTATTATTATTAAGCAATTTTTTTAGAGACATTGTCCTAGTAGGAATTACAGATCTCTGGTCACTTATTTGTGCAAGGTTATACACATTGCTCATTATGCAGAGCTTTTTTTGTGTAACTGGTATTCATGACAAAATGCTTCTCCTTCCTGTTGGGGCTGGAGCTTTTCCTGCGATTTTTATGTCACATGAGAGCCTATGCAATTAATTCAGTTTGTTTTTGTAGGTGACCAACCCCGCCAATGGAGACGTCATATGTAGCGTCAGCGATTGCTCGGTTGACGATGTCGAAGAGGCCATCCAGTCGGCCCGCTCAGCGTTTGAAGGTTTCAAGAACACCACAGCCAAGGTTAGTACTTTCTTGGCGTTACCAATTATCGAACTGTCACAAACACGGCGTGTTTTGTCTGTTACTGAACTGTCACGACTATGGCGTGTTTTCTTTGTTCCTGAATTGTCGTGAACACTAAGTGTTTTCTTCGAAGGAGCGGTCTGCACTTCTGCTCAAGTTCTACAACCTACAGCTGCAACACACGGAGGAACTGGCAAGGCTTATGACCGCCGAAAATGTGAGGCACCTGTCTATTCATTCTTTGTGCATTATAGTTAGCGTTCCGCGTTTTTGAATAAATTCGTAAAACCCGGAAAAGCACTCACCGGTAAATTTTTCTTCAATTGGGATTTATCAGAAAAACTTCGAATTTTGAGACCACGATGGCAAAATAGAAAGCAAAAACGATGACGTTTTACGAATAAATTTTGTTATAGCACAGGATCTGGTGGTCCTGAGGGGAGGTCGATTCAGTTTCCTTCGAAATCTCGGGCCATTGACAAAAGGGGGTTTACCATATATCTCGTCTAGGTTCGTTCAGAGCATTGGGTCATTGTACTTCATTGTACTTCAGGGTCAAGACAAAAGCCACTGTTTCATTTTCCAGTTTGGAGCATCCTATTTGTGCTTTTTAGGAGGAGGAGGTGTTGTGTTTTTATGACAGTGGAAGCTATGAATGAACCTGTAGCTTGTATAGGAGGGGGCAGGGCAGCTGGACCTTCTGTGCTTCCCACCAACTACATCCAAGTGTTTAGTTATTTCAAAGTATTGACGTTAATTGAAGGAACACTATTTTGCAAGATTTGTCATGGGACAGTTGGTATTGCAAGGGCACCGATGCCAAAAACAGCTGGAGAAATATAACTCTATACAGATGAGTTTTTATTAATTTGGGATATGTTTGTGCACAGATATTTATTTTATGGGCGAAGCTCCTTAGGGTCTAGCCTTGTCCATCCGTCCGGTGTCCGTGCTCACATCGATTGCACTGCCTCCGGGATCGGCCCACTTTTTAAAAAAAAACATACGCCCGCACGGGGGTTTAAACTCGGGACCACTTGCTTACGAGACAGACGTCTTAACCACTATGCTACACTCCGACGTTGCATGTAGCCGCTCAACGTCTATACAGGAGAGGGCACTGCAGTCAAATGCATATATAATCACGTTAAACTTTGCATGCATTGGCTCAACGTTTATAGACGAGAGGGCGTTGCGGTCAAATGCTCAACTGCGTATATAACCACGATCCATACCACATATTCTCTTTCTGACATGGACCGTTGACTTAAGTGGTGGAGATGCGTTCCCACGGCTTCTAGCGGATCCAAGCTGATCCACTAGAAGAGCCACTGGCTTTGAATTTCACTGACCATAAAGCAGTAATAATGAAGTCGAAACGCAACCTGGAACTCAGCACTACCTATGAGCAATAAAAAACATCAGCACCATCAGCACTACCTATGAACAATAAAATCAGTATTATCAGCACCACCAGAGCTTCGCCCCAATCAACATCATTCACCACGCGGAGATGCGGCCTCTTTTTTATTTTTAGTCTTGAAAGATTGGAAACAGATAAAATCAAACTCAGAATTTTGGAGAATTGGAAATTAAAAAAAAAAGTAAACTTCGATAAACTCAGAAAAGTAAACTATAAAGAGCACCCTGCAAATTGTACAAAAAATAAGCTAAAAAGTATGAAATTCTAATTCTAAGCTTGGAAGTGAGAATTAGGTATAGTACTCACAGATTTCTTATACAGTCGAACCTCGATATAACGAACTTCAATGTAACGAAATCCTCGATTTAACGAAGTATTTTATTTTTCATAATTTCTTGCCCATAGACCCCATGTATTTTTAGTCTCTATATAACGAAGTCTATTTTGCTGCTATTTCAATATAACGAAGCGCCATTGCCATAGAAGGCAATAAATAAATCAACTCTAAAAAACAACTTCGCAAAAAAATTGTGGCTAAAAAAAAAAAAAAAAAATTATGCGCAAACGCGATCGCTTGATAGGTTACTTCACGGGGACAGGCCTTCCAACGTTCCTAGGCTGCCCGAGGATGCGGCGCAGGTAGCGCCGGCGAGGCATGCGGCAAAGCGCATTCCGCGGGGCTGGCCAGAAAATGCCGAGCAAAAAGTTAACACGGCATAACAGCATCACCACTGACATTCACTGATCATCATAGTCCACTGTATCGCGGGTAGCGCGGGAGCCAACTTCAGCGGGGGAGCGACGTGATGGCGCGACCGCGCGACCGCACGGGCAGTGCCATCTAGGAGAAGACCGAGAAGACCGATTATCGTCTTGCGAGCGTGATGTAAAGCAAAGGCGCAAGCACACTGTGGGCGCAAGGGGGCAAGTAAACTGTGCGGTCAAGAGTGCTGTGTAGGTTGGAAACATTAGCACCGCCTAAACTAAACAGCTTTATTTTTTAACCGGGCGGTTCACTCACGTGCTTGCTGCCATAAGGAAACGTAAAGTTATTTCTTTGGATGAGAAAGCAAATGTTTTGGACGCCATCCTGAAGAAACTGCCGAGATCACGAGCACTCGGGAAGTGCTCGACGCAATGGACGTACTGAGGAGGTACACGGCGTCGCATGGGCAGCAAGATGCCGTGCAAGCGCTCTGGGCGCTCGAACGCCGTATTGGCCGTATGACGCCACTGCTACTGTCGGACAAGGCGCAAGCAAAACTAGCGGACTACTTTGCCCCTAAATAAATGTCATTTTCGGTGAGTTTTCATACCCGTAAAATGTTTCGGAATTTTTTTTTCGCATGTTAAAGCCAAATTTCGATTTAGCGAAATTTCAATGTAACGAAGTAAATTGCGAATTTTACCGACTTCGTTACATCGAGGTTTAACTGTAGTTGGGACTAACTAGACCACACAGAAGTTTAAGGCCACCTTGGTGTGTCCTAGGCAGGGTGCTGGCCTACGGATCGCCATTTGGTAAAGTTCAAATCTTGGTCATGGTCTCTGCCATCTGACGAATGCTCATTGTGGAGCTAAATGCCCTGGGACAGCTAACTGCCCTGGGTGCTGCAACAATGACTTTGGTCAAGGGAGAATGCAACAAATAGCGTGTGCAGGAAAGGAGGGAAAGGGAAAGCTAAATTTTAGAAAGTGTACTGATCCCTCAACATGCTCCCGACTATGCACCCGATTTTGGGACATGTACCCAACTCATCTGAAAATGCTAAGATGGCAGAAAAACGTGAGGAATATACCCGTACAGCAGCCTTTTTATGGGGGAGTAAAAAAAAAATGTAAGAGGCCCAATTGATGTAGGTACATGTTCCAGAAGGTCTAAAAAAAAAAAAGCTTGAGGTACACCTATGCATTTCTTATGAGTTGCGAATGCGAGAGCATGCAAGCCACTCATCCGCTCCCTTTGTCGTCTGCTGCGTACTAGCGCGTGCGTGCTTCGGGGGCCATGGTGCAGCGGCCAATGGGAGCCCCGTCGACGCGCCCCAACCAATAGAACCGAAGGCACCGGAAACCAGGAGCCGTTTTCGCGCTTCCAACTGATGACGTCAGCTCGCTCCATGAGACAGTTAATGCTTTCGCATTAAAAGTGTAAATTCCTTGCATGCGTGCCCAGCTCCCATACCAAAAGTATGGTAAAAACTAGATCGTCAAAAGCCAGGGGAGTGGTGGAAAGCAGAGTCCGGTTCTGACAGATGGACTTCTCTCGTCCCTTAAGAGAGTGCCGAGCAGTTGACAAGCGCTCTCTGTTTGAACAGCGCTCGCCGAATGCTCGACTCTGTCCAAAAACTTCCCTGATTCTTTCCCTCTCAGTCTCTTTGTCTGTTCCTTCCGCCTGCGGCAATCAATCTGTTACCACGTTTTTCATGCGGAAGCGTTGCACACCTGCAACCATTTCTCGTTTCTGATAACTGTTGCCAAAGGTAGCTCAGTTTAGTGTCCTAAAGAGAGGCGGCCAAAAACCGTCTCACCCTTCTTACGTTGCAGGGCAAGCCCTTAGTGGAATCTCGAGGAGAGGTGGCATACGGAGCTTCGTTTCTGGAATGGTTTTCGGCGGAGGCACGGAGAACGTACGGCGACCACGTCCCTGCCCCCATCAAGGGGAGGGAGATGCTCTTCATCAGGCAGCCAATCGGAGTGGCTGCCATCATCACCCCCGTGCGTTCCGTTGCATCTCACATGCTTATGGTGACGATAGCACAGGGCACGAAGCCTCGACAGAAATGTAAATATGCCACACTGTTACGGTCACCTGGCAGCTTTGGAAAGAAAGACGGGTCTTCGAGTTGTCCTGCTTTCGATACAAGTTTTTTTTTTTTTTTTACATTCAACAGTGTGCTTGTGTCGCATGCGCTTCGAGTGCGCATGTGAGAACCATCTGAACTAATCGTGCTGTCGCAGTAATATGAAAGTTTACTCTGTAAGTTGGTCTCCTAGTGAGGAAAGTAAGTTATGGGTCCTCGAATTGGGCTCCCACAAACTCCGGGGTTTTCTGGGTATGCCTAGCTCCCAAATGTTCTGGACTATTTCTGCCCGAAACAGTGTTTAAGCATTTTTAAGGAGTTCTAAGCTACCCATTGATACTATTATGTGCCATATAGATATCCCCTAGTACGAGGTGTGATAAAAAAATTTCAGGGACTTACATTGTAGCATATAAAGAGGGCAGCACAGTGATGTAAGCACTGCAGTTCAAGGAAGGGACCTTCGTGCAAAGGGGGCCGCTCTGTGAACGTCTGGAGCTGTGCCACACGAGTATGTTTGACCACATGCACGAGCGTAATGGCAATCTCTCTATAGACTGCCAACCAAAGTGAGAGCAAACATCAATTTTACGTCAGACTGGGCAAATCTAAAACAGAGACTTCTGAAATTTTTTAGAGGGCTTATGTCAAAAAGCAGTCAGGTGTGCGAGGTGTTTTGAGTGGCACTCGCGCCTCATTAATGGCAGAACGTCACTGAAGTCGAGGAGAGGTCGGATAAGGTCGCCTTACCACTCTTCATCTTCCACCAATGTTCTGCTGTTCCTGAAACGCGAGTGCCACTTGAAACACTTTGCAAAATTCACTGCTTTTTGATGCAAGCCTGCTGAATCATTTCAAAGGTCTCTGTTTTATATTTGCCGAGTTTGACGCAGAATTGACGTTCGCTCTTGCTCTGGTTTGCAGTCTACTATGGTGAAATCGCCATTATGCCCTCGCACATGGTCAGAAAAACTCATTTGGTGCAGCCCCAAATGTTCACAGGGCGACGCCCTTTAGTAAAAGGAGACATGAAGGTCAATTTTTTTTTACTGCTGCGCACATATCACTGTGCTGCCCTCTCTTTTTAGGCTACAAAATAAGTCCGGGAATTTTTTTATCACACCTCATACGTGCATTTTTGTTTACAGGGTCTGTAGGCTTTATTAGCATCAATGCCAAGAGATTCCTTGGCTATCATTTAGAAGCTAGGGATAGGGATTCCTCGAGGTTGAAGAGTTTGAAAACCCCCGGTCTAGGTACGGTAATTGAAAACTAGGGTACGACCACACTCCTAGGAGGCTGCAAACAAAAATACATAGGGAAAGTAAAACGTGGAAAGTAGAGTGCAGACAGAACCTCTAAATTTAAAATTTTTGTAATACACAGTACAGTAAAACCTCGTTATAACAAAATGGGATATAACAAACTAATGGATATAACAAAGCAATCATGATTCCCCTTACTTGCTAATAGTGGGAAGAAATGGACATTGGCTATAACAAACTAATGGTTATAACGAAATAATTACGATCGCTCCTTCAACTTTGTTATAACGAGGTTTTACTGTATTCAGATGACAAACAGGACAGCAGTGAAACAAGGGGCGTCATTGTGGTGCCACGAGAACATCCAGTTGTTTGACTGCTCGCAGTGATAAAAGTGAGCATTCTTTCGCTCTTATTAACCCCCGGTAAAATTCAGCGTGCAAAGGGCATTACTGCAAGACGAGGTAGACCGAATTTAACTACAAGTGCAGTCGACGTTTACGCACCTAACCGTTGCGCACGTGCAGTGGAACTTCCCCAACGCCATGATCACGAGGAAGATCGGGGCGGCGCTGGCGGCCGGCTGCACGTGCGTCATCAAGCCCGCCCCGGACACGCCCCTGTCGGCGCTGGCCCTGGCCCAGCTGTCCGAGGAGGCCGGCTTCCCCCCGGGCGTCCTCAACGTCCTGCCCTCGTCAGAAGCGACCACGCCCGCCGTCGGCCTCCACCTGTGCGAGCACCCCGACGTCGCAGCGTTGTCCTTCACGGGCTCCTCCGCTGTCGGAAAGGTGGTCGCTTGGTCTCACTGTCATCGGCATTAGCGCTACAACCTTTTATGTTAGGCCCTGTCCCACCGTAACTTCGCAAAAGGCGAAGGCTACGGTCTTGGCGAGCCTGTTGGGATGTCGGAGAGAGGCGCGTGGCCGTACGGTATCTCGCCAGTTGCGTGCAGTGTTGTCGAAGCCACGGGCAAACGAAAGAGGAATGCCGCTTTCGTAGGAATTTTGAGCGACGGGCAAAACTTCTAGGGAGACAAAGCTGACGTCTGGGACGCGCACGAGAAGGTCTGCATAAAAGTTCCGCCTTCCCCTCTTCTCTGACTGCTTGGGTTATGCTCCCAGCCCTGTACCTATTGTAAGGGCTGTCACGTGCTTACTTCCGTCGCTCCAATTGGCTCGAGAGAGTTGTAACGTTCGCTCTTTGACAAGTTACGGCAAAGCAAAGAACAGTAGTAAGGTCAGTTCACAAAAGGGATTTGTGACTTTATTTCGATCTATTGTTCAAACTGTCGTATGCGAAATTGGGTTTTACGAGGAATGCAGTCGACACTCGCGTCTAGTCTCGACCTCTTTGGCAGGCGCTGCCACGTCTTTCTGGAGCGTCGCTTGGTCCTCTGTCCTTTTCTTTTTTCCCCCACACATTTTGACAGCTGGCCAACTCTGCTACCTTCCACTGTGCCACGGCACGCTTCGCTTGACACGGTCGAGAAAATCCGAGTTGCCTTCCATTAGGATGCAGTTACGCATTAGAAACCTTAACAGAAGTTTACCGTATATCAGTGCCTCAAATAGTACCTGTAGTATACCAGCATTACAGGCTCGCCGTAACTTTGCTTTACTGTAGAGAAGTGACAGGCTCATTATTTTTGTACGGACATTTGAGGTTTTGATGTTTTACCATAAAATACCGAGCATGCGCCCATGTCACAATGAGCCAGGGGTTTCCTTAGCAATTGAAATTAGGGGGGGGGGGGTGTCTAAATTTTGAGGGGGAGGGGGGGGCATTGAGAATAGAGGAGTCGTTGCGAATTAAGGGGGTGCCTTCAGAAAAACAAGGGGGGTGTACACCCCCCCTAGGGGGTGTGTAGGGAAATCACTGCAATGAGCACCCACCTTTGAAGCTTTTAAAAAAAATGAGCTAAATGCATGTGAAGTACCTAACATGGTCTTTTGAGCACATGTGACCAACCGCAATGCTCCTACGCATCATTTGCTTATCTGAGCTCGTTGATTCAATGCAATGATGCTTGATGCACACGTGCCAGACCTAAAGTGGACCAGCACGTCTTACCTTGTGCCCCTTTCGCTTTTTTGCTTTTGGACCCAGCAAGTGCCCATCCTCCAGTTTTTTCAAGATTATTTCGCAACGTTTGGGTGAGCACTTGCTTACAATTTAACGATGTGGTAAAAGTTTCCCTTTGAAAATTGTCTTTTGTATTTAGAGGCTCTACTTACTATGCACATCTAACGGTCTCTGTTTGGTTCTTTAGAATGTAGCTTTGCAAGATTGGGGTGCAGAGTTCATGTGGGGTGAACTCGCAACATCCGATACCTCGCTTGCTTTGGGAAAATCTTTCGTGCACGTGCAAAGATGCGTATGGCAGGGAAGCAACAGAGAGGAGCGACGAGACTACTATATATGGAATTCCTTCGTTACGTGTTGATCCACCGAGGAAAACTAACAAATAACATTTCTTCAAACACCCACGTCTAACCCAAGACTGGGAAAACAAAACAATGGGACAACCCTAAACAATCTCTTATTTATTTGTTTATCCCAGTCTTGAGTTTATATGATTATTGCATGTCATCTTGCCTGCGTTTTTGCGCTTAGTTCATTCTTTAAACAGTTTTTGGTAAAACTAGAACTTAAGTTGTTATATCCATTTATATGAGTGCCTCAACTCATTTCTTGTTGTCTCGCATTATATTCGCAGCTGTTGCTCAAGCAGTGTGCTTCGACGGTCAAGAAAGTGTCGCTGGAACTCGGTGGCAATGCGCCATTCATTGTCTTTGACTCTGCCAGCATTGACAAGGCGGTGACGGGTGCCCTTGCCTGCAAGTTTAGGAACACCGGTCAAGTGAGTGGCTTTCAGAAAGGCCTTCTGTGCATGCCCCTATGCATCTCCAGGATTAAGTGTATTGAACTGAATTGAATTCAATCATTTTAGTGTTTAACCACCTCTTATATATTGACGAGTTCCAAATATTTCATAAATTAACTATTCTACTTGGTGTTCACAGTCTGACTTATCACTTTATCACTAAGGTGACCATCATTCTAGTAGAAAATGGGAGGTTTGGGGAGGGGAGGGGAGGGGGGGGGGGAGGGGAGGGAGGGAGGGGAGGGGAGGGGAGGGGAGGGAGAGGGGAAGGGAAGGAAAGGAAAGGAAGGAAGCAAGCAAAGCAAAGGAAACAGCTCTGGCACTGTTCAGTTCAATCTAAAAACATGCATTTTTCTGGTGTCTTTTTTGCTGGGAACACGGGTGCCTTTCCTCCCCGTTCCTGAACAACAGAGAAGAAAATGTTGCCATCCGAAGTAAAGATTGCCAAATTTAGTAAGAAAATTGCTGACTGGGAAGGACAGTCGTTTTTAGTTCATCATCCCTTCCTGTGATCACAAGTTTTGAGGGTCACAAAATCTAAAACTAGCACTTTTTCTACTTTTATTTATGGCACCCCAAAAGTTAGTTTCCCATTATTTTTGTCCGATTTGCTCTTGATGTTAGGCGGGCTATCTCTCAGGATATTCCGGCATGCATATATTCACGCGAAAATGGGACATGAGGCTTTATTGAGGCAAATTGACACGATAGAAATGAACCTCCGAAATGAGACTGTCCCAGCCAATACAGGACGTTTGTATTCAGCACGTAGTAATTGAGACTACGGCTGCACGTTGAATATTACCGGAGATCTGAATTCATGGGCATACCAACCGGGGGGGGACAAGAGGGGCGCTTGCCCCCCCAGTTCTCAGAGTGGGGGGGCAAGGCATGTGTTTTGCCCCCCCCTGAAACCGCCGCCACTGGGCAGGGCAACTACTGTCCGTCGGCGCCCAAGAGATACCACGGGCACCACCCCCAACCCGGTGGGGGACGTCTGGTTTGCCCCCCCACTCAAAGACAAGTTGGTACGCCACTGTCTGAATTAGTCTTCAGTCTTCATCGCCGCAACATCCCAGACGCTTTTCGTTAGTATGGGACATAAACCCAGAAAGCATCATATTCATTTAGCGGAGGCACAAACTCGGTAAGTTTATAATCAAAATCCTTGATTTATCTCAATCCCATGATTAGTGGTGGCACAGACAGAATGTGTTCACTTCATTCACTTCGCCACCTTCATGACACCAAATCATGCAACATGTGGATACGATATGGTCACATAGCTACCTGCACGCCTCTGGCATAGCAAAGAAACTCCTTTGACTGTTGTGCATGTACGGTGGTAATACAGTACAACCCACTTATAATGATAATGAGAAAACCCGAAATTTGAATCGTTATAACAGATTATCGTTGTATCTGGACTAGAAATTGATCATTTCCAGTTTAGAAACTCTAGAAACTGATTGTTATAAGAGGTACATCGTTATATGTGGTATCGTTATAAGTGGGTGGCACTGTAACTCTTAGGAAAGCGCCCGCCTAAACGCAAAACTGCGTGCACCACGGGAGGTGTTGCTGTTTGTTACGTCTTTGGCGAACTATAGATGTTACAATCGCGCAGTGTTGCGCTTTGCCGGGCCATTTATAGATTTCGAATTAGACACTCTGCGCACATCATGCTCACCTTGCATACCAGCCACTCTGGCAGTAATGGTACGCTGCCTCTTCCAAATCAAGCTTCCGACGCTTTTCGGAATTAAATTTAAAGGATGAGAGCTCATCATCCGACAGAAAGGCTCTGTATAAAGTACCTCCGGTTAGGGATTTGAAGCTGCTGGAAGTTTGAAGAATTGGATGCACCAAAATAAAACCGAACAGAAGGTGACAACTTTTCGCCTTGAATATTTTCGTCTAATGCTTCTAAACCTAAGCAACTTGCAGCTCTGTACATGCTCTTACTAGATAATTAAGCAAAATATCTGCACATTGATCCTTTCTTTTATTCTTTTAAAAACAAAACCTAACCACCAAAAGAAATCTTTTGGTAAAAAATAAAAAAATTTGATTGTTAAAGGGTTAATTACATGTTCTTTCGTTTCCTGTGGAATTCACGTCACGCATCTCACGACGGCTTGTCGTGGCATTCCATTGCTTTCCTTGTGGTTGTCGGTGTGCGTTTTGCGTTAATATTTCTCGCATTACTGCGACAGACGTGCGTGAGTGCCAACCGTATCCTGGTGCAAGACGGCATCCACGACCGGTTTGTGGCCAGCCTGGCAGAGGCCATCCAGCAGAAGATGAAGCCCGGCGATGGGTTTGAGCCCGAGACCACTCTGGGACCACTCATCAACGCCAAGGCAGTTGACAAGGTGAATCTCACGTACGGTTGTGGTCAGGCCACGTTAGCTCAAACCCCTAAAACGGGGGCCTTGAAACTCGTTTGAGTGGGGGGTTCAGATAGCTCGTCCCCAAAAGGTCAAGGGCCAACGTAAGGCGGGGGGTGGAGATAGGTCACAGAAATTTTGTAAGCTTGCAGTTTTGCCATTGACATCCTTAGCTTTAATTTGTTAATAGGGGTATAGTTTATATTGTTTCATATATTAGGCCCTTGCCTGATGCGATAAAAAAAAAGAATGACTGCATCTCCACATGGTTAATGATGTTGATTGGGGCGAAGCTCTGGTGGTACTGATGATACTGATTTTATTGTTCATAGGTAGTGCTGATGGTGCTGATTATTTTTTATTGCTCATAGGTAGTGCTGAGTTCCGGGTTGCATTTCGACTTCATTATTACTGCTTTATGGTCGGTGAAATGCAGAGCCAGTGGTTCTTCTAGCGGATCAGCTTGGATCCGCTAGAAGCCGTGAGAGTGCATCTCCACCGCTTAAGTCAATGGTTCATGTCAGAAAGAGAATGTGTGATATAAAACGTGGTTGTATACGCATTTGACGGCAGCACCCTCTCATCTATGAACGTTGAGCCAATGCATGCAAAGTTTAACGCGATTATATACCCATTTGACCGCAGCGCCCTCTCCTGTATAGACGTTGAGCGGCTACATGCAACGTTTCATCCATGACATCCCCAGCTCTTGAGTTACTACCACATCTCAGAGCCCCCTACTCGTCCCGCAGTCGTGGCCGAGTGGTTAAGGCGATGGACTAGAAATCCATTGGGGTCTCCCCGCACAAGTTTGAATCCTGTCGACTGCGCAAACATTTTTTCTTTTTATGTGAGCACGGACGCCGACGAAAGGACGGACAAGGCTAGACCCTAAGGAGCTTCGCCCCTAACATAAAGATGACACTGCCCCACCATTGCGCTGGCTTTTTAAAAAAAAAAATACAAGAGATGAAGCCTGTTGCTGAATTCGCTAGGGAATTAATCGAGCTCATCTCGTCTCGAAAAAAAAGAAAATATCTTTGACGAGAGTTCTCGCTCTCCCGACGAGTCCCGAACTCGTAGCGTCATCATTGGCAGTCGCTCCCGCCGAGCGAGAGTTCGTGCAGCCAAAGTGCGTCCTTTGGCAAAAAGATTGCGCTTGTGGCCTGGTAGCGGAATTGTCTTACGGGTGATAAACGTGACAAAAGACTGAGAAGCAGGACTTGAAGCAAAACACGAGGCAAATGAAAGCAGAATAGTTGGATAGCCTGAGCTACGTGTTGAGCAGAAATGAATCGGGTACACGAGATCGTTGTGGCGCGTGCCATTTCAAGCACTCAACATGGAAATAGGGGGCTCGCAGCCAGTTGCCTTTGGACTGTGTGTCTGAGATCCCTGCCTTAGATGTAACCCCCAGTGGGTTTGGTTCATTCGGCGATTAGTAGGGAGAGAGCGTAACCAACATACGACTATTTTAAGGGGGCTATATTTAGCATATGTGATTTACCCAATATTTATTGATTTTGTCTTCGTACGGTTCTGCACCCGTAGAGTGTTCAGATTCCCGTTTTGTGAGGGTAGGGCAGTTATATGTTTGCTCCCTCATGCACGCCGGCAAACAATGTCTCGTAAACGGACACTTTCGTCAAAGTGCAGCAGATTATTAGCTTAGACATCATTTAAAACCTCCACTTGTCTTTTTCGTGTGAGGCCAATCACGGTATCCGTAATTATTGTTTTTTCGGACGATATGACTCGGAGATCATACAACGATTTCACGCGATCCCACATAAGTCATATACAGTAAAACCTCGTTATAACAAAGTTGAAGGAGCGGTCGTAATTATTTCATTATAACCATTAGTTTGTTATAGCCAATGTCCATTTCTTCCCACTATTAGCAAGCAAGGGGAATTATAATTGCTTTGTTATATCCATTAGTTTGTTATATCCTGTTTTGTTATAACGAGGTTTTACTGTAACTGGGGTTCCGTACTCATTTTGAACCCTCTATGCAACACCGATAGTACTCTGAACTGTCACAATATTTTTCATGTTTGTGGTCTGTTCTGGCTTGTCAGTTAGCCTCATTGAGTATGTACGTTTCTCACAGTCTACCACAGCACTGCGGTTAAGCAAGAAATAGCAATCTCGATTTTGTTCGTACTGCTTCGTTGCAATGCACCCGCGTGCTGTGGGGAAAGCACCTTTTCAGAGCAGCACGTTTCTACAGGGTGTCTGGTATATAAAAAAAGTCATAAAATCTTGATAAATGCTGACGTTACAATCCTACCTTGCAGTAAAAATTTCCGAAATTTCATAAACTGCAATATTCGGCCGATTTTTGTTTTCAGATTCGAGATTTAGCGAGGATATTTGGGTATTGCAAAAATATTTGTGTGGACTACTCTATAGGTTTATTTTTTACCTCATCTCTCTCGTCTAGTGTTCCATCTGCGTGATGGCACAGTGAATAGAGTACATTACAACTAACTTAACTGGAGCAGTGGATGGAAAGTTGGGAAAAACTTTAATGAATTTGGCTGGGTTGTATTTAAGAAGGCATATTATAATCACATGCTGACTTTGTTATCATGAAGTTCTACGCATAAAATGTCCGGGGTGTTTATAATCCAATGACAAAAGCTTTGTTTTTATCTGAATTAAAAACACTTTTGTTACAACCTTTATAACTTCAATAGAACATCAATTTAGGTGCTTAATATTAGTCTGTTAAACATTATTTCTATGGGATATGCTATTTGATTTCCATTTGACTCCGTACCTAAAATAGCCATTCACAGCCATCGCATACCTGCTTTAGTCAGCATCTTGTTATTGTGCCTGGAGCGTCTACACTCAACTAAACAACTGGCGGTTGTGCGTTTAAAGGGGCCCTGCAATCATATTTAAGCGTCTACCTTTTTTGCGTTTTCCACATCTCGGGTTCGGGCAAGCCAGCGGGCACGGAGAGAGTAACTTAATATCAGTGAGTCATATTTTAACTGGACGACGCGGAAACCTCCTCCACCTACGAGGGCCACCTGCGTTGCCGAAAGCGCGCAATATGCGACGTCTTTGGTCCTGGGCTTACTACTGGTCAGAGCCGCTAAAAGCTTTTTATTTTTAGTCGAAATACAAAATGTAAGTGTCGCGAACCGTTTCAATTATGTATGAAAGTAGTTTTTATTAAGTATTTTAGATCAAAAAAGCAACAAATGCAGTTTATAAAGTACGGAAACAAGAAAAGACCCGTCGACAAATTCGCCACCAAGCGGTGGAAAAAACAGCGCATACTAGAAACGGCTAGTGGGATGAGGTGCCAACGAATGGCAAGCGTAGAAAGGTCTCGGATGTACGCGGCGGCGCTGCGGTCGTATACCGGCTCGAGGATCCGACCAGTTCCGAGTGTTCCGAAGGCTTTCGGCGTGGGCTTGGCTGGTGATTTGGCATTATGGCAGCGCGAAGTGGCGCCCGTTTTGAACTGATCTTTACCCCGTGTTTGCTGTCGTTTGTGGCCAATGAATTGTTATGCCGAATCAGTCTTTAACACCTTGCCTACTCATTTTTTTTCTTTAAAGATCGTACAGAAAGCTTTATTTAAATCAAGCAATTTGCGTCAAAATAAAGAAAAACGTTTCCTTGGCTTTCAGGCGTAGTCTCTTGCTCTATACCAGGACTTCTGGTCGTCTCCTCTTCTTCAGTAGTTCTTCACAGTATGATAGCGCTGAAAACATTCAGGAACATGAAGAGCCACCTTGCATTGTCCACATTCCCATGTTGTTTCACTCCGTTTCTTGTTGGCTGTGCACACTTTGCACGCCCGCGTCGGGTTCTTCTTCTTCTCAGTGGGTGCGATGTGTAATGATGCACAAGGCAAAGTATGTCTTTATCTCATCCGGAGTGGTGTCAAACCATTGCTCCTCATGGCATTTCTTGGGGCGATCCTCGTCGCCCATCTCTTGTTCGGCGTAGCGATTTGTCTCAGCAGAGACAGACGCCCAAAAATCATGACTTGCAAACACGGAAAAGGCAGATAAGGCGCTTGTCTTCTCACCAAGACTGCGTTGAACCCTTGCTGACACACCTGGGGTTTCTACAAAGGTGAACTGAGCAGGCTGGTTGTCCCTCTTCTCCCACTTCCACTGACGTGCAGACGCCGAAGTCGATGAAATGCTTCCAGGATTCGCATCGTTTTCAACACTTTTCTCACTGTCCGTTGAACTCTCATCGGATTCCGAGTAATCGGAAAGGCAGCAGGATTCGTCGTCAGAAATACTGGCGCAATCATCACTTTCAAAAAGAAGTCTTTGTATATCTTCGTCCGCCAAAGCAGACCTCCGCGCCGAAGACATGTTTTTGGCGCGCTTGCTTACAATAGCGCGCTTATTTTTTGTCAATGGAGCGCCCTCTCTCTGTCAAAAGGCAAAGCAAACAAGAAAAGAACCCAAGGTAAACAGGAGCAACAGGGGTAGTGCCGCCATCTGCCGCAGAGCTCACAAAACAAGCTCTCAAACCGAAACACGAGTCACACTCGTGGTCGGGTTTTATGGTCCGTAAATGGCGGCACGAGTGACACTCGTTATTAGTAGGCAAGGGGTTAATCGCGCAGCAAAAGCAATGCGAGCCGCCCTGGCCACCCGCTTCATACAGCCTATCCAACACATTCTTTAGTGGCGCCCTCTCGAGCCGTCGACACGGAGTGCGGCAGCCGTGAGCGCTCGATGAGCTCACTACTCCTCCTCTGGTTCACGGCCACTCAAGCAAGGACCTACGTCATGGAGGAGGTTATTTTTTGCTTGTTTTTGTAATTCTAATTTGCCTATAACTTTTAAAATAAAGCGAAATTTGAGAAAAGAAAAGTGTCTTTAAGTTACCACGTTCAGTACAAATTGAACACCAGTCAAAAACATGTTGCACGGCCCCTTTAAGGGAACCAAACCTGCCCTGCAAAAGGTTGCACAGAAGCAGTAAAGCAAAGTAGACAATGGTTGTTTAGTTGGACAGGCCAACACATGAATCTTAACATTTGGACAGGCCAACACATTCAGTATATAATGCTTGCATTGGTAGGAATGAAAATGAAGTGTGTGCTTGTGCTCCATAAGATTTTTGCTGTTCCAAAATTGACTTTTGACTGCTCCAGAAGGTGCTCCAAAATGACTCGGGGGGGAAAATAACATCACTAAACATCCCTACTCAGAAATTAGTCTGTCCATGCATCCATATATGCTTTACAGCACGCGACGCTCAAGTGACTGCCACGACTTGATTTCGTAGCATTGCGTGACATTTGATGTCCTATAAACAAATCCGAACAATCTCCCCTTAAAGGGGCCACGCAACAATGTTTGGACTTTGGTCAAATGACTGTGGGAGTTGTTCCCCTGTCATGTCTGGATTAAAGAACTGGAAACGAACCTTGCCTGCATAGGTTAGTTATTTATTACAGCGGAGCTGTTAAGGGCTAGGTTCCCCAGGATAGTGTCCGTGTATGTCGACACAAACCTACCTGGACAGCTACCGAAGCGACGGCAGCAAGCACACAACCAGTATGGTTTCCGCCGTCACTCGTAGATGGCGGCAACCTTTCCAGCTATAATAAAAGAATGGATAGTTGGCCGCGCCGGTGGGAATTCATTGTAGGAAACAGTGCAAAAAACGGACGACGACAAAGAAGAAGCTCACAGTGTATCGAGTACAGCTCCGCTGGTCTTCCTTCTTCACGAGAGTGGAAATGCTGAACGTTTTTTTAAATATTGTCAAACAATTGAAGTTTTGGGTGCCTGCCAACCACTCTCAACGCTTACGCCGTCTTACGAGTCACATGCACAGCAACGCGTTGCCGGACGCTCTGGGCACGCGGAGTATCTGGTTGGGTTCTCTTTCAAAGTCTCCAACATGTGCTGACGCTGCTTGCGATTCACATGGCAACCTTAAAGGTTGGTCTGAGCGATGTGGAGAGGGGGAGAGAAAGGGGGGGTGGCATGGTGGCATTATACAGTCGAAGCTCGTTAATTCGACTCTCGTTATTTCGATCATCGCGTTAATTCGATCCTTCCGTTTAGCACCGTCAGAAATGTACGTGATTCAATAGGCAGAAAACCCCGGTATTTCGATCTGATAAATATCCCCAACCCGATAATTCGTCCCGGGAGTCAGCATCTTCGTAACCGGGAAATACTTTTTTAAGCTAACACTATAAGTTTAAAGGTTAAAACGGCGCCTCAGAACACAACACGCGTCCCTACCCATATTGGCAAACAGCCGTTGCAGCGAGCCCGCGCCTCATTGCGACACCTCCACAGACGCGCGATGCCCGTCGGCGCCTCCGACGCCTCGAGCACGCGCGCGCTCCGCGAAAGGGCGCCCGCGCAGACAGGCGCCCTTTCGCCGGCGCATCGCCTGGCATCGCGCCGGAGAAAGGGCCGATTTGATTAGTCGAGGTAAGACCCAGTCAGAGCGCACCGGCCCGATCACGTGGGGAGGCGCGCGGAAGGAGACGGGAGCAACGAGAGGGAAATGAGTGAGCGATGAAGTCAGAAAGAACGTCGGGAGGATGGAGAAGGAGACTGGAGAAAAATGAGCGAGCGATGAAGAGGAACCGTGCTGTCACGCGGTTCCTGGTTTCTGTTCTTTGGAGTGCGCGGCGTTTAACGCTCATACCGAAAAATGTCGAAAGAAAAGCGAATGATTTAAAAACAAAAGTTCACATACTCAACGAAGTTAGGGAGGGAAAATTGTCCAGAAAAGAAATCGCCGAAAAGTATGACCTCAAGAAAAACACGCTTGCTACCTACATTAGGAATGAAGCAGCAATCGTGAAAGCTTTTGAAGAAGAGCAATTTGTGAATTCAAGAAAACGCCTTCGCAGTGCAGCCCATCCAGAACTCGAAGAAGCCGTTTACAAATGGGTGACAGAAGTAAGAACGCACAACCTTCCGATGACTGGAGACATGATTCGCGCAAAGGCTCAACAGTTCAGCGAACGTTTGGGCATCGAGGGATTCCGTGCTTCCGAGGGATGGCTCGCAAGATTCAGGGAGAGGCACTCTCTTATTTTTAAGCACGTGTGTGGTGAAAGAGCCGATGTGGATGAAGATTTGTGTGAAAACTGGAAGACGTCGGAGCTCGCACGTATTCTTGCGGAGTATGCGCCCGAGGACATATTCAATTGCGACGAAACGGCGTTGTTTTTCAAAGCTCTCCCCGACAAAACGATAACGTTCAAAGGGGATCCTTGCACTGGGGGAAAACGCAGTAAAGAGCGGGTGACCGTGCTCGTGGCAGCCAACATGATAGGCACGGAACGTCTGCCTCTTTTGGTGATCGGGAAATCCAAGACGCCACGATGCTTTCGGAACATCCCGCGGCTTCCAACGGACTACCGTTTCAACAAAAAAGCTGGATGACACGTGCGATCTTTCAAGATTGGCTTCAAAAATTTAACCGCCAGTTCGCGTCCAAGGGGCGCAAGGTCGTGTTAGTAGCGGACAACTGCAGTGCACACACAAAAATGCCGGAGCTGTCTATGATCCGCCTGATTTTCCTTCCACCCGCAACCACCTCACTCTTGCAACCAATGGATCAAGGAATAATCAAACACCTGAAAGGCTTGTACCGCAAGCATCTCATGGCAAGAATATTGCTTTGTCTGGACCAGGGTAAGCGCTATGAAGTCACTCTGTTGGCGGCGATTCATATGCTTGTTAAAGCTTGGACGGACATGCCAAGCCAGGTCATCGCGAACTGCCTTCGTCACTGTGGTTTCTCGTGTGATGGAAATACCGCGAGTTCGACGGCTGCATCGGTTACTACGTCTACATCGGCAACTGCATCGGCTACAACATCGGCAACCACAATTGAAGATGAAAACTTTGACGAAGAGTGCAGTGCTCTAATGTCCGCCCTACCCGAAAACGTTAGTTTCGATGATTACGTTGCGATAGATGATGGAGTGCTTGTGTACGGTCAATTGACTGACGACGAAGTCATCGCATCGGTTCAGCATCCCGAGGGTCAGGAGGACGACAGCTGCGAGAGTGACGCCGAAGAGCCGCCGCCACGCCCATCTCCTGCCGAAGCATCCGCTGCGCTCGATGTACTTGCGAACTTCGCAACGTTTGAAGACACCGACGGGACGATGTGGCCGCACATTGAGGATATGCGGAAATTTGTTTTTGCGAAGCGTCTGACGGGAATGCGGCAGCAGAAAATATCGGCGTTTTTTTCGAAATAAAACTCCGTCGTCGCGGTTGGCTTTTGCCGCTTCTCGTGACGTACGTCGTTACTCATTTTTGATCGATATTCGATAATTCGACTCTTCGATAATTCGATCTATTTTCGAGGAACCGTCAGAGTCGAATTAACGAGCTTCGACTGTAGTACTTAAAAGATAAAGGTTGCTGCCAATCTTTTAATGCTTTGGCATTTTGAAAACTGCTCCCGCACATCGGAGCGTCTAAAAAAAGAGCGAGTCGAAAAGAACAAAAAATGGCATGTTTTTGCACGGCAGGTGGAGCACCACGTAGCGGATGCGGTCGAGAAAGGCAGCACGGTGGTCCTCGGAGGCAAGAAGCACAGCCTGGGCGGGAACTTCTTCGAGCCGACGCTGCTCACCGACGTGCAGAGGGACATGCTTGTGTGCCAGGAGGAGACCTTTGGCCCCGTAGCTTCCATCATCAGGCAAGCAGTCCACAATGTACAGTCGACGCCTTGTGTGCATCCTTTTTAATGCATACATTTTAAAGGGACAGCTCGATACGGGAACCTTCTACAAACCTTGCTTGCTCGTGTTGGTCGCACCGTTGCGAAACAGTTTCTGTTGTGTGTGTTACCAGTGACGTAGCCAGGAATGTTTTTCGGGGGAGGGGGGCTGAGGTGGCTGTGATGTCCACATGAATTGGGGTGTGGAGTGGGGGAGGGGGGGGGTCAAAGTGCATGTGTATATCATAGAGTCAGCTGAATTTCAGGGGGGGGGGGGGGGGGGGGTGTGCACTGGTGTTTACTCAGTGGGAAATTAGTCATCTCCAACGATGAGCTTTTGCTCCACGTGCTCGTGTTATTAGGATAATCTAGTAGGCGCGGGGGCATTTCATCATCACGTTGTTCGCATGGCGGTCCCTTCTCCATGTGCCACATTGCAAATCATTCCAAAAGCAAGTGCTGCTCGTTAAAAACACCTTATCAAGTGCTATGGCAACTCGTTGCATTTGATAGTGTCTTAGCTAGTCATTTTCTTTTTTCAAGGTTCAAGACTGAGGAGGAAGCGGTGGAGCTTGCCAACTCCACTCGAGTTGGTCTCGCAGGTATGAATCTTTGCTACGCCTGCCTCGGGCGAGGTACTAACTAGGTTCTTTTCTCGTAAGCATTTGTTCTACTTTGTTCTACAAAAGAACTCTACGGGTCATTTCAAGTTTATAGAGGAATTTTTATGACCTTCAAGCTAAACATTATTCTAGGTGCCGTTGTGTGCGCTTCTGTGCGGTGCAGATCTATCGAGACACACAAGTTACAAGCTGTGTGCTAGTGCACAGTGCAGCTCACTGTTATTTGGAAGCATAGTTGTTTTTTGCTGTTTTTCACACAATAAACTAAATTCACTAGCATCGAGTGCTAGTGTATTCAGCACTTTCTGATTTTAACTGAGTGTGTTGCAGCAAGCAAAGGACATACTCAATTGAATGCAAATAACCTGTAGTCTGTTTGATGTGCCTATCGGGAGATGGCACCACGGACCCAATTCTCAAGTTATCCACGGCAATGTCTGCCGTTTGTTGGTCTCATTTTTTGCAGGAACATAGCTACACCTTAAAGTTTCGCTAGGTAAAAACCTTTACTGAACTATACCTTCGACAAACATTTTAGGACCCAGACAAGTTTCAATTTTTTTTGGACAATTTCAGAGTCAGCCTAGGGATTTGCGACACTTTCCATTTCTGTCGGGCCTCGCACAAGTTCCTCGTTTTAGTGCCTCGTACTCTGCACGACACTCTTGCCGCAAGCGAGCGATTGCCAGTTTTTGCTGTTTTAGTCTTAAAACGAAAAAGGCCGCCAGAAAAATTACTAGCATCGCGGGAAGTTTTCATTTAGGAAAGTAACCTAGACAGCAAAGTTTGGTGCAAATGGATACTCTGTCCGAGTAAAATGCAAAAAAAAGCGCCGACGTCGTGTTGGCACCGACTGTCACGCAATACCCGCGCAGTGACCTTCGTAGCAGGGAGGAAATGAGGTTTGTTGTGTTGCAGGCTACTTCTACTCGGAGAACATCTCCCAGGTGTGGAGGGTGGCCAAGGCACTGGAGGTGGGCATGGTGGGCGTGAACGAGGGAATGATGTCTTGCGCCGAGGGCGCCTTCGGAGGGGTCAAGGAATCCGGCCTGGGACGTGAGGGCTCCCGTTACGGCATGGACGAGTTCATGCAGCTCAAGTACATCTGCTTCGGAGGACTCGAATGAGCGCCTCGATCCGGGGACGCACACCCGGTTCGCACGGAGACTGACTGCATTACAACTCCTTGCGTTCCACTACGACACACCGCGAGGATAAAGGCCCGTATGCACATTTGCGTTTGAGCGCAATGCGTTCAGTTGCGGCGGCCGGACGCGTAACGTCACGAATGGCGACTGCACCAAGCTGGTACATGTAGTTGCGTTGACACACAGTCGGTCGCGGTCAAGAGCCGATAAGAATGTGCCATCGTGACTAGCGGCTCACTAATAGTAAGCGAAATCCACAGAAACGTGGCGACGGCGTCGACGTGGCCGACCTTAGGACTATCCGGCCAGCTTCCTTGACTTCCATCGAGTTTGAATTGTCACAGCCTCGGAAAAACTCGCTCCTGTAATACCCACCGCTCCCCAAAACTAAACACCAGTGTCCCGTACCCGAACGGAAAACTGGATACGCCTCGCCGACGGGCGCGGCGAGCGCGCGACTTTCGTTTCTCTTCTCTACTTCTACTTCAGTGGGTTCTGCGATGGCGCGCTTCACAGCGCCAGTGCATAAGCGCTGCCTGCCATAAAAATGCCATTCCATACTCAAATGCAAATGTGCGTATAGGTCTTAAAGCTTCTGTATACGAAAAAGTGACACAAACCTCCTCTCCGTGGGGGAGACTCCCTTCTCCCTCCCTCTTTCCCCTCCCGGCAGACGGCGCCATTTTTGATCGTGGCCGACACCACCTGGAGTCGGTGACGGGTTAAAAAGCCAGTGGACACTCTGCCTCGAGCGCAAGCTTTCTGCCTTTGAGAACACTTCGTCGCACGTGCGGCCAAAGCTTGGTGGAAAGCAAGAAGCATGCACTGGAAGCATTGGTTCCTAAACCTGTCACCGACTGTAAATAATGTTGCGACGCAGTCAGTCCCACTCCGATACTAACGTCCAAACCAGCCCTTAGTTCCTGTAACAGAACCAGGAAGACACCCCGAAGGAACTCCACGAGCACTAAACAGATACTTGTCTTCCCACAGAGCCAAGGTCAGATAGGGAGTATACTGGATTACTGCTTTTATAGATAATATATTTTTAACTATACTATATGTATTCTTTGCCTCTGTCCCGTCTGAAGCGAATATCTGCGACCCTCGAAGTTTGGAACAGTCAACGCGTGGGGGAAAAGACCAGAGCCAAAAGCTTTTTTTGTATCAAATATTTTCTTATGAATTTGCACTATGAAAGGTTTGGGTTTTCCTTCTCTGTGCAGCCGACTTAGTCACACACACCCTTCAAGCATGCCTTGTACCTGTATACTGTTTGTTCAAACTAATACGAAAGTATCTAGCCTGGCAGCTAAGGAGATTTTCCTGTTTTTAATATTTTGTTCCATTCCCATAGCAGGGAGCATGAACAGGCTTCCGATACGTAGCCAATGGCAATGTGGCTACCGTCTTCCAGTTTTACCGCAATAAAATGTGTCTGAAACCATGTTTGTCGACTCCTTTGAAAGTAGAGTCTAACAAGTAGAGTCTAGTAAAGTAGAGTAGAGGTACAGTCTAAGCTCGTTACAACAGACCTGGTTACGCAGACATTTGGATATAAAATACCCATTTGTGAAGTTTGTTTGGTTTTCCTCTACAGACCATTGACTCAACTTCATACCTGCATACAACATACTCCTCATACAACAGACAGAAATCTTGGTCAAAATCAAGGTCTGTTATAACGAGCTTAGACTAAGTGGATCTTATATATTGGTATGCTTTGATTGGTGAATTCATTTTCCTCTTTAGCTGCTTGATTTTGAAAGCTTTGGCTATTTGATAGCGTGCAAGCTGAAAGTTCACGCAGACATTACTGGTTCATATTGTACTTGTGCAGGTTTTGGCCAAGTGTGTGTGCAGCTAGGAGCATGTGCAAGGAAAGCTAGCACCGCTGACCTCGCGGCTGCACTTCTGGGTGCTTCGTTAGAACAGCATAGTTTCACTCCCATAGTGTACCCGATAGTACTACGGCAAGTGCACACGAGCTGGTTTCATCTGGTCATTTTTGTCCAACCCCTTTTTCCCTTTGCTGCATGGTTACTGTGTCTGTACTTAATATAGGCTGAAACAGCATTATGACCCCGGAGGATATCTCGACAAATTACAACCATGATCTAATCTTAAAAATTGTTTTGACGTATAAAACATTAAATTATATTAACAAAAATGGATTGGATCCACAAAAGACTGCTCAGACAGTGTAAATAAATTTGCACTAGAGAGTTCATTTCGCTCCATAACAAAATGACAGCCATTGCAAAAACCTAAAACAAAACTATTTCAAGAGCTCTTTTTTTATGCTTATACATGAAAATAGCTTCAATTTTTATAATCCACGCTTCATAAACCCAGCATTAGCTTTCAATGAAGCCTGGAGCATTTGCACCAGCTCTATTAACCGTATAAATAAATGACAATTATGGCGCATCTGGGTATTACTATCCTCCGCTCACCCCTTAGCTGACAGTGCGGGGAGAGCTACGTGCTCGCCAGACCACTCGACCACCAGACGCCCAAACAGTCCAACAAGAACATAGGTTCCACCGCACCGTCTGCTTGGTGGTGAACTATGATTGGAGCATACCGATAAACCTCTAGATCCAAAATTAAAGATGCCTCTTACTAGGTTCCAAATTTCACAAACTCTATTTCCTCGGCACTCCGAGGAGCGAAAACAGTTGCAAGTACATAAACAGGCACACAACGAATGGGCAGGTCCACGATCGTTCGCAACAGTCGGCGCGGGCCACATTGGTTTCCCCGGACGAGTCTCCAGCTCTCAGGAGTCGAGCGCAGTCACCAGCAGTGCCTGCAGCAGCGCCGATGATCTCCGGCGCGCCTGCAGCTCTTCCTCTGCAGCCGCCACGAGCGCCTCCACGTCTTGATGGCCCTCTGGACGGACGCACACCTCGCCACCTGGAAGGCGGCAGGGCGGCCGAATTTGTCAAATTGGGGGGTTTTACATGCCAGACTGACGAAAGAAGTGTAGCACGGCTCGGGGGAGGACTCGAAATGACAAGGACTCCCTGGGGGTTCTCTAACGTGCGACTGAAACCTCGGCCTTTTTTGCATTAGCCTCCGTGGGATTGCGGACGCCTTGGCCGGCATTCAAACCCGCAACCTGGGGATTCGAACCCGCAACCCAGGGATTCGAACCCGCAACCCAGGGATTCGAACCCGCCACCCGGGGATTCAAACCTGCAGTTCTGGAGTTGAAACCCGCCAACTGGGGATTTGTAGGTTGGCGCTTTGCCAGTGCGAACTACACAAGTGCACGCACGAGCAATACACGGGGAAGGCGAAAAAAGTGGGGGGGGTGTCAGGCATACAAAAGAGACGCCCTATCATCCTCATGCTGTTGGTGACTATAGTGACACGATCACCATGCTGTGAGACAACTTTATTGCCTCGCGGCATATCTGCAAAAAAATACTTCCCTGCAGAAATAAGTACCATGTTATCCATGTCCAAGTCTCTTTACTTTTTTCAATAATCTCGGTGCGTCTTATATGCATTTTTTTCCTATAAGTGTGGTTAAGTGTGCAAATTTGCCGCGGCAGTTAGACTACCTCTCTTTTATTACATTATAACAATCGGAGTACACACGTGCAGGCTTATTGATGCGGTTTTGCCTCGCCGACTGCAAATGAATAAATGCTTGTTATACGAAAGTGCAACCTATAAACCGGAAAGTATGAATCGCTTCAAACGTGCCGGCAGCAGATACGTTCCAGGCAGCGTACATCCGGCAGTGCAAAGTCTCCGCCCGCAGAAAGTGGCCGGCGAAAGGGCAACTTGCCTTTTGGGGCTGTGCTCAGTGGGGGTGCCAGAAGGGCCTCCAGTCTGGATGTGAGGGACCTGGACAGGGCCCTTTGGCGGGCCACCAGCCGCTCCAGGTCCCAGGGGACCTCTGGTTCGGCCCCTCCCACCGCTTCCCCGCTGCCCACGCTCTCTTCGTCTGATGAGGAGGGCTCGCTTGCTTCGCTGTCGGCCTCTTCCTCTGCAATACGAGAGCGGCACCTTCTCTCCAATCTTGACGACACGAAACAAGCCGATGCATCTTTTCCGAAACCAAACGACGGAGGTACATCGAAAAGCACTGAGCTAAAAAGCGTGAATGCTACGGCGTCGATTTACGAGCGTTCCTGAGCTCCAAAGACGTGCTGCACGTAATGCGTCCCTCAACTTCATCCGTCTTCGGACGAAGTCGCATTAGGCGCACCGTTTTCCCACTAAACCGAATAAAGAGAAACAAGCCAGGTTGGTACGAAGTCCCGCCTGCCCAGTCGGGAAGGGGGCAGAATGCTTCGCCACATTGCCTCGGAGTCACCGAGGCAGTGTCGTTGGAAGTGGACTGCGCAGTAATCGCCATCCGCAACATTTGAACGAGCCACTTGCGTTGTGCAGCTCGAGGAATACGCCTCTTTTGGGCGAGCGATTCCCCGCCGGTGGGAACAAAGACGTAACCTGCCGCAGGGTGACGCACCCGTGTTGGCGGGGCTGGGCATGGGTCCCGTCACGTCTTGCCAGGAAGTGGGCAGCGAGAAGCGGCTCAGCTCTTCGGGAAGGTAGTGCACCAGCAGCTCCTACGGAGAGAGGTGCCGCCGTCACGATCGCTCTCAGAGAAGAGCAGAAAAGGAGAAGACGGGAAGGCACAAGCGAAGTTTAAACGAGCAAGGGAGGTGCGTCGAGGTTTTTGTGACGCTCGGTCACGAAGCTTGAAGATGCCTGCTCAATTGCAAGGAAGGATGCCGTCGGCAACGATCGTCGCCGCCGCGGTTCAACTGGCCAACAACTTTCTTCCTCTCCTAAGCAAACTGTCACTTCTCGCAAGTCCGCGACACCTACGTCGATCGACGAACCCCTCTTGACTATACTTTAAAGTCGCGCTAACCCATGAGCAGAAGTAGTGTGTACCTATACCCGTTTTCCCTTCAAGAAAAAAAAATAATTTTGCGCATTGTTCGTACGCGGTGTGAAGTAGTTCTTACGAGAGTTGGTTGTCGGAGGTAAAAAGAAAAGCTTTTGGCATTTCAAACGTGTAGGTCTTGATAAGATAACATATAACTAATCTAGCATTCACCTACATATCTCTTTATCCACATAAACAGAGAAATTAGTAATGGTCCACCAGGTGCCAGACTTTTTATACGATGGTTCTTGGGGTGAAAACGGGTATAGAAACTCGTTAAAAAGAAGCTGAGGAGCGTCTTAAAAAAAATGAGTGGGAGTTATATTCTTACATAGTTTCATCCCATGAATTCAAATATCATGACCATTCCACTTGTAACTATCGATAAAGGTGGGGGGAAAAAAAGCGAGTCAGCACCAAGAGCGAACGGTCAAAACAGTGGGACGTCGCAGCAACGCCACTTTTGCTCTTTTCGGCATCCTCCTTTTACTCACTCCAAGGAAGGTAGGGCTTCACAGCTCTTTTAAAAGTGTTTTTATGGCAACATAGAGCATGAAATCGAAAATGCTTTTTGATTAGTACTTCAGTTTCCCTTTAAGAGGAGACACTGGCTTAAAAATTATTTTTTGAACTATTTATAAGATTGCAATTAAATTTGCGAGGGATATTGAGGATCAGAAAAAGGGGTACTGTGCAAACTTGGACTTCTCTAAGGCATTTTTCTTAGAAGCTAGACATTTGTGTTTGAAGCTGTGGCACTCTTCCCTAAGGAATCTATGGTATACAAATTAAGCCAATAAACCTCCATTTTATTGCTCGAGTATAAAGTGGGTAGTGTAGGACTTCAGGCTATCTAGTTTACATTATTGTAAAACTGAGAAAAATGGATTCAAACATTGAGACCCTTTACTTTATTAATTTCTCACAATCTGCACCATCTCAAAAGCCCCAGCAAAATAGGTCTGTCCTTCAGCTGCCTGGTTCCTTAGTCTCTTGAGGATTGTTTATAGCATCCCCTGTTTGTGGGCCACTTGGAAGACTCTGCCATGTGCCTTCTGCTTTGCTTTTGAGACACTAGATTGCACGTCCTTGTCAAAGTGCCGCATCTGGTCACTCCAGGCTCTATCCCTGTCTCGAAAAGATCCCCCTCAAAGTCCTTTGGGCCCAAGTTGAACTCGAGCACTGTGAGTAGAATAGCCGTTTCTATCGTTCATCGAGACACGAAGTCTGTCTACAAACACTAGCCCTAGCCGAGAGCATTGAATGACTCATTCACATTCCGAGTCATCATTTTGGCAGATCTCTTGAGAAGGTCGTGCCAGGGTAAATGGTTGTACGGAGGAACCAAATCCTTTACAATTTCCATAGAGCAGGAAGGGCTGTGCAGCTGTGGCTTTCTCATTGCCTCCAGTGATGGCACTATGAATCTTTTCCTTGAAGGCAGCCCTGATGTTGGGGCTCTTCACCAGTAGAGCAAGAGTGCAGGAGGAACACGCCTCTCTGCATCGCCTAAACTTTTGGGGATTCACCTTCAGGGCACATGCATAATATAGTTTCGTCAACTTTTTTATGACCATACCGGTAAACTTGCACCGTTCACCGAGCCCCTTTCTTTCCTTTCTTGAGGGTCTCCGATCAAGGGTTCATCCATACATTGAGCACGGAGAGGTTGGTGTTTGAAAACAGTTTATAATTGTTGGCTGATAACTCACTGGAATGGCTCCGGAATGCAACGTGCATTGCCATCTTGTACAGAATATTTTGTATCAACGCAAATGTGCAATATATGCTTTCTATATTTTCCGAAAGGGTGCATTACTGGTTTATAAAACCCAAAATGTAAAATTTGAAAACTGCACTTTTTTGAAAATATTTTACATTTATGTCATTGTCCCCTCTTAAGCAGGCTTCAAGCGCCCGTTATCTTATTGACTAAAATTTACTCTGTCTAGCCTCGTGTATATACTTCCTTTTCTTTCTACTCCTTTACTGCAATACAAGTGTTTTTCCAACACAGCCAGGTGCCTCGTACATTTTATTTCCATTCAAAATCACAAAGGTCGCACAAAAACCTTGCTGGATTCCATGTTGATGAACTTTTGCCCTCTATCTTTCTATGTGTGGAAGCGGTGTTTTCCAGCTCGCTCGAGTCTTTCGCGTTGTGATCGACTGCGACTGCCGGAGTAGGCGACAAAAAGAGCATCGTCCGGTACTTGATTTCAACATATCTACCATATTTTCTGGACTGTAGAGTCCGCACTCGGTGCGAAGTCTGCGGGGGCAAATTTGGGATGAAAAAACGAAAGCCGTTTACAATTCCCTGTAACGCCGGATTAGAGCACAGCTCTTGAGGAGGAGGATGGAAGGGTACTGAGGGATAGGTGACTCCTTGAGGTCACGTGACCTCAGGGGGGGGGGGGGGGGGGGGTTCGTGTGACGTCAGGGGTTCACCTGACCTCGGGGGGGGGGGGGGGGGGGGGTCATGTGACCTCGGGGGAAGTCACATGACCTCAGGGGAATCACGTGGCCTCAGGGGGCGTCATGTGACCTTAGGGGGGTCGCGTGGCCTCAGGGGGGGGGGTCACGTGGCCTCAGGGGGTCACATGACCTCAGGGGGTCACGTGACCTGGGGGGTCATGTGCCCTCATGGTTACACCGACGGCGACGCCGCTCAAGCCAGAAACAGGCGCCTAAGAGGTGCACTCTAATATGAAAGTCATAGGTCAAGCGTCACCTCGACTGCACTTGTAGATAGTCCACATCGTGTAAAATTTCAACTTTTAAACTCGAATAGTGCGCGGACTATAGTCTGGAAAAAACAGTACCAATCTTTATCGGAGTGCAGATGAACCGGAGCTCTAGAGATCGACCCGTCGACGGCCAAACCGGTCAAGTTTAGTCGCGGGCGAGAGCGAGATCCTTGTTGGCTGCCGATTACACGCGGCGTCGCAGTCTTCGAAGCAACGAGGGAACCTCGTGGCGCCGGCAGCTCACCTTGTGGTCGAAGTTGCGCAGCAAGTGGCAGAAGCAGTCGTGCAGAATGTCCACCCACACGGCTGGCGACGAGAGGCCACCCTCCGCCTGGCGGCGCAGCGTCTCCTCGGCGCTGGGGGAGGGCGAGGGCGCGGGTCAGAAGGCCCGCCAGCAGGCCCCGAAGGCCAGAACGTACATACATCGATGCAGCCCTTATGGTCGCCAATGGACAAGAACAGCAGGATGGAGCTCTGGTTGGCCTGCCTCCGGCACGGGCTTCCTACCTTCAAAGACGCTTCGGTGTCATGTGCACCTCGAGCGTGCGTGAACAGCCGGAGCACGGTGGAAGGCACGAACCACGCACCGGAGGCCGAACGTTCGAAAGGCTCGTCCCCCGTTCTCCATCCATCGGTAAACATGGTCAATCCGTAATTTCGGACGAGGATCGACATAGCCCCACTTTCTTGTTTTCTTCCAAACTGGATACAAACTATCCTCCTTCGTATCACATACAATCTTCCACTCCCCACACGCACCCTTTCTTGGCTCGTCCGGCAAGTTCGAGAATGCAGATGCTCATACGTTACCTGGGCATACTCGCCAAATGTCTATGGCAACTAGGGATGGGGTTTTCCCAGATTGTCCCAGAGCCACTGACGAAATGAGAACAGGGCCTATTTTGTGCTGGAAGCGTTCCCAAGACGTGCCCCGCCGTTTTCACTCTGTCGGTGGCTAGTCCCCCTCTATCCTTTTCAAGCAACCTATTTTGAGTTGGCACTTGCACCAAAAATCCTGCACGAAAAATGCAGCCTCGCAGTCAAAAGAAAGATACCAAAGTTGTACAGTAAAACTTTGTTAATACTTGTTTTGCAAAAATGTGGAGAAAAAAAATTTGCAATCCAGAAAAGTGGAACGGGCGACAAGGCTCTTGGGCCAGTACCGAGGTGTGTGGGGGGGGGGGGGGGGGGGGGGGGGGGGGGGGGGGCATTGGTTTTTCTCTGGTGCACCGCCAACACGGCAGTGTGGTGAAGTCACGCCTGCTCGCACTCGCCTATGCAAATGACCTCATTCTGGTGACCGACAGTGTAGAGGACATGTGAAACTGCAGCAGACCAACTCCAACTATGCTTCAATGCCATCCCTGACAGTACTTTTCTCTGGCAGAACCTCGGATCACTTACCCTACAAGGTGTAGCTATCTCTTCTCTCCAAGTACAAATATTTTGGAGTAACGTCGTTGGCTTCGGTGGACTACCCAACCAAGCACCACTAGATCCTCGGGACTTTTTTAGTACGGAAGCAGAACATGCTGCGATGGCGGAGCCCCTAGAGCAGCGACCGATATGTCATTGCTCGAGAACTGTGGAAGGCTGTTGCTGTGCCCGGATTGACATTCAGAAATGCTGCCATCTGCGTTTCCAGGTAGCTTCGATAATTCTTTGAGCACCACCGAAGGAGGTTGGACGTGCATCACTGGGATGCCACAGACGGGTAACAAATGAACTTGTGAAAAGCGACATTGGATAGCCTTCTTTCGAGGCGCGAGAGGCCAGAACCAAGCGGGACTACTACACGTGTCTCCGATACATGAATGGAGGCCACTGGGCAAAGCATCTTTTTGCATACATCCATCTCAAGAATGTACACTCGATGTGCAGGAAGCGTGTCACTAGGCTCGGCACAAAGTTTGAGGCATTCAGCTCGGATGTCAAACCCCAAACTGAAAGAGAGCAGGTGAGTAAAGTGCAAGAACGGGTACAAGCTGTCGAGTCCGCACGCTGGACGACGTCTGGTCTCGACGTGGCTATCTCGACCAAGTCAGAGATGTCCTCGCCAACTTTCTGCGGAAACATAATGGAGAGCCGACTACTTATCGAGGTGCGTGGCAGAGACCCCATGTACCCGACCTCACCGACGCAAATATGATTGCAGCGCGGCGGGTACAAGGTGCAACGCGTGCGAGGAAAGAAAGACTATTTCCCACTAGCTGCTGTTCTGCGAGACAGTGCTACCGGGCGCCTCTTGTGAACTCTCGCATCAAGCAGGCACTTGGTATCACCAACGAGTGGAGCCACTTAGCCTGCTCGAAGCAGAGGCTCAAGGCCTGGTGGAAGTTTCGCCAATGAGAACACAACGCTATTGGTTAGATTATTCTTGATCAAATGACTATTAGTGGACAAGATGATTGGACACACATGACGTTTAGTTTCCCAGTCGACTTTCGATGAGCCACCACGATTATAGCTAGACTGTGACAAGTACTCAGATGGCGATTCTCGTTAACGGACAAAACAGCTTTGCAGCCAGCTCGGTCCATGCACCGGATGTGTCTCAAAACATACTCGGCCGAAACTCCTTCCTCGCCAAAAATTACCCCCACATCGACCCCAAAAGGTGCCAATTTGCAAACTACGGTCATTCCATACCCTCCTCTCCCAGAGCCAAACGAACCCGGCCGTAAAGGCCCCCTGCAACACACAAACTGCACAGCACACTGACTTGTCCGAGTAACCACGAAAGTGAAGGCTTTCGCAATCCCAGTTCCTGCGCCTACAGTGCCTGGAATGCACCCCCAACTGGTCTGTTTGCTGTCTCATCTTTTCCATACATCGAAAGTGGTCCTCAAAATGGCAGTAGACTGCATCGCAAGAGCCAGCGTAGCGTGCCGTCAAATGTCGCGATTCTGGCGGTTGATCGTAAAAATGCCACGCAAAATGCGAGCAAACGCGAGGCTCGCCGTCATCGCATCTGCTTAGTTTCCCGTCAACTGCCTGGTTGCAGACCGACCTACAGCAGAACGGGCATACACCTCTGCTGCCGCGCCGTCACCACGATCGCTTCAGGCAACGTCGCGACACTGCATTCAAGAATGCGGTAAACACGCTCGATGAAGAGGGGGTAAGCGGGCATGTCCTCACCTGGCGAAGAGGAGAGCCGCGGTGCCCCGGGGGCCATTGCTCCCGCACAGCAGCTCCAGGTAGTCCCAGACAGCCGAGGTCTTCCAGAGGTCGGCCCCGGGGGCAGGCAGGAGCAGGCCCAGCACCGCCTCCTGCAGGGCCTCCAGTCGGTCTGGGGCACTCCAGTCGCACCCTGGAGGCAAACCGGGGGTGAGCGGCCCATGCGCTGAAATCTGTCCCTGTGGCTCCAGCTGCCACCGGTGTTCGTACTCGGCGGCTGCCACGGAGATTCTTTTCTAAGGCCTTTTTTGTTTCTTTTTGTTTCCAAAGCCTTTTGCAGCTGGCAAAGCCTTTTCCAAGCGTCTCCAACATCTCAAGACCCTCTCCTGCTTCCCGATTTTTTTTTTTTTTTGGTCATTGTCTTGAACGTTTTAAGCGCCCTGTGTTACAGTAGGAGCTGGCCACCTTTCACTGTGGCAGAAGGCGCTCAGGACACGACTCTGCGAAATCTGGTTTGCTTCCGTAAAAATGGAATTCTGCATTAAAACCCTTGATTCTTGATTTCACATAAAGACTAGTTTAAAAAAAAGGCCTTCAAAGTATGGTGTATGGCTGAAACTATGTTTGTCTGAGGCGAACAGAGAAAGGAGTAACTTGACGTCCGCCATCAGCTGTGGTCCCGCCACACTTTTCTCGTGGGCTGTTGGTGTCAAGAATCGTCGTCATTCTACAGCTGTGTGCAGTGCAAAAGACAGGATTTTATTTCGGGGAAAGGTTCAACGGCGTTAATATCCCCCCCCTTCCCCAATGATGAAGTAAGGTGAGCTCGGCAGTACGGACTCTCAGGCAAAGATTAGGGAGGCGCTGTTAAGATAAAATGAGTGAAGCTGCATTGTCATTTTTGAAAATGGAGCAGGCTTCATTTACAGGAATACGGGCGAGGTGGCTCAATGTTCTACTGTCGTTGTAGTTGCGGCCCACCAACTTTAAAAGCTTTCTCACAGCACATAACTCCCTCCGCGTTTTGACGTACCACTGTGTTACCAATGCGTGCTGGCCAGACAAAACAGAAGGATAGCTATACTGTCACAAAAAAATAAAGCAGCAACACAAAAAAAAAAAAATTGTAGAGCCCTTCCACTTCACGTGAAGACGGAGGACCAGTGAAGCTGTTATTTTTACGACATCTAGGACGATGCCGAGAGGACGACGTCTAGGACGACCTCAAGGACGACCTCTAGGACAACCTCGAAGACGACGTCTAGAACGACCTCAAGGACAACTTCTAGGACGACCTCGAGGACAATGCCTAGAGGACATTGCCTAAGACAACCTCTCGGACGATTTCAAGGACAACTTCAGGGACGACCTCAAGGACGACTTTAACGATGACCTCGAGGACGACTTCTAGGACAACCTCAAGGACAACTTCTAGGACGACGCCTAGAGGACAACCTTGAGGACGACCTTGAGGACAACTTCTAGGATGACTTCTAGGATGACCTAGAGGACGCCGCCTAGGACGACCTCAAGGACGACCTCGAGGACGATGCCTAGAGGTGATAACAAGGGATCAGGACCTCACTATCTAATAACGCAAAGGAAGGCTGACTCATGTAGGTTGCACCCTCTTTTTATTTATACTTATTCATATTCGCCACTACCAATGGGGAGTTTTCTGTCAACATCATCACACACATTTTTTCCCAGGTCATAGTGCATAACAGCTTTGCTGTAAAAATATCTCGAAGCTGAAAAATTAGAGCAACCGTTCACACACAAACACTAGGGGCACATATATAGGGCCATGATGGAGAGGGCCAACAAGTCTACCCATCCTATAAAACCCCGTAAAAATCCGGTTGACTCATGGCGGTTAAACCACGATTCTACAAACTTCAGCGGCCCCCACCTCTGCTCCCGTGGCAAGGTCGATGCCTAGTAAAAATCCAAAGCATGATCGCCCGTATAGCTTATGTTGAATTGGCAACATGTCTTCTGTGTTCCTTGAAAAGGGTGCTTTTTCTTCTACCCGTCTCACCAATGTAAGTGGCGCCGCAATAAACATCTGACTACCAAAGAAAAAAAAATTGTAGAGCCCATCCACTTTACGTGAAGATGGAGGACCAGCGAAACTGTCATCTTTACGACAACTATACGACATCTATACGATCTACATATGATTGCAATGAAGACACGTACACTTCATTGTTTAATTGTCTTTATTTATTTCTTAGTGATTAAAGTGACCATTGCCTTATGGGCAAGTTCTAAACCCAATTTTTTGAGGCACACCTCATGGACAGTTTTTTTCCGATTGAGCCTAAGTCTATTTATCAGCATCGCGGAAGCGAAAGAAAAGAAGGTTAGATCAGCGCCTTCTGCCCTCAGCCTCGTCAGAGCGTACCCTTAGCCGAGATAAGTCGGTGACCTTAGATGATTACAGGGATCAGGACCTCAATAGTATCTAATAATACCAAGGAAGGTTGACTCATGCGAGTTGCCCCCTCTTTTTATTTATACTTGCCACGACCAATCGGAACGAAGGAGCACCGTTTCAATGGAAATTTTTTGTTAACATCCACGGATGCATTTTTTTTCAGATAACAGCTTCACTGTGAGAAGACAAGCCTGCTGTGTACTTAGCTGAAATAAGCAAACTATACTAACAACGAGAGGGACAGGACAGAGCCTCTTCAACGCAAAGTGGGATTCTTTCAAAAAGTCCAAAAGCAAAAATCGGCGGAGCCAGGAGTTAGAGACAGCCTGCATTCCCCCTTTGTTCTGCGCCCTGTGCAAAACCGACTGCGTGAGCAGGGGAGCGAGCGGGCCCCTCAAGGGGGGGGGGAGGGGCATCTCGCTCAGTTGGGGTGCACCTGGGCTCAGCCATAATCCGATTATGACGCCTTAGCAAGGCTTTGTAATCGAATTATGGCGCGTCCAAGCGCACCCCAAGTGAGCAAGATGGTGGTGCCCTGAAGCCGGACTTGCAAATGTGTATATTTCTAGGTCCAGTGGTCGTGATATTTGGATTCAGCAGGCACAAAAATGCCGAAATCACCTCTAACATTTTTTTTTAATTTAAAACCTCTACCTTTTTTTAAAACTAAATTACATTAAAAACCAGATTGAAAACAAATACTATTAAATGAATGCCCAATCAAAATTTCTAACACACTATATGAGCACCCATGCTTTTTGGTTTCTATAAACAGCCAAATCTTAAATACTATTGCCGCGTGCATGGCTGAGAGAAATGCTTCTCCGAACTTCTCGAAGATTCGTGTTTACTCTTACTCCGAGTGCAAGAGATGAGGAGGGCAACAGGACCTTGCCGCCGAGTCAGTCTCCCGAGTGTTCGACCCTCGAACATTCTAGGCCGAATGCGCGAGACACCGAGGGTAACAGACGAGGAGCCCAGAGTGGCTCTGCTGGATCACTCTCACATGTCTCGCTCCATCCAGCTGTCATGCCAACGCCGCGACGTTCGCTTCTGCTGTTTCGACACTCATTCTCTTTTCTGTTTCTGGCACAAATTCGCAGATTAAACCATTATTTTCAGTTTCACACTTGTCGACCCTTTTCTATCTGCGACAGTATCAAGTTACAACCGTCGCAAATTGCTATTCAGTATTTCCTCAAAGGCCCCCTGGCCTACACAAAAATGGGGGTCGCTACTTTGGACGTCAAAGCCATTGTGTTTGCATTCGTTTTAACAACCACTCAGACTACTATTACTTGTTCTCTGGCTGTCAGGGCAAAACAAAGCCTTGGCAGAGTGTCTTTCAAGAGCCCTGGCAGAATGTCTTCCAAATCACTTCTTTCAAATTTCCCAAGTTTTCCCCGACTATTTAAATTCAACTCCATGACCACTGCAAAAGAAGGAGAATCTGGAAACAAATCCGAGTTGGTCCAGCTTTAGATAAAAAGAGCGCGCTTCTTCGACAGTGACATTGCTACTCTTGCTTATTTTCACTTCGAAAATGCTCGCCCAGAAATGACAGCTCCGACACTCAACCTTGAAGTAGACAACCCTCTTTGTTCTCCAGCAGCGTGCGTGAATCTCACAAAACAAGCGGCAAAAAAGAGAGGGTGAGAAGGGAGGCACCCACCGTCCTGGAACTCCACGCTCATGTCCGAGAGGCTGCTGGAGGCTGCCACCGCAGCCAGGTGGCGCAGCACCGCGTTGTACAGGTCCACCAGCCTCGTCGGCAGCTGCGAGGGGGACGGCCACATTGCTAACGGGAGGAAACCGCCGACTGTACGCACTTTCTGAGGCTCTTCGAGGCAGAATGCCACAAATGTCAGAGAATCCTTCTGCTAGGACAAAGTACCTTTTGTATATCAGTCGTATGAAACCTATTTGCGACTCTAACAACACCAACAGCACCTGGCGGGGAAACACTGAACCGCCTACAGCCCCCTCCAGTCTGGCCGCCTGACTGTCCTGCCGTCACAGATGCAATCCCGCGGCACCTCCCGTCCTGCCCCCGCCTGCCGACGATAGTCGTCGGAGCAAACCCTTGTACCCAGGCGCCCACCTGCCAGTCCCCCTGAAAGTCTGGCAGGGCTGCGTAGGCCACGTCGAACACCATACGGGACACCCCTTGCTCCACGAAGTCCCCCAGGCGGCTCGTCTGGAGTTGGGGCAGCGCCACCCGGGACTCTGAGCACCACCGCACTGCCTCTTGCACCTGCACCGAGACCGGGGAAAACCACCGTGACCCTTCACTCTTCTTCGTCCGAGCCGTGCATACTTACAGTGACCCCGCTCGTAACACGGTGCCAACGCGCTCAAATGACCAACTCGTTCGCGTACGAATGGATACGGCGAAACTGGCCAGAGCCGTATATAGAGAGACTTTGGTCAATGGGAGGAGCGGGCAGAGCCAGGGCGTGCACAAGACGCAGATAGAAGGCTTGACATGCTCTCTTAGCCAACCAGAACTGAAAATCTATCGCTGCCGGCCATGACAGTCCCCGCATTTTGTGGATGATGTCCTTCCCCGGACCACCTGAACGCGGAAGCAGTTACCGATAGCGACGAGGATAACGACAAACTCTGGAAAAAAAGTTGGCGTCTGCTGCAACGGCTCTCGCCGCAACGGATACCCTCCGAGAGAGAGTACTTCGCTGGTGCTGAGTGAGCTGGAGTCGTACAAAGCCTTTTCCTGCACTTTGACACAATTCAGCGAGTGAAGGCTGACGGCATCCCTTACGCGGCGCATACAGTCACGGATCGACGGCTACTTTGGAGTGCATTAAAATTTCGTGCTGAAGCAGCTGATTTCTCTTCTTTTTGTTTTTCTTCCAAGTTCACACATAGTGAAAAACAGACATAGCAAACTGATTTTAGATTTTGGCGGCATTGATTAGCTTTGTTCGATTTACCTGCACCTGCCTGCACCGGCGCAGCAAAGTGCAGGGCAGTGCACTTCTGGCGCAAGGCGGGACCCAAGTGGAACCGAGGAACCACAACAACATCGTCTGCTGCGACTGATCAACATCGCGCCACTGAACAATTACAGCAGACGGCTTTGTCCCGGTCCCTTGGTTCCGTTGTGTAGCATAGGGCACTTGGTGTGTGTATTGAGATATGACCGGAAGTGCACAGCCCTACACTTTTCTGCACTGGTGCAGGAGGTGCAGGTACATCGAACAAAGCTATTATGAACGGGCTGTACTGCACATCAAAAGTGGTCCAGAAGCGGCAACAAATAACACCACAGAAGCCGGTGTGTCATGTTGTTGGACACGGCGATCCTGGCATTTGTTGCTAGAAGTCCCGGGAAAAAGTATAAGCGAACGCGAGCATCGTTGCCGTCGCGGCATCCCAACTCCCAACCGCCAAAGCTTCTACCAACCATCAAGGCTGGAGGGCAACCTGCGGCAGAACAGTTGTCTGCCACATCTACCACCGATGCTGCGATACCACCTGGGTTGCGGCCGGCGACGGCAGGATGCTTCTGTTGCGTCGCCGGGTGGAAATCAAGGAACTAGATTTGTAGATGCAGCGAACATGCCAGTCAGAGCTGTGCTTCAGGCACCATGGTTGCGATGCACCACCCACCGTTCTGCCGAGGGTCCTGCAGGGGCGGTCGTCCGTGGACAGCACGCGGCAGGCCTCCGGCAGCAGACGCTCCGCGCTGCAGAGCGCCAGGGTTTCCCCAAGCGCGGAACGCTCTTCCTGAGAGCCGCACAGGTCCAGCACGCACACGCAAGGCACGGGGCGCAGCACGGAGGCCCAACACAGCAGCTCCCGGAGGCGGGGCCCGGCCTGCAGACGGAGGAACGCTGCGGCCGCACTGCCCACAGAGGCGGTCGCGAGGCCGCACACTGCACCGCCACCTCCGCTTTTGGCGAGGGGCGGCGCTCAGTCAACGCCAACTGCCACCGTCCACAGCGGGGGCAGCCAAACTGTAGCTCTTTACAAGTTCAAGTGCGACTCGCAGCCCGCTCGCAAGCGTATATTCCCCCCCCCCCCTTTCCCACAAGGTCAGAAGAAGATACAAAATAAAATACAGCTTGCATTTTAGCAGCCTTCAACTGCAATACAGTGTAGACCGCATATAACGTATGTCGCGGGAGTCGCAAAAATCCGCACTATAAGCGGTACCGCGTTATAACCAAAACATCAATTTTTCAGGCCAAAATACATGCCATGAGACTACTTACCTTTGTAAAAGAATTTACTTTATGTTAGGTGAAAAATAAAGCTTAGTTTGAGGAAAGTCTTTATTTCACCAGACTAGAACAGTTCTGTCTCAAGTGTGTCACACATTTTGAAAGAAATGAGCGACTTTTGCCTGGCGCAGCCTTTTAACAGCGTCGCGGGTTGCGGACGGACGTTGCGAGCGTTCAGGATTGCTAGCCCTAATCACTTATCTCCGGTGATAGCAACACGTGAAAATTCGCATCCTTTATACGGTACGCGCCAGTAATACCTTCAACTTGAGCTTAGGCATGAAATGCTCCAAATAAGAAATCCGGGCGATGTTCGAAAACACAGAAAGCACCACTCTAGTCGAAGTAAACAAACACGACGACACGGGCGTTTCTGCCGTCTTGAGAGTGCCGCCACGACATCGCCGCACGAGTAGGTGGATCTTCCCTTCTAGTACGTGCTGGGTTATCATAACGACACACAACGAAAATTCACAGTCAAGGGTAGCGCTTTTACGCGGAACGATGAGCCTCCATCACGCAATCTACGTCGACGATCAAAACCAACGCCATGTTTGCGGATAGACGCCGCCAGCCCGCGACCGGAGAGGAGGAGAAGCGTTATAATAGAGGTTGGGGGGGGAAAGGAGAGAGCCAATAGTGTGTACGCACTGCCGGCATGCAACGCGCGCGAACACTTCTCCTCGACCTGCGATTGGTCTGTCGTTGCGGTTGTTTCCAACCATCGCAGCGGAAAGACGCGCGCACGAGAACGACACGTGCATGCGTCCCTCCGTCGCTATGGCAACTGCAGCCTCTCTCTCCGCATCTCCCGGTTTCTTCGAGCAACCTCCTTGCCCCGCGAGTGCCGCTCGCGGCTCGCGCCGTTATCTAGCGCCGCAAAGGGAAGCGTGCTCGCTGCGCCGGTCAGTCGGCACGGCCGCCGGGCTCTTCCAGAAACCGCACTATAACCGGTATTTCCCTTCGCGCGCCTGCATTTTAAGCGGTATGTAAATACATGGAGTTCTATGGGAGGCGAACCGGTGGTTTAAAAAAGCCGCGTTATACCCGGTCCTGCACTATAAGCGGTTACGTTGTAAGTGGTCTATACTGTATATACCGATGCAAAGCACTCTTCTCACCAATAGAAGCAGTTTAATCAAAACCCTCACGAACCCTCACGAACCCTCATGAACATACACCCAGCTACGCTGCTTGGGACTGCAACGTCGTCGACGTCGTTCGAGCGAAACTTCAAAATGCTCGTTTCACGAAGGGGGATGCACAATACAAAAACATAATCAGCAATCGCTTTAGTAGTGGAATTCAATGTGGTCCCGAAAATTAAGTTTAAAAAAAAACTGCCTGCCCGCTTTTCACTGCGGCTTCTCATTAAAAATTATTCTTTTTTCTATGGCTTCTTGCTTACATCCGTCTAGGCACCCTGGACTTCAATCGTTGACAAGACGAAAACAGCGGGGAATCTCTTCCGGATGCCTGGCCTGCCACGTGCGCTCACTGCGCTCCGCCATGCTTTGGCTTCGCGCACAACCTCGAGGCTCGTAATACGGCAAAGTGTCGTCTAAGCCAGGCAGCGCGTGCTGGAGGTGGGACGACCCGAGCACCTCTCCGACGTTCGTGTTCCGTCGGCGACTACAAAATCTGGAGTCCGCTCCTTCCCGGAAAAGAGTGGCCGATACGTTGGTTGAATTCGGCTTCCGAGTGCCGTGGAAGCGGCGATTCGAGGCGCTGGTTGACCGGGCACGCCCTACACCTGGGAGCTCGAGACCCGTCGGGGAACCGAGGACGGGAGTCACGAGCGCTGACGTCAGCGGTCTGTTGAGAGACGAACCCGAAACGGGGAGACGAAAGGGCAAAGAGAGAAAGCAGATGACGGGTCGGGCACGTTCGCTTTGCCTGGAGGAGCGGAAGTCCTTTGAGCTCCCGTCGATTCCGTTCTCTTCTATACGGCACTTGGCTCGATCGTTTCCGGTCGAAATAAACCGTATGCAGACCATGCAAGCGACGTTTTGCCGCTCGCTCGCGTACATTGAAGCGTTGCTGGCAATACCGGGGTGCCTAAAACAGGCCTCCAACTGGTCCATTAAAAGAAGCCCCTCGACTTCCGCCCGACCAAGTCGTGGAAGTATCGTGCCGTCACAGGTGGCGACCCTGGCAATGTCGTAGCGGCAGTATTGGGTGTGTCAGACGCCTGTCCCACTGCGGGCCACCCTCCGGCTTGGCGGTCCATGGAAGCCTTGGCGGTCAGGAGTTGAGAAGGCATGACCGACGCTTGCGCTCTGTCATGCTTTTTACCGGAACCTTTAGCTCCGACTGCCAGGATAGCGACACCCATCGGCACGACACGGCGGCTTCCACGGTGTTGCTTGTTGCCACTTAAGAAGCACCTGCGATGCGTGGATTTGACAGGACGCTACACACGCCGGTTGAAGGCACATTCCAAGCACCATAGCAATACAGTCTAAGCTCATTATAACAGATCTGGTTACAACAGACATTTGGATATAACATACCGATTTGTGAAGTATGATTGGTCTTCCTCTATGCGCCAATGGCTCAACTTCATATCTGCATACAACATACTCCTTTTACAACAGACCAAAATCTTGGTCAAAATCGAGGTCTGTTATAACGAGCTTAGACTGTATCGCCGCATGCGAGGCTGAGAGGGAACGTTACTCCGTCCTTCTAGAAGACTCTCATTTGCTCTTACCCCTAATGTTCAATGCTCCATTATTCTAGGAGGGATGCCGAGTTTGAAAGATAAGGAGACCAATGTGGCCTTGCCGACTCAGTCCCTCGCGCTAGCCAGATGTCACGCCGACACCCGGACGCTCGCGACTGCTTTCTCAATTGAACCTTTATTTTCAGTTTTACGCTCGTCCATCCTTTCCCATCCATGACAACATGGCCTTGCTGGGACCACCGTTGCAAAGCGGCACACGGGAAGGAGATAAGGCGACCCGCCCGGGGGCACTCACGCTTTTCCCGGTGGCCACGAAGAGCACGGCCGAGGCGCCCCGCAGCAGGCGGGGCCTCCCCACGTGGTCCAGGCCCCCCGCACTCAGTGGGCCCCGCACCACGCTCACGCTCCACCGGGAGCCCCCCAGGGTCTCCACCTGCAGAGGGGACGTTACGTTGTGGCTGCATCGCCCCATTTGTTTTTACCACAGAATGTGTTTCGGAGCTGCCATACTTTCCAATGTATAAGCCACGTTTTTTTCCAGAGATTTTCGTCGGTGTGTCTTGTACAACGGCCCAATTTATAATCATTTTAGAGTGCAGCTCTTGGGCGTCCTTTTCCAGGTTGAGCGTCGGCGCCGTCGGCGTAACCACGAGCATTGCATTACAAGAAAGTTTCCCGCTAAATGTAGAGGGGAAATTTCCCCGCTAAATTTAGCGGGTTAAGTCTCCCAGCTAAATTTAGAGGGGAAATTTATGTCACGTGACCTCTACACCAATTCAGTTTCCCCACAAAATTTAGCAGGAAAATTTTCGCTAGATTTTCCTGCTAAATTTATTGAAGAAATTTTCACTAAATTTAGCAGGAAATTTAGAGAAAATTCCCCGCTAAATGGGAGGGCAGCAGGCGAGGAGGAGGGGCATACCCTCTCCTCCTCCTCCTCAAGAGCTGCACTCTAATTCAGCACGATCGAGAATTGTAAACGTCTAATCTTTTTTTTCGTTACCGTAAAGTTCCGAGAGAACGCCCGCCCCTAAGAGATCGCCCATTCCGTTTTTTGGGTAAATATCTGTAACATAAAAATTCCGAAACATCACCCACCCCCCGCTCCTCGTCGGACATCGCACGATGTCCGATGGGAATCGCATCTACTGCGCAATTTGCTGTACCGGCACGTTTGACAAGCGAGTTCATAGCAGATTCCCGCGTTTTTGTCCGCGATCTGCGCACGCGATATCGGTTTCTGTGACAGGCAAGTTTGCAGTGGGTTCACGCATGTTTATTGCACCATGAAACTTGAATCTCCTGAGTCCGCGATTTGCGGTATTCGTACCCGTGAGATGCGAGTTCTCGGCGGGTTTCCGCGGGTCCTTTGCACCATAAAGCATGTATCTACTTCGTCCGCAACCTGCTGTATCTTTTCCCGTGACACAGGGGTTCGTAGCGAACACAGGAGTTTGTAGCGAATTCTTGCTTGTTTATCGCATCGTGAAACGTGAATTTGCGGTGTCTACAATCAAAGTGTCAGTTCCCGCGTCACGTGGTCTGTAGCCGGTGCCAGGGTGTTTTTCATTAATTTTTGATAAAGTTTTGCTGTGGCATCCCCAAAGATAGTCGACCCCATGTTTTTCACCATTTATCTCTTCAATTGGGGTGGGCGTTCTTTCGGAGCTTTACGGTATGTATGGAACTTAACTGCGGAAATTTGTGATGGAGGCTATATTTCTTGTTTGATTGGTTGAAGAGAATGTTGAGACTGGCTCTCAGTTGCGCATAGGATGTTGCTATAATAATACAGTAAACTTTCGTCGATTCAACCTCTACGAAACCTTGAAATTTGGTCGAATTATCCGAATGATTGAATTAAAAAAAAAGCAGAAAAACGGTTAAAATTAAACTTCCTTTTATTGTCCACAGTACTCACGGGTGGTCTGCTGCCGTCTGCGCTTAAAACACGTATCTAATAGCACGTCCCCGAAAAATCGCGCACTACAAAAGAAAGAAAAAAGAAAAAAAGTAAGTGTTTCGAGTTGTCTTTTGCGCCGGGCAGCCAGACCGTCAACGACAAAGAAAAATAACAAAAAAAAAAAAACTTGCGCTTTCTGACGCGCAAAGTGCCGCACATGATGCTACCGAAAAGCGCCTTGAGAGCGCACGCCGAGGAAGCTCTACGAGCCGACCTTGGCGCAGGGCGGCCAGACCATCAACCAGTGTTGCCGCACTGCCACTTCGGTTTTTCCCTCGCCGCGAAAATTCCCTTTTTTTCCCACAACACCATTTTAGTGACAGAAGTCGTTTTTAAGATACGCATGACACCAAGTATATTTAAATGCACCAACATCTCCCCTACGTTTTTGTTATGCGGAAGTTTGCACTGCATAAATTACGAAATGTAGTTGGCATTCGGCAAACTGGTCTCCCCTCTCCTTCTTTTCCGCACAATACATTGGTTGAATGAACCAGGGGAACTGAATAAAGGCAAGCGGGCCATTAACTAAACTAAAAATTGCCTGCTCGTTTTCATGCTGTGAAAGGGACCCCACCCACTGTGCAATTCATGATCTGTCGCACTGACAGAGGATTAGTGTGCGTAGCTAGCGGTGAGAAAAGCGCGCGAACCGGCAGTACTATACCGGCAGGCTTGCAGCAGGCACATGATGTAAGTCGTGATGAATTAGGTTGGCTCTTCAAAACAGCAAACTGCTTTGCTAGCTAGTGCCACTTCCTTTCTCTTGTTCGATGTAGATAAGAAAATTACGAAATTTTGGTTTAGTTTCGTATTAAAAAATATTTCCCACGTTTTACAAGTGTTTAAATTCTGGTTTCCCTTTTTCCCCAGCTGTCATGCTTTTTCCCACAATAAGGGAAATTCCCCACAATTCGGCAACACTGCTATCAACAACATAAAAAAATAACAAAAAAAAAAAGAAAAAGGGAACTTGCGTTTTTTGCCGCGCAAGAAGGACCGCACACGATGCTACAGAAAAGCACTTTGAGAGCGCGCGCTGAGAATGCTTCACGAGCCGATTTTGGCGCCGGGCGGCCAGACCATCAGCAACAGAAAAAAATAATAACAAAAAAAAAAGAAAAGAGAATTCGCGTTTTCTCGCAATGATGGACCGCACACGATGCTACAGAAAAGCGCTTTGAAAGCACGCGCTGTCTCCGGCCCAACCACATGCTATGTTCTCCGCACTACTCCACACCAGATTGGTTGCACTTGCTTGTGTCTATTCGCTACGGTCCATCTCAACGGCGTAGAGGAGCAGGTGTATATTTGCGCACGTTCAGCTTTGCAGCAAAGGGCCCCTGTTTAGCCGTACCTTGGTGGTTTTTCTGCAGTCTTCCCGAGTTCGAACTATCCAACTTTCCCTCCCATTGAAATGTATAGGCGCTCGCTGGGACTTTTGAACACAATTGAATTAAACGAAAAGTCAAATTACCCGAGGTCAAACTAACGAAAGTTTACTGTACACCTATGCGGGCTTTTTAATGCAGTTTCGCCACACTGACCATACAATTTTATGGATCAACTTATAGACCTTAAAATATGGTACTTTCAAAGCCTAGGACAGCACGAAATGTTGTATTGTAAATAAGATGACAAGGCCAGTTGCCTTTACAAAAGAATGCATTACCCGGCATAAATGAAATCATTCGCCTCTCACTCCGCATACTGCTTGCTACCAGTCTACTGCGCTAGTGGAGCGGCTTGGGTTACCATGGTTATCACTGGTATACGTGTACCCATGCACTATTTGAACGTGTTGGTGGCTTTTAAACAATTAAAAAAAGGAGACACATAGGGGACGACACAGACGTTTGTGTCGTCCCCCATGTGTCCGCCGTTTTTAATTGTGTACCCATGTTGCCGGAAAATCTGTCAACCCAAAGGTGGGAGGAGCTCAAAACACACTGCCCATTCTGTGTCCCCTGACTTCATGCGTAGGATTAAGATACATCTAAATTTCTTTCCAATGATTTCTTGATTGCTGTTGTATAAGCACAGTTCAATTCCATTCTTGTCTCCTTTGTCCTCCGTCTGGGAGTTCCTCTTTCTTTTATTGCCACATATGCACTTGCGATTTTTTTCTGGCTAACTGTTCTAAGAAAACTGCATGGTCACGGGCACATAGCTGCCCCCCTCCCCCTTCTCAAATAAGAAACAAACAAAGCTGGGTTTACGAGGTATGCAGCCTGGATTTTTTATCCTTGTGCAGTATCCCATTGGACTAGAACCCTGAAGGTCAGAACCCAGTACCTCAACTCCGTTGGCGATGCAAAAAGGTTTTTCCAATGTGAGTCACGTTAAAACAGCCGGTTAATATGAAGTGATTAAAAAAATTCCGGGGCCACCTAAGCACTTCTTGTAAGTTGTGTATGCAAAAAGCACTAATGTCCACTTAAAGGGCAACTCCGCTTCATTTTTGGTTTTGAAAAAACAATGCAGTCCTCTTCAGTATCGCCTAGGAAGACCACACGTGAAATCTTACGACGCAGTTCTGTCTAAACGTTTCTTAAACAGTCCGGCCAACTTTGCAACTCGCCAAGCTGCCGAAATCGGCTGACTTGAGCGGGCGAATTCAGGCGCAACCAACAGCGCAGTCAAGGCTACGGCATGGGCGGGGCCAACATTGAGCTAAACGCCATCTACATGGCCCCCTTTTGCTTGTTTTCACTTCTCTGGGCGAGCCTAGCGCATGACGTCAGCAACGTTGCCTCTCGGCGCTCAGCAGTGTCCACATGATTGGCATAACGCGCCTGCGCAGCGCGTGTCTTGGGAGCCGTCCGGCCGCCCGCCGTGGTCCCGCCGTTACCGCCGTCTTCCGCGTCACAACCGCCGTCGTCGTCTCACCGATTGTGATTATTGTCTCTCGGAGTTTCGTCCACACTACGGACACCACGTGCGCGCACACTTATGCCGCAGTTGTGCAGACGTCATCGAATGCCGTAGACACCAAAACGTGGCGAAGAGTGCGGTGCAGACGACACTCACGCCTGCCACACGCCCGCCCCAATCCCGCCCGTCGTTGGGCCGCGGATCACGTGACATCTCGTACCACGTGATGGCCATGTACACGGCGACCCGAGGCCAATGTTGCCAGGCGGAGCCGAAGTTTCGGTTTCGATTTCCGCTCGTGTTTAAAATCAGATTTAAAAATATATATCCCATTTTTCGCGAAGCAAACGACGTAGTGTGTTTTACTAGGGCTTTTTAATTCGAAATCAGTCATTATCCCGAAATCTTCGGAATTGAGCGGAGTTGCCCTCTAACGCCACCAGACAGCGCTGGCAGGGAGTGCAGCGGTGCACCACGAAGACCGCCCTGGCTCGCTGGTGACTGCTGTGCCGCTGAGCGAGGCAGCAGCGGGAGTGCGCAGCTTGGCGCAGCGCCGCGCTTCGGTGGTGACATCACGCTGCCCACTATGCAGGCGCCCCACTGACTTCCGTGATGAAGCATCGGCGTCGCTGTGCTTTTGGCCAGTGGGACTTTAGGTATGGTTTCGCTCTGCCAATCGGAATTTAGCTGCCGTTTTGCTCAGCCAATGGGAATTTAGCTGCCGTTTCCTGCTGCTACAGAGAGAATTTAGGTGCCGTTTTTTGCGGTCACAGACAACGCCGGCTTCGCTCCATGGGACAGTTAATGCTTTCGCATTAAAAACATTACATTCTCTCACCCTTAGGGCAGATAAATGCTAGCGTGCCCTTGCATGCGCAAAAAGATACCAAGAAAAAGTGTTCCAGAACCACTCCAAATCCACAGGAGGAATTCCCCCATATTTCAGGCACGCTCTTTAACACCGAGGATGTTATACGGCTGGATTCTAGTAGTTTCTGGCAATGTACTGATAAAATGAAGGCGTCTCCGACAAAGGCTGCACCGGCGTTTGGCTGAAACTCGCATCCTCACTGACCAAACAAAAGACCCGGGCGAATGCCTACCCGGCACTTACATTTATTCTTTGCCACGTGTCGGCTTCCGATAGGCGATCCAAGGAAAATCCAGCATTACGGTGTCTTTATCGGTGTTGAGCGAGCACTCACACCTATGGTTGAAAAGTGTGCAGAAGGTGAAAAACAAGGACATGGCTCGCAGAAACAAAGGAGATGCGATGCAGCAGGGTCAAGACTGGGGTGTGCGATTGCAAGAGACGCAAAATTTGGGTTCCTCGACCGCCAGAGCCAGCTTTGGTCGGACTTTCTTTCAGATGCCACGCACCACGACGGTCGCACCGTCGAGGCACGAAACGCGTACCAAGTTCGCCTGTGCCACATCACTGCGAAGCAACACATTCCGCTTCACTACCACGCTTGCTTCGTCGAGACGCCTGGTGGGTGCTGAGAGAGACTTAGCCGCATTATCCCGTTTTCGTAATAGTGTTTAGCGAAGCTCTGGAATCTAAAACAACCGTAAGACGCGGTGCGCGTGTCGGGCATCTCGAGGCCTTGCCCCGGCCCCCGGCGTACCTGCGCGTCTGGGCTCGGGCGGCAGCCCAGGCGGGCTTGCACCCGTGCCAGGGCTTCGCGCGCGTTTCCCGGGTCCCTTTCTGGCAGGTACACAACCAGCTTCGAAGGGTGTCCCCACTCCCGGGACAGGTCCAGGGGTGCCCAGTCCAACTCCTCGGAGAGCAGGCGCAGCGCTAGGGACGCCTCTGCAAGACAACGGAGAGCAGGTTCGTGGGGTTCGTGGGTGGCGGGCCTTCAGAGCGGGGTGCGGGGGGGTCACGCAGCCTTCGCCGACATGCCTCGTGCTTTTTTAGGATGCGGAGCGGCCGAGGAACCTTATGGATATGCCAGTCAGACTGCAGCGGGGTCATGGGTGGGTTTTTTGTGACAAGTATGTCGCAAAAAACTCTTTCCTTAAAAAATTGTTATTTCTCTTTCTGCACTTTATTAGCGAGGCTCATTCTTAGTATTGTGACGCACTTACATTTAGTGCCTAGTTCGGGACGACATCCCAAAACTTTGGAATCGCTCTTCACCCAAGATGAACCTCGCAATGTAATTTTTGCGACAAAACTTAGTTTTTTGGGGGGAGGTTAATTTTATGATTCGTGTCTCCAATTAAGGCAGTTACAAATATTTGTTTGGGAGCTCAGTGTCTCTAGGACCGATTCTAAAACATGCTACTATTTTGGGTCGACGTGCCAAAATGTCAGGATGGCTCCTCACTCAAAATGTGACTAGCGACATAAATATTGCACTAGTTTTTTTTTTCTTTTTTTTGGGGGGGGGGGGGGGGGGGGGGGGGGGACGACAGTAAATTTCATGACATACCTGCCCTATTCAAGCACTTAACAAAAGAAGTGGAAGAGGCAGTGGTAACACAGAATGTGGTGGGGTAGTTCTCGGAGCCCGTTGGACCGTGACAGACGGTAGACCGAGCGTGCGGAAAGCAAAAACAATGGGACTGCGGCAGCGCCGCAGCACGCCTAGGTTGCAGTGAGCTTCCATTTCGCTCAATCAGCGTCATGTGGCTCATGGGCCCTGTTTGCAATACGAGCTGCGAGGAGCTGACAGAAGCGTTGGTTGTCTGCAAGCGTCTCTGCCCCTCCGCCCACTTTTAATTTTTTACTTATGACAACGCAAAACATGCTCACTTGCAGTCGATTTGCCCGGGAGCTTTGGGAGGCATCCGGTATTAAATTGCAAACTTTCTCTTGTGTTTGAAGTCAGAAAAAGTGTGTTTCTAATGGGAAGGGCCACGGTCTCGCAGGAAGTGCTTTTGCCTCGTGCGTGCCCAGAGGGGACAGCCGTCGCTCTGACGAGACAAAGACGGGCCCGTGACCGTGCAGGCCTCTCTAACACCCATCAGACAATGTGGCCAAGTGTGGTTTGTCATCATGCATAGCCAAGTTGTCTGGTTTTGCAAAGTCCACATGCACTTCAGTTCTTTCATAATAAGCAAATTGGTACGAAATATCTTTGAGCACATCTTAATATCATTGGCATCGATATGAACATTGATGGGATATATTTTCCCAAAGGTACTAACAAACTGTTACTAAACAAATTAATTCTGCCAAGAAATAATAAAACTTTGTTAATTATAAAGTGAAGTTCAAATGAAAACCAGAACCATTTTGCATTTAGAATGCCTGCCATTTTGAATAGTATGTGGGGTTGTGTCGCCAGACAGTTACAAGCAGTAACACGGAGGTACAGTGAAATCTCGTTAATTCGAATTGGGGGGACAAAAACTTTGTTCAAATAATCCTTAAGGGGGGACATGGCCTGGGAGGGTCAACTTTTGAACCATTGTCCCAAAGTGATTCAAACTTTCAGGGTGAATTGAACCCCATTAGGATTGGTGACATCTAAAGTTTCAGTCTTATAGGCCAATTCTACAACATACTATGCTTAACAAGTTTCAGAAAAAGGTTACTTTATTAGGAAATGTATTTAAGAAAAATAATAAATGCAATCCACAAAATGTTTGGTTTGATATGAAGTAGAATACCCACAGTGCAAGTTAAGGTAAAAATTAATTGTAGAAAATGCAATTCTAGCAAAAAACAATAACACCCAAAAAGAGCAAACGATTTTAACAAATTTCTGAGTTTTAAAATATTCAGTTTTTGTCATGAAGAATTTAGCTTTTTCAGGTTATGAGTACCTTAACTTGTTCCTCAGGAAATTTCAGTCAAGGACACCACTGAATGAAATCTTTGCTCTTTCAAAATGTCCAATGATACATTTCCTCGTACCACATTTCCTGCCAAAAAGTGAAACTGAGAAAAATGCATTCGAAGTTTCAATTTTAGGTTCTTTCTTTTCTGCGAGTTTGAGGTAGGCAAAATTCACCTGGTGCATTGTTAGCACCTTCCTCTTTGAGACTTCCCTGTTCCCCTGGCAATAGTTACCAGTTTGTGTCATTTGTAGGCTAGCTAACGTTTGTAGCGGGCATTCGTTGACAAATAAACTGGCAAGAACTAAGAGGCAAATCATAATAAGGAAGAGCAGCAAAGCAGGAATAGGGTCTGAAGTGGAAGATATTGTGAAAGGGTGTTACTGAAGATGACACAATATCATGTCACCGGGCAGGGCCACTCGTAAACCCTGTTTCGGGTCTCAACCAATAAGATTGCTCATACCGAATTTTCAAAATTTTTTCTGTTTGGATGTATTGGGTCCTCCTAGCCATTGATACTTGTAAACTTGGAAAGCTTCTGCGGGCTAAATCTAGAGTAAATGGCACTTCCAATGAGGGTGAGATGTTGTGGCTAGGTTAAATGAGTATGAAGCAGTGCTAAATAAAAAACGCAAAAAGCTTGCTCCCTGCTGACTCGGAGGGCTGCCGACATGTCAAAAATAATTTATTCTGAGATAAATCCTGCATGTTTATAAATAAAAGTTTCTGAAACCATTCTTTGGAAGTTAATAAGCATAAACATATAATTTTTTGAAAAAACGTTTTTCTCTGAAAATTTTGAATTCCGAGGCCATGTCCCCCCTTAAAGGGGTCAAGAAAAGAAAATGTACCTGCTGGATATTAATTTTCTTATATTAAATAAACCATGAAGGTGGTGATTCCTAAGTAATTATGACAAAATATAGCATCTGCATTTTATAAGCCATGTCTAAAATTGTGTTTTTTGGACCGTCCGTAATGACCATGCAAAACTTAAGGGCAGCAACAGCAAGAAAACCACATGGTAGCTATATAAAAAGGTTGAACAGATATTATATTACACTTTATTTAATCTTCAAATAATAAATTGGGAGTGATAAAACATTGAGTTATTTATTGGTGTTCTTGTATTAGTCGGACACTACTACATTGCGCGATTGGGATACAGTTTCGGTTTCAAACATCCCTGGTCTTCTATCATTTGGCAATTATCGTAATTGTGTTGTTCGTCCCGCCGTGGCTTGCATTCGTTGTGGAATGTTGTTGTGGAACCTCATTGTGGATTAAAAATAAAACAGAGTGAAGCAAAAAAAAGGATATTCCAAGAAGTATTGAACCCAGAACTTCGCGAAGTCAGTTGCAAGGAGGGATGCGCATGCGTGACCACAATCGGCACGTTCCTTTTCGGCCGCTTTTTTTCGCGGGTTAAGCCGTAGGACATCATGTTAGTTTTTCACGACCGGCTTTATGGTCGGGAGTTTTCCATTAATCTTTCTTTACCATGATCTTCCTCAGCAGTAGCTTGACATGCCGCTCCTCAAGTACGTAAAGAGAGTTTCTTTCGCTTACATTTCCAGCCTCCTCAACCTTTTTCTGCGAGCAGATCAGTAATTTTCTGGTCAAAGTGAGCATGCATTCGCAACGCGTATCGGGACATGGCTCAGTCGATCAAAGTTGCAAACGATTTCCTCAAACTCTCCTCCATAGCACGACACAGGGTAGCACAAAGAACATGCCGTGTCGGCATACGGCTCAAAACCTAAAAGCCGGTTGCAGTGTAACGGGTGATGCTAGAGTTCAATGGGGTCGGCCATCTTACAATTATCTGAGCATGATGTCAGATGTCATCCAATGACTCGCGTGTGTGACGTCCTTATGGCGCCACCGTTGAAACAATATTCGACGCTTTGGCTTGGCCTACACGGCCATCTTGCACGGACAATAGAAATTCCCTATTGGGCATATTTGTAGGAGCGGAAAGCTCCCCGTGAAGCCAAAATGATCTTTTCTATGCCAGTAAATGAACCTGAACAATCAAAAGAATGAAAGTGGGTGGTATAATAAAGGACATATAGCTCAGAATAAGAAAAAAATGTTTCACGACCCCTTTAAGAGGTGCTAAGGAGCCACGCTACGTGAGGGAGCACACGGTAATGGCAATTGGCAGTTGGTGGAAACCAAAGAAGACGCGAGATAGGACGACCATAATGACTCTAGCATCTGCTCGCCCTTTTCGCCAGCATTTCTACGCCTGACCTTCGGGAGTGCGACATCTGACAGCTTGATGCACCAACTCCCGCGACGTCATTTGTGGCCACTGGAGACCGATTCCGATACGAGGGAGGGATAGGATGGTGAACGCAGCGGTCCAAGACGCGTTTCAGGCAGCACAGCTCCAGACCGCTCTAGACGAGGTCAGTTTAGGCCCACTTAGGTAGACTTGAACCGGCTCCGCAAAGCCCCTCATCGGAAAAGGCACCCACCGAGCCCCCTGAAGACGTCATCTGAGAGGCGGGCCCTCTTGCGGCTCGGCCCGAATGCAGGGTTCCTCGGGTCCAGGCCCAGACTGGGGCAGGCCGGGAAGGTCTCCCTGGCCAGGCGTCGCCAACGCTCCGCCTCGCAGTGCTCCACCCACCTGGGCAAAAGGGGTCCACAGGGGCAGTGAGAAGTGGCCAGATGATCTCCTCCCACCGCGTTGCTCTACCTGCGGGACTGGCTCGATATAACCGTGTGCGACAGGCGCAAACGACGCGGCACGGACCGACGTTGCTAGATCGCAGCAGTTGCAAACCTTCCCAGATGTTGCCGTACGACAGAGAGCGTCGGAAGCAAGGGTGACATCCCCCCTCCCTCCCCCCGCCAACGTGCGTACCTGGCAAAGCAGGTCCCGAGCAGGTGGCGTCTTCGGCAGGTGTCGGCCAGCCGGGTGGCAGCCTCGTGCAGGGCCTGCTCCCGGGCGAGGACCTGCGCAGCTGCGAGGGCGGCCTCTTCCTCGGCCACCTCACGCACCAGCTGCCCCAGCAGCGCCGTGCCCTGCTCCTCCCACAGACGCTCTTGGGCCTCCCGGTGACAGCTCCTGCGGCATGAAGCGTGCGTAATAATCAACGAGGCACTTTAACGGAACGCCAACAGCACTTCCCATATCAGTTTGCATCCCGATGCGTAGTTATTGGCGTCCTTTTTTGTGTCAGTAAAACGCAGAATCGTGGCGAGTGGCTCCGTTGACGACGGGATTGAATGAGTTCGACCACGGGTATATCAGGGCTGCAAAAACTCATGCCTGCTACGTGTCTTTCCCTTTCAGACAAGTCGCGATGGCACCTACAAGATCACTAGGAAATTTACGGTAATATGTCTCGAGGCGTTATGGTACATATTCAGAATTTATCCTTTCCAGTAAGCTATCTAGCTTTCGTAAATTCAGGATAACAACAGAACCCACATTCAAGTTTTTCCGCACTTTTGAACGGTGGGACACCGGCAGGCACGAGTGGATAGTCTAGAAAGCACGGTACTTTTCAGAGTATTTTCCGTGCTGGTGAACGATTCCCAAAGCAAGTTTCTGCAGCCGTTCATTTCCCACCATCAAACTCGTCGCGATCTCTCGAAAACAAGTTGGGCCATCAAAAAGGCAAAGCTGCATCCACCACCAACGCTGCTTTTATGTCGTTGACAGCAAAGACTATCAGCTCAAAAAATGGGGAGGGACAAAGCTGAAAATTCGATAACTCCAACCATGGGTTCTAGAAATGGGTTCCTAGGAAACCCAAGGGTTCTTTAGAGTGCTTTCATGCCTGTTTCCCGATTTTCTAAATTTCCTCAACTGCTCCAGCCCCTAGGTAAAGGAATCATAACTGCGAGCCACACAAGCCCCAGTGCTGTCAAGACCGATTATAATGAAGTCAACGGGAATCGGTAATCACTTCGCTATATCCGCTATTTCGTTATAACCGACTTCGTTATAGCCGGTCTCAACAGTATGCGCATTACTGCATTTAAGATCTGTAGGCCTCTGCACTGCTTTACTGCAGCAATGACAAAACCACGAGAGATTCTTCGGTCACAGTCGATAAGGGTTCCCCAAGATGTCGGAGGACCTCAGAGCTAAAACAAGTGTGGGCTGCAGTCCCACCTGCAGGCCTGTCGTGCGGCGTCCATCAGGACCTCCTCGATCAGCTCCCCAGCGATGGCCTCCTGGGCCCCGAGCCGCCGCTCCCGGTCCCGCTGTTTGGCCAGCAGCAGCTCCTGCAGCCGCTGCTCCTCCGCCCCCAGAAAAGCCTCCTGGCAGCACTCCCTGGGCACGACACGTCCGTCAGCGACGGCGCTCGAACTGCAATCTTCCTCGCGGCCGCCGCTCGGGCCAAGTGGCCACCAGTTGCGTTTCCCGGCAATGCCAGACGAAGCGAGGAGAGGGGCCAGCTTTTGCGCAGTGGGAGATTGGGCCGCCTCGACGCCTTGTACTATACGACAGCCGTGCGCCGGAACCGACGAGCGTCGGAACCGAGCTCGCAATATACCAATCTGCCGCACCGGGCTCACCCAGCGCGCTTCGAGCCTGGTGACAGGTTTGAGCACAGGCGTTACTGCTGCGTAGTTCCAGCAAAACTGCCGACCCAACATCCCTTTCCTTTTCTTCTTTATAAACAATGTGTGGTAACTCTCAAAATTAACAAAAATAAACGCTAGAGCACTTACGCACTCTCTACGGATATCATACGAGAATATCTTTGCCATTTCGTCCATTCTATCACTTAAAAATAAAAGATACACTGTTTTGTTTGCGCTCCTCTGCTTCATCTCTGTGGCATGCTCACCGCTCCACAGGCTCGGGAGGTCTCAAAGCCTGCCTCATGCCTTCCAAATGCAACCTAATTCTCCCGGGGAGTTTACTCCACGCCACGAGAATTTTGCCGGGCAACATCACAAATGCTCAAAATTTTTTAAACCGAATGTTTGATTTATCGGATGCAGTTCCACTGGCTCGGAGCTTCTAAATCGGCTCGCAAACGACAAAGTTACGGGCGCAGGATTAAAAAGGGGAACGCTTGGAGTCGCTCCACCAAGGACGGGTAGGCAACTGCCAATGCACGTACGCCCGGATGGCGTTGCTCGCACCCGCAGGCAGTAGAGAGCTTAGATTAAAAGGGGGGAGCAACCCAAAACAATGGAGAGCCTTCGCTATCTAATGCCTCCTGCGCAGATTCGTCGTAAGTGCGCTGGCCCCCTTTGACGCATGGCGGGGTGGAAAGCGGGCAGAAGAGTGGAGACGCTTACAGACGATCGGTGACCGCACAAAGCCCTCCATTTTTTACACTTTAGCAGAGAAAACACTGGAAAGGAGGAGAGTGAACTCGTCTCCTCTCTCTCATCTTCTCTCTAGCATTCACTCTGCTCAAGAGGAAAGAGTGAAGGGCATTACGAGAGAAGCTCGTTCCAACTCTCTTAACCCACAACGGAGTACGGCGGACGATGCCACTGCCTCCTCGCGTTTCCGTCGCCTCTGCAGATCCGCTTTGACGTCGTGGCCCTGTCCGGAGTCACCACTCACTTGGCCATCTTGCAGGTCTCCTCTGCCACGAGGCTGGCCACGGTGGCGTGCGCCACCTGGCCCAGCAGGAAGTCCCGGCCAAGGCCCTCCACGTGCTCTTGTACCGCCTCGTCCAACAGGTCACGGGCCACGTCCCGCACCACCTGCAGGGGGGGGGGGGGGGGGTCCAAAGGGCACACTGCCATGACCACAGGTGTCGCCTCTTCCCTAGATCCTGGGTTCTCTAACTTTTCGACCTCGAAGAACTCATATCTGCCTTTAATGAGGCATCGTAGGCGTTACCAGAAAGAAGTTACGAAATACCTTACTCGTTACTCGCAAATAAAAGAAACGTGTTACTGTTACCGTTACCAATAAAAAGTATTGTGCGTTACTTTTGCATTACTAAGTTTTTATTTATAAATGAAAACATCCTTTCTGCTAGGACGTTACAGGTATGCATAAGTGCCATATTTGAAGGAACATGTTAATGTAGAAACTTAACGTAATTACCTAAGCTTTTTTACGGTTCCACCCAAATACTAATAAAAAAAAATGCAAAGAAGACGCTAAAAACTTCTAATAACTTCGCACCCAGGAACTCTAAACAAATTTAAGTATAACATTTGTTTAAGTATTAGGAAAAAGATTTAACGAGGCATGTACCTGTCACTCGAAATAAGTGAAGTAAGTATGTTGGCTGTTACTGCTTCGAAAATGTAACGACTATGCTACCAAACACAGTAAAGCATTATCGGTAACGCTGTTACCGCCGACACTGCTTGAATGGCAACTGACGAACCCCTGCGAGTCTCGGAATTGATGTGATAAAGCAGTGCAGAAGCCTGGACACCTTTTAAACGATAATGTGCTTGCTAAAGAGTGTTTACAGTTTTGTATCAGTGAGTGGCTCAGATCAGCTGAAATAGCACTTAAACTAGAAGAACACTTTACTTAAAGGCAGGGACAGTCGAGGAAATTTGGGAGCTTGGGGAACATTAATCGCAGTTAGCAGGAACACGGGAGCACGAGGCACCGGGTACTATCGGAGGACTTTAACAATACGGCGCTCGACTGCAGCGCATCCGCAACGCTGAAGTTGCGCGCTTGGCCGTCCCGATAGTACCCGATGCCACGTGTTCCCGTGTTCCTGCTAACTGCAATTAAGGTAGCACTCTAGGGGACCCCCGTGTGAAGACGTGAACTGAAAAGAAGCAAGAAGAAACAAACGCAGAAAAAGCATGTGCAGAGCACACAACAGAAGTGAAGACGGCGTTCGAAGAAGAAAAGAAAGTAGGATGAAAGAAAAGAAGAAAAGGAGAGGCGCTCGAAGAAGGCTCGAACCGAGAGACGTTAGAAAGAGGCCTAGATCGAGCACGATTAAAAAGAGCTTTGATCCGGCGCGGGTGGCCAGCTTCCACATCTCCCGAGCAAGGATCAACTCTGACGAAGTCATGGGTCCTTAGCGGAAACACAACGCCTTTGCTGCACAACCCGCAAGCCACAAGTCAACCGAGGTCTTTCGACAAGCTCATCCACAGTTGCAACCAAGGAGACCTGAGGGACCGAGCAGGGATCGAACAATGAGCCACGAACTCTTCGCTCGATCGACTGTGACAGGAGTGAATGTGGATTTCTTTAGTTTCTAAACCCTTTGCTTACCGCAAAAATTTTGAAAAAAAAAAAAACGATTTGAAAATACCTAATTTTTTTATGTACCCTATAAATTTATTATGCAATACAAAGACCAAAAAGAAATGCCAAAATATTTATTATATGAAAAATCTTTGAACACACTGCAAAAAAAAAAAGGGACTAAAGTTCCGCTTCACTGCATTACCGCAGACAGTTCACATCACCTTGCACACGGACGTTCAGGCCGGGCGTAGCAGCACTGCAGACAGTTCACATCGCATAGCATGCAAAGTGAACGCAAAACGTGGAGGGGGATTTTCTGCATTGATTTTAGTCCAAGCCGACACGATGTCCTCATCAAAATCGGAGTCGTCTGAGCTCAAATCCAATAACTCAGTTGCATTGCTCTCGCTGTTCGAAGAAAGATTCATTTCCTCGTCTTCTGAATCTGAAGAGACGTCACAATATCTTCGTTTTCGCCCCAATTTTGAGGCAAGATCGTCACTATGAACGCAGCGACCAGAAGTTGACGTCGCCATTTTTAAATCCCCGTTGGAACAATGTTCTGCCAAATTCAGAAATTTACCAGGTTTTTATTTTCCGTGAAGCGCCATCTATCCACAGTAAAGCTCACTAGAAACACTTGGACTAGCCCAGTTCGTCCATGGTAGCGTATTGGAGCCCGAATCAACGTGGACGAGCCCAGCTCGTCTTCGGGGGGAACGGTACAAACAGTGTGGACGAACCCAGGTCGTCCATGGTAGGGAAAGGGTTAAAGGGGCCCTGCAACGACTTTTTTACTGTTTTTTTATTTGCTCCGAACCTGAGCGCACTGAACGTAGTAACTTAGTGAACTCTTTCTTTTCTCAAAATTCGCTTTATTTTAAAAGTTATAAGCACATCAAAATTACAAAAAACATGAAAAAATAACCTCCTTCATGACATCCTTGGTCCTCTGTCACCCCTTTTCCTGCGCCGGAGGATTCCCCCTGCCGCGGTGACTGAGGAATGTGGGAGGGAGGGGAGGACGGGGAAAGGAGGTGAGGCCGAGGAGAGAAGCTGCTCGGGAACGGGGCAGCTCTCTCTCCTCGCCTGACGCTAAGACCAAATACGTCACGATTTCGTCACATGCTGCGCCCGTTCGACGCCACGGGGTGCCCCCGTAGGAGGAGGAGGTTTCCCTGTCGTCCAGTTAAAATATGATGCACTGATATCTCGTTACTCTCTCCGTGCCCGCTGGGTCGCCCGAATCACAAGAGACATGGAAACTGCTAAAAAGGTAGATGCTTAAAAAGGATTGCAAAGCCCCTTTAAGCTAAGTTTTCTCTAGTTTTGTTGTTGTGAGAATACTTATGATTTTGTTTTCCTTGTTTTGCTTTTAAATACAGCCTGTTTTCCGAGAAAATTAGAAAGGCCCGGACCAAAGTCACGTCTATTATTTTAGAACCGTAAAGAACCTTACACCCCGCATTCCCATGAACCCAGTTTCAGAACCCATGATCTAAGACATGGGTTCTGGTTCCTCGAGGGTTCACTAAACTCCCAAATTTCTTCGACCATTCTGCCCCTATGAGGAGTGCTCTTACAGTTTAGGCACTTTTTTAGAAAATCAGAGCCAACCAATGATGCATAGCGAACTGCCAAACAGTCACTATCACAATATCCCGAGCCCTGCGGCAGATGAGCACATTAAACTGCTCTAACATGTTACAGTAAACTTTCATTAATTCGACCTTGACGGGACCTCAAAATATGGTTGAATTATCTGAATGATCGAATTAAAAAAAGGACAAAAAAACGGTTAAAATTAAACTTCCTTTTATTCTCCACAGTACTCACAGATGGTCTGCTGCCTTCTGCACTTAAAACGCGTGTTCTAAGGCATGTTCCGGAAAACAGCATAACTAAACGTCACAGACCCAAAAAAATCGTGCATACAAAAAAAAAAAAAAAAGGTAAGTTTTACGCGCTGACTTTGACGCTGAACAGCCAAACCGTCGGCAAAAAAAAAAATAAAAAAAATAACGAAAAAAAAAAAGGGAAAAAAGAACTTGCGCTTTCCGGCGCGCAAGATGGATGCACACGATGCCACAGAAAAGCGCTTTGAGAGCGCGCGCTGAGAATGCTTTACGAGCCGATTTCGGCGCCAAGCTGCCAGACCGTCGGCGACAGAAAAAAATAACTACGAAAAAGAAGGAAAAGAGGACTCGCGCTTTCCGGCGCACAATGTGGACCGCACACGATGCTACAGAAAAGCGCTTTGAGGGCGCGCGCTCTCTCCGCGCCCGACCACGTGTTATGTTCCCCATGCTACTCCATGCCAGATTGGTTCCGCTGGCTCGTGTCATTTGCTACGGTACATCTCAACGGCGTAGAGGAGCAGGCGCATATTTGCGCATGTTCGGCTTTGCAGCAAGGGGCCCGTGTTTCGATGTACGTTGGTAGTTTTTCTGCCGTGATGCCGTGCATTGTGAGCTCGCGCGCATTCGCTCGGGACGAATTATCCGATGCAGAGCCTTCCCGAGTTCGAACTATCCAACTTTTCCTCCCATAAAAATGTATGGGCGCTCGCCGGGACTTTTGAACATGATCGAATTAAACGAAAGGTCGAATTAACCGAGGTCAAACTAATGAACGTTTACTGTATTTACTCTTGCATGCAGGTACACAGCCCAAAATAGTTAAGGCCAATTTACACTTTACGACTACATTTTCTTACTTTACAACGTCGCAATAAAACTGTGAGTCATCATGCTTCTTCTGCTGTTGTCTGTTGCCTGCAGAGCTACTCCTTGAATTTGTTGTCATACTTCCCGCGAAGTATGGATGCCCCGGTAACTCATGGTTACAACCTGGCGTAAGCCCTCGTGACATAGTCAAACGTCATTGCGTAAGTTGTAATTTGTCTTTGCTCGGGGTGAAGATGAAGACTCCGTGCTGGATCTTGCGTGGAAGATCGAATGAATCAGATAGCAAAACGAAAGGCACAGCCGTGCGTGAAAAACTTAAATACACTTTTGCCTATAAAAAAACTTAATAAAGTCACTGTTTTGTGTGGATTCAATGTACACCAGACTTCCTCTTGACATCATCTCCTCGCAAGGTTTTTGCTACACTACGCGCAAACCGAAGTAACTAAGTGTTATAAACATCCAAGCTGATTAATAGTGACAACAATATTTAGCCCAAACAAGAATCCGCCAACTAAGATGCATTGAATCATGCCATAAGGACGATTATCTAGAAAAAATCTTACTTAAAGACCGACGACCAGTTCGTGCTTTTCACTTTTCCCCCGCTTCCTCCTCACCCTTCTTCTACCCTGTCCACTATAGCCAGTTTCCTCCTCCCCCATGGTGAGAAGAATATTCTGCCTTGCAGAATCTCTGGTCTGGTCGTCGGCCTTTAAGCTGTGGAGTCGTGAGACGTCATGTTTGAAACAGACGCTTTATAACATCCGTAGGATTAGAATGGCTCGAGGCATGGGAGCACAACATGCGCACCCGATTGCGGGCGTGAGTAGTCCTCTTCTTCTTCACTCTAGCGGGCCGCTACAAAGCAAATTAAATTCTTTAAAGTCGTCCAGGCAGATCCAGCAAACACTGGGCTTTCTCAAGCATGCACCTGCACTCTTCAACTCGTTAAAAAATAACTGCCTCATATTTCTGGTTAGGCAAAACCTTCAGCCTTTCCACTCTGGTGAAGAAGGAAGACCAGTGAAGCTGTGCTATGGTGGGACGACCTCAAGGACGACGCCTAGAGGACGACATCTAGGACGACTTCTAGGACCACCTTGAGGACGACACCTAGAGGACGACGCCTGGGACGATGCCTAGGACGACCGACCTCAAGAACGACGCTTAGGACGACCTGAGGGACGACGTTTAGGATGACCTCAAAGACAACGTTTAGGATGACCTCAAGGACGACTTCCAGGATGACCTCGAGGACAACGTCTAGGACGACCTCAAGGACGACTTCCAGGACAACGTCTAGGACAACCTCAAGGATGACTTCTAGGACGATTTCAAGGACAACCTCTCGGGACAACCTCAAGGATGACTTCTGTGACAACCTCGAGGGCGATGCCTAAAGGACGTTGTCCTCGAGAATGACTTCTAGGACGACGCCTAGAGAAATTCAGCCTTTCCACTCCTGTAAAAGAAACCAGAGTGGAAAGGCTGGAGAGGTTGCCGCCATCTATAAGCAACGTCGGCAACCAGACAACCGGCAAGCCAGTTGTTGCCGTCACTTATAGATGGTGGTAGCTGTCTAGAGTTTTGTGTCACGTTCAGGAATGTTCTGAAAAAGAACACTCGATGAAAGTAAAAAAATGGGCTCGAATCTATTAGAAGAATACAGAATTAAATAAAAATTCTGCAGATGCCTACGTGTAGGAAGGCAAAAGCATTCCTACTAGCAGTGCATTCCTACAAGCAGCACGCCATGTCTTTCTTTTTCACACGGCGCTCTGGCGGTGACATCACGCTCTCCCACTGCGCAGGCGCAACGAACGCCACCGGCTCCACGGCTTTCGTGACGATGCATCAGTGTTACTCTGCTTTTCTTTGTGTTATTTCTGAGGCACATCCACTTTGACCTTGTGCGCACCGCCGGCTTCCGTGACGAAGCATCTAAGTTGCTGTGCTTTTGGCCAGTGGGAATTTAACTGTCGTTTCACTGCTACAGACGGTTAAAGACAACGCCAGCTTCGCTCCATGGGACAGTTGATGCTTTCACATTAAAAAAGTCGAGCTTCCCAAGCTCTCCGGTGGGTTAATCCCCGACTGAGCAGGCGCAGTCCCCAGCAGCGAGAAGAGCTCCTCGCAATGACCGCAGGGGTTCGACTATTGCCCCAGGAAAGAGCTATCAAGTCCACTGATTTGATATAGAGTCCCAGCTTTCTACTAGTTGCGAGTTATAGAATAATGAAAACTTCTTGGCCCGTTTGCGAGCTTACGAGTGAGCAGTATCTTGTTTTGGTGAGAACGTCACACCGGTACATAATGACAAGAGAGGTCTCGTGGCCACTGATGTACTTGTCGCGAGCACTCCTGCATTCACCGATCAATATTGACCCACGTATAAAAACAGACTCTAGATTTCCAAAGAAATCACGGGTTGTGAATCGCTTCCGAGGTAAAAGAGCAAACTATCGCAATTTCCGCGGCACTCAGCTCGTTGCAAACTTCCAACTTTTTCACCGTCCATTAGCAGAAGACGTACGGTGGTTTTGGGCTTTGTAGCAGACAAACCTCGTTGTTCGCTCGTGTCAGCAAATAAACCGTCTGCAAACGATATGTTGGCTTGCCCGGCAAGAGCCAAATCAGATCTCACTCTTGCTGAGACAAAAATCGTACCCCAGGGGAGCTGCCTTTGCCCCCGACCAAGCATAAGACCCACCTCGATGGGGACCTCCGGCGGGGGAGGCTGTTGTGGAGGAGGTTCCGGCTCCTGAGGTCCCTTGATTAGTACAGGCTCTTCGCCCGGCTCGGCCTCCTCGCTGGGCCAGCCTGTACGACACGTTGGACGCTGTCGGATGCACACTCCCAAGACTGGCGCACCAGGGGGGGGTGAAAACTCAGGGTGACGCATCTTAAAGGGGTGGTGCGACAATTTTTGGAGTTGGGCCAATTAATTGCGGGATTCTACCTATGTCACCTATACAGGGTGCATGTGCCACTTCCGGCCACCATGACAGGGTGAAAGAGACACTTCCGGTTGTCCTACGCTTACCCCTTGTTTGGGTGGGTGCGCAACGACTCTTGGTTCACTAGTGGGCAATTGCGCGAGAGCTATGCTCTGGAAATGCCCCAGTCTCGTGCTTTTAAGTTACCGATGAGCACCGGCACAAACAAAATGCCACAAGCGAAGTTCTTTTGATTATCTCGAAATGAGGCTCTGGTCAGAGTAGGTTCCATTCACAATGGGTATTACAAGAATGATTAACCCTAAGGTAATGAATGCATAGCATATAGCACTCCTCGTCGCCAAATTGTGTACTCACAAAATATTCCCGAAACTACCTCTCAGCTAAATTAGCGAAATATTGAGCTCACAAAAATAGGTCTAGTAAAGTGCGTTGCTCGGCTAGTTGGTGCATCTCAATAGAAATGAAAAAGCACAAATAGGACAAGCAAGAAAGAGAAAACAAGCACTGTTCTATTTGCATTAAAAATGAAGTTCTTTAAATACCCTAGTGCCCGTCCTGTCATTAAAAATAAAGTTGTTTACAGTAAACTAACTCCCATCCCCCTTTCCCAAGAAAAGATTTCTAGAGCAATATTTACATCATGGTTCCTCTTTGTTACACAACACATTGCTTGGATCGTGCTCCCTGTTCCTTCGAGAATTAATTTTTAGGTTAGGGTCAGTCTCGAACGATTCTCTGTCTCCCCCCTCACATTTCACACTCGAACCCGCGACACTTAGGAAACCTCGCAATGCAGCCAAAGTGGGGATCGAGTCGGTATACAACAGTACAAAAGGAAAGGCCCCGAGAGCACTCGCATTTTGCCGCCTGGTCCCTGGCGTCGTAAGCCATGCCGCGCAGCACGCCATCCAGCGAGAAGCTGTCGTGGGGTCGGTAGTCTGCCGTGGGATCGAGTGGAAGGGGACCGCCGTTCACCACCTGCAAGGGGAAACGGATGAAGCTGCCACCGTCAAGCCACCTCGGCTTATTAATGGGGCGGTGCAACGATTGTCGGACCTTGACCAATAACTGCAGGAATTGATCCACGTCACCTATTGAACAAAGGACAAAAGAATTTTTTCCGCACGTGCCGTTTTAATTTTAAAAAATTCAAAAATTTGGAGGTCGAAGTACTCCTCAACTCTCGTGTCGTCTTTCGGGCGACGTCACTGGGCATATTGTCCGGTTTCCCGTCGGGTTCTGTTTCCAGTGCCCCCAGCTGTTCTTTCCGCGACCGTCTTTTGAAGGATGACCATTGCCAAAGGTCGCTGCGAGCGACCGAGAAAAAAAACGGTTTGCTACGATGCTGATGGCAAGCGTGGCAGCGAAGGAGGCTTGGTTTTGTTGACTTCCGTGTACTCCCAATGATGGAACGCCGTAGTTCCCGTAACTGCCACGTGCGGCTGCAGGTCGGCCAATAATGCACTTTTTTCTTCACGATCGTATGGCAAAACTGCGGTGTTTCGGGGGAAGGTGGCCCATTTTCTGTCAATTGTGCCTAGACAGAAAATATAAAAAATACAAGCTGCAAACTCTTTTCAACGTTAAAATCGTTGAACTTAAGGATTGGATTCTTACTGAGGCTAACTCTGATTTGGCCTTGAAAAAAGGGAGTGAAGCCTGGCCAGTGGCCAAACGGCCCTAAGCTTTGCTGGCCATACATTGCAATCGCGAAACAAAAAAAGAAAGAAGAAAACAGAACAAGAGAAGCAGAAGAGGGAACTCTGAAACGCTTCAAAAAGGCTTTGCCAGCTGTAGAAACTTCAAAAACAATGGCAAGAAAAAATTTAAATCTCTTTCCAACGGGATAGTGCACTCTTCTTTTGCACTATACCTTTGAAAAAAAATAATCACCGCTGGGGCGCACGTTCTAAAGGAAAAAAAGAAATGACTGCAAAAAAGCTGACACTTTCCCGCCTCCCAAGTACGCACCTCTCCCACGGAGCAAGTGCGCTTCGCGTCAACGAGGCGCCTGGAGCGCCCCGCGGGAGGTCCGCCAGATTCCGTCTGGATCTGGGAGGAGCGGTCCAGCAGCAGGGCGTCCTCGCTGCAGCCCAGGCCGAGGGCTCGGGCGTAGGCCCGCACCTCCGACGGGGAGTCGAAGCCCAGCTGACGCCCCAGAGACTCCAGCGAGAACTGCTCCCCAGGAAGGACACGGTGTCATGGTCCAGACGACTCCCGCACAGAACACTCAGAAACACCCCAAACTGGGTGAAATATTAAGGCGTAGCTCTCTTCCTATAAAAGGTGAGGCCAGCACACTTCCCAGGGTTAATGGCGAATGTGTTTGCCGATGACAGAGTTAGCGATGGTCGTAACTTGTGGCGCCATCTGCAGGCACGAGCAGCGAGCAGACGACGAAATTCACCGTATGGTCGCTGCGCCTATCAGGATATGGCACCACACGTTACATCCATCGCTAACTCGGTCGTCTGGGAACACGCCCGCCGTTGAACCTGGCAAATTTGTTGGTCTCATTCTTTGCAGAAAGAAAGCTATGCCTTAAAATTTCCCCGAGGTGACATCCACCACCTAAATGCGCATTCGGTGAGTTTAAGCTATCTTTATGCAAGCGCCAATCTTCCCGGCTCGTTTTACATCACTAGGATCCATTCTGGACACTCTATATATAAACATAACATGCATATAAATATAAGACCCCTGCTAACTGTATTTCCGATTCAGAAGCTAATCTATTATATCACATTCGTTGGGTACATTACTGACCTAAGCATATGAAAGATGTGTGTACCTGCTTCCTTGGTTACAAAGCGAGCCATGGACAGAAAACTGTGTAGGGTTTCCTCATAAATGGTACTGCACGTAAAAAAGCTTTTTGAGAGTTTACTGTTCCCTTAACTTCTTGACGGTCATCGCCGTGCATGTACGGCGGCGATTACACATCTGAAAGTGCCTGCCTAAATGTGAAACTGCACGCAGAGTGGGAGGTGTTGCTATTTTAAATGCCTTTGGCAAGCTATAATTGCTATATTAGCACAGTGTTTCACTTTTCCAGGTTATTTACAGCTTTTAAATTAGACGCTCCATACAAGTGATGCTAACTAGGTATACCGACCCCTCTGCCGGTAGTGAGAATGGGAGCACATGCTCTTCCAATTCAGACTTCTGACGCTTTTCGGAATTAAATTTAGAGGATGAGCTCATCATCCGACAGAAAAGCTCTGTGAAATACCTCCAGTTAGGAATCTGAAGCCGTTAGAATGTCCCAAAAGTAGATGCGCCAAAATGAAACCGAATGGGAGGTGCCACCTTTTCGCTTTTATCTTCGTTCATGCTTCTAAGTCTAACTTGCAAGCACTGTACATGCTCCCGCTAGATAATTAAACAAATAACCTGTGCATTGACCCTTTCTTTTATTCCTTTGGAAACAAAATGCAATCACCAGGAAACATTTTTTAGAGAAAAAAAACTGCACCATTAAAGGGTTAACAGTACAAGACACACCGTGCACATTTGCAAGTATATGACCACCGGACACTGTTGTCTTACCGCCGGTGCGCACGGGTCGTTGGATGGCCCAGCCTTAAAGGGCATGCACGCGGTTGCCAGACCGGTGCCCTGACAAAATGCTTTCCACTGGCAGTGTCCAGACTAACTTTTGAAGCGCAACTGCTCGCTTCAGAAGTTAATCTGGGAGGGCAACATTTTCCTGTCACGTCCATGCTTAGTTCGTCGAGTTATTTTTCTAGGTTGCAAAGGCTTTGGACGGTGAAAAGTTGAGCTAGTTGGCGATACATATTTGGGTGAAATCTGCTGAACATGCAAATTTCAACCATCCTATCAAATGAGAGGGGAAAATAAAATGCACATTCATTCACTGGACCACCAACTGTTTAATGAGACTTTTCTTCCTCTTTGACTAGCTTTGTTGCTAGTTAAAGAGCATGCGCGACAATTTGCGACTAGGTTCCTTTGCGGCGCTGAATAAAGCCTATTTGATGTGCCACAAAGTGAACCAGGTGCAAGTCAACAGAAGAAATGTATTCGGCACCCATCACAAGAACAAATACAGCCCATGTAAAAAGGAAGTAATTTACAACATTCTTTGACATGAAGGCGGTGGTACATCGGACAAACGGGGCGCTGCATTAACAAGAGAACACAGGAACATGCGAGCAATCTGAAAAAACTTGACAGCAGGGAACCTAGCCGCACATTGTTGTGCATGCTCGTGCAAGGCCAACCTCAATCATGTCACCATCTTGGGGCACCACAGAAATCAGTTTACCCGCGAGGTGTTGGAGGCCTTGGCCACAGAAGAGAAAGAAGACGAGTGCGTCAGTTCACTATCAGTCTCCCTATCCAAAAGAGAAAAAACGTTTGTGCAAGGCGACAGTACTTCTAACAATTAGAGAATCGAGGAGGAAGCATAAGCTAGTCGGAGAAGAAGAGGACTATCATGAAATGCAGAAACAAATGAAAAAGAAAAATAGAACAAACAAAGCTAGTCAAAGAGGAAGAAAAGTCTCATTAAACAGTTGGTAGTCCAGCGGTTGAATGCGCATTTTATTTTCTCTTCTCATTTGTATGGATGGTTGATATTTGTATATTCAGCTGGTTTCACCCGAAAAAGCTTCAGGTTTACGAAGGTTTATCGTGCCTTGGCATATGCGATACATGCCTTGCACAGATGAGGCACAACAGATCTTTTTTGACAGCAGGTGCCCTACCGTAGCCGCCAGGTCGATTATCCGAGGCTGCCATATTTTCGACGCGCACTTTGAGCTTTCATTAGACCCAAGTGCCGTGCCAGCATTCGGCGCATACTCAAGTCCAAATGTATTCGACACGAGCACTACATCTTCGCTCGCCGTGAACTCCGATGCAATGGCACGCTTGGCAGAGGAAACTATGCCCAAAATACGGCGGCCACTGGTGTCACTCAACGGTGATAAGGGTCCATCATTTCGTTTTATCCAGATGCAACTTCTCGCAAAAGTTCCTTTCATTTGACGGCCTCGAGGAAATGGCAACGTGCGAAACGCCGGCAAGCGCTCGACCGTGCCGTGCCGCAAAGGCGACCGGCGAGTGGCGGCAGTCGGGCGTGGCTCACCTCCTCCCTGTGGCTGGTCTGGCAGAAGGCCCTGAGCAGGGTGTGGAATGCCTGCAGGCGCACCCGGCCGAAGTAGCGGTGCAGCAGGCAGGCGCTCAGGTACGGGGCCACCCCCACCAGGCGGAAGAAGCGCACCCAGTTGCCGCTGCTCAGAGCCCCCAGGGCGGATACGGCCAGGCACACCGGGGCAGAACGCCGCACCCAGGCATCCAGTGCCTGCACCTGCCTGCAGGGGGACCAAAGTCAGACTCGGGAATTTGATGTGCCAAACCGGCAAAGGGTATCTAGCATTCCCCAGCTGCGGACTAAGGATTAACCTCGACCATATGAGAATCTTTTGACGTGCTTAAGAAATCTCGGTTGTGCGGCACCTTCTCCACCCGCCCGAGGGGAGGCACAGCTTGGCGATCCCGCAGGGCGATCCCTCGTGACGAGAGAACAAACTTGTAAGCTGGTGCCACCCACAAGGAGGCCCAAGAACTGCATTTCACTAGAGTGTAGGCTTCACAGTTATGGTTTATAGCACTGTTAACTTAAATGGCTTCTTTGTAGCACATTAACGCTTCAGAACCACGTGATCACGTTCGACGAATAGAGGCGTAAGCGGCATGAGGAAATCAAACAGGCAACTCCAGTCCTGTAGGCACCACATGAAGCGGCAGTTCTCAAACCATTTGATTTCGAGGAACCTCTATCTGCCTCGAACCTCTTCCCATTCGCCTGGTAACGCTGCGGTCTAGAACAAAGGAGTCGCCGCGGGGAGGGGGCCCCTACCTGACGGTGTCGGCCTGGTCGAGGTGCAGCAGCACGTCATAGGCCCTGAACTCGGGCTCGTTGGGGCAACGCAGGCCCCTGAGCCCCAGGTCGTAGTAGAGGTGCTTGAGGGTCTGCAGGCACTTGGCCAGGTTCTCCCCGTTGATGCGGGGGTCGAACACCGACACGTCCTCCTCGCACAAGGCCGAGGCGCAGTGGATGTGGAAGCGGGCACACTGCTCCACCAGGGACACGCACGAGGGCTCACACAGGTGTTGCTGCGTCAGGTCCTGCCAGAAAGGTCCCCCAAGCTAAGTCCAACGAGCTCACATACCCCTCCCCCCAGAATATCCTATGGAAAGTACCATATTTTCCAGTCTAACTTGGATATATTGAATTCAAAGTGGATCGTAAAATAGTTTGATATATTGATAATTTTATATACAAAAATATGTTAACTTAAGCTCCAGATGAAAATTCTATGTGTCTCTGCTAATACCGAAGGCCGCGACAAACGGGACCTTACCAAGTAGAGCCACTAAGAGCCGCTAAATACAGTAAAGCTTAGTTGGTGAAGATCGCAAACACTGCTCCCGTTTACACGACCATATTTGCAAGGTGTTTGCGATCGTTTACGCGCGTGCGACCTCCGCACAGCATTGGCGGCGACAAAACACAAATTTAAAAAAAGAAAAGGAAAGAAGGGAAAAAGCGAGCCGCATAAAAAAAAACCAGAAACGCTCAATCTATAGAATAAAGTTAAGCAAGCAACAAAAAAGAAACCTCATTAAATTCAAACAACAAAAAAGAAAGGAAAAAAAGTGCAAAGCAAAAACAGCGAAAGAAAAAGGTAAACAAAGATAAGGCGTTCAAAGTGCGATTGCTGCTCAATCGTTGTTGTCGACACACTCAACTTAACGAAGACTTTTTTTTTTTGCTTATTTTATTTTGGGGCTAAAGAGCACTCCCTGCACTCCGTAGGCGCGCGCATGCCCTTCCCTTTGCTTTTGCCATCCTCCACTTTTTTTTTACGATTGCTCTTTTTATTTTTTTTACAATTGCTTTTTTTTTTAGTATCCCCATTGCGCGTATGCTGGCTTGGCGGTCTGCCAGCCCAGTAACGCGAGCTATGTGCTCCGCGGGCGCGATCTGACCGCAGGAGAAGCGAAGGGCCGCCATGCTTCGTTGGCTATATCGAGTGTTCCCGCCATGGGAGTCCATGGGAGTTCGATACAAGACAACTCTCCTATACTATTACATGTGATTTTCAAGGGAATGTTTGGACTGTTCGATATAAGCAATAATTCGAAATACCCGGGTGAGATATAAAGGACCGTTCACACTCTTGCGACTGACTTCGACCGAGAGAGACCAGACCGGTTTTTAAGCCTTTTGCGACTTCTTAGGACCGGATTCGATGCAGCGGAGCTGGTCCTAAGAAGTCATAAGAGGCTTAAAAACCGGTCTGGTCTCTCTCGGTCTAACTCGGTCGCAAGATTGTGAACGGGCCTTAACCGGGCTCGACTGAAATGTGAACGCCGTTTTCCGCTACTGTGTGCCCGCTTGAGCCCCGTTGAGTGCACTTCTTTCCGAGCACCGGTGCACTGCGGACAAGCTACACTCACAAAAGCAAGCTCCGCGGGTATTGCTTCCCTGCGGTGCACTGGTGCTCAGAAAAAAGCGCACTCAACAGGGCCGCAAAAAAAAAAAAAAAAAAAGTATGAATTAAGCCAAAAGACAGTTTGAATTAAGCGACTTATAAATACATTAAAAACATAGCGGGACAACCAAAATTTTCAAATCTGTATGAATTAACCGGAAGTATGAAATATCCGAGTTTGAATTATCGCGAGCCTACTGTACATTCAATTATTTGTCTTCAGTGGTCATGTTTTGCTTACACCTTTTTATACAAGTAGATTTTGTTGGGGACAACTGATTTTTTATCACTATTTCGATTACTTGGGAGTAACTATTCCCACAATTAACAAGGCTTAATTGATATGCTGATTACTCTTTTTGTAACCTCGAGTAACTGGGGTGCACTCGACTTTATTTTAGCTAAATGGATGTTTTGTAAACTCTTTCTTTTTACTCGACTTATCATTGATACAACTCAGATGAAATAAGTACAATTGCAATTTCTAATTACTCTTTTGATTACTTTGCACTAATGTTGGCACACTGACATTATTTAAAGTTGAGTTGGTGTATGGCTCTCACTTCTAATTATTTCGACCTATTAGTAACAGAATTTACACGATGAAAGTTCAACAAGCATTTTTTATTACTCTCTCGATTACTTTGAGGAATTATGGACAAAAAGAAAACTTTGTAGAAGCTCATTTGACATTCTGATTACATAGATATATTGACGTGAATAGCTTATTTTCATTACTCAGTCGATTACTTTGAATTATTATTGACAAATGTGACATCATATAAGTTCAGCTAAGATTTTGATTACTCCTTTGATTACTTTGTGTTATTAATCACCAAATTGACATTAAATTAACTCAATCAACTTAGTGGTTAATTTTTATCTTGACCCAACATATTACTCACAAAATTGAATTTTGATCAGTATTATTGATATCTTGATTACTTTTGAGTTACTAGTGACACGTTTGAATTCAAATTGGTCTAATTAACATATTCCTCACTCTTTTATTACTTTGAGTTTTTTATCGAACCAAGCGATTCATTCTCAGCGCAGACAACATCATGATCACTCTTTTGATTACTTCAACTTACTATTCATCAAATTAACTTTAATTCGGCATAAAAGGTTAAAAGCGCTCCTGCCGTCCGTGTTTCTTCTTTGTCCCCATTTGTTCCCACTTTTAACCTTTTATTCAGTAATGGACCAACTAGCCCAAACCCAAGTTTTAATTTAATTTGGCCCAAGTGAAATCTTGATGACCTTTGAATATTTTTAGCTAATCAACCAAGTGATTTGTTATGAGCTCAATTGATGTTATCATTACCATTTTGAATACTTCGAGTTACTGTTGACTCAATAGACTTTATGTCGACTTAATTGACATATTGCAGATTCTCTTGATTTTTTTTTTTTGTTATTTTATTACTAATTGATCTATTATGAGCTCAATTCACATTATTAGTTGAACGAGTGTCAATTGTAAGGGATCTTGGTGTGTTAATTGACTGCGGATTAACTTTTAAAAATCATGTCTCTTTTGTTGTCAGCTCTGCAATGAAAGTTCTAGGAGTTATATCGCGTTTGACCAAGCATTTTAGAAAGCCCCATTGTTCAATACATCTTTTTCAATCCTTAGTGGTTTCAAGGCTTGAGTTTGCTTCTGTGATTTGGAATTCAATTTCTGTAACACAGGCTTTGATCATAGAACGTGTGCAAAAAAGATTTGTTCGAATTGTTTATGATAGATGGATTGGACGACGTGTGTATTATGACTATGAATGCTTACTGAATAGATTTTCGCTGAAGCTTTTATCACACAGAAGAACAGTCCTTGACTTGGTATTCCTGCATAAGATCATTAATGGTGCCATTGATTCTTCATGGCTTGTTAGTAAAATCCATTTCCATGTTCCTTTCCGTGCGACGAGACAGCTCACCTGTTTTGATATTTGCTCACCATGCCGTGTGTCACCTCTTTCTCGTTTACAGACATTGTATAACAGCATTGTGCCACCCCAAGTTGACATCACCACACCCCTGCCTACATTTCGCTGTCAGTTGGACGAACTTTTCGTCACTTCATAGCGCGTCAGTGTATATGCATATCTATTTCTTTTTAATGAGTAGGATTTTTGTTTGAGTTTTATTGTACGAGTTGGTGTACCTAAGAGAAGGCCGCTCGGCCGTTTTAGGGCACCCGAAAAATAAAGATTATTATTATTATTATTATTATTATTATTATTACTCTTTTGACTTTACTTTCATTTACTTTTAACAAGTGAACTTTAACTCAACCTAAGTGACGTTTTGATTACTCTTCATTACTTTGAGTTCATATTCAAGCAATTGATTAATTATGAGCTTAATCGGCATCATGATTACTCTTTTAATTACTTTGAGTTACTATTGACACAATGGACTTTAATTCAGCCTAACTGACATTTTGGTGACCTTTTTTATTACTTCGAGTTATTATACCACCAATTGATCTATTATGAGCTAAATTAACATTCATATTACTCTTCTGATTACTTCAAGCTACTATTATACCCAATGTACTTTAATTCGGTTTAAAGGGCCACTCCAGCCGGCGCGATTAGACTGCCGACCCAGGGTCGTTAACGTACCCGACGCGACGGCTCTCACGTGAATGCGCACCTGTCTAAAACACAAACTTCCGCCGCACATGCGAGCCGGGTGGGTTGCCGAACATGTGTCGGCAGCACGTTCGGCAACCCACCTCGACGAAGGCGGCGCTCCCTCAATTCGACCACGGTGCCTGAAACGTGTTTCTGACTCGTGTGCTTAGTGTCCCGCCCCACCCAGACATCAAAAGTGGTGTCGAAAGGGCAACGAACAATGTCAAAGAAGCCGGCGTGTCGCGCTGCCAAACGTTGCAACACTGGCGGTTGGAGCTAGAAGTCCCAGCAGAAAATACGAGCGAATGCGAGCGTCACTGTCGTCGCGGCGTCCCAACCCCCGGCTGCCAAAGCTTCCGTCAACCTCCAAGCCAGAGAGCGACCCACGGCAGATAGGGCGTCTGCCACATTCACCATTGCCGCCGCAAGACTGCGGCCGACGACGATGTGACGCTTCGACCACGTCGTCGGGCGGACGTCGAAAGACCATTTTCGAGGATGCGGCAAATGCACTGGCCAAAGACGCGCTCGTCGCCTTCCCCAATCCAAGTCGCGTCTTCTGACTTTTGGAGATACGAATCCGCCCCAATGACCCCGCGAGACTCGACCGCGACAGCGGCGGGCAGGTCCAAGCCCGGAACCCACCTTGCGGATGGAGCGCGTGCGGTTCCAGATGAAGTCGTACCACTCCCCGACGGGCGGGGGGTGCGGGGGGTCCATGACGTGCACCAGCAGGTAGTCCATGGTGAGGCGCAGCACGTGCGGGGGCCGCAGCTCGTGCGGCAGGGGCTCCTCCTGGTCCGCGGACGACCGGCTGTACTCCTTCACCATCCGGGATGGGTCCATCACTCCGTCGCTGCCCGGCTGCGGAGCGACGCGTGCGTTGCTACGAGGCTCCCACCGTTCGAGCGAAAGTGCCGGAGGGCCCCTCCGAAAGGGGTAGAGCACTCCCCCGCCGACGGACATCCGTCATGAGAGCGGTACCTCCATCAAGCACGGTTAATGAGAGATGCATCCAGTCCAGAAACTCCGCATGGCAGATGCCACAGGCACGGACAGCCACTTTTCCTCGGCGCCCTCGGCCGAAACTGGCAGCTCCCAGGCCGAGCTTTGTGATTAAGTCTGAGGCTAGCCTCAGACTTACCTTGCAAAAACTCGCCGCCCCCCCGCCGAAAAAAAAAAAAAAAAAAGAATTCGGCGCAACATTTACGTTGCAACACAAGTTTGACTCGGGAGTGAATCCAAAAGGTGCTTCTCTTTTGAGATGTCTGCCCCGAAGCAGAAGCATGTTTGGGCTTTGCTCAAATGGATCATGCAACATAAATATTGTAGTCAAATTGTTTTTTTGGAGAAAATTTCATCTAGTGATGTACAAGCACTATCCGGACACCCGAAAAAAAAAAAAAGTTCCTAGGAAGTTTGGCGTTGCTTCGAGCAATCGTGCACCCTCTTCCCGTGAAGTGGTGCAAGTCGGCCGTCAACGCGCCCCGTCCTGCCTCACCAGGACTTCGAAGCTGGACAGGAGCTTGCGGTGGGTGCGGGAGTAGCGCTCCTTCTCGGGGCACATGTCTGGGCAGCTTCCCCTCGTGGCTCGGGCCGTGGCCAGGTCGCTCTGCCGCTGGGACCCTGCACGAGAGCCAGAACTTCGGTCGGAGTGGCTCTCAGCCACTTCACCTCCGGTGGAGGGAGGCAAGGGAGCGGCTTTTTGGGACGAACTGCCGCCAAAGGGGTCGGAGCCGAGAAAGGCAGCAACCCAAGAACACGAATCTACTAAACCAGCAGCCAACACAAGCGTCTTGAGTTTCCAGCCTCGGGCCGTCGCCGAGCCGACGAACTCGAGTTCTCGCGCTTCCTCGAAGAAGGAAGAATGAGAACTTGGCCGACTGACTTGTTCGCCCGAGTTCCCGCGCTTCATTTTCGAGGAAGCCACCCCAAGTGCCACGAGTGCACCAGTTTTGACCCAGAATTTGAGGATAATTCGAGGTTTTAGAGCTTCCAGGACCCCCTTCTGGGTGAAAGAAAGGGACGGCCGCCGGGGGGAGGGGTGCAGTATTGAACAACTGCATTCACCCCCAAAAGGGTAAATGAAGAAAGCTAAATGCATGCAAACCAACTTTGCAGCCTTGAAATACAGAATATTCAATCCTCCTTTGTCCTTGGACATCGTTTCGTCTATTAGGTTTATGGGGCAGCCAGCATCAATAAAAAAAAAAAAGGTTCAGTGCTCGGCTCGACTGATGGTCTAAAGCAGGGGTTGGCAACCAGCGGCCCACGGGTCGCATGTGGCTTGCGAGACAGTTTCCTTCAGCCCCTGACATGGCACCACAAAAGCACCACCCCCTTATACAGACTAAAGGTCCACACTGCAGTTCTGACATCAAATGGGATTAGACAGAAACAAGGAGCACTTCCAAATGACATTGTCTGCTCCCAAGCAGAGAACATCTTTCCCCCCCTTTTTGCCTTTCCTTCATCTTCCCCCCCCCCCCCCCCCTTTTTCCAATTGCCATTTCGTTCCCTCAGTATCGGCTTCACAACAGCTCGGCCCGCTGCTGTAAAAGGTTGCCAACCCCTGCTCTAAGCCTCCAGGGATTCCAAGGCCTTCAGGAACCCGAAAGGGTCCGCGGACCCCCATTTGAAAACCAGTTTTAAAAAGAACTGTCGAGCCAAACTGAAGAGCTCTCCATGATTCTTGTTCTCGGGCGTGGTTGGCATAAATGGTGCGCTGTTCATGGCTCTCATATTTATTGTGCAGAAGCAGCCCCAGTCTCCCCCCCTTGGACAACTGAGAACCACCTGCCCCCCCCCCCCCCCCCCCCCCCCCCCGGCCCCTCCACCTCCCAAAGGCAGTGTTTCCTCGAGATATATTTTTCGTGTTCCCTTTTTCTACTTGTTCAACTCGATGGAACCTCTTGGGTCTTACTCTAACATCCATTCCTTAGTGCATTGAGCAACTAAAGTGTGCAGTGTGCACAAAGGAAATATGCAACCCTGCAAGGTGTAATAAATTTTCGCAGTAAAAAGAAACTGATATCACATAAATCGTTGTTCTCAAGTGACACACGGGGCGAGGTGCGCAAAGTAAGTAAGTGTGGCGGTGGCTGCTACCATTGCCGAAGCTTGCCACCCTCTAATCTTTCAACGAAGCAGCTTTTACGACGATAGGTTCCGGCGACTCCGAGGAATTCGTTATAAAGACCCCTGACTGTATGTTCAAACTGCCGAACTGTAGGAGGGGCACATGCTTGTCAAGCATGTTGCCTTTGTCTCTGCTGCCCGACAAGAGGAATCTATGAGAAAAAAAAAGGAAGAAAGGAAAAAAATGCTCCTGGACTGTGCAAACGTGTGAATTTTCTATGGGCGAAAATACCACGTTCGTAATCAAAGCGAGAACGCATTTACAATCATTTTAAAAAATTTACCGAGCCACGGATACACCAAATTAAAGTTGCAAAAATGGTTCCAACCTTCTAATGCCAATTTTCTAGTTGTAAGGAAACCGAGATAAACTTTTAGACGAAACAAGGAACTTGCCACAATTGCACCCGGGCAAAGAAGCGGATTCTTAGTGTGCAGAGAATCCCATGCATCCAGCGGACCCTCCCCGCAGAAAGCCAGCCCAACAGAGCAGGTGTACTCACGCAGGCGTATGATCTTGTCCCGAGCGTCCAGCACCCTGTAGCGTTCTCCCACGCTGTGGGCCGCCTGCGTCAAGAGTCCTGCCAGGGACTCCTCTGGAGGACAAAGGGGCAGTAGAATGGAAGCGTGGGCTGGTTGGTATACACTGCATTAAGCATAAAAGTGCCAAAGAGCGGAACAAGAAAGGAGACAAAGCGCTTCTATCGCATTAACTTTGATGCGAAAAAAGACAAACATACAAACATTCTAATCAAGACCACAATTCAATGTAATCCAATTCTTTGTTTGATTACTGTAACGACGGTGCACCGATATGTTTTGTTTCGACGGCGTACCTGATGCTAAAAATCTCAAAAGTGTCCTTTTTTTTTGCTTTTTGTTTTCCCAAAATTTCTATCTCCCAGCTCACGCTCGCAGCAATGTTTGTGGCAATCCACCACCGAAAGAACTCACGGTGTCCACTCTACCGAAAGCATCCGTCAGTTCCCCCAATGTAAGCACGGCCACATGTCGAGACTGTTTTAAGCGCTTCGTTTGTCTCCCTCCTTGTCCCGTCCTCCGGCGATTTGAGACAAAAAGGCACGCAGACTGGAGTCACTCCGAGAGCGCCAAGCCACATTGCTCCTGCGCAGTCCCCCAAGAGCCCCCTCGCACCTCTCAAGGATGTCTCCACGGGTCGCGCATCACAGAAATGAAGAAAGAAAAAATGATGAGTCATTCCACTCTGTGATGGTGGATGACCAGCGAAGCTGTTTAGCACACGACACAGACGTGACACAGAATTTTGATAAAGGTACGAACAGATTTACTGTCTTGGTAGGTTGTTATCATGACAAACGGTACGCACAAACATGTCGAGGACTATCGCCACCCTCAGGAGTTGGAGGAAACTAGACACACGTGACGGGGAAATTTCCCTGCTAAATTTAGCGGGGAAATTGATCTCACATGAAACAACCTTTTGATGTCATGTGACGTCACGTGAAACAACCTCGTGATGTCATGTGATGTCACGGTTTCATGATGTCACATGATGTCACGAAGCCGCAACGTCGTTTCTGTTGCTGCACACGAAAAATCCACGAGACCCTAACCATAAACAGCTTCGCTGTAAAAAATGCTCCTGGACCGTGCCAACATGCGTGCCAACATGGAGGCCACTCCGGCTCTAAAAAGGTAAGTGGCAAGAGAGCACGGCACAGTAATCTGCGTCGGATGCTACATGCGACAGTGCCATCCCATGATGGACTTATCTCTCGTTCGTTTGCGGCACGCATACAGGTTGGGGAACTCGTGTACGGCGGCCTGAAACAGACCACTCAAATACCCGTTGCCGGACTGCAGCGAGCAGATATTCTTACCTCAAACATACAACGAAACGAGGGATTTTCATTCGCAATGAAGGGAGGAGATTTATTACTGCGTCCGGGAAATGAGAGATCTACACCAATCCATGCTTTGAAATCTTTAAAGCTGTATTTGCGACCTCATCCACTCGCAACGGAAGTGGGAATTGTGAAATATTGAATGTGACCAACTAGAGTTGGTTGCACGCTGGTGCTGCTATAATTTTTAGGTAATGGTAGCACTCGCACAAGTGGCCTAGCTCCCTGTAAAACACTCGCCACACATAGACACATACTCACACACACGTACAACAGGAATAGCGTTGCATTGTTCGCTGTTTTGTTGCTTACACTGCAGGCTGAGAGACAATCCTCTTTGGAACTTACCTCAATGGTGATGTGTGGCGCTGTCTGCGGTGCGAGCAGAAAACAAACAGTGTAAACATGCCAAAATACTGAAAGAAGCAGCTTCCACTTTTGGCCAAAGTTGGAGATTTTAATCGTCTATCAAGTTATTTTTCTCTCTTTGCCAGTTTTTTATGCCCCTCTTCCAGTACTTGTTCCTTAGTATTTTTTTCAAGTTTGTCTCGTGTTGGTTTTACTTTGGATAATGTTTGCTTAAGCATTTGTGAGACTGACCTCGCACCTGTGAATACTGTCACCATTGAATCGGGGGCCCGATTCGGTTCTTATAAATTTCTAAGACATTATAATCTCAACTCAATGTAAATAATTTACAATGACATGAAACGTTTGTATGTGAATGTGGTCATACTGGCGCGTGTGGATTGTAGTGTTGTATTTACATAATTAAAATATTCGGATATGGCTAATTGTCGCATTTTTTACTTGCCTGGCAAACAGAAGTGTGTCAACCCAATTCTACTTTAAAGATCTGGCATCTTCGAGTAAATGAACGAAATTATTAATATTTATTGAAAATATAAGAATGTAAGACTTTATTATTTCAAACTGTCAAGTTCTATCATTAACTTAACAAAATTCACAAAAGGAAAGTACAATATGTGACATTTATACCACGATGCTTAAACCCCCTCCTCAAACGTTGGGGCAAGGAATGAACAAATGCGTTGCATTCTAAACAACTCATTTAAAGTTATATGGCCCAAGTGGAGTCGCTCTCAGAAATAAGTAATTGTAAAGTAATTGCATTACTTTTCCAAAGTACTTTGGATTGTAATGAATTAATTTTCATATACCGTAAAGTTCCGAGATAACGCCCGCCCCCAAAAGATCGCCCATCCCGTTTTTCTGGCTAAATATCTGCAACATAAAAATTCCGAAACATCGCCCACCCCTCGATTCCCATAGGACGTCACGCGATGTCCTGACGGGAGTCGCACCAACTGCGCAATTCGCTGTACCGGCGCGTATGACAAGCAAGTTTATAGCGGGTTCCCGCGTTTTTGCCCATAATCTGTGCACGCGATATTGGCTCCTGTAACACGCAAGTTGTTCCTACGTGTATGTTGCACTGTGAAATGCAAATCTGCTGCGTTTGCAATCTATGGTATCCGTTCGCATGACATAAGGTTTTTAGCGGATTCCTGCGTTTTTGTGCGCGATCTCGATTCCAAGCGAGCTGGTCCCACATGTATATTGCATCGTAAAATGCAATTCTGCTGCGTTCGCGATCTGCGGTATTTGTTCCCGTAACATACGAGTTTGTAGCGGATTCCTGTTTTTGTCCGCAATCTGCGCGTGCGATATCGGTTCCCATGACAGACAAATTTGTAGCGGGTTCCTGCGTGTTTACTGCACCATAAAACTTGCATCTGCTGCGTCCGTGATTTGCAGTATTCGTTCCCGTGAAATGCGAGTTCTCGGCAGATTTCTGCGGGTTCTTAGCACCGTGAAACGCTAATCTGCTGCGTCCGCAACCTGTGGTATTCTTTCCCGTGACACAGGAGTTCGTAACGAATTCCCGCGTGTTTACCGCATCGTGAAACGCGAATAGGCGGTGTCCGCGACCTGCAGTATCAGTTCCTGCATCACGTGGTTTGTAGTCGGTTTTTGATAAAGTTTTGCTGTGGCATCCCCAAAGATAGCCCACTCCATGTTTTTCATCATTTATCTCTTCATTTTGGATGGGCGTTCTTTCGGAACTTTACAGTAGTAATAATTGTAATTGTACTCAAACTACTTTTGAAGCAAAGTAATTGTAATTAAATTACATTTTGGAAGTAATTTACCAATGTATACCCCTAAGCTCAACGGACTTGGCTTGGTGGCATCGCGCGCCACAAGCTCGCTCGGCTCGCTCTACTTTCTGGCATGCCACCTTGGCAACATTGCGACGGAAGAACAGTCTTCGCGGCCGCCCTGCACCATCCGGGAAAAGCCGGACAGAAATCTTAGCTAACTTCAAAACTTTGCACAATGCCAATTACGAACCCAGAACACGTCGTCTATGTATGTCTACCAGTTCAGATTTGTCTTGCCTGTTTTGCTTTTGGCGTAATCTGATAGAGATACCGACACAAACACACGAAACATTCTGTGTCAATCGGCTTTAAACAAGTCACAAGGCAAGTTAAAATTTTTGTAACCAACCTACGATGAGCCGCCGCACCTGCTCCAAATTGACACTATCCATGTGGCCACGTGGGTGGTGTCACTAAGAGTCTTGCGGTTGGTGCCACTATAGGTCGTGGCGCTGTGTCAGGTGACCGTATGAAATGACAACATGAAACCACATGAAATAACGCCACATGACGTAACTTACAGGGATTACGCGATCATGCGACGCCTCTTGAAATTGGGCCGACAAGTCTTTTGTGGCAACACAAGTATGTAGCAGCTGCAACAATACTCAACCAAGCCACTTCACCGTCACAGGTTGTTTGCACGGCGAAGCGACCACTGTTTCCACTCACCCCCGAGTGCTGTGGTGCCACCGTCACTCTCCCGACCCAGAGCCGCCCTGGCCTTCCTCGGCGCCACCTTGGTCAACCGAGATGCCGCCCTGCGCGCCAGTGTAGATGCCAGAGTGGCAGCTGGAGCGGCAGCCGGAGCGGGTGCCGACGGAGCTGGCGTCTGCGACTCTGCTGCCTGCTCCTCCGAGGTGCGAAGTTCCACAAAGTCGTCCGGCGTCAAGTCACGTGTCTGGGGCCTGGTGGGGGGCGGTGCTCCACCTTCGTTGCGGACACCAGTGCGGGCAGGTCCCGTCCCGGCTGTCCGGAAGATTCTATCAATTTGCGGTGCGAGCAATATTCCAACGGCAACACGAACCGAGTGGTGCCGTTCCCAATTTCTCCCGAGCCAAAGAGTCTGCCGTTGAAACTACAGGTGAAAGCGACGGGCTGCGGCGCCGAATCGCCCCAAGAGTTTGGCATCGAAGCGGCCGCAAACAACGTTCGACGACCCCTTTAAGAACAGTCTGGAAACGATTTGTTGCCGATCGTTTCGTCGCCGATCATCGAAACGACGCCCTGTATTTATTTAGCCGGCCCTCGGCCGTCTCGCCATACGGCTATTGTGAAATTCCGAGCGAATGCCCACGTTTGAAGGATCACCCACCCACTCTTTTTGTTCAACTATCTGCTGGGAACGGTATTTGTTTATTTATTTATTTATTTCATACATGCCCACAAACAGCATGACGCATTCAGCATGGTGCACAAAAGGAAACTAAGCAAAGAAAGTATGTGAAAATAGGTAAAAAAAGCAAAGAGGAAAAAAATAAAAATAAATGAACAAATATTATACATGACTGTATAATACATGACTCTACAACACAAAAAAGTACACTCAGGCTTTGGACAAATTTTTCACAGTTTGAAGAAAAGTATCAAAACAATCAAAGATGCTCAGACCAGGTGCCTCAAGTGAGTTGTACCATTGTGCTCTCTGGACAGGACTTTCGAGATTAACTGCAGGATAAAATAGTGGTGAGGAACGACATAGTGTGGGGACATGAAAACTGATCGAATATAGTAAATCGGCACAGTCAACAACACCATGGACAAGTTTGTGGAGAAAGCACAGATCGAAGGATGTTCTTCCATCACTCAGTTTGCTTAACCCAATGTGGTGAAGTATTCTATCGTACGAGTAATATACTCTTCTGAAAAGGTAACGATCGTAATGGATGCAAACAAATCTCATCGGTACTCGTTCCAAAGAAAGTGACAAATAGTGAGGAACAGAATTCCATACCACTGAGCAGTACTCTAGCCGAGAGCGCACGATAGCCCGCAAGAGTGACAAATAACAGCTAGGATTTGTCAACTCCTTCGAAATGCGTGTTATGAGACCAAGGAACTTCATTGCTTCATTGGCCGCTCTTTCAATGTGGTGTTTAAAACTCAGTGACTGATCAATGTACACCCCCAAGTCTCGGACTGTTGACACCTGAGCAATGGGATCACCGTGCAGCTTGTACAAAAATTTAACTTGCACTTGTCGACGAGAGTGTGAAATCACATTTGTCTTTGCTGGGTGGATGCAAAGCCCATTTGCTGAACACCATGATGAGACGGTGTTAATGTCATGTTGTAGAAGAGAGCACTCGTCAACTTTATAGCTCGAAAGATCTTAATGTCATCAGCAAGGAGAAGCATTTCAGACTGTTCATTGCACTCAGCCAAATTATTAATAAAAATGAGAAAAAAACAGGGGGCCCATGTTGCTCCCCTGAGGGACTGCAGAAGTTGATCTAAATTCACCCGAAAAGAAACCAGAGACTCGTACAACTATTGTACGATTAGAAAAACAACTTTCAAAAAGCATCAAGTATGACTTACATATTCCATAGTGATCCATTTTACGCAATAGCAACGAATGAGACACCATGTCAAATGCCTTTGACAAATCCAAGTAGACTGAATCAATTTGGCGTCTTAAATGTACTACGGGGATTACTTTGCCAAGAAAAGCACACAAGTTTGTCGCAGGTGAACGATGGGGAATAAAGCCATGTTATTGAGTATACAGTTTCCGATACATCGCCCTCCCCCCCGATTCCCGTCGGACGCCACGCGATGTTCGACGGGAATGGTGCGTTAATGGCGCGATCTGCGGTACCGATAGGTATGACAAGTAAGTTCAAAGTGGGTTCCCGCGTTTTTGTCTGCGATCTGCGTGCGTGAAATGCAAATCTGCTGCGTTTGCGATTAGCGGTATCCGTTTCCAAGCTTTTAGTGGATTTCGGTGTTTTTGTTTGCAATCTGCGCGTGCAATATCGATTCCTAGCTTAACACGTGTGAGTTGTCCTCGCGTGTATATTGCATCGTGAAATGCGATTCTGCTGCGTCTGCAATCTGCTTGATTTGTTTCAGTGACATGCGAGTTTGCAGCGGATTCCCGCGTTATTGTCCTCGATCTGCGCGCGCGATATCGGTTTCCGTGACAGGCAAGATTGAAGCGGGTTCCCGCGTGTCTATTGCACCACGAAACTTGAATCTGCTGCGTCTGCGATCTGCGGTATCTGTTCCCGTGAGAAGCGAGTTCTCAGCGGGTTTCTGCGGTTCCTTTGTGCTGTGAAACGCAAATCTGCTGTGTCTGCAACCTGCGGTATTCTTTCCCGTGACACAGAAGTTTGTAGCGACTTCTGGCGTGTTTATCGCATTGTGAAATGCGAATTTTCCGTGTCCGCGATCTGAAGTATCAGTTCCCACGTAACATCATTTGTAGCGGGTGCCCCGGTGCTTATCATTATTTCTGACAAAATTTTGCTGAGGCATCCCCAAACATAGCCCGCCCCATGTTTTTCACCATTCATCTCTTCATTTTGGGTGGGTGTTCGCTTGGAATTTTACAGTAGGTGATATTGTGACGTGACGTTAATGCGCTGCCATTATGCCGTTTTATTGACTAATAGCATATAGTTCTGTTCATGCATAAAATTGTATCAATAGGTATCGACATGATTTTACGACAGAACACTTTTTACAGTGACTGCTGTTAGTAAACATCTCCCGGGGGAACAGCGTGGTCGTCCTTTGCAAAAACATACGGCACCTCGAGCATGCACGCGCAGTCAGAGCACGTATCGAAATGCAACGAGCATGTGCTGAAGGTCAAGCGCTGGAAGGGGTGCTGTTATCACCTTTGAAGTGGCTGTAGCTCACACCCTGTTGTACCAGCGCATGCACACGACCATTTGAGCAGACGACTTTGCAAGTTGTATAGCCAGACCTCAGAAAGTTTGTAGCGGGTTCGAAAAACAAGAATTTTAGACACGGCGCATTGAGGAGGCTCGCACTAGATAGAGTATGGATCAGGCACGGGAGTACAATCGATAGCAAAAGTATGAAGGGCATGAAAGTCCTCAAAATCATCATCCGGAGGATATTCAGAAACGACAGCAACACCACAACGATGGCGAATTATGCAAGTTCTGAGCTGCCACCGCTGCGACACACTTATCGCGATGGCGTAAATGCACTTGGATTTGTAGAAGTGGACTGCCCCACATTTGACGAACAACCTACCTGCCCTCGCACGAAAGGGAAGTCAGTTCTTTGCCTTTGGAAAGGCACGTCATTCCGGCACACTTCTCTGTCGCCCAGTTGCCGGTGGCGACATCTCTCCAAAAACCCCGGGTCACCGGAGGGACCCTTCCCGAGAGACAAGGGCACTCACCGTCGCTGGACGGGCGCCGCTTGGAGCACCAGAAGATCTGGAGCGGGGCACAGCGGTCCGAGATGCGGGCACCACGCTTCTTGGCCAGCTCAGCCGATTGCTGCACACCACCACATGAGGGACACTTGGTCAGGCGGGGGATGCATTCGACCAAATTCATTTTCACGATACCGCACAATGCCGAAATTAATCAGACATGGCCAGTGTCGGTCGCCATCTTTGAGCATAAAGCCGAGCGAATCGGGACGGCACGCCTCGCCGTGCCGCGTCCGGAGACTCGCACCACAGCCGATCGAAACCGAGTCTTGGCCAAACGCGGACGCATCACTCGTGTCTGATCCAAGCCCCGCGTTTATCTCATTAGGTCATTTAAGCACGTTCAGCTCTCCAGACTCGTTATTCGGGAGGATTAGGCCGTGCTCAGAAACGGCGTAATCTGGCAGGTGGGGAAGGGGGAGAGAAGGGTCTTTCCCCCGTGGAAAGGAGGTTTGGACGAACTTTAGCAAGAAGTGCTATTCATTGAATACTCCATGCTCGGCGCATTGTCCGTATCAGGTGTCGACGTCATCCGCATTTTACTTCCATCTAAAACGTATGCAATGTGAATGTAAATTTGCATTCTTTCTTTAGTCTCTATTGTTCGAATAGAGAGCAAAATGAGCGCAAACACTCTTGCGGCGTTTCTATGGCTGATCCCCGGGATTGCGACGTCCCACAGAGACGACATGCCGTTCTCGCGCGAGGATATCCGTTACCGCTTGGGGACTTTACAACGCAGCGGTGTGACGGGACGACAAACGCGCCGGGTCAAAGACGCGTTGCCAGACGCCATAGCGAGACTCACATGGTCCTCGAAGCGCACGGTGGCGCAGCCCTTCCTGGGGTTGCAGGTGATCCTGGCCACCCTGCCGAACTGGCCAAAGTGCTCCAGCAGGGCCTCCCGGTCATTCAGCTCGGCCGGCAGGCCGTTGCACAGCACCGTCGTGAGCTGGCCAATCTCCTCCGGGGTCGCCATCACCTGCACGCGCGCCCCAGGGACTCCATGTACGTAAAATCTCGTTAACTTGAACCCGAGAGGGACCAAAACTTTGTTTGAATAATCCAAAGTTTGAATTACCGGGAGTTGCCTCCCTAGAAACAAAGAGGAGGGCACCCGCATGTTAGTTTGAATTATCCGCAAGTTTGAATTAACAAGATTTCACTGCATTTATTAATGGGAAAAAGGTCTCCCATCTTCCAATACATTTTGGCTGCTTCGGAAAGGTGCGGTGTATACACAGACGTTGATGGTCCCCGACGAGCCCGCATCGCTAGGGACACTTTGATGCGGGTGAAGGAAGCAGATTTTTTTCTAGCTCACTTTGTAAAAAACACCGGCGTCGCGCAATTTATAAAAATAAATGAAGTTGACAAGAGCCGGAATGCCTTCAAGTCGTCGCGGCACGACGGACACGTCTGACATATCCTACGTTTTCTTTCTCCGCATTTCTGTTGCCCTTTTTCTTTCTCTTGAAACCGCCGATGCGAGCGCTTACGATTTACTGCTGTTTCCACTGGTCTTTACGACCCCGGCATACCCCGACAGCGCCGGCCAGTGCCGCCCTCAGGGAAGGCGAGGAGTGGGAGGCGCACGAGAAGCTATTCTTTCTCGAGGTGCAACTGGCATGCAATCATGGAGCCCAGAGAGAGCGACACCCAAGAGCCAAGTGGCGCGGAGATTGCGTCACCAAGCTGTAGCAGACAATCAAAAGGTCTGCAGCCGAGAGGCGTGCGGGAACTCCATTAAATTCTATGCTTCCTCCGAAACGCCGGGCACGATGGTAAAACAAAAACCGTAATCCTGAAAATGCGAAAGACGAGGAAAAGTCGTCGGCAAGCCAATCACAAAGTTCTCCATAGCAGGAACGCGGCCGTCGCCAACACGCTGCGGGGTGCGGCGGCCACACCCTTGTTGCTTTTGTGGCGAAGTGCAGCTCAAAGCCTGCGAACGACAGCCGTACCGTAAAATCGGCCAATCTTGAGGGCCGCGAGAAATTACCGAGGGACAGAGCTCTTGCTTCAACATATAAACACAATGAGCGCAAGCTCCACCAATACAAAAGACCCACTCTGAGCACGAGGCTGAGACGGCGGCTGATGGGGGCGCTGCTGGCATTTTATGCAATTCCATGTCACCCCAAGCGGGGGGAAGGTACTTCATCGGTTTGTGCCGGTTCAGTTTGGCCGCATTATTACGTTTCACTCCCCTTGCAGTGACGTCAAACCGTCCACGACGCGTGCTGAGCCCCCGTCGTCTCTGCCACGCGCTCCGTCCGGGTCTTTCGTATCGTCGGAGAGCGTACCCAATCTGGTCAGTGTCTACGGGACGACACTGCAAACCAGGTCGTAAAGAGGACGCGTAGTGCAGACACCAGGACCGCCGCCGATAAGGGGAAGTGCCGTCACCTTCGTGCCTCCCGAGGAGCGCTTCTCGGCACTCCCCGCTGCCCGCGCGGGGAGTCTCTGTGACGCACTTGGCGACCGTCCAAGCCTCCGCACCATCGCACGGGGCCCACCCTCTCGCCCCTCGGGTTCTGTCGTCACTGCGTCGGGTTCGGTCGACTCCCCGGGGGTCGGAACCGGGGTGTCGGCAGACATCCGCTGCGAAGGCGATGCGGCGGAAGCGGCCCCCTCCGCCTCTGGTCGGGCTAGGAAAGGCTGCGTCCCCCGTCCGGCCCCCAAGAGGAGCGATTGCAGGCCGAAGCTGGACCGAGTGCCTGGACCGGTTGGGCCCGTCCCGGCTCCGGGCTGAGACGCATCGCCGCCGAAGGCTGGGGTCAGGGCAGCAGTCGCCGGCAACGCCTCGGCTGGGGTCCCGAACGGCGGCGAGGGTTGGCCGGGGACCCACTGCCCGGGACTTCCGAAAGGGTTGGGAGGGTTGGGGTTGGGCGGACGGGACATGGCCAGCTCGACCGACGGGCCGGGAGGTACCTAGAAATTTGAGAAGTCGGCATGTCGAGACCAAACCGTACGTACGAGAAGCGGCGGTTGGGACCGGCACATTTGACATTCCTTGAAAAATTTTAATTCCAAATGTACATACCTTAAGTTGGGCACGCGGATGTCGTTTCGCAAGAAGTTTTATGTCTTCTCCTTTTAGAGCAAAATTTAGAGGTTGCGAAATATTAAAAATATAGCAAAAACTGTGGCCGCACATTTCCCACGTCTTATACGGGGAGAAATTGAGGAAAAGGAGGAGATGAGAGTGAGCGGGAACGTCGGAACGCCGAGCTCTGGTTGGAACAACTAGTGGGCAGACGCAAGGCTAACTGCCTTGATCTCTACACACTGCTTGAACGCGTCTCAACGCCGATGTTCGGCACTGGGCGTTCGCTTTCAAACAGCGAGAAAAGACAAGGGTTCTCATCTACCCACTAATTATTCCAACCAGAGCACAATGTTCCGACGTCTCAGCGCGCTCTCACCTCGTCCTCTCTTTCAATTTCTACCCGTATACCACCCTCCTTGACGTCTGCACGATGATTTGCGAGCTCGCACCCAGGTGGCTTGCAGAATGCAAAAACACTAAGAATGATATAGTAGAGGCTGACAACGACCAGGAAGATTGCGATAAGTAATAATTTTAACGAAATATATGAACAATGACCACCTAGGAGCAAGCTTAGAAACCAGTGTGCAGTATAGAAAATGCACGGCCGCCGTTTTCGCTGTTTTTAATATTTCACCACCTCTAAACTTTTTGCGATATGACGTTAGCTTGCCCAATTTTAAGTATGTACAATTATAATTCGAATTGTTCAAGACATGCAAACTGTGCTGGCCCTAAAGGTTGTTCTCTGTACACTTTGCAACACTAGGCTCAGTCGACTTATCTGCACTGGCCTGCACCTGTTCAGAAAAGTGTAGTGTGATGCAAAGTGAAGGGCAATGTACTTCCGATTGTATTTTGAGATAGGCTGTGCTCGTAAATGGAATATGGTTGTGTGCACTGAGTGCAGCTGGTGCAGGAAGTGCAGGTAAGTGGAATACAACGGTTAGCGCGAACACAACATAGGAGCTTTTTCGCATATTACATTAAAGGGGCCCTGCAAACATATTTAAGCATCCACCTTTTTTGCGGTTTCCACGTCTCTTGGGGTTCGGGCAAGCCAGCGGGCATAGAGAGAGGAACTAAATATCAGTGCGTCATATTTTAACCGGACGACGCAAAAAACCTCCTCCGCCTACGAGGGCGACCCGTGGTGCCGAAAGCACGCGATATGTGACGTCTTTGGTCCTGAGCTTACTAGTGGTCAGAGCCGTTAAAAGCTACTTTTTAGTCGAAATACAAAATATAAGTGGCGCGAACCATTTCAATTATTTATAAAAGTAGTTTTTGTTCACTATTTTAGATTAAAAAAAAGAAGCAAATGCAGTTTAGAAAGTACGGAAACAAGAAATGGCCCATCCACATACCCACCACCAAGCGGTGGAAAGGTGGCGCATACTAGAAAGATGTAGTGGGATCAGGCACCAACGAGCGGCGAGCGTAGAAAGGTCCCGGATGTATGCGGCAGCGCTGCGGTCGTATGGACTGGAGGATCCGACCGGTTCCAAGCGTTCCCAAGGCCTTTGGCGAGCAGCTTTGGCTTGCGGTTTGGCCTTTTGGCGGTATGGCAGTGCGAAGTGGCTCACGTTCTGAACTGATCTTTACACCGTGTTTGCTGTCGTTTGTGGCCAATGAAGTGTCTGACGAATTAGTGTTTAAACATGCAGCAAATGCAATGCGAGCCGACCTGGCTGCCCGCTTCATACAGCTTAGCCAGAACATGCTTTAGCGGCACCCTCTGGAGCTGTCGACACGGAGTGCGGCAGCCGTGAGCGCTCGCTGAGCTCACTACCCCTGCTCTAGTTCACGGCCACTCAAGCAACCAAGGACGTCATGAACGAGGTTATTTTTTGCTTGTTTTTGTAATTTTAATTAACCTTTAACTTTGAAAATAAAGTGAAATTCGAGAAAAGAAAAGTTTAATTAAGTTACTACGTTCAGTGCACTCAGGTTCAGTGCGAATTAAGAACCAGTAAAAAGTCCTTGCAGGGCCCCTTTAAAGGGGTACGGAAACAAAAATTGAAATATTCAAATTTCGTTCGGAAATGAGTGAAGCATGACGGATAATAACCGTAAATGGTAATTGCACGTTTGTATTTTGAACAACTGGCTATATTTTTTGTTCCAAACGGTGCACTCGAGCAAGCGCTCGAAGAGAAGCGAACGGAGAGCGCGATGCATCATGGAATGTTTGGCGCAAACAAAAACAGAAAGAAAAGGCTCCCCACATACTTGACATAGCAAGGCTGGCGTGGTTATGAGCTTTGCCCTTGGTGGCGTTGTCAGCGTTGTGGTGGGGCGCAAGCCCCCGCGGTTGTTGCCGCGTGGGAAGTCAACCTCCACCTGCTCGTGGTGCGCCCTGCCAGCTTTATTGCTGCAACGGAGGCTCTGGCGAAAACCCCCCCACCTGGGGTGGGGAACCCTAGCACTGGGGTTCCGCATGTGGACGGGGGGGACAAAAAGGGCCTGGGAACCCTAGCTTACCCCATGGAAGCGGAGCCACTGAGGCAGGGTCCATACCAGGGGAAGCTATCATGAAGGTGGTGCCCCTCGTAACTTCCCACGTAGGGAGGTGCCCCCGCATGGTGGCGGGGGTGATCTCCAGGGGAGCCGAGGGATATAAAAGTGATCACTGATCGGCGGGGCTGGATGGTTCATGGTTGCCATTCAGTGACCGTCGGACCCGCTGTGAGACGCACTCATGTCTTAGTAGCGGAGCCGGACAGTGAGTCGAGCAAGTGGGTACTTTTAGTACCACTGGTTTTCCCGGGCCGTTCCACTGGCTGTACAATACAATAGTTGGTTTCATTTATAACCCCTTAATTCCAATTGGCTTTTTCCTGAAATTTTCACTTGATCACATGATCCTATTCATTTTTATTGGAATTGGGTTAAGCCTGCGGTGCGAAAGCGGGAGCGGGCAGGGGACAAGTTTTTCTTAAATTTTTTACAAGAGCCCCGACTCAAAATCTGTCAGCGTTGTGGTGGTGTCAATAGCGTCAGCGCGTTACAACCGAGCCATTCGAAGTACCTGTGGGGTGACGAGCGTGTGGCTGGCCCAAGGAGCACGTAGCTTCCACAACACTGTCAGCTTGGGGCTGAACAGGGTGGGGAAAGCAACTTTTGTGCGAGTTTTGAGCGACGGGCTAATCTTCTAGGGGGAGAATGGCTGTGTCCGGTTGCACAAACGAGGGTCCAAGAAAGCGGGGAGCCCTTCCTTTCCGTTTTCTTGAACCGTTTGGTACAATGCGCGATTTGTGAGTTGAGCTATTCGCGACTCCAACTAACTATAGGTGGTGCCACCCATTTTCCAAAACGGCGGTTATAGTGAGGGTTAGAGATGCGTGCCGCTGTTGAGCCTGTCTAGTGTGCTGGCACTACTGAGCGACACAAATTATTTCTGGTAATATGAGGAAGCTAGGGTGTTATGGGCGCAGGTCACCTCTTTACTCTGAAAACAAGAATGGTGTTTAGCGTAATATTTACGCAAGGATGCGCATTTTAATTCTGGAGTGAAACCGAAACTAGCCTCTATTTTGGATTTAATTTCTCGATGTAGGTCTTAATTTCGGATTCTTTCATACCTCAAGATGTGTCTCACATCGTAATTATTTAGTTAGAGAAGTTGTTCGCAGAAACTTTATTTTGTGACATACATATCCGATCCACGCTGAAATTTGTAGTTGTTGAAAAAATCAGTGCTGATCGATATTTGTGCGTTCTCGCTGCCTTTTCTCCCTCAAAAAATTGTCATGGGAAATAATGAACTGCGGGCCTTTTACTGGGTTTTTGGGTCTTTAGATGATTAATTGGTTTAACATTATTCTCAGCACAGGGCAGGAATAAGAGAATTTCAATTTTTACAAATGTCCACAAAATGTATAAATTAACAAACGCTGTTCTCACTGCAACAACCCAAAGACGGAATCCGAGTTAGACAGCTGAAGTGTGTGCAAGTGTGTTTTATAGCAACGCGTAACGCATAGGACTTTATATTACACCCAGTGTTTGACTGTTTGTCTATCATGATAACGATGTCAAAGTTTTTCATATGCTAAAAAGAAAACAAGATTATACCTTTCTGGATAGACTAATATGGTTAAATGGCATATTTTTGTGATCTTGGCGTTCATTGGGGGCATAAATTGCCGCGACTGATATTGATAATACTATTAAAATTCAGCTATTGCAATACATAATTTTTCAGCGTTGCTTATGATCTAGTTTCAAACGCACAAACAAATATGACAATCAAAAGTGTGCTAATTATCATCACTGGTGCCTATTGCAGCATTTTTAATTACCAAGTAATAAAATAAAAATAGTCTAAAGTCAATGAAAACATTCTAGCTATTGTGAGAAATCCATGTAAAATTACATTAATTGTGTTTAAAGTATATTTTTCTACCAAAGTCGTGACTTTTGACAATCAGCAAAACGTAAGTCGCCGCCAATATTCTTCCAAACCAAATGCCCAAAAAATTAAAAAAAAATATATTAATTTTTTTTATAACATTTAGTTACTTTCATTTTTACGCTCCGTCATTTTTTTTCCAATCTCAGCCTTTCCAGTTCGAAGGAACGCCTACTTCTTGTGTGTCTGATAACTGAAGCACGTTTCGTTGGCGTTGGAAGCCGGTGAAACAGTAGTGAGTTTTAGTATTGCGTATACAAGCGAACGTAAGTGCTGTGTGTTTGCGTTAGCTTTGCGTGTTCCTCACTGCGCGTGCGCGGAGCCCAAAATTGCGGTCTTGGATGGTGCATGGCCAGGAGGCGCACGCACAATGTGGGACTTCCAACTCTAGTGCCAACGCACACCGCTTGCGTTGGCTTCTACGCGCAATACTAATACTCTCCCGTAAGGTACAATCCCATACCGGCTACAGCACTAGGTTGGGACAGTGACGAGCATTGTTTGCATTCGGAAATGACATTTCGCGAGCCACGATAGCGAGCAGTTCCACCGTGCCCGCTGAGCAGGAGATTCGGGGGACCCTCACTAGCGGAGGCTGGAGACGCGAATAGGAGGAAAGCTAAGAAGGAAAATGTTGAAATTCCAAAGAGCGGCGCGGCTCCGAAGGAATCTGCTACGTCACGACTACGTAGCAAGTTCCCCAACGTAGCTAGATTACCTCCCAAATAGGCTCCGCATGCATCCACCAGGTGCACATTGAAAGATTGTTTATCTAGCTTTAAAATTATTTTTTTGTGTGCCTTTCAACGGAAGACTGGTGCTTTTGGGGTTAGGGTGCAACATGTAACACATTCAAGCTAGAAAATGAGTGCTGGAATTTCGTTTCCCTACCCCTTTAAGAGTTTTGGCGGGCATCAAATTTTACCGCTTAGGTTAGTGCCCCAAATGACTACTTTCCACCACAAGAATAGTTCTGGATGATATTCCTTTCATTCTCAGAGAAAAGTGGGAATAAAAACTGGCGACCACTAGTTCGCGCTAACGGTGTCGCGCAGGGTGCAGTAGTGATTAGAGTAGTGACAACACTGACAACGCTCCGTCTGCCCTTTTGCTAGGACTGCAGTCTCCGCAGTCATCGCAAATATATTTGAGACTGGAACCCACACTTCAAGTTCCAGCCCTAGTTTGGACTGGCACGAACTTACTAATGACTAGCAAGTGCTCCAAATAGCACGCCGGACTGTCATGCACATTTGGCAGGTGCTCAGAATAAACATGACGCAAAAGAAAGAGACGTAACTCACGTAGCGGAGGATCCTTTCACAGTAGAGCCAGTAGAACCTTCATTCGTTTCCCGACATAGTCGTCAGAGAGAAACACCTATGGAAAGGTGGCGAATAACTCCTCTGTATCCACATAGGAAAAGCCGCCTTCACATAGAAAAGCCGCCGATGACTGCGGCAGTTTTTGTAAGGAACTGCCCTAAAAATGCTAACCGTACGGCACCGAGTTATCCTCGTGCAGCCGTCGTGTGTCCGGTCAAATGAAAAACAAATTAATCTCAGTAGACGACGAGTCCAAACCGACAAAAGTCAATCGCTAGGTTTTCCGCGGCCTGTCGCCCTGCGTTCCAGGGAGTCGCCATTTTAAAACTCGGATCGTCTTGGCTAGTCTTGGCCTCTTGGCTTAGCGTAGTAGCCAGTAGCACGTTTGGCGTTATTTGGCGTACGCGGACGCGGCGTACGGTACTATGGGGGCCCCTAAACTCGTCAAACACAAAGTTGGAGCCGAAGTTGACGGAGCGCACCGATTGGCCTATCAGGACGATGACTTCGCGCTTTTTTCGCCGACGTCCAATCAGCGCGCTCTGCGAACTTTCGGCTCCAACTTTGTGTTTGACGAGTTTAGGGCCCCTGAACGTTAAACCGGTGATGGCTAAACTGTACGCAAGATGGCACAAGCTATCGCCCATTAAAAGCCGTATATTCGATCCAGCCATTTCAACGAGTCATCCACTGATTTTTTCTCTACTCGCTGCACTCGCTGGCTTATCGTGTGTTCGTCGGACTTCTTGTGTACTTACATTTGTTTTCCGCAATTTGCCTAAAATCGGCAGCGGCGTTATTGTTTTTAATTGTATTTATCTTTTGACGAATGTGGTGACAGACTTGACAGCTTCCGTTCTTTTCGTTCTTTAATGAAATCGGGGGATTGTTTTTGACTTGACGTTGGGTGCTGTGGACTGTGTGGACTGTCCCGGTCCTGTGTTGTGATGGCTGATTACGGCATCGTTGAATATTTCTACGAGCACAGCGGTCATAGGTGTGGCTACTGCAAATCAGAGTCGTCCAGTTTCAGCTGTGGTACGCACTACTAATACATGATATTCTCATCAGTGTCTTTCGAAAGAAGTACCAGCTTTCGGCGACTACCAATATTTCGTGTATTACACATCGAACCGTAAGCTCTTGCGTGCAACATCTGTCATGACTCGTGTGTGTGCGCAGGAGGATATCTCGAGAAAGCTGGCTTTCAAGCTGCGAAATCCGGAAGTTCTATAAAGCTAGGGAAGAGATACAAGCGCGTTGTAAGAATGCAAACGCCATTAGACACGTCTTCCAGATAATTTGTTTCGTCTTCCATTATGCGTTTTCTTGCATAATTTGTGATGCTGTTACAAGCAAGCACGCAGCGAAGGCATCATGGTGAACAGCAGGAAGGCAGTGTCCCTTCGATTATCGTGGTATTCTTAATGTGCTGTAACGCCAAGAACAACAGCACTATTGTTTTGGGGTCAGTGTACCTCATTTAGAAGTGTGGGGTTGCTGCGTTTCCATGTTGTGGTGTTGCGACTAATAAATCGCTGCTTTGTTGATTCTGGAGCTTACGGAAAGCCTGCACTCTTCGAAGCAGAGTCCCAGTATTTGTATCCCCAACAACTGGTTGTCAAAATAAAAATAAAAAATTGTTTTTTTTTTTTTTTCAGGGATGTGGGCACACAGACTGACTGCGGAGATATATGACAACTTAATTAACCGGGGGTGGAGAAGGTAAGAAAGCACAGAACTGAAGGAAAGAAGAGCAATGAAACATTGTCAAAGCTCCAATGAATGACATGTCGGAAACCCTGCTTCATTTTCTCCTAGGTCTGGCGAATACTGTTACAAGCCAATGATGCAGAAGACGTGCTGTTGTCAGTATGCCATAAAGTAAGCTTCGAGAATTGATGTGATTTAGGATGGGAGTACACGTAATATTCACATTGCAGGTTAGATGTCCAGAATTTTAAGATTTCCAAATCCCAGAAAAAGATACTGAAGAGGATGCACAAGTTTCTTTCCACTGGCAAAGGAGATGACAACTTGAAGGTGATGACTTTACACTGTTGAAGGGTGTTTCTTTATTTTGAGGTTGGAAAAAGTTTTTGGCGCAGCATTATACAAAGTAAATAAAGCGCACGAAACGGGCGTTTGATGCAATGCCACTGACCGGACACGAATCGAGAGACCTTTTTCCAGCATCGCATTTTCCTCTGTTTATTAACATTTCTTTCTTACATAATTGGGTCCTCCTTTGTGGTTGTGTCCACTTCTCTTTTGAAACAAAAGCACCACAAGTTCCCGCAAACTTTTCAGGCCGACGTAGAAAAGTACAGCCATTGCGAGTCGGCAGGCGACAGCATCATGGAAATGCCAGACTTTTCTCACAAGAAATCGGATGTGCAGATAGATCTTCCCAGCTTGATACAAGCCACAGGTACTGAATTTATGCCGACTACTTGTTTCTTTTGGCACATCAACTCATTTTTAACAATCTATTTTTTGTTCAGATGCTTCGAAGGAGGAACATCCTGCAGTCTCTTCAGACTCCAAAATGCCAGGGAACGACAGACCCGAAGCTTTGCGTGAAACCACAAGCACTGCAGCCTGTGGCAACTCGGTGCCCAAAAAAGGCAAGAGTGTCTCGAAGGATTGAAAATATTGTTGCATCATACAGTCGCAAACAATACGAAAAATCCCAGGCCAATGATTGGCTAAGAAGGCCTATGCTACCATGTATAAGAAGAAAGCTTAACCATTATCGAGGTTTCAGTGGATGTTCAATTATGGTTGTCGTTCCCCTGCTTGACGAGCTCTTGTCGAGTTTATGCTGATTTTAACGCCAAACGTAGAGGTGTGAGGCGTTTGATGAATAAGTGATGATAAGCATTTTTTACTTTATTGCAACAAGCGCTACTACTGTTGGTTTTAACTCGGCAATCGTTTGCCGACCAAGTGGGGAGCAACGACAAAAATCGAACAGCCGCTGAAATGCTGCTCGTTTACACCACAGCCTCGATGATAACTCGGCAGTCTTCCATTTAAATAGTACTGGAGGTTTTCGGAGCCACGCACTCGCCTGGGCTTTTTCATATTGTCCGTGACTGGACATAAAAATCATGTCGGCCAATGTGTGATTTAAGTGTTTCACGAGACCTTCGCTGGAGGGTGGTAAGCGCTAGTAAGGTTGCAAAGCACATTAAAGGGGCACTAAAGTGCTTTTTGGGATCCTCGTTTTATGGTCATAACTCAATCTACAAACTCTAAGCATCCTAAAAAAAAACGAAATTACATCCTTGCGCGGTTAAAAAAATGATAAAAGTCTTGACACTTACCTTTGGTGCCTAATGACAGATGGCACTACCGAACCTCATTCACATTAGCATCCCACATTCGTTGGCGCAGAACGACTCATGGCGCTACCGAACCACATTAGCATTCCACATTCGCACTCCCCCCGAAGTTTCCTCTCACCATCTGACAGGATGCACAGGGAGGTCGTCAGTCAAGGACGACCTCCCTGTGCACTTTATTTGAGTGCTCTAGGGGCCATGAAAAAGAAGCTGATAGAGAGAAGACCAGACAATCCTCCTTTTCCTCACGAGATCATGTGATCATGACCTGATGTAACCAGTGCTACAAGTGGTTGTTAACTGGCATTAGCCCATTTCATGTATGTCTTCCATTCAGCCACCCATTTGTGAGTGACTGAATGGAGCACAAACAAATGGGATTCTTTGTGCTTCTGAAAGGATTGATACAGAATCTTTGAGACCACCCCTGCGATGTGGGCTCATCGCAATCTTTAATCCTACCAGGCTTGGGACCGGATCCAAACAAACCAAGGTGCCGAAAAGCTCGAGAGATTCGAAGGGAAAGGAAGCTCCAGAAGTTGATGGAATTGAGCAAGGATCCAAATTCCTTCCCAGAGAAGGTATGACGGGCTTTATGCAACGATCATAAATGAGCATACTGTGACTGCGAGGCGAGACTCTGATCGTCATATGCCCGACCACCTGTTGCAGAGTATGTTGAGTACAAAGACGCCCAAAAATGAACCAAAGACGCTGGAGGATCTTTTGTTTGAGCCTCTTCCTGACAGTGCGGCCCACAAGCTGGAGGTCAGTTACTAATTACTAGTTGTTTTTCTTTGTTTTTCTTTTTCAATTATAGTTTATGCAAATCTTTTAAAAATTTATTTAATGAGTGTCCATGTGCACACTACATTCTTAGTCCCTTCCTCCACAATATAAATCACTTTTTGCCTTGGACACGTTGCAAGTGTGAAATCAGGAACTGATTCATTAATAATTTCTTGAAGTTTAACAATCTTGTCTTTACCACTACTGATGTGGCATCACTACATTTTAAATTGGTGCCATAGACGGAGTTTGTAAACCATCATGCTGTTTTGTTGCAAGGATGTGCAGGACTTAGTGGGAGATCTCGAACTGAATGCCTAAAAGCAAAGACAAAAGGAAGGAAGAGACAACGCAAGGCATAGTTACGACTTGTGTTGTCTCTTCCTTCCTTTTGTCCTTGTTTTTGTGCGTTCAGTTCGAGATGCAAGACAAACTAGCCCAATTTGCTGTTCTAGTGTGGAGAGTTTCTGGCACAATGGAGTGGGTCACGATTTGAAATCTCTATTTTGACTGTACAGCTTGGTGAAAGGCAAGCCTGACTTGTCTCTGTAATACTAGGTACACTTTTATAAGCTTGCATTTTCTTAGAAGGCTGAATTAAACCTCAAGATGTGCTAGCTGCGACACCTGGCACATTTTAATAGGACCCACGAACGGTATTGCGGTGCGAACTCATTACAACAGACCTTGAAAATGATGAAGATTTTGGTCTGTTGTGAAAGGAGTATGCAGAACGCAGATACTCTTACTAGAGACTTTGATCTGGGTTATGACTGAAGTCTCTTCTAACCAGTGAGGCTGACGAAATTCCCGAGGTTGTTTGGAAACTAGAGTGGTAATACGCTCTAGAAAAAATATTTAATTATAATGTTGTTATAAGGAATTTGGCTTGTATAACAACCACCATTACACTTAGCCGAATCATTTGAGGCTGGCCTGGGTCCTAAGCTGTTGCACAAATAAACACACACGAAAGGCAACAGTTTTCATCTCAAAATGTTAGGACAGGCGTCGGAGCATTAATGGTAAAGCCCAACCATGTCCCTCATTTACCATGCATGCACGAGTAGCTTAAAGTTGTGTATGATACCATGGATCTGGTAAGAATTGATGACTTCGTCCAAGTTTGCAACTTAAGAAATATGACATGTACAGAGCTGCATGAGCTTTTTTAGCTATTACTATGGTCGGTGTCAGGCTAAGGATTTGGTGGAAGCTATGCCTCCAGCATATGCTCGTCGCGTTCCAATCGGTTTTGGCTCTGCATGTGACAAAGTGTTGTTTGGCTCTGCATGTGACAAAGTGTTGTCAAAGGCAGAATGCTCACCCTGGAGGCAGAGCATCTGTGGAATTCTTAGCCTGAAGTCGAATATAAGAAACCTAGTTTCACATTTCCCAGGGCACTTTCGATTGAATATTGGTCAAATTCAAAATCCATGATTCCAACAGCCAAAACTAGGTAGCACTCAAGCACCTCAACTGAGATAGTACTATTGGCATACAATTTTGTGACCGCGGCTCTGAAGTTGCATCAATGAACGGTAAGCTTAGATAAATATGGATTTTATAGTAATACTACTTCTTCATTTTGCTTGCATCAGTCCAAAAGACATTTTGGAATTTGTTTAGCTGCTTGGCTTGAGCTCGAACTTTAGCTGCAATATTGCAAACAACCACATTCAGTAGTGGGAATACATCTTCACAGGCAACGTCATTTTGCAGAGGATCATGGTAGATTCCTGGACTGTCTGTTTGCTGTTACTTTTGACAAGGGAAATCGGTTACCTTACTTTTTGTGCCTCTTTTGCTTTTACTGTTAAAGTGGTGATTGCAAAGTGACCTTGTTTTACGCATCTCCTGCCGCGCCCACTCTGTAGGTGCGTCTGGTGCAGGATTCTCCCGACTGCCCCGAGTTTGCAGACTCCTTTGGTTCAGCCTTTGCCACTTACTGCAGCTACCAGAGAGGCATTCACAAAGACCCTCTGGAGAAGCTTAACGAACAGCGCTTCCGCCGCTTCCTAGTCAATAGTCCTCTGCAGGTATTCAGACGACTCTGCCTTGACCTCTTGTTGCAAGGAAAAGCACTGCTGCAGGTTGGGAGGCTTTGAAGTTTATACAGGAAAGGTAGCTAAGTTCATGACAGTGTGCCATCAGCTTTACAGTTAAGATTGAGGCCACCTGGTATTCGCAAGAATCTCTGACATCCGATTGGCTTCACGACTCGCCATGTGCGCGATCAGTCGCGTCATTGCAGTCGAGCTTCACGTTTGGCCCAGAATTCACTGCAAGTCCTTGCGTAAAGCTCTTTCTGCTTTTATCTGGCGGAATATTTGTCTACTCAGAACAGCAGGTATGGCAGGATTGCTCTCAAGTGAAAGCAAAGCAACAGCGGAAAGCCTTTTGCAGGTTCGGTGCATGCCAAAACAACTGGGAATGTCCCAGATCTGTGGGTGGTCAGCTTTTACACTAAGTTTACCTTTGATTGGCAGGTTCAGTGCATTTCACAATGCTCCCAGCATACCGTATTACAGCCTTAGTGGGGGCTATGAAATGTGGCATTGACCACAGACGTTGTTCCTGGTTTAGGAGACTCATTGACAAGGAAGAGTGTTTAATTGGTAGGTAATGGGCTATGGCAGAACCCAAGGAAGGATGCTTAGTACTTTTGCGTCCCACCTTTCCTTTTTCTTTGGGCCTATCGGGGGGATAAAAGCAGTTGTTTCAATTGCGTCTATAGTTTATTCCGAGTACTTAAAGGAGCGATGCAACAATGTTTGTGCTTTGCGCAAATACCACTTAAAAGGGATCCCTAACGTTAATGACCTATGAAACGCGCGTTCGTTTTTCACCCCACGCAATAGAAGTCCCAGAAAAAAATTAAAGAAAAACGAGCAGCGTTCACCCCCTCAACTCGCAGCCAGAACAAGTGGCCACGAGATCTGGAGCCGGTTATATGCCGCCAGTGTTGATCATAGCCACGCGCTGGGGTTGGCAAAGCGCAGGACACGCGCTGAGTTCCAGACATTGTTATAGCTCGGCTGTTGTCATCGTTGCAGCGATTGGACACGGGTCACAACCCGAATACTTCTCGAGCTAGCAATTGTCACGAGCCCAAGTCGAGTGCCCACGCAATGCTCGGGTCCAATCTATGAAACGCATTCAAATATCGTCACTTGGGTGTACTGCAATCCCCGAGTTACGTCATCAAATTTTGCAAAGGAGAGATTGAATAAAAATGATCGCTTTTGTCCTTGAAATTACACCGCAACAAAGGAGTTTCTTGGCCAATGGCGTTGCGTGTGAGTATCCTTGAGTCCCAGGTGTGCCAGTGAGCTCGTGTAGCGAGAAAAACATTCCAATTGAATATCGTTGCACAGCTCCTTTAAGTGGCCGACCCTATGAAGGGTGTGTAGAACTGAAACTTGCAGACAATAATGGAAGAAGAGATGCTAAAGAAATTGCAGTCGCAAAAAGGGGATTAGCAAATTGGTGGAAAATGTCTAGGGAAGTGTGAAATTGCTCACAAAGTAATGGGTTAGACAGTGTAACCGGGGGTAGACTTTTTTGTTGAAATGTTAAAAGGAGGGGTAGAAAAATTTCTAGGCTGCCAGGTGGTGCGAGCTACCATCCGACACTATAAAGGGTATGTCCAGTGGCATCCATTCGTCCACCCATTTGGAGAAGTGACAAAGTGTTGTCTGATCCTCAAAGGTGCAGACGGTTAGCTCGTGCTCCGAGGCAGCGGAGTTTTACGACACATTCCGGCAGTCTTGGGAGGTGTTTGCAAAGTACCAGATGTGCATCCACAAGGACACTGAGAGCGAGTGCAACAAGTCCTCCTTTCGACGATTTCTGGTCGACTCACCACTGCAGGTAACGCAAACGTGCAGTGACCAGCTTGCGCTTTTCATCTCGTGACTGGGACAGACAGCCTGCAGCAGTGCTTTATTTTTTTTTTTTGTCTGGGAAGATGGAAGGGTGTATGGTCGGATACGAAGTAAGAATGCGCCCAAATACAAACATCACCCCGTACCAACCATGGCACCAAGTCACTCCCCCAGACCAACCAAAAAAGGCAGTAACCACAACAAGTTATGCGACGCGTGGGTTTGTGGAAGAGAAAGAAGTTTGTGCGGCACAGGACAAGTGAGGGCGGTTGCTCGATTTCGGACGTGTTCAGATAAAGGTGTGTTTTCTCTTTGCCCAGCCCGTCTTGTCCTTTTCTGAGCGAGTGCCGTGCACCTATCCCCACAAATGTTAGCGAGACGTGCTTCTCGGGTAGCAAACTATTTGCTCATTGCAGAGGAACACAGGCTGGCGGCGATGAAGCCGTGAGTCTGAGAGGAGCTTCTGGTGCATTCTTAACTCGTATCTGACCATAGTGATCACCTAAAGGCTGGTTGACACACTGGCATTTTGAGCGTGACCGAATGTATTGTGCTCCCTTGCGATTGCTTATGATGAGAAAACGGGCAAAGAACACTCTGGCATGCAATTGCGTATATAACTAAACTGAAGGTTTTGTAATATCTGCGAGATGAAATATTAGGATTGTGCAAATATTCACATTTTTTAATAGTAGTTTCGAATAATATGTTATTCAGTATTTGCTTCAAGATGAACTGCGATTTCCATAGTTTTAAAACTTTTGATCCCTACGGATTAGCTCCATTGGGTGCGCTTCTAAGGCCCGCTTCAGATGAGGCAATTTCTCCCGGCAACTACCAGCAACACGGGCCACCCGCGTTCACACGCAGCAACCAAATCATCATCATTAAATTTTATTTTCTTGCACCATTTAGACACACAGTTACGCGCTATAAACCTTTTTTTTATACATTTAAATGGCGTTGAGAACATCAACTTATATTTTTGAAACGGTTTTATTCCCAAAAACGATCAATTTCAAACCAGAACCAAGTGTTTAGTTCATATCATCACCGGTACTGGGTGTTATGTGAAAATATCACGTCCCTGATTGGCTGCTGTCGCTTCAAACGTCTTTGAATTGCTCCGAGTTGCTCGCTTGTTTCGAGCCAGACCTGGATGTCAGCAATTCATATTGATCTAGGGAACAACTCGTTGGCAACCCCAATATTGCTTAGAAAATTGCCCCATCTCAAGCAGGCCTTACTGAGCTCCGGTGTACTGTGGACAAGGGTGCTGCTTGTCCACAGCACGCCGGTGCTCTGTAGGAAGCGGACTTAACAGGGCTAACCTGCAGCGATCAACACTTTGAAAAGTATGTACTGTAAAACCATTAAAGGACACATGCAAAGAAAAAAAAACTTTTTTTTTAAACAAGCTACTAGATGGAAAAAGAATATTATAAAACAAATTTACAATGAAGAAAAAAAATTTTAGAGCTATATTTACGCCACAAAACAAATTTGTAGTTGGCGCCCGCGGGAGCTGCCGCTGGTTACGTGGTAGGCCTGTGCATCACCGCGCTGCGTCGCCGCCGCCGCAAAGTCACGCCGCCGCCGCACGCTGAGCGTTGCGGCGCACAGGTCTATCACGTCTGCTTGCGCTTTTTCAGGAGTTTCGTTCGGGCTCTAAAAGTTACTTATTAATGCGAAAGCATTAACTGTCTCATAAAGCCAGCTGACGTCATCCATTTGAAGCGCGAAAACAGCTGATGGTTTCTGCGATCCGAATAGGAGCGATTTGCCTTCGGTTCCATTCGCTGGCGCGCGTCAACGGGGCTCCCATTGGCCGCTGTGCCATGGCCTCCGAGATCCCGAAGCATGCGCACTAGTACGCAGCAGACGACAAAGGGAGCGGATTGCAGATGACAAAGGGAGCAGATGAGCGGCTTGCATGCTTTCGCATTCACAACTTATAAGAAATGCTTAGGTGTATTTGAGCTTTTCATCTTAGTTTTTGTTATACTTCAAACAAAGATAAATAAATTACTTTTAGAGGCCATAGGATGCTTTCGAAAAAGGGCAAGCACCACGTGACAAATAACGACCAGTCACATGGCAAATAGCGACCACTTTTCCGCGGCACCTGCGGGCGCCAACTACAAATTCGTATCGTGCCGTAAATATAGCTCTAAAAATTTTTCTTTTTCGTTGTAAATTTTTTTATGACTTCCTTTTCCCAACCAGGATGTTAAAAAAAAATGTTTTTTTCCTTTGCATGTGTCCTTTAATGTTTGCGAGTTCTTAACTTTCGCGAATTGAAAAATTTGCGAAATTAAGGGCATGCGGAAATCTCGGTCCTTAAGAGTTTCAATGCAGGCGTCTGGAATTCGCAAACTTTAGTGGCCACGATTATGTCCTCTGTGAACAATTTGTGAAAAATAGGGGCTGCGAAAATAAAGGGTTTTACAGTATGTCGCAGTCACGCGCTTATGAGAAAAGCATACTTTCAGAGTGGGACAGTTGATTTAAAAATTTGAAAATGTGGAAATACTGATCTGCAATGCAGTATTATCTTCAATAATAAATTGTGGCTCTAATGCGAGAGAATGTCGTGACAACCTGCTTTGTTATTTTGTAATCGTCGTTTTTTTTTTTTTTTTATATTCGAGATCTAAGAATTATTTGCATATGGCAAGCAGATTTATTATTTTGCTTGATTAGGTACAGCTGGGCATCTCTGTGGGATTAATTCTATGTCAAATGTGTCATTTACTTGCCATCCTAATGTAGGCATTGGACTTTCTGATGCCACAGTCCAAAAATATAGCAAGGTTACAATTGACTCAGAAATATACAAGTTCAGCTGGGTTTTCGTTTAAGCATGTTGGTGAAAAGCTCAGAGAAACTATTCAATATTTGATTAGAAATTATTGGGCCAAACCACCTTTCGCCTCAAATTAAAAATCCACTAGTGTCTTTGCAATTGCCGGCCAAATATATGTACTATCGTTAAAAATGGTCGCTTATAACATTGTCAAAAGTTTTTCACGGCAAAAAAATCATGTGCAAAAAAACGAGGAAATGTACGAAGAACGGAAGCGATCGCAGGTGAGCACAACACACCCGGTCACATTCAAAGAAAAGTTGTTTGTGAACCAGCCTTGAAATGTTTTATGTATGAGAACTTCCAAAGAATGTTTCAGGGGCTGCGGTATTTTTAAAAGAAAGCCAGAAGAAGCGGAAAAAGTAGTCTTGGAATGACAATGTTAATAAACGCCAAGAATACGATTGTCTGCGGTGAGAAGTGGCTACAAATTAAAAGGATATGTATCAAATGCATAGTTGCACTCAACATTGGAGTAAAGTAGTGAACATGGTTTAATTATGATCATGAACTCAAGTTTAGCTTCTTTTTTCATGCGCAGGAGTACATGGAGTATTTCACCGAGCGAAACATTTGATTCAAATTTACGCTCGCATTGTTCCCACAACATTCTTTGGGGTTTGTTCCGTATAGATTTTTTTACGCTTCCACTTTGACTTCAGTGTTTCGTGGTGTTTAAAGGTATTTTCGCGTGTTCTAGCTATACTTTTTTTCCCCTTAAGTCCAGGTTACGGTGCAAGATATATAGGTTATGACACATAGCACCATGAACACTGTGATGCAATGGGCCGGATAAAGTCCTCTTGGCACGTGCCCGAGTAGCCTAAGCCGGCAGCGTCTCCACCGTCAAAACAGCAACACTAAAAATATAAAAAAAAAAGTTGCTTTTGGGTTTGTGTTTTTCTCTGCTCCAACATTGACGGACGCTGGCTCGAACACCGTGCCAGAGATCTTTACACTTCAACGCGTTCATAAAACCTCTATTGCTGCCATTGAGGCACGAAACTAGGGTCAATGATGAAGTCACTAAGCAACATGCGTAGCATAAGTACCGAGTTTCACTCGAAGTGGCTCACCCAGACGACTTTAAAAACAAGCACGTTTCCCACAAGGAAGCGTGGGAAGCCGGGCCCACGACAGGCTGCCATTAGCCGCATATCGAGGAGCCATCTGGTGTCGCCGCTCACAACCGAGGCAAGGAGAGGACTTTATCTGGCAGCTGCAACGCGCATGGTGTCCACACCAATATGTATCCTACACCATGGTCTAGATACAGCCAATGCTACGAGCTGGTGGGACCGATCAGACAGCATTAGAAGCGCTCATCTTGTTTCTGTACGTGTTGTATCATCGCTGAACCAATCATAAACAGAAAAGGCCTAGTGACTTGCGCTTTTGACGCTACTTGACTCTTACCATGAGCTCGTAGCATCGGCTGCATCTAGACTTAAGCTGAAACGAAGTGTCGCATTTTTGTTGAACTGCATTCATTCTGCATATACTTAGCATACAGGGTGTTTTTTTTTAATTTTTTTTTAGAGAGATCAGAATTTAAAATTAAAACAAGGAGGGAGGGGGGTGTACTAGTTAAGGTTCTTTTAGCTCCGAGACTAACTTGGTGGCATTGGGGGCCACTAGAGAAGAGGCAGAATTGAATAATTAGTTAGCTAAATTACTAAAAAGGTTTTGATTAACTTATTAATTAAAATGTTTATTTTATGGCACATAGTGTTGGAGAATTGATGTTCAGCAAATTGAACCTGATGTTGCTTTGAAGTCAATGAATACTCACATTTTTAAACCAGCAGTCACATAAACCAAGAAAGCCTTTAGGCTCTGTGACAGCATACTTTTCGATTCGGCGACAGCTATTGGCAACGTTGCAGCTTAATTTAGAGCATTCATACTAACTGGCCACGAGTCCATCATTAAGTTCTCTTGCCCGTGCCTGGCAATTCACCCTGATGCAACTCCTTCTCCCCCCACCACAGCAAGAACCGAAAGGTGCCTACAGCCTGGGCTCATTCCATCAGCAGTACTGGCTCGATGGGGACCTGATTGCCGTCGGAGTGATTGACATCTTGCCCACCTGCGTGTCGTCCGTTTACCTCTTTTACGACCCGGACTACAGCTTCCTTTCCCTCGGGACATACGCTTCACTCAGGTAGGCATCGAGCATCCTGCACGAGAACCTGCTCGCAAAGATGACAGGTGCTCCTGTGCACGGTCCTGCATGACGATACCCGAATCTGAGGAATGGAGGGTAATGTTCAACACATCTTAAAAGACATCCTAAGAATGTCTTTTTTCTGTACCTTTCCTCACTTGGGAGACATTATTACTGTGTGCCTCTTGTATAGGGTACTTGTATCCTGATTTTGTGAAAAAATTTGATAGGATACTTAGCATGTTGTTTCTATTGGTGTACTCTAGGGACTTAAGCCAAGTTTTTAATGTTCACTTTTGCTACAGTGGTATGAACTTGGATGACCAGGTCATGATTTGTGGAACATTATCTTTAAAGGGCAACTCTGCTTCATTTTTGTTTTCGAAAAAACAATGCTGTCCTCTTCAGTATCACCTAGGAAGACCACACGTCAAATATTACGACGTAGTTCTGTCTGAATGTTTCTTAAGTGGTCTGGCAAACTTTGCGACTCACCAAGTTGCCGAAATCGGCCGACTAGAGCGGGCGAATTGAGGCGCAACCAACAGCGCAATCAAGGCTGCAGCGTGGGTGTAGCCAACATTGAGCTAATCGTCATCACCATTGCCCCTTTTTGCTTGTTTTTACTTTCCCGGACAAGCGTAGCAGGTGACGTCAGCAACGTTTCCTCTTGGCGCTCAGTGGTGTCCACGTGACATCTCGTACCACGTGACAGCCACGTTTGTTGGCGGCCCGATGCCAATGTTGCCGGACGGAACCGAAATTTCAGTTTTGATTTCTGCTCATGTTTAAAATTAGATTTAAAAATATATATCCCATTTTTCGCGAAGCAAATGATGTGTCTTTTACTAGTGCTTTCTAATGCGAAATCACTCATTATCCCGAAATCTTCGGAATTGAGCGGAGTTGCCCTTTAAATATTTTGTGGATTTTGGTCCTCAAAATTACTTCATAAAATAAGGTAGGATTAGTTGTCATTATTTTTTACTAATATTACTGTAAATCACATCAAAATCATTCGTAAAAAGAAATTTATCGCACAAATAGATAAGCCACAATAATTAACTCATTAAGACCAGCTTACCCTCATTTGCGAAGTTTCATCCCACACTGTTGTCCGAAAGCGGCTCTTGGGATAACTGAATATTAAGCTTTTCATAATATATTGTCGTTGGACCACCTATGCGGGGGGTTCTCTCAAACTGGTTTGCCAGGGGCTCCCCAGAGTCCCCTCTGGGTACACGAGTACTTCCTGAACTGTCCCTGCCTCCAAGTATCTTTTAGCAGATCTGAGCTACCGCCTGATGCATAACTTGGCCCCAAACACAATCTAGCATGTGCGTCATTGTTTAAAATGTCCATAGGCTCCTGTGCTGCTTTACTGCATCAATGCCAATACTGGGAAGGTTTCCTCTGCAATCGGTCGAGAGAGATGGGGGTCCCTCAAGATGGAATAGTGCAAGAACACCCAGCCCGCGCCATTACAGAAATGAATACTGCATTTTCTGGTCTAAAAGTTGCACCCCCCTATAAACGGGTGTTTCATAAAAAAGTTGGTACAGTCGACTTCTGTTAATTTGAACTTGACGGGACATGCGAAATTGGGTTGAATTATACGAAAGTCAAATTAAAAGATCTGTGCAAAATTCTGAATATGGGCTAACTTTTTCATAATGAGTTGCCACACACCGCCACACGGTGGTGTGTGTGGCCGTGTATGTCCTTCTCGCATGCGGCGGTGGCAGCGGTGCCCAATGGCCGCCGGCGCCGGCACCATTGTAGCACTGCGTGCTTGGGTGCCAGCACCATTGCAACACTGTGTGCGTTGGAGCAGCAGTGTTGCAATGGTTGTTTTGGTTGTGTGTGTTCCGGTGCCACCGCTGCTGGCAACCATTCCCACACCGCTGCGAAGCAGCAGTTTGAAAACAGACTTTTTTTGCTGACGGCTGCCTCTGATCTCGCTTGTAACTTGCCCTCTGCGTAATTCAAAAAACAAAAAGGCCCGTTTTTGTGTCACACACGGACAATCGTGCTTGTAATTTGACCACTGCCGGTTCTCTCTAGGTCGAATTAACCAATATTTTATATTTCAAGATCGAAATAACAAGCTTTTTTTTTAATAGAAATGTATGGGCTTTTGCCAGGGCCTTGGAAACAAGGTCGAATTAAACGATAAGTTGAATTAACCCAGGTCGAACCAATGCAAGTCGTCTGTTTACCATCATGTTGCACCTACCGTAAAATACCGGGCAAGCGCCCACTTAAAATTTAGAGATAATCGCGAAAAAATGGGGAATGGGTGCTTGTCCGGTCATCAATTTTACATATAAATGTACTGTGCATATTTTCTCAGATCTTAGAAATTTGGATATGGGCGCTTAATGTGGAATGGGCGGATGCACGGTATTCTACGGTATATATATTTGATCGGTACGCATGGCAAAACTGCACTGATAAGCCTGCATGTGTGTATCGTTACACAATATACGCACAAGCGGAAGCCAGTTTCAACATTCTCATCAATGAATCGAACGAGAAATATAACCCCCCCAGCAAATTTGCACAATTCAGGTGCATACTGGAAATAAAAAGTACATATAAGTCGCACTGTTGTATAAAACACACCGACGGAAATTTTGTAAAAAATGTGCAACTTATAAACCGCAAAATAATCTGACGTAGAAGACGACGACGCTGGGGCAGTGGTGTGCCTGACCATCGCGCGCCAGGCTCTAAGCGCAAGGCCCGGCTTCGTTGAAATCTTTCTATCTCATTGAGTGAATACGCCTTTGTCATTTGCTGCCGATTGCAGATCATCGTGACAATACTGTACTCATTTACTCATTTACCTAATTTTTCAGAGAAATTGCCTTCACACGGGAGCTGCAGAAGATCTGCCCCAAGATCAAGGACTACTGCATGGGCTTTTACATTCACACCTGCCCTAAGATGAGGTACAAGGTAGGTCACCCCCATCTCTCAGTGCTGGAGCACAGTTAGGGAACTGGTTAAGCGCACGGGGCGTCAGACTCAACGAAGCCACCACCTCTTCCAGGGCAACTTTTCTCCGTCGTACCTTCTGTGCCCCGAGACGTACACTTGGCACCCGATAGAGAAGTGCAGGCCGCTTTTGGACATCAACAAGTACTCTCGCTTCGAGCAGGACAGAAGCAAAGGTGAGGCTTTCTCCACTTTCCTCAGGTTCGTGGGTTCTTCGAGTTCCCGAATTTCCGCGACCGTCCTCAACATAAAGTTACTGCCAGTTTGAGCTCTACCTTAGCGGATCTGAGCCACCCATTGATGCATAACTATGAGCTGAACAGTCCCTATTGTTTATGTTATTGTTTGCAAAGTTTTGTAGGTTTCTGCAGCACTTGCTTCCATCAGTGCCGATTCCAGAAAGTGCTCCTCGACTGCCGTTCAGAGTAGACGAGGACACCTCGAGATTGTTGGGGAACCCCTGCCCTAGTCTTTCAGCTAAAACCGATCTCCGAAATATGCTTGAAATGTGAATTTATTTTCACAAACATCGTTCAAAGGGGGAGCCATGGACAACTATGTGCGAACAACTTGATACCGGTTGACACATTCATCGAAACTATAGACCTTTCCAGCGGCAGTCTTGAACAAAGCGATTTACAACGTGCCTCTCGGGTAGCAAGCTATTTGCTCATTGCAGAGGAGCACAGGCTGGCGGCGGCGATGAAGCTGTGAGTCTGAGAGGAGCTTCTGGTGCATTCTTAACTCGTATCTGACCATAGTAATCACCTAAAGGCTGGTTGACACACTGGCATTTTGAGCGTGACCGAATGCATTGTGCTCCCTTGCGATCGCTTATGATGAGAAAACAAAGAACACACTGGCATGCAATTGCGTATATAACTAGACTGAAGGTTTTGTAGTATCTGCGAGATAAAATATTAGGATTGTGCAAATATTCACATTTTTTAATAGTAGTTTCGAATAGTATGCTATTCAGTATTTGCTTCAAGATGAACTGCGATTCTCATAGTTTTAAAAGTTTTGATCCCGACTGATTAGCTCCATTGGGTGCGCTTCTAAGGCCCGCTTCAGATGAGGCGATTTCTCCCGGCAACTTGACGTCGTAACACCAGCAGTGCCGATTCCAGAAAGTGCTCCTCGACTGCCGTTCAGAGTAGACGAGGACTCCTCGAGATTGTTGGGGAACCCCTGCCCTAGTCTTTCAGCTAAAACCGATCTCCGAAACATGCTTGAAATGTGAATTTATTTTCACAAACATCATTCAAAGAGGGAGCCACGGACAACTATGTGCGGACAACTTGATACCGGTAGACACATTCATCGAAACTATAGACCTTTCCAGCGGCAGTCTCGAACGAAGCGATTTACAGCGCGCATCCCTGGTTTTGAGAGTGTACATCGGTGTTGCCTGACTGCGCTGGGCTGTGGGTTTTCTTGTCAGTAGGCTGTGTTCAAAATTGCAAAATTGCCCCGTTTTATTTTTTGTTTTGTGTTCTATGGCAAAGAGAATTTCTCTGAGTTTTTAAGAAAGCATTGCATTATTTTTGGGAACAAAAATTAACAAATGAAAGCCCTTTTTGGCGAGTCCGTGCGCGACAGAACAAATGAAACTGGAATGTTTGTTTCACCTTATGTTGATCTTTTTAACGGCACCATACACTCAGCCATGTCAATCTAATAAGGTCTTAACTGCCTAAAATATTTGACCGCACCACAGGATAGCCGAACTGCATGGGCATTCCCCGCTCACAACATGAAATTCAACGAGTCTCATCAATCGAACAACATATATTGTACGTACCTCACGGTGCCGTGTTATCCGAACAGGATTTGAGAAAGGTTTAAAATAACACAGTATATCCAAAATGCAGTGTTGACGATAGTCACTTCACGACGATCGGAGAGAATCCGGCTTGTCTTGAGGTACGTTTTTAAGAGTCATGCTTTTTTACACAGCACTAAAGCAAATGAACGAATATGTCTATTCAGTCCCCATACCCCGGACACTATCAGCTACTTCTCGCCAAGACCGGGAACATAGCCGGGAAGGCTTTTTGGAGATTATCCCAATGGAAATAATCCTCGAAGAACGTCGAACGGCCTGCGTCGCGGGCTGCTTGACGTTCACTTTCTTCGCTCGTTTCCTGCAAAGGCCGAGCAGGCTACGAGTCCTGGTATTCCCTGGTTCTCACAGTGGAAGATAACACAAAACCCGCAAGCTTCCTGAAGAGGAAAATAAAGTAATAACTTTTAAGGAAAGCCGGCAGACTCCAAATGCACAATGCAGGTGGGGAGCAGCGCTGACCAGGATTCCACAGCGCAGGCGGGTGGCAGAAATTTTTGGCTGATAGGGGTCGCTCGAGTCGCAAAATGGCGGCGGCCAGAGGGCTCTTTCTGCAAAGGTCTATAGAACCCTTTCTCACAATGGCTACGACCTTGAGACACTTTTACAATGAATAACGAAACACGCTGGCAAGAAAGTGGTAAATGTTATAGTTTATAGGTAGGGTTCTGTGTTTTCAGACAAATCCAAAAAATCCGAAAAGCACACGCCGGTCAATTTTCCGTTAATTTGGATTTATCTGAAAAACTCAGAATTTCGAGGTCACAGCGAGAAAATAAACAGAAAAAACAATGGAGTTTTACAACTAAACTTTATAAAAGCACAAGGTCAGTGGTCCCGAGGAGATACAACTTCATTTCCCTTTGAAATCTAGAACTACTGACAAAAGGGGTTTGCCTTTTAGCACGTCGAGGTTCCTTCGGGACGACGGGTGATGGTACCTGGACCTTATATATTTTGTTTTTGAATTTTTTTTTATTTTACGCAGTAAAATAAACTCAGAATTTGAAAGAATTTGGAATCTAACAAAAGTAAACTCCGATAAACCCCGAATTCCCAGCGAAAAGTGAACTCCGAAAGACACCCCCCGAATATCACGAGAAATAAACTCCGAAAACACGGAATCCTCTTTGTAGGTACCTAGGGGTTCTCCGGCTGGTGTGTTCCTGCATTGTTTCCTGTTCTCCAAATCGAATTTTTTTTTCTAGAGGGTTTTGTTTTGTGGTTTATTATGATTAATTGCGTTTGAATACTTAAATTCTCTTTTCTAATCCCTGTGCTGTAACGTGGTTATGTGACTGTTCACTACAGTCAAACCCGACTATATCGAACCTGTTTACATCGAATTATTCCTTATATCGAACAGTTTTTGTGCACAGTAATGTTACAGTGATACTATAAAGCAAAAACTATGGTTACATCGAACAAAAATAGCATCCGCTACCGATATATCGAACTGCCAAGAGCGCCGTTTTGCTCTGCAAGCTGGCATTCCCCCAATGCGAGAAGTCGCATTGGAGAAAAACCAGCTTGCAAAACACGCTGTCTTTTTTTTTTTTTTTCTGGCGGTTGCGTTTATTGTTTGGAAGAAGAAGAAAAAAATCTATTTTGCGGAGGGCTCTGAGAGAGTTGTTGCAGCCGCCTGGAAAAAAAAAAAAAAAAGAGCCAGCTAGCTGGCTTTTCCCCAACGCAGCCGCCTCTCAGGGGAAAGCCAACTTGCAGAGCAAAACGGCGCTCTGCAGGAGAAGGTGCTCCTGCTAGGACGTGCTCCGTGCTCTCGGCATAGTTCGGCGCTATTGAGCGAATATAGAAGGCAGCGGCCTTGGCATTTTGGAGTTCGTCGATAGCGTAGAAAAATATTGTTATCGCGGATGCAATGAAGAAAAAGCAGCAGAATATGCAAGACTACTTCATTGTGTAATATGTCAGCAGAAATTGGATTTTTGAGAGTCAAATCCATTAAAACTTTTTTATCGAATTACCCTCTACATCTAACTGGTAGACGTTTTTTTGCGAGTTCGATATAAACGATCATGATTGAGTGTTTTCTGTACAAAACACGTTAGTATAACCTTCAGTGACAACACCTGTGCTGTTCTACCTGTTGTAGGTGACTATTTACCTGTACTGGTCTCATACTCGAGTGGTCTTTCTTTTCAGAGGACGAGAATGCGGTGACAGACTTGAACGACGTGTCCATCCTCTTCAAGAGGGGCGTCATCCCGTATGGACAGTACAGGCAGCTTAAGGGGAACTCCGACAAAGCGGAAGTGGAGGAGTATGCCTCGCTGGTCGGCAAGAAGTGCATCGAGAAGCTGTTTCTATATCGGAGCTCCTAAAGGTTCAAGACGCTCGTCGTGCAAACGACGGCGACTGCCTCCGGTTGCGCCACGTCACTAAAGTCATGGGTAGTACGTGCCCAGCACCCCCGTCCTTTGCATCGCCTATAACTGCACGAGTGCGATCGGCGGTGGTTGTAGTCGCCGACAGGATGGCAATGACAGGGAGTGTCTTTCTGACGCCCGGTCTCTGGCAAGCGCTTGGTGCCTCTTGCCGTGCCTCGGCTGCGTCTACACGCTCGATGTGCACGAGACGTCGAAGCGTCATCGAAGGTATGAGGCTCGCACTGGAGGCAGGGCAACCAAAGCTCCTCCCTGCCGTTGCTACCTTGTCAGTAACCACAACGTCGGCGTCTTTGCACCAGAAGGCTTGAAGTCGAAGTCAAGATCGAGTCGCCGAAGAGATTGCGGGCTCGTAGCGCGAGGCCAAATAGTGCCCCACCCCCAGCTTTAGTTGAGATTGTCAGTTCCAAAGTCACAAGAGGAGCAGAACTGAACTTGAGAAATGAATACGATGGTAGCATTGAACTACACAGGTGCAAAGTGTTGAAATAAAATGATGAACATTCTGCCAATTTCCCTTTTACAGCGAACCTGTTATGCGCTAGGATCTGGGAAATAATGTATCCGCGGATATTGACAGAAAACTCCCCATTGTCGTGGCAAGTATAAATAAATAAACAATAAAAAAAGGGGGCAACCAGCATGAGTCAGCCTTCCTTGGCATTATTAGATAGTAAGGTCCTGATCCTTTGTTATCTCTAAGCATCGTCCTTGAGGTCATCCGAGAGGTCATCCTAAGCGTCATCCTCTAGGCGTCGCCCTCGAGGTAGTCCTAGAAGTTGTCCTTGAGGTCGACCTAGAAGTCGTCCTCGAGGTCGTCCTCGAGTTCGTCTGAGAGGTCGTCCTCTAGGCGTCCTAGAAGTCATCTCTGAGGTCATCCTAGAAGTCGTCCTCGAGGTTTTCCTTAAGGCCGTCCTCTAGGCGTCTTCCTAGAAGTCATCCTAGACAATGCAGAGGTCGTCCTAGAAATTGTCCTCGAGGTCGTCCTAGACGTCATCCTCTAGGCATTGTTTTGGACGTCGTAAATATAACAGCTTCGCTGGTCTCCCATCTTCACGTGAAGTGGAAGGGCTCTGCAATTATTTTCCTCCCTCTCCACATTCGGGCACTTTTGTTTGCCGAACTTGGGCAACTGCCCTGGAGCACTTGCTTCCGAGCGTGCTTCAATGCGAGCTTCTCCTAGCTAGGCTCGAGCCACAAAACATTCCAAGGACACCTAAGCACTTGTGAGTTGTGAACGCAAAAGCATGAATGTCGTTCTTTCGCTCCCTTAGTTCATCTGCGGCGCACTGGCGTGGACGGCCACGTTTCGCTACTGTCGAGGTAGCGGCCCACGGCCGAGCGCGCGCTCTCGTGTAGCTGAGCTTGGGCGTGCAGCCTCTCCGGAGTTTGCCCATGCAGGCTCTGCGGTCAGGAGCTCCCTCTTACCGGCGGCCGGGCTGCTGCGTGCACTGTAAACGCCATAGAGAGGGCTTCTCTGGTGGCGTCCTTTGAAACTATGCCATGTGAGAGCTAATGGGAGCCTCGTTCCTTGAAACTATGATGCGCACCAGCCAACAGGAGCCTATCCATCAGATTTCTGCTACAGACAGGCTTCGCTCCATTGGGTCAGGGGAACGTGCCGTTTGCCGCAGCTTCAGACGGTGATGATGTCAGTTCGCTCCATGGGACAGTTAATGCTTTCGCATTAAAAACTATTCTACAGTTCGAGGTGCTCGGAGCCAATCACCCAATTAAGGTGCTCACATTTTCTTGCATGGTTTAAAGCATCGATGCAAAACCGATATGGCCTGGCATCTGCGCTAAACGCTCAACGGGCTCGATTAATAAATGTCAACGTGAGCATTAGGATTTTATCTGGGTTCAAGCCACGTTGTAGTGTTCAAAGGCTACACCGTGTCTTTATCTGCAACACGAAGCAAAGTTAGACTTCAAACTGCTCTTGGTCCCTTCATGTTCAAGTGCCCTCATTCTCGTAACTGTTCACCAACGACCTTGCCACTGGAAATTCAATATAAAACACGTCTGTACAAGAGAAAGAGAACTCGCAAGAGGTTCCCTTTGGCTTATCAAACATTCCTGTCTGAGGAACATTAGTCTCTTTCGAGTGGTAGCCAAAGAACTTTTCTCAGTCTCGGTCTTAGTGCAATTAGACGGTACACGAGCCTATAGGCCCATTAAACTGCAATGCCCATATGAGGGAGTGTTTGGCACAGAGATGTGCACCACTAGGTGGCCTTTATCTGCTAAAATATTGCTGCTTTAACAGTACAGTGTAGACCGCATATAACGTATGTCTCGGGAGTCGCGAAAATCCGCACTATAAGCGGTACCGCACTATAACCAAAACATCAATTTTTCAGGCCAAAATACATGCCATGAGACAACTTACCTTTGTAAAAGAATTTATTTTATGTTAGATGAAAAAATAAGCTTAGTTTGAGGAAAGTCTTTATTTCAATAGACTAGCACAGTTATGTCTCAAGTGTGTCACTCATTTTAAAAGAAATTAGCGGCTTTTGCCTGGCGCAGCCTTTTAACGGCGTCGCGGGTTGCGGACGGACGTTGCGAGCGTTCAGGATTGCTAACCCTAATCACTTTTCTCCAAGATGAAAACGCGTGAAAATTCGCATCCTTCATACGTACGCGCCAGTAATACCTCGAACTTGAGCACACGCATGAAATGCGCCAAATAAGAATTCCGGGCGATGTTCGAGGACACAAATGCTTAGAAATCACCACTGTAGTCGAAGTAAACAAACACGACGACACGGGCGTTTCTGCCGTCTTGAGAGCGCCGCCACGACATCGCCGCACGAGTAGGTGGATCTTCCCTTCTAGTACGTTCTGGGTTATCATAGCGACACACAACGAAAATTCAGAGTCAAGGATAGCGCTTTTACGCGGAACGATGAGATGCACGCCGTCTACGACGACGATCACAACCGACGCCATGTTTGCGGAATAGAAGCAGCCGGCCGGCCGGCCCGCGACTGGAGCAGAGGAGACGCGCGCAAACACTTCTCCTCGACCTGCGATTGGTCTGTCGTTGCGGTTGTTTGTTTCTTTGTTTCCAACGCAGCGGAGGGACGCACGCACGTGAACGACTCGTGCGTGCGTCCCTCCGTCGCTATGGCATCTGAAGCCTCTCTCTTCGCTTCTTCCGGTGTTTTCGAGCAACCTCCTTGCCCCGCGAGTGCAGCTTGCGGCTCGCGCCAACGCTCGCGCCGTCAGCGCCGTTATCTAGTGTCGCACAGGGAAGCGAGCTCGCTGCTCCGGTCGTCGACGCGGTCGGCGGGCTGTGCCAAAAACCGCACCGGGAGGCACTCACTTGATCGAATGACGTTTTAGCGAACGCCCACGTTTCATCGAACGACACTTTAGCGAATAGTCGGACGCCGCGAAGCGGCGGTTTCGGGTGGGCCAAATGAGTTCATATTTTTGTAATCAGTTGCCGCAGACTGTCGCCGCGAAGCGGCGTAAAGCGCAGCGCGACGGATGGGTTAACGCGCGCCCCCGTTATTCGCTAAAACGACCATTCGCTCAAATGTCGCCGTTCGCTAAAATGTCATTCGCTCTTGTGATATGGACCCGTATAAACATTTTATTAAGAAGCGGGACGGTAAAGAAAGTTTTGGGAACTTGGGGAAGCCCTGAAGAACACCCGTGTTCCTAGGAATCCAGTTTGAGAACTTATGGCCAACATCATATTTTTGATGATTTTTACTCACATACAATAGTAATCTCAACATAGGTATGGCAGTGTTCAGACCTTGTAATCCTGTAATTCAGGTTCCATACAGTTTGGATATCAACAGGTGACAAACTCGGAGAGTCATAATTTTGCAGTACGCTATGTGCCGACAGGTTTTGCACTGCTCATTAATTGACTTTGCCTTGGAACCCGGATGCCAGGCATTGCAGGAATACCCAGAACTAGAGATGTGTGACTGGGATAGAGATTTAAAAAGATACAGAACCGAAATTTGGATTTTGCGAAATAAGGCCGCAGATGTGTTGAAGGGACGCTAGGAACTCCAAAACATCACTCGTACATCGATATCTCAAGCGGATGGCCGTACTTTTGGAAAAGAAGGGTGCGATCAAGCGAGGTCTTTGATGTCATTGTCCTCCTGGAAAATTTGAGAATGAGGGGAAGCAGCCTCTCTTTTCTCCTCCTCGCTTTGGTTCACCAGCTCGGCGAGACGCAGCGAGGAGAGGGAATGAGAATCGTGACGCGACTTGTCTCGTCGACAGTGTTCAGTCGCATACTTTTCCAAAAATACGGTGATCCGTTAGATATTACTGTACAAGTGATGTTTCTGGGTTTTGCAGAGTCCCGCCTATCCGTCCAGCCTTGTTCTGTGAACTTGAAATTTTGGTTCAGTATCCCTTTACACTGTAAATTAAATAAAAATATATTATTAGTACAAATTGCATATAAATTATTCTAGTGTAGATTCTACAAATATAAATACATAAAGAATCCGATTTAAACGATATATGTAAACTGAGTAACAACAGTTTTTCTTGGCAACACATTCTCTGACACGTCTAAGGGAGCAGTACATTATAATAGTTTATGCAATGTTAAAAGGAAGCTGAGGAGATTTTATAACTCGGAAGGCTGCAAGAATTTGGACATAAGCCCCCAGCTCGCGTGTAAAATGCTTCTGTAAATTTCCCAAGGAGCGACATAATCGCTAATTAAAATTTTGCGGTAGCTCTGTCGTGCTGCCCGCTAAATGCGGGGCATTTTCCCAAGGCCCCGCCTGCCCGAAACCAGTCTTTCACACACGTTCTACGCCACACCAAACGAATTCTCCCTGAACTGGCGCTTGAGCTGCCAGTTGGCTGCCGTGTAATGGCGACTGGCTTCGTGCCGCTGCTGGGTCCGGCGCTCTCGTTTTTCAGCCGCGCCCCAACCTTGCCGCACCCGCCGTTGTCTCCTGTACCGCGTTGGCAGCGCACGAAGCAGGAAAGCAAGCGCCTTCCTAGTAGGCGTAGCTCGCATTGTTGCCACCAAGCACAGACACCGTGGAAAGTCCCCGCTTCAATAGTGGTCGCCGACTGCACGCTGCATGTTCCCTCGAGGCTACGCACCAGACTTGCATGAGAGAACGCTAAAGCTCGCCTTATGAATGCTTCGCACCTAAACTAGAAAAAGTGACGTCTTCGGCAGCATTGAGTGACGTCTTCGGCTAAAAAGTGACGTCTTCGGCAGCATTTCCAAGCCAGCTTTCAGCTGGCTTGGAAATGCCAAGGATGGTTTTAAAAAAATATGTACGAGGGGCTTTTTAGCCCATATATGGAGGATAGCTGAGGAAAAGAAAAACAGTATCGCACACTTTGATAACTTTTTTTCATTGAAGGCTCACGAGTGGCCAGAAAGGGGGAAACTTTCCCTCAAATCCTCCTTTCCATTCGAGAAAGAGGGAGTAGCTTAGAGGCCTGCTCCTGTTGGGAGAGGGAATAGTGCGTAGGCCGGCCTTTAATGCAGCCGATTCGAGACAATGCTTTCTTTGCAACTAAATGTCTTTTTAACTCACAAAGCCAATTAAGAATTGCAACCTTCCCTTTCATTACTGCAAAATGTTACGAGGTTTTTTTTTCAACTTCTAAGAGAGATGTCGCAGATTAACCGTCATTCATTTGTCTGGGGCCATAAAGTTATCGTTGATTATTATATGCCCGTTACCGCATTCTCGTAAATGACTCTAAAGAACACACTTGCAAGGTCCAATACTGCCCGAAACTGCAATTAATTTTCGAACAATTGACACACTTTCGGGGCATTTTTTAAAATATTTTGTTAGCACACATGCCCCGCAAATTGAATGAAATACTGTTCTATTTGCATTTAAAATATGGAACATTTGCGAATCACACAACTCGCATTTTGTGGTCGTACTGGTCCCCATTCAAATGACCAACCAGTACGCTGTAACTGTCACGACACCGCTGAAAGAAGATTCGGCAGATCCATAGTTCAGATAGAATTTATTCTCGGGGGCTCGTCCTTCAATATTACAGCAGACACCTTGTAATGGCACGCACTCAAGAACACGCAGCCCTTGAAACCCGAACCTCGCCCACCAACCCGTACCATACACAACGTGCCAATCTTGCTCCCGTTTTTTGCTCCTTCAGACAGAATATCATCGCCACCTATAGAACATACTTTAAAAAATAAAGTAAAATTGTATGTATAGAAAAATTAAAATACTCAGGGTTGTCAAAGAATGTACAAAGAGTGAAATCTGTCACAAATGACCAGGCTCTCTGCAGCCAGAAAAAGAAACATGATAAGACAAAGTGATGAGGATGTGCATGAAAAAAAAAATAGAAAACAACAAGAAAAGCTTTAGAGGCATGCTGGCAAGTGTACATACCGAACTCTTAAAATCTCGCTCGCGAATAACGCAGCTGTATCATGCCACGACTGGCAGTATTTGCAAGACTTCACGTATGGGCACGAGAGGCACTTGGAAAATATTTTTCTAGTCTCAACAGACATCTTGTTTAAAAGATAGAATTACTAGCAATGTTTGAATTACTAGCAATGTTTGCTTATCTTTATGAACCTTGTTCTACCAAATTGCTCGAGTACATATTTCTTCCCGACCGAACTTCCAGCGCACATTTTTAGACTCTTTGCACCTGTATCTTCCAACTCGTGATAATAGGTCGCAGCATGAAAAAAGCTGGAGACGGCTCTGTTCAAATATGTACTAAACAAAGCTTCTCTCGCACTGAATGTTAACAATACCCCTGCAACGAATACAGTAACATGCAATTTTCTACAATTGCTTCCTGTACTTTCAAACCAACATATATGAGAGTATAGAATTCGCTTCACATCGTTAATATTGTTAACTAAACCGGCCTTTGTTTAATCTGGAATAACTTCCGTGTAGGTAGAAGTTCTCTCAACACATGAAACAGTTTGTGCCTGTACAGCCTATCTCTGAGGCTTGCTTTTGCAACTTGCCTACCAGTCAAGTAATCTGGGGAATGACACCACAAAATTTCACGAGCGAAAGCATGGCAGCGCGGCAACCATAAATAACGCGGAAATTTAAATACTGTCGAGGAATGCCACACCCCGTAACAATGATATGCAGCTGTGGACCTGCGGGAATGCAACGAGGAACTTTTACAACCACAAACTTAATTAAGGGGGTCTTTACAGCAAACGTTCCCCTTTGCACACATACAGCAACAGTTAACGGTGTAATGACGGACAATAAAATACTGGCTCGAGGATGAACGCCAGTCTCGCTGCAACAACCTTGTTTACATTCATGACAGAGGAGCTGCACAAAATAAAAGGCGCATGCCTCTGATTTGACCGGCTCTTTCGCGATAGAATAAAATAATTTTAAAAATAAAAAAAATCACGAGCCTTAGCCTCAGTCTAGTTGGGGAAAAGCTGCATTAGTTAGTTTTTGGGCATATTGCCGTTAGATCCTTCATTGTCACCGTAAGAGCCCAGAGATCGAGCTGCCATAGCTCATTGGTACCCTTGGCAAGAGAATAGCAGGAGCATGTTGCACATAGCTGCACTTTCATCAAAGGACGGAACTCCGCGGTACCTCCTAAACACTGTTCTCTGAAAGCACTAGACACTAAACTGAGTATCGAAAGTTCTTTCCCACATCAGACCTGGTTAAAGAGACACCTTAATTGCTCTATCCATGAAGCTCATTAGGCAAAGAACACTGCCAGAGGCAATCCTGACGAGATAACGATAAGAAGCCAATACACCGACACACCGTTTACAAACAAACCCGGGTTTGCCCACACATGCGCGGAAACCAGATTCGCACGAGGTGAAGCGTCTGCACATGAGCCGTGTCAACGGTTCGTGTGCACACGTCGGAAAGTTGAGTTGGTGTACTTTGTTGGAAGGCTTAATTTGCTTTCACATCTGCACGCTAGTTTGCGGCATCTGTTAGAGCATACTGCGACAAGAAAACAACCGGGCATCCACAAGCAACATGGAAAGGCATTTTGGAAAACACATCCCCAAAGCATGTTACGCTTTCCTCTACCGCGAACACCCCTCCACGTTTTGCACGCTAGCTGTATTTACAAGCTGCCAGCGGGTCAAATGCAACTGCAGCTACGGCCCGGAAAGGGCGATTGATGGCGCCGCCTTTTTCCGACCGCCTTAGACTCGTACGGTACCTCCGAGTGTCCCCATGTGCAGGGTGCATAACAGATAGGCCACTACGTGCAATGCCCTTTGCTACCATGGTATCTAACTCCACTTGCAGGTTATGTGCACTTTCGAAGTGACAGACGTTATTATAGTAAAAATGCTCCCCACGTTTAGTGCATCCGCTGCAAAATGCTCGTAAAACAAAGTTACTTAGAGCAACAAAAAGAAAGAAAACAGATTAACTCCAGTGTTTCTTGGGACCGAGGAGCGCCGTCGAAAGTTTCTAAAACGAGGGAATGGCACCGAGCTACCACAAAGTGTTCTGCACTGAAACGTGGAGAAGATGAGATGCCGAGGAGAAAGATGTTGAACAGCCAGGCTTCGGATGCCCACACTCATAATGGTAAACCTGCAAAGAGAGCAGACAGACAGATTATCAATGGGACACAAGTCACTGCCCAAAATAGACAAAACTGCAATAATGAGAAAAAAGAAGTCTCGATTCGTGGCTGTTAATGACTTTCATGAAATATACAAGTTTTTTCATTCATAAACACTTCAAAAGTTGTTTTATATGAAAAAAGAAATACTGTAAACGACTTAATTTTTGTGAATTTCGCGAATCTCCTACAATTTGCGAAAAATAGGTCCCGCAAACAATTCCGGTAAAATGTACACATTGGAATCTACATTTTTATTGCGTTTGTGTTTGTACAACGCAAGCCAGAAAACGTGCCACAAAAACGCGTCACGCGAGAATGCGGGCACTGGCCAATTCAAGCCAAGTCAAGCCAGGCCAAGTCAACACAAGCCAAGCCAAGACCACGAACCGTGTTTACGCAATCGTGCAACACCAGGTGTTTGATGAGGTGTTTGTTCATGCGAAGGGACGAGAACAAGAATGAGTGATCGTGTATCGGGTCCAGCAATCTTTTTTCTGCCTGTGCATTTCTTAGTTTTTGCTCCAGAGTGGCCTGGTGTTTGTGCGTTGGTGCTTCTGCTTCATGCCTTGCTTTGCTCGTGGGCTGCCGAGGAGCTCACGCCGAAGAAAAAGGAACTACCAGACAAGCGGTGCGGTGCTGTTGTTGCATATCTGCGAAGTCGCCAAGTGGATTGTAAATAGAAGGACCCGAGCAGTCAAAACATAAACTGATATTTCTTCGATTTCCATTGCCTTTTTACTTCTGCTATGCCCCCAAAAGCGGCAAATTTACACGGCCTCCACTCGCGCTATAATAGTAATAATATTTTTTTTTAAATCTTTTTGAGGGCACCAAAACTTGCCTTCGCGTTACATTCATGCTCGCGTTATATTCGTGCAAATTGGAGCTGGCCTGTTTCCCTGGAGCTTCGGCTTGCGCCTAAAGAGCGGAGCGTGCAAAGCCCAAGAGGCACCCACCTATTTCCCGCCTTCCCAGTTATGTCTCAGTCACGTGTCCATGTTCCAGTTGTACCAGTCCTTCTGGGGAGGCGAGTTCACGAGACTTGAGCTTCGGGGAGAGCTTTGACTGAGGGGCCCGTTCAGGATGCCGGACATGTTGGGGTGCAGCAACGACTGGGGGCTGTCCACTACACGCAGAGAGATGCCTTCGTCACGGGCCTATCCCGTAAAACTAGAAACACTCCGATTCAATAAGCTACATGTTTCCTCTTAACAACCGTATATGAACTATGGACCAAGCTGTAATAATTAATGCAATGCTCCAAGCTATTTTCACACATAGGCAACCATACTGAAGAAAGCATTGCCTCAGCCATTGATTACGAGGTCTGAGTATAAGTTTTGCTGATGAGAATCTGATCTTTTGGTGCAATATTGCTGAAAATTCTCATTTTGGTGAAATAAGTAGCAGGGTCAGCAGTTTGGCATAGTATGGCGCAAATGGCGCACCACGTCATTGCTTGGTTTCGGTTGTTGCCCGACACAGGAACGATGACCAGAACGAATGCACGGCATCATTCACTTTAGTTGTACTTCACAACGTTTCTCCAATAAACAAATATGCAAATTAGGCTTGCAATGTTAAACTTAAATGGCTCATTTCAAATTACACTATATATGGCATGATACGGTTGCATTTATCTGTCCATCTCCACCGACAGCGACTCCACAATGAATTCGGACTAATTGCAGTAGATTAATAAAACTAGCAGTTGTTTTTTGTACTCTTATGTGCAGCGACCTGCTTATAGTTTTATTTATTTATTTAGTGATACTGCGACTCTTGACTGAGAGCCACTGCAGAATAGCTGGAGCAGGCTGCACCTCCCTTAAAGCTGCAATATCCCTCCTCTCCATTTTTGCTTTTACTGTTGGGAAACTTCCCCCCGCAACAGTGTTCCGCCCCCTAGAAATAGCCTTAGTTTTCCCGGAGAAAAAGTGTGCAGAAATAACTCGGCTAAATCCAGCAAGTTCCTTATGAGCACACGTGGTCAGTGCACTGGTTTAGATGTTTGCTTTTAGAAACTTCTGTACTCTGTTTCAACCTAACTTGGTAAACAACAAATGCTGCAGCCCCCATAAGCCAATCCGAGCAACACCTCTTCATGTTTGTGCACCAACGGTGCATTATTAGCGCCTCGCTTCAAGTGCTCCGATTGCCTCACTAAGGCCATTTGCCAAGTTATGCTCCAACGAAGTACAGTATACTTTCTTATAAAAGTAATTGGTGTTGCTAAACGCACAACTGTAATACAACTGCCAAAATAAAAAATTTAAGATGGTCAGCTTGGTACGACTTTACGGTACAGTCAGAATCCTCATTGAACGTTGATGTATCCTCGCGTATCTCACACCTTACTTGGAGGAACCGTCGCCAATGTCTGCTCGGACAGCGACACACTAATTAATTATCCACGCAGAAGCGCTCTCGCAAACGTGGGGAGAGGCTCTGGTGGTGCCATGTGACCTGACCATAACTGCAGCCATCTGGCAGGTGCCGCGCGAGGCTCCTATGCGGAGTTGTTTTCGGCACGTGAGGTTTATTAGGCAGTGCGTTGAAGCAGCTGGCGTGGTTCTGCAAGAGCGCGCTCGCTTCATTATCGGCAACTCCAGGATTGAATGCAGGAGAAGATCGCGGTGGGCTTTTGGGGCATTCACGCACTACATCGTTTGAAGAGGAGGGGAGGGGGGGGGGAAACCCATAACAGCTGTCGCCATAAAAAGCAAATAATGCCGTACGGTGAATTCCCCCCCAAATTCTTTGGCACTAGTTGACGATGCTATTATGCGAGTTGGCGAGTCATTAAAATGGCCCGGAAGGACCGAGCCCGCACACCCACCGACGAGGGGAGAGGGCCCCTTGCAGGTCCTCTTGACCAGCAGCCGCACAGTGTTGCCCCCCTGGCGGATGACGTTGATGGCGTTGGCGTGCGTCATGTTCTTGGTATCGATCCCATTCACCTCCAGGATTTGGTCAGCCACCTGAAAGGAGCGTCGGAACCGTGTCGGCTGTCTTTCCACAAACAAACCTCCACTACCGCCAAGCCCCAAGGTTCTTCTCTCATTTTAAGGCAGTTTGAAGTCAACTGTTTCGGATAAATATTTGTTTACTGGTTTTCAAAATGCAAAAAGCAATCAACTTGGAAGAGACCTGCACTCACAAAACAGAATGAAACAAACAGGGTACATGAAGTCAATTTCATTCGAGTGTTTACTTCACATGCCAGTGGTGCTTGGATTGCTTCAGTTTCCTCTCATTCAGATAATAAAAATTACACCCTAGGGCCCTAACCCACCTGGCGGGACCAAACAGGACCAATGGACAGGGACATCGCAGCCTGCTTTGATTGGTCAGTGGCATGGGCGTACCAACCGGGGGGCAAGGGGGGCGCTTGCCCCCCCAGTTCTCAGAGTAGGGCCATGTGTTTTGCCCCCTCTAAACAGCCGCCACTGGGCAGGGCAAACACTGGCCGGCGGCACCAACGGATACCAAGGGCACCGCCCCCCGGCCCTGGGGGGGGTCTGGTTTGCCCCCTCACTCAAAAACAAGTTGGCGCAGAGCTGGGCAATCGCAGCAGGTGGCAATGTTCCAATCCCTTGGTCTTGCTTGGTCCCACAGTGTAGACCAGAGCCCCTGTTCACTGTGGTAACTTTTGTATTGGGGTAAAGTGCTAGATTTTATATTTTCGTTATCCGATGTACGATACTGTACGATAAAATCTCGCACCCCAAATATCACTCTACCAAATAAACACAATGCGCAATACAGGTTTTATCGCAAGACCCAAATGCACAAAGCGAGCAGACGAGCTATACGAGCCTAGGAATCTGCATAGTCCGCCCAGTCTCCTTTTTATTTTTTCCCCTACTACGTCATGAGCGAGGACGACGATAGCTAAAGAAGCACCACCGTAGTTTGCGCACGACGCCAAAGAGGACCGGGCGGCCCCTCGGCAGTGTGAAAGAGACCCACCTGCAGCTTCCCGCTGAGATGGGCGGGTCCCTGGTCGGCGATCCTCAGCACAAAAAGGGGCATGCTGTGGAACTCGCGTCCCCCCCGAATGCTGAAGCCAAAGCCCCGCACCCCCCGCTGCAGCTCCACGCTGTGGTACTCGCCCCCCACGGTGCTGCCACAGTCGAGGGGTTCGCCCCGCACCGCGGCACCCATGTCTTCTCCCTGCGGGGGCGGGAGTCGCGGTCAGGAACGCCAGGACCCCGGATTTACATTCAAGTGCCATCCTCCATTCTCTTCTAAGTAGAGACAAAACACAAGGATTCTCAAACTTCTCAATCTCGGGGCCGAGGAGCCCCTCCCGATCTCGAGATCAATGCAAAAAAGCAGTTCAGGACGAGCCTACAGACCTTGCAAACAGTAATGTCTGTATTGTCGAGACTGGTTATAACGAAGTCAACGGGAATCGGAAATCACTTCGCTATATCCGCTATTTCATTATAACCGACTTCGATTAACAAAGTGCAAAAGGGAATGGGAAATCGTGATTAGCATTAGCCGCTACTTCGTTATAACCGGTCTCGGCAGTACTATGGAGTGTTTGGCTCATAGTTAAGCATCAGTGGATGAATCAGGTCTGCTAAAATAGTGCTTAAATGGGCAGACAGTTTGCTTGAGGGCAGGGATGGCCAACGACATTTGCGAACTTGGGGACTCCAGTTTGAGAACCTTCGCCGTAACAAAACTTCTTTGTTAAACGTCGGATTCTAGCCTCAACTTTACGTACTAATGGCATCGTCGCACCCCGTGCTGACACACGCCTAACAATGCAAGTCATAGCAAACGATTCTGCGGCGAACGATGGACGCAGGTACGGTCAGTTCTGCGTCGCTACGGCGCAAGGCAGTACGGTAATGGCACCTCACGACCCATTGTGGGGTTGACTGTCTAAAACTAGTTTTCCAAGAATCCATGAAGGTAGGAAAAAAAGAAGGCGACATTCCGGCTTGAGCCAGCCAAACAAGAAAATCCCGAGTGAAGCCAGAAGTAGAGGTCGCGGTCGGTGGGAACCCCCGACAGTGACCTAAACAGCAGTTGGCGCCAAATCGGCCATCCTTTCCGACCAATGGCGTCTTTTGGTTTTGTTCGTTTATGGTCGTCGTCAAGGGCGTGCTTCCCCAAACCGGAAGCCTCCCCCGGCTTCACCTCTGGTGGTGTCGTGTCACCTCCAGAAACTTCCTACCTCCGTGTAAGAATCGCTAACAATGTCCCCGCCATGTGAAGTTGCAGCCTTGCAAGGAATGGCAGGCTCTGGACTGCTCATACTTCTAGAGGAAAGGAACGCTGCGTCACGCGTATCAGCCGCTCCACTAATTCGTGCTGTAAAAGCTCCTCGCAGGAAAGCTCCATCGGTACCTGTCCGGCTGCTACATTTTTCCAGTCGTTACACACACGAGAGTGGGTTCCAAACACCACAATGCCCTCAAGCAACGTTACCATAATATTTCGAGAGATGACCCACCCAAAATCAAAAGTAAATCGGGTTAAAATAAGGAGTGGTCTAACTTTCAATGTGCGATAAAAAAAATTGGAAAGAAACGCTAATTTTAGATCTTGTGACCTGCAACACTCGTGATTGCAGGGAGGGGAGATGAACCGAAGACTTTCCTTCCTTCCCAGTCAGCAGTGTTTGCTCATCTCCCGCCATGGCTAGATAACTCCATTTCTGCCACGGTCACCATTGGCCAGGGCCCTGCAATTGCTAGAAGTGGGCTACCTTTCGGTGGCTTTTAAAAGATAGCAAATGATGCCAAAAATAGGGGGCGCGTTATCTTTCGGGGGTGGGGCATCTCTCAGGATATTGCGGTAAATATGATTTTGCTTGCCATTGTAGTGAGAAAGCATTTCGAGGCTGGTTCACATTTCCGTTTTGACTGCGCCACGACCTCTTGTGGCGGCTTACGACGAGACAACACGCTGGCACAGTCTGTCGGGCGGCGCCCGAGTGCTTCTGATTTGCATATATTTTATGCCTCATTCTTTCGCCACAGGTTCGGAAGAAATCGGACAATGTTAAAAGCAACTGTTTCTCGTAGATAGTGCATACATTTTATTTCGCAAGTACCACAAAACCTTCGGTTTAGTTGTACGCAGATAAGAAGGGTTCCAAGGCTGCCCGACAGAAGGCGCCGGTGTCTTCTCTCGTCGCAAGCCGTTACGAGCGATCGCAGTCAAACGCAAATATGTGAAGCGGCCCTCACTCTGTTGTATTGGCACACTTTAAAAGACCTATGCTAAAAGAAAACATTGTTTTAAACAGTTTGGATGTAAAAAGATGGATAACGAATGAATTTACAACAAAAGAAATTTTTAGAACTATATTTACAGTGCGAAATGACTTTGAAGTTGGTTACTGCAGGAGCCTGAGGAAAAGTGGCTACTAGCAGTCACGTGACTGGCCACTAGTCACGCGGTAGATTTGTGCGCCGCCACGCTACGCCTCCGCAAGTTACGGCAAGTGTGGCACGCTGCCGGCTGAACCAATTTTTTTCAGAGCGCAGCTCTTAGGCGCCCATTTCCGGCTTGAGCGGCGTCACCGTCGGCGTAATTGCAAGGTCACGTGACCCCCCCCCCCCCCCCCCCCCCCCTAGGTCATGCGACACTCCCAGGTTATGTGACCCCCCCAGGTCCGGGGGTCCCCAATCAATAAAATGTCAACCTGCCACAATATTTGTTCTGATTCTATATTTCAGAGCACAGCTCTTAGGCGGCCGTTTCCGGCTTGAGCGGCAAGGAGGACAGCAGTAGGAGGGAGGTGGAGGAGGGGGAGGGGAGGAGGAGGAGACAAGGGGAGGAGGTTGAAGGATGAGGAGGAAGTGAAGGAGAAGGTGGAGGAGGAGGATGAGAGGAGGAGTAGCAGGCAGGATCATGAGGGAGGAGGGGTATACTCTCCCCTCAGTACCCTTCCCTCCTCCTCCTCAAGAGCTGCGCTCCAATTCGGCGTTACAGGCAGTTGTAAACGGCTTTCATTTTTTCTTTATACACAGAAAGTAATTTAAAATGTTGTTTTAAATAAAAAAAAAAACCTTCACGAGTCCTGTCCAGTCGAAAAATAAAAAAATAAAAGATTCTAGAAAAGTCATAAAGTGACTTTTCTCCACGCCGCCGCCGGAATTGAACATTCTGGTGTGTCGCCGCCGTCAATTTCTGACAGTCTTGGAGGTAACGCGTTACTAGTAACGACGTTACTGGTAACGCGTTACATTTTTCGCTAACGCAGTAACATACTCGTTAGTATTCTGAATGACTAACGAGTAAAGTATTTCCGTTACTTTTTTACCGTATCGGCTGTCAAATTTCATTACTCGTTACTTTTGAGCAAAACTGGTGAAATCCTGCACGAGCTTGTCTCGAAATCCTGCACCAGCTTATCGCTGCACGGAACCAGCATCCGTCACAGTAAAGTTAAAAAAAAAAAAAAAAAAAAAAGCTCATTTTTTGAAGGCGAAAAAAACCTTCGGCTACCAGCTAATTCCGTTCATCCTCCTTTTTCTTTTTTTTTCTCATAGTGTCACCACCCACAAGGCTTGACCGAACGACTGCGTTACAGCCTCGTCCCCTCCCTCCTCTTCCCACCCTGCTTTGTGCAGCAGAAGTGGACGGCGGGGGGGGGGGGAAGCCGTGGAGAAACATCTGTTTACAACAGTGGACAACTAGTGGCGAAGCGATTTGCTCATTTCTCTAGTTTCAAAAAAAAACAACCTTTGTGGAATATTTTTACCCTCGCTCTCCCCCTCGCTGCCTGAAAGTTCCTGACCCACTTTTGTACACAGAAGAATCTTTCGCTTGATTAGTCTTTAATTCCCTAAGGTCATGATAAAAAAAATACAAAAAAAAGTTTTAAACCTAGAAAGAAAACTTACAAACACAAAACCTTTTTTTTTTTTTTTTTTTTAACCGAAAAATTAAGATCTACTGCTGGTAAGAGGCAGCAAGTGATTATAGCCAGTGTGCTAATAACCGGTGTCCTGTTCCACATAATGAAGTAAATCAGTCTCTGGTAATAGTATGAACAGGACTGTTACTAAAACCGGCGGACAGATGAGGGGTGTTGGTTGGCTGATTGTGTTCCAGCAGTCCTCGTTCGCATGCTGTAGATTATAAAAACCGATTGACTAACATCTCCGACTCATTCTGCGCGTGAGATGGGCATGAATAACGAAAGACCGTCGCCATGGCCAGCAGGTCTGAATGAAATGTATCAACTAAAGGAGACAGAATCAGGTAATTTACAGTTTCAATGCCTAATCTGCATGCCGAAAATTAAGCTGCTTCGCGCATCAAAACACTATGAAACCACTCTGTAAATTTTTATGTTTATCCAAGCTTGTTAAGGAGGCTTATCATACATCTCTGCCAAACATACGTACTCGAACAGAAAAGTAACGTAAAAGCAACGAGCTTGAGTAAACTTAGAGCGGTAAATTAGCGGTCAAAAATGGCACCCCCCCGGTTGCCGCCATCTTGCCTGTTTGCCACATTAGTGATCATGTGATGTTAAGATAGCTGCGCCCAAAGGTGGGGCAGATCAGATTGGCCAGATCGCGGTCAGCAGATGGGCACTCTGGGGCTGCGTTCGAATCTTACTCGAATGGCGCCGAGTTATTCCGCGGATCAAGTCACGTGACAAGACAGATGCAGCAACGCTAGACGCGGCTAGGTTTTCAAACGAAACGGGTACAAGAACTTCACCCAAGAGTGAGATAAAAGCTGCGTTCTATTTACTTGCACCTCCTGCGCCGGTGCAGAAAAGTGTGGGGCAGTCTACTTCCGGTATATGTATTGAGATACGACCGGAAGTACACCACCCCACACTTTTCTGCACCGGTGCAGGAGCTGCAAGTAAATCGAACGCAGCTTCTATCTCACTCCTGGGTAGAGTTCTCGCACCCGTTGCGTTCGAAAACCTACCCGCGTCCAGCGTTGCTGCCACTGATCAGTGGTTGCTGCCCAAGGACGATAGAAGCCTAGGAGAGGGCATGACGACAGCCGTGTAGCCTCCACAAGCCACGCTCCCTTGACGCCTCGCCTCTTTCTCATTTTCCTCCTTACTCTCCTCACTTACCACGCCAACGCGACCACATCACGTGACCGTAGCTAGCCTTCGTCTAGCTATGGGGTACTAGAATACACCACAGGCCAGCCTTCGATCTGATAAAACCTACCGGACGGAGCGCGCGCAAGCCTGCAAGGTGTCTTTCTACAGTCAACCATCCATCTCACACGTGACATGTCACGTGCACCAATAGCTAAAGAGATCTACGGTCACGTTGGCCACAACATCGTTTAAACTTTTTATGACTAGGCTTCACCAATATTGCAACGTGCCCTCTCCTAGTACTTGTAACCTCCTTGTTGCTGCATCTGTCTTGTCACGTGACTTGATCCGCCGGAATAACTCGGCGCCATCCGAGTAAGATTCGAACGCAGCCCCAGAGTGCCCTGCCCATCTGCTGACCGCAATCTGGCCAATCTGATCTGCCCCACCGTTGGGCGCAGCCATCTTAACGTCACGTGATCACTAATGTGGCAAACAGGCAAGATGGCGGCAACCGGGGGGGTGCCATATCCGCTGCAGGCAGTGGGTTCCGGTTTACCGCTCTAAGGTAAGACTCAAGCTCGTTGCGTAAATGTAACGTAAGAGTAACGTTCGTTATTTTTGAAAAGTAACGGTAACGGTATATCGTTACGTTTGTAAAAGAGTAACGTAGGTCGATAACGCGTTACTTTTTACCAAACTAACGAGTAACGCTATTTCGTTACTTTTTTTCGGTAACGGGCACAACACTGATCTCTGACAAGCGTACAGGTCTATCACGTGGTGCTTTCACTCTTTCGGGAGCTTCCTACGGGCTCTAAAGGTTACTTATTAATCTTTGTTTTTTTACAGCGGAGCTGTTAAGGGCTCGTTTCCCCAGTTCCGTGTCTGTCACCAAATAAATGTCAAAACAAAACTCTGGACAGCTACCGCCACTTACGAGCGACGGCGGCAACCAGACAACCGGCTCGCAGGTTGTCTGGTTCGCCGCTGTCGCATAAAGAAAGTGGCCACTGTCGTGTTTCCGTTTCCGGTCCCTGCTATCAGCGCTCCTGATAAGAGGCACAGCGAGCTGCCGCGAAGCAATTCGTCAGTCGCAAAATAAAAATCGCTCCCGACGGACGAGAACTTGTCTTCTTCCGGGCACCCGCATGCACACAACAGCCACCTTTCCAGCCTTTCCACTCTGGTTTTCACCAGTGTAGAAAGGCTGATTTTCTCTAGGCGTAATCCTCGAAGTCGTCCTAAAAGTCATCCTTGAGGTTATCCTAGACGTCGTCCTTGAGGTCGTCCTAGACGTCGTCCTCGTGGCCGTCCTAGACGTTCTCAAGGTCGTCCTAGATGTTGTCCTTGAGGTCGTCCTAGACGTCGTCCCTGAGGTCGTCCTTGAGGTCGTCCTCTAAGCGGCGTCCTTGAGGTCGTCCAAAAAGTCGTCCCACCATAGTACAGCTTCCCTGGTCTTCCTTCTTCACCAGAGTGGAAAGGCTGAAAGCTTTTTGTTGCACTTAAAAGGAAGACAAATAACTAACTTTTAGAGCCCATAGGAAGCTGCTGAAAGAGCGCAAGCACCACGCGCTCTTTCGTGGCCACTAGCAGTCACGCGACTGCTAGTTGCAACTTTTCTGCGGGCTCCTGCAAGCGCCAACTACAAATTTGTTTTGAGCCGTCAATATAGCTCTAATTTTTTTTTTTTTTTTCACAGTAAATTAATTTAATGATGCCCTTCTTCCAATCAAACTGCTAAAAAGAAAAAGAAAAACTTCCCCCTTCGCATATTTTGTTTAAAGAGCCTCGCTGTCTGTCCTGTACGAATAGATTTGCGGCTGGGGAAACGCAGAGAGAGACGGGCAAGGCAGAGAGCAGGCAACAGGAGAGAAGCACACCTTCCCCGACAGCCGTCCAGGGCGGGCAAGCCGAGAGCCTCGACAGCAGAAGAAAGGGTGGGGTGCCAGCGATCTGTTGCCGGGACGTGGGCCCCCGACGCACAAGAGCTCTGAGGAAAGATGGAGTGAGAGAAAGGAAACCACGGAGAGAGGCCAGCTCAAAAGAGGGATGGGAGAGAGACAACGTTTGAGCAGAGAGAAAAAATCAGATGGGGAGAAGAGGCAAAAGAAGAAGTAGTCCTCGCATGAATTTCTCTGTACGTCTCCTGAATAGATAGTTGATAGTCAGTGCCTCGTCCTGTGTGTTCTCTCCTCCTTGTCCGTGTGTTACTTGTTAGGGGAGAAGGAGTGGGGTGGGGCAGTGTCTGAGCATTCTTGGTCCTATTTTAAGCACATCTTAAAGGGGCCCTGCAATGACTTTTTGACTGGTTTTTTAATTTGCACTGAACCCGAGCGTACTGAACGTAGTAACTTAATCCAACTTTTCTTTTCTCAAATTTCGCTTTATTTTAAAAGTTATAGGCAAATTAGAATTACAAAAACAAGCAAAAAATAACCTCCTTCATGACGTCGTAGGTCCTGCCTTGAGTGGCCTTGAACTAGAGGAGGAGTAGTGAGCTCATCGAGCGCTCACGGCTGCCGCACTCCGTGTCGACGGCTCGAGAGGGCGCCACTAAAGCACGTGTTGGATAGGCTGTATGAAGCGGGCGGCCAGGGCAGCTCGTATCGCATTTGCAGCGCGACTAAACACTAATTCGGCATAACATTTCATTGGCCACAAACGACAGCAAACACGGGGTAAAGATCAGTTCAGAACGGGAGCCACTTTGCGCTGAGCACCGCCAAATGGCCAAATCGCCAACAGGGCCCGCGCCGAAGGCCTTCGGAACGCTCGGAACCGGTCGGATTCTTGAGCCGGTATACGACCACAGCGCCGCCGCGTACATCCGGGACCTTTCTACGCTCCTCGTTTGTCGCAGCCTCATCCCACTAGCCTTTTCTAGTATGCGCCGTTTTCTTCCGCCGCTTGGTGGCGGGTATGTCGACGGGTCATTTCTCATTTCCGTACTTTCTAAACTGCATTTGTTTCTTTTCTGATCTAAAATAGTGAACAAAAACTACTTTCATACATAATTGAGACGGTTCGCGACACTTTTATTTTGTATCTCGACTAAAAAAAAGCTCTTAGCGGCTTTGACCAGTGACAAGCCCAGGACCAAAGATGTCACATTTTGCGCGCTTTCGGTACCGCGGGTCGCCCTCGTCGGTGGAGAAGGTTTCCGCGTCGTCCGGTTAAAATATGACGCACTGATATTTAGTTACCCTCTCCATGCCCGCTGGCTTGCCCCAACCCCAAGAGACGTGGAAACCGCAAAAAAGGTAGACGCTTAAATACGATTGCAGGGCCCCTTTAAGCTAGGTTCTAGGAGAACTGACATCAAAAAGTCTTCAGCTGCATTACATCATGTCTGCACCAGTAAAGCACGTAAAAATGCTGACAGTGACTACTACATTCTTACAGAGCATGCCTCACTCCATGTTCCTTCTATAACTTTATTTTGCCTAAATTTCGGCGTGCGAAAGAAGACTCGCGCATTACAAGCAAACAGGAAAGCCCAAGATTGATAGGTTTGCTCGCTCGTGCCAGCTGTTGACCACAAAAGAACTCGAGTGTGAACTGCTCTCCAACGACATACTTTCACGAGCTCACTGGGAAGCTAGCACAGCAAACATGCACGTCGGTGTAGACGCCGGAAGAACATGTGCAACTCACGCCCACCCTAAGTTTGGCTCAATGTTCCAAACACAGTTCCACAAAAGCTGGCAAAACTTACCCTTTGTGATACTGAGGCATTGCTAGATGTGTCATCTGCAAAAACAAAGGTCAAGCGTAAGACGAGGAGAGATACAAATGTCTTGGTAGTACGCGAGGCCGTAAGCTCTGGGGGCACACTTCACTGCCAGGCGCCTACCTAGCGGGGGCCCGATGGTGAGGACCACGGAGAGGCCGGACACCTTGATGAGGTTCACAATCTCCCCGTGGTGCATGTCCAGGATGCTGATCCCGTTCACCGCCAGGATGCGGTCCCCCACGTGCAGCTGGCCACAGCGCTCGGCGGGGCTGTTCTCAATGATGCGCCCTGCACCCCGAGAGAGACAGGCGTGAGAACGCTCAAAACAAAACTGTGCAGACGATCACGCGACGTGATGCGAATGAACAGTATTGGCTGGTGCAACGTTTCTATGATGTTGCGTCGCACAGTCATCTGACATTTCTTTCTTTTTTCTTCGTTGCGCAGTGATTGCTGAACTCTGTGTAGGCGTGTAGCACACACCTTGAAGGCAGTCATGCTGCTTGGCAGCTACGACGACTGAAGAGCCTCGTGGCAAGCCGCCGGCAAAGACACCAGGTCTCGCGTAAACCACAACTGATTGCGCAGAACAGACAGGACCAAACACGTTTTCGTGGACTCGCTGCACAAATCGCTCAGTTGCAACAGCGAGTCCACTCTTCGCTTTCGACGTCAAATGTGTTCCATCCCAACACCCAGGGTGAGCCCGTCGATGCCTGCACGTCGGCAACGTCCTCTCTCACAAGCGCATTTACGCCGTCGAACAGCCGCTGCTTGCTCCGACGTACGCTTCTTGCACGCAAAGGCTCAGACCGTCAAGGGAACGAGCAACCAGAGGCGAGAAAGAACATGTGGCGAGGAGAGTGACCGCATGACCCCCGGCGCAACCGCGATTGGCCGAACGTGTTGCGCCTCGACCGCTACTGTTATCGGTGAAAGGGCGAGGGTACCACCATTTGTACCGCTGCTGCGCTCACCCTCTCCCGGTGCCAAAGCCACCTGCAATAAACGCGCGCATGCTCCGCTGGTTTTCTCAAACGCGACGCTCGCCCGGCACAACGAGCCCAAAAAGGCAGACGCCGTAAAAGCCCTACTAACATTTCATTCGCTGCACAGCTCCGTACACATCCGAGTCTCCATGGTTCGAACCTGATTGAAGCTGCCGATCTAACCCGGGGGGGTTCTCCAAATTTTTGACCTCGAGGAACCCCTCTAGGTCTAGGCAGTGACGTGATGAAACAGTGCAGAGGCCGACAGACCTCGTGAACAATAATGTGCCCATCAAGGAGTCTTGGTTCATAGTTACGCATCAGTGAGTGGCTGCAGGGACGGCCAAGAAAATTTGGCCGCTGAGGGAACATGTGAGGGTGCTCTGAAGAACCCCTAGGTTCCCAAGAACCCAGTCTGAGAACCTATAGTCTAACCAATATATAAATAGTCACCATATTTATGCGATGTTCTCCTTCGGTTAAATTTGTCGCGCGGACGTTCGGGCAATGGGAAGTCGGTTTTGCCTTTGCACTGGAGCCTTTGCTCTGGGGGTCCCTTTGGTCGACGCATTAAGACTGCTAAATCAGGGGCTTTAATGTGTATCCCATAGCAGTACAGCTAAAACTGAATTTCGTGAAACCCAACTTCATGAAATTCCCGATTTAACAAACAAATTCTAATTCTCCCACAGACGCCCGTAGGGCTCAATTCTTTTATGAACTCGAAGTTATGAAATAAACTTAACCATCAACCTGATTTACCTAATGTCCAGGAAAAAAAAAAAAAAAAAAAAAGTCTAAAAAGAGGCAATTTGAAATGCTTTTTTTTTTGTTTTTTTTTTACATGTTTTCTTAATTTTACAAAAAGAAAAAAAAGATAACACTGTAATAACATGAATTTTAGTAGGTACAGTGTCCATTTATATCAAAACCAGTTGAAGGGAGAATTGAACTCAATGTCTGCTCTACAGCCTTGCCAAGCAGCAGCGCGTTAGCCACAGTCGGCAGCTCGGATATCAGTTATGACTTTGGCGCCTCGGAGAACGACCCTCCCGGGCCGACAGATTTGCCCCAGCGCAGTTCGACAGATTTTATGAAATTGTCGTGGTTTCAGGTTATACCTGACGTCGTAAGCAAAGAGCTGCAAGAAGTGGCCTTTTAGACAGAGTCCCGGAAGCCTTTGTTACCACGCCATGACCTTAATGACACCTGCCATTACGGCGGTTCTACTGGATCCACTGATGTGAAATTCAATATCAAATTTTGATAGCTGGCCCTGAGGATCTCTAGTGTTAACTATGCTAACTATTAGCACACAAAATTTTCTTGCATGATTTCTGCTTTAAAGAGAAAACAGAACCCTGGTGCTGCGAGATGTCTCAGTGCTAGCGGGTGTGGATGATGAATAACAATTCCAGTGCTAACAGTTTTGGAGATATTCTCTCATATTAGTGTGCAAACTGTTTTTGCAGGATTTGACCCCCCCCGTGACAATGAGGAAGAGGTGTGCGTACCTATCGTGGAGCCTGCCTTGCCCACCGAGGAGATGATGACGAAGCCGAAGCCCTCGTTCTCGTGCCGCATGACGGTCACGTTGTACGGGTACGTCACCTCGCAGTTGTTGGTCCGGTGTGGAGAGTCCACTGCAGGGAGGGACACAACACTCCACACCATTTCCTCTTTCCACCGTGTCTAAATGGAAGTCTGTCTTTTAACGTGGAACCTGTTTATGGCCTGGACTTGAGAAGTTTCGGTGTTAAGTTACATTACGTGACCTATCACCTTTCCCACTAAATTTAGTAAGAAGGTCAAACAACAAACGCCGTTCGAATTGATGCATAAACATGCGCCAATTCAATCGGTGCATAATATGCGTAAAGCCCGGTGGTCGTTTGAAGGACAACATTGAATAGGATGTCGCGTAGCACATATTTCACGCCGCACCGTCTTTACTCGTAAAGGGTCAAGGAGACGTAACTGTGCCTAGCAAGCTCGTGCTAATTCTTGAAGTTGCGACATACCACAGCGAGGCATTCGTCCGTTCGGTAACTACGGACACCTGGCACACCCCAGTGGTGGACTAGTTTTGACCACCCGGGGATCTTTCGATGTGCAACCAAAATCTCGGTTACATGCTTCTTCACAATAAGCCTCCTTCGGAATGCGGGCACCTCGACCGCAGTTCCAACCCGCCGGTGGAGAGGGGCCGAGCACTCACCCAAGGAGCGTGCCTTCCTGCGCAGCCCGAGGGAGACGCACCCGTTGAGGGCGGCACTGCCCATGAGCTGCACCACGTGGTGGTGGGAGGCATGGAGCACATTCTGGCTGTCCACAAACACGATTTCGTCGCCGGTCTGCAGGCGGCCGTCCAAGTCCGCCGCCCCGCCGGGTACAATATGGCCGATGGACACCTGAAGAGAACCCCACATCCTCAGTACCGCCAGAGAAGCCACGCTTCTGAGCAACCGCGCTTCGGCTGCCTCGGCGCTCGAGATCGTTGTTGCCGGTTCTCCGAAGCTTCGTCCGAAATTGCAGGAAATACTCTTCCCTTCCCCTAAATGTTAAAACGGCAGGCGACAGAGCAAGACGATGTCGCCCGAGCAGCCTCGGGCCAAAACCAAAGGTCGGGAAGTCCTATTTTAGATGTGCAGTTGCCGACCGAGTTTTCGAACGCCAAGTTTTTGGACACGTCCAATTATTCGGACATTTTCGCCGAACCGTCACTCACCCCGTAGAGTTAATGTATAACATTGACCAAAATTTCGGATGCCATAAAACTTACTGCTCCATATTTCGGACATAATTTGTGCAATTTCCTCAGTTTACAGCCACAAAACAGCCACCGTGATAGCGCCACGAGCTTAGTCGCCGCCATTTTGGTCATTTTGATTTTGCCCTGTAGCCTCGATACCACGTCCTATGAAACAAACAAGCTGGGCTGAGGCTCTAGTCGGGTTTTCCAGTTGCGCTATAGCCAACATGGCCACCATCTGCCCATTCTTATGGCTTTTCCAGTTGTCCTTGTGGTCCATGTTTTTCGAGTGCGACCGCGAGAAGGGAGGCCGTCTGCCGTTCTCGTGGTCTTTGAGCGCAAAGGTTTTTTGCCCATAGGCTTAGTACTGAAGTGAGCTTGGTGGACTAAACGTTGTCTACAAATAGTTCCAAATGGCGCCAACTTCAACTTGGCTGTTTCTGCCAACAAGAGCTGACAAAGTGCAGCACCGTGATCAAACAGACTAACAAACAAGTGAAAAATGAACAATATAAAGCGGAAGTTGCACGAGAGCTTAAGATTGACATCAAGAAAGTGGAAAGTGGCCAATATGCAGCGAAATATGCGTGGAAATTTGATATTTTGGGGGCTGAAATCGATTTCTCAGACCTAAAAGGAAACAAAGCCCGAGCATTTCTCCGGACTCACCTGAGAGCCCTCCTCGGTGCCTCCGACGATGCGAAAGCCAAAGCCGCTCTCCTGCCGATGCAGCGTCACCGTCAAGTCCACCGCGTCGCTGTGGCTGCTGTCGCAGCCTGTCGAGTTCTGCCGCAGCGCGGCCGACGTCACGGGCTGCTCGTGCTCAAACGAGGTGGAGTGCTTCCTGCCCGAGATGCCGTCCTGAACGAGAAGGGTTGTTTCTTGTCAAGCGGCAGTAAATTATAATTGAAAGAGTCTTCTGACAGAAATGGCGCAGGAAAGCAGGTCGTCTGCTTCTTGCGCAGGGGTTGTGGTGAAATCAGAACGACGCCGAGTTCTGATCGGCTTTGATTAGAAGGATAGAGGGTAGACCTCAATACTAGATGCATTAAGGTTCAACCACCATTTTTATTTCTTTTTCAATCAGTCAATAAGAGCACGGCATTCTGACATCTTTGCAACCCCTGTGCAACAAGTAGACAAACTTGCGCTTCGCGTAGGTTCCGTTTACAAGCAGTCTACTGAGAAATTTAAAGGTTATCCTTTGATACACCTAGGTAAAAGTTCATTGAATCTATATCCGTAGTGTTACATAATAAGAACACAACAGAATTTCTGAAAAGCTATGTCCCGTAAGGAGCGTGTGGTGGTACTGTTGCGCCAACTCATAACGAAGTCGGTCATGATGACCTAGCGGCTATAGCAAAGCGAATTCGATTTCTCATTCCCCTTATCATTTCTTAAATGTATTTGTGTCCGTTTTTAGCGAAGAAAATTGAGCAGCTCTCGCGGATAGAGCGAAAAAAAATTAGAGATAGTTTTAAAAAATATTCTAATTCAGAAAGCCACCCAGAACGGGAATGCTGCAAAGGCCAGCAGCGGCGGCCTCTGCATCGCCATCTGCTCCCCGCTCCTTATTTGGCAAGCGGCTTTTCTACATCAAACGCGGAGAAGCCGTCCTGGCATGCTGATTTGCAATCTAATGGCGGACGCCCAATGGGCAGATTGGCACAAATGTGCCTGCCTGCATTGGGTGGCCAGCATGGTGAGGTAGCTGAGGAGAAGACGTTTGCGGACGGTAAAAGCTTTTGACTCCTTGCCGGCTGCAAGGAGTCAAAATCTAGGCCGTTTACACCGACGAAACATGACCTTGAGTGCAAACTTATTACTGTGCACGTTTCTTTGTTTGCTTCGTATTCCCTGTCGCCATCCCTGCTCGGCATGGTCACTCTGCGCGAAAGTCTAACTTCACTCAAGCACTGATTCGGCAAATCATCGCCACTCGACAATAGCAAGTCCAGGCACCACTGGCACCTCAATGGGGAAGAAAAAGGCAATCTCCTTAAAACAAAAGCATGCCATACTCAACAAACTGCGCATAAACTGCATCCTCCCCTCCGCGGAGGCCGTCACAGCTATCATCACGGTCCATACGTAGCTCGCAGGATCTTCCCTCGATCGGAGCTTCTTCTCGCAGTCGGCGAGAAGCAGCTTTGATCTAACAGAGAGCACGCAAAGGGAAGCCTCGACTGCTTTCTGCAGGCACAATAAATGCACCAAAATGTTTTTTTTTTTTTTTTTTGTGTTACTTTTATGAAAGTCAGATATAAAGAAGATGCGGATATAGTAAAGTGATTTACGATTCCCACTGACTTCGTTATGAGAGGTCTTGACAGTAGTGACAGCTGCAGCTTTACAAGGGCACTCCAGCCCTAGTTGTTAGGGATAGGGAAAGCACAAGCATCTGCACTCCCAAAGTTGCCAGGAGACAAAAGAAAGCAGTGGAGAGTGATTGCACATAGGACGAAACAAGGTGGGCCACATCCAGTTCGAATGGGAATAAAGAAGCGCAGTAATATTAACCCTCATTTGTCAACACTTCCCTGCGCAACCACAGAATTTTTTTACTAAATTAGAAACTGACTCTTCCAACGTCACTGAAATCCGAGGCACCCCAATTATTAGGGCTGTGCGAATATTCGAAATTTCAAATAGTAGTTCCGAATAACACACTATTCGATATTCGCTTCGAGAAAAACTGCACTATTCGCGTTTTTCGAAGTGTTGATTGCGGCGGGTTAGCCCCATTGAGTGCGCTTCTTACCAAGCACCGGTGCGCTGCGGAGAAGCAATACCCGCAGAAGCGAGCTCCGCAAGTGTTGCTTCTCTGCAGCAGACCGGTGCTTGGTAAGAAGTGCACTCAACGGGGTAACCCGCCGCGATAAACGCTTGGAAAAGTATGAATATCGTAATTGCATGCTTGGAAGTAAAGCATACATTCAAGGCGGGATGGTGCGCCTGTGCCGACTGTATTTGAAAATAAATGAAAACTTTGTGAATGTGTATATCTACATTGCAGTAAAAGTTTTAAAATTAAACTGTTATGCAAGAGAATACTATGCTAGGCAGAGATGCCCTTACAACCTGTGTTCATCATGCACGATTCATTCTTTTTTAACTCGAGATTAAAGAAAGAATATTTTATAAAGCAAGATTTGTAAATTAACTCCATTGGGTATAGTTGGCCATCTTTACAGGATTCGTTTTATGTCAAATCCGTCGTTTACTTGCCACCCCAAGACACCAGACCTTCTGAGGTCACAGTTCATAAATATAGATAGATTAATCTTAGCTTATAAATGAACACGTGGAACAATCTTCACAAGTTTAGCTGGGTTTTCGTCTAAGCATTATGCAATGGTAGTAAAAAGCGTGAAAAAACTATTCGATATTCGAATTGAAAATATTCGGCCAAAACCACTACTCGCTTCGAACTCAAAATCCGCTATTTGCACAAGACTACCAATTCTGCAAATGCTGCTGCAGCTCGTTACCTGAAGCAAGGCCATGTTGGACAGTACCAACAGGCAGAAAACTTGACAAAAGTTTTCGACGCCAACTAGCTCATTGCTGGGGTAAAACCACGGTGTAAGATAAGGTGAGGACACGCAGTACTCTGAACGCTGCAACGCAATTGACCAGAAGTCTTATGGTACTTTATCTGGTCAATGGCGTCCTGACCGGCCAGATGGCACAGCTGAGGAAAAAAGAAGCGAGCCAAAACAAAAAATCGTTCAGCCTTTCCACTCTCGTGAAGAAGGAAGACCAGCGGAGCTGTACTCGATACACTGTGTGCTTCTTCGTCGTCGTCGTCTGTTTTTCACACCGTTTCCTACGATGAATCCCCACCAATGGGCCCAACTATCCATTCTTCTATTATAGCTGGAAAGGTTGCCGCCATGTACGAGCGATGGCGGAAACCATACTGGTTGTGTGCTTGCCGCCGTTGCTTATAGATGGCAGTAGTTGTCCAGGTAGGTTTGTGTCGACATACCGGACACAATCCTGGGGAACCTAGCCCTTAAAGGCTCCGCTGTAAAAGAGTGCCTCGTTGCCAGGAAACCTGGGCGTGTGTGCTTTCTGCTCGATACGTCAGCTACGACCCCGACGGACGCTAGCTCAAACACCGCACCACAGATCTCTCCGCTTCACTGCATTCATAAAGCTGTTCTCGCTGCCACTGAGGCCTGAAACTAGGGTCAAGGATGAAGCTGTGTTTAAGCAACACGCGCAGCGCAAGTGCCAAAAGGCTGTGGCATGCGACGGGCTACCACCAGCCACCTAACGTAAGAGCCATCTGGTGGCGTTGCCTGCAATCGAGACGAGGACTTAAGGGGGGACGCGGGCTTTGAAAACCGGAAAATCGCGAAAAAGTCGATTTTTAGAAAACCTTATTTTTCGGTTGTATATCTCATAAACTACCTTCTCTGTAATTATCAGCACCAAATACAATGGGGAAATATTTAAAAACAATTATTTACGAGGCCTGAATAGCATCCAAGTGACGGTCAAACGTCAAAATCAACCCCAACTTCGCGCGCTCGCCATTTTCAAAGCGTTGGACCGACGGCCGCCATCTTAGTCTTGTTTTGAACGTGAATTCTTTCTCTTTTTTTTGCCAGCTCCCAAAATGGCGTCGGCCGCGTGGTTACGGCACTGTCGCCGTTCTTCCATGTCGCAATCGCAAGAACGCGATTGGACAGAGCGCGCGCTCGAGGAGCGTGCGGGGGAGCGCGCGACTGCTATTGGCTGGGACGCGATTTCTCCGCGCGCGGAGCGCTCTCCTCCTCCGTTTCTCCTGCTGTTGCCGCTCGCGTCGTCTGCTTTTGGTAGTGGTCTGCTTGCACGCGCTCTTTTAGTCAGTTCCACTTCGTTTTTCGCCATCTTTACGATCGTTTTCCGAACTTTCTTTGAGTAGTTTCGTGTAGCGTGCCCGTCTGTTTCGTGGTCGCACACGATGCGGGGTTCGAAGTACAAGACGGTGCGCGCGTTTGGCGCGCGGAAGCGGTCCATGAAGTTAGTGCGGATGGCGAACTAGGAAGTTTCTGCACGGCGTGCCGTCAATGATGATCGCGTCAACACCTCCAGTGATGGATTTTCTGTGCCATCGGCTGTCGTCGAGGAAGAACGCATCGCCCCGCTCACGCCTGGAGTGCCGAGCATGCCGACCGTTGTGGTTCCTCCCGAGATCGCGGGTCCCAGCGCCCGTCTTCCGCCTGCCGCGACAAGTAGGAGCGCGTCTTCTAGCACCCATCTGCGGACGCATTTCCTGACACGTGAGGAGATCGAAGCAGAAGCTAGACATTGTGATATTGCTCAAGCCGAACTTGGAGCTATGCCAGCAAATTGCACTGCATGAAGCGGTGTTTAGGTTCAACGCCGGCTGCTACAAGGCAACTGCAGAAATATCGGTTGCAGTGGGACTTCAGCCGACCCATCTAGCCCTCCAACGAGCTGCCGGGAAAGATGCCCTACGTCTGCACAAGGCCAGCAAACGACATCAAGAGAATTTGGAAAGGCGGAACAAGAAGAAAGTGCACAAGAACACTTCTGACTATTCTGCAGGGTCATTCTAAAGCTGAAAATCTGGGTGCAACTTTCAAGTGCTGTTTTCTCAGAATGGATTTTTTCACTGTCGTGGCTGCTTGTCCCAGCGATATCTCAGGAACTGATGAATGGATTTTTGTGCTGTCTTTTTTATTCTGTTCTCTAATAACTTTGTGAGGGCATAACAGAGCCCTTTTTTTAGAAAACTGCGCTAAAAATTTATAATAAAAAAATTAAATTTGGTGAATGTGGGTTTTATGACTACACAAAAATTCAAAGTTGCGTTAAAATTTTTCAACAAAGAAATTTAATAAAAGGGCTCTGTTATGCCCTGAGGAATGTATCCAGGGGTAATCATAACAAATTTTACGCCGCTACTACCTTTTTCAAATTCTCCAGACCTGGGATAAGGAATGCATATGGACGATTTTGATAAATATTTGTAACTTGAGAAATAATATGCACAGCTCCATGAAACTTTGCAGTTACTCTTATGTCTGTGCTATAAACACACCCTGTAAATTTCGTTCAGATATCTCTAGAAATAAGAAAGTTCATATTTATTCCCCACCTCCTCCCTTAACCTGGCAGCTGCGACGCGTGCGGTGTCCGCACCCACAGATATTTTACACCGTGAGCACAACGCAAGTGGCCTCCAGAAGCCCACCTGAGGGAACGAGGGCGAGATGCCGTCCAGGGTGGGGGATCCGTACAGGCCGTAGAAGCCTCCACTGCCTGTGCTGATGTGGCTGTTGTTCAGCTGCTGGGACACCGGGGACAGCGGGGACCGGACCGGCGCGGCACGCTGGGACGGCCCGCGGGAGTAGCCATAGTCCGGCGAGCCGTAGTTCCAGCTCCGGCCGAGAAGCAGACTGTCCGCCGTCGATGCCGACCAGTCCTTCTGGGACACGGCCGGCGGGGTCGGCCTCTCGTCCGACGGTGGGTTCATGGGAGACCTGCCATCATTTCGAAAATGAGACGACGGCAGGAATGAGTCTTTGACTGGTGCGTCTACCTCCCTACCCTGCCCATGCATCGAAAGTGGCCCCAAAGCGGATGCGAGGGTCGTTGTGGCGTTCCACTTCGCCTTCTGTCCACTTTCGACACCGCACTCCCTCAAGATCACAGCAAGCAACGGCGCAACACTTTTACGTCGTCGTCGAGTGGAAATTGAGGGACTGCTTTGGGGATGCTGCAAGCACGGCAGTCAGAGGTGTGCTCAAAGACACCATGGTCAGACCTAACAGGCACACAAATCGTTTCGAGAACGATGTTAAGGCACCCCTTTTAAAATCATGGGTACCAAACTTTTAGAAAAATAGACAATGACTTCGCTCTGGCTGTTGCGATGTAATGCAATGGCATTTGAGATCATTTGCACTTCTCTGAACGTCCGTCAAGCTCGGTGCTTTCGGTATACCTCGGCACAGTGCCGTTTTCTCGCCAATTTTTTTTTCTAAATAAACCGGCGTATAGTCTTACATTTATTCGATTTCCTTGCTAAACCTAGCGGGGAAGCATTTACCTGGCGGTTTATACTTCCATTAAATTTTCCAGCTAAATTTAGAGGGGGAAAGACTTTTGGCTAAACTTACCTATTGAGCCACGACAGACAGGCACACAGGATTTCACAGTTTAATAACCCTAGAAACGCTATCAATTTCTAAAAAAAGCCTCGCCACAGATGACAAAGACAGCACTCGCACCAATTTTGAGGTCACTATGCAAGAAGTATGCCTGGTTGAGGACTGGTGGTGATTTCTACCAACCGTCATCACTCAGCCCCCTGCTGCCTGAAATTCATAAACTGTGTGGCATAAAATATGCACGCACAATTTTTGACTCCTGTGATCTTTGAACAAAACTTTCCCAGTTGTTTAAACGCAGCCCAAGAATCAGCGTCCAGCATCACGACACTCACGTTGGATTGCTAATGGCCGCCTTGTGTCCATATAAGGAAGATGTTCCATAGTCTGCCCTGGATGAAGAATACCACCTCGGTGAAGACTGTTGCTGCTGTTGCTGCTGTTGCTGCTGCTGCTGCTGTTGTTGCTGCTGTTGTTGCTGCTGCTGTTGAAGTTGCTGTTGCTGCTGTAACTGAAGCTGCTGTTGCTGTTGCTGCAGCTGACCGAGGCTCACTGGCCTTGCCTCTCGGAAGCTCTGGCTAGCCCAGTCCTGCGGCCGAGTGGGCTCGAAGTACCACGCACCATACTGACCTGCAAAAAAAGGAAAAAAAGAAGGCTTTTTAAGACTCCCCATAAGGGCTTTCTGATGTAGCTTATAAGTGAACACTTGACCAAAACTGGCTTTGACAAAGCTTAAAACAAGCACTCATCTAATACTAATAACTTCCCTCAACATTATTAAAAAAAAAAAAAATTTAGGAATGGCCAGTTGTTTACAATACGACAACACAGGTGGTCAGGTTTGGAGCAAGCTTCAAATTAAACAGGCTTTTGTTAACTCTCAAAGGGACATTGGACTGCCCCTCAAAACACCATTTCCAAAAAAAAAAAAAAAAAAAAAAAACTTTTCCAGAAAAAAACAAAAAACGTTTCAGCAAAATATTTTCTATTTATGTTCTGCGACTCATCTGACCAATTCTGAAGCATTCCTCTTTTCTGGGGTCGAAGAAGCAATCTCAGAATCCACTGATGGGAGCGGAATTTGACTTTTCTTTAACAGGTTTCGTATAACAGGCAAAACATACGCCTCGCAAGTGGGCTCAATTTCGTCTTCTGCGCATGAAAAAGGAAGTAGCGGTGACGTCGGAACGCCGAGCCCTGATTGGCTGATCGCGACCCACTATCTGAGCGTCGTCTGCTCCTTTGCAACGTCGTCCGCTCGCAACATCGCCTGCGTCTGTCTTACCTTTCCTGCGACTTTCGGAAGCGCAGGTCTTTACGAGCGAGCTCGACTTGAACAGTGCACGGCGCGCCTGACTCCCGGGGGTTGGCGGCACTTCTTGTATGAGCCACTCTGGCAACTCCGGAGGCCGCTGGAACAGCCTCACGGCTCACTCACCCCGCGGCTTCCCTTCGCAGTTTTTCACGCGATTCACGGTCGCACATCGTTTGATCGAGTGTCGAGATCATGCTGGAGCGCGAACTATGTTTATTTTGTATTGACACGCTTGATCGGGGCAGTTTAGGTTTTCAGTGCTCATTTATGGCCATTCTTCACTCAGAAGCAACCAAGTGCGCTGGTGGATGCAAGTTTGACCCGTCGGAGTGGGTGATGCTCCAGTAGAGTCTGCAGTGGCGCGGGATGTGACGGCAAACGAAGAGGCTTCCGCAGTCCAAAGTCTGGACAGGTGGGGATGCCTTCCGGAGTTGGAGGTCAGGCTTGCAACGTACGGCGCAAAAGTGTGCAAACGGTCCCTACCCGTGACGTCCAACGCGATCGCCGAGCAAGCGCGGAAGATGCAGTTGATCATTTGCGAAGTGCAAGATTTCGTTAGACGCCGCCGCCGACGTGCTTCGAGAACGTGGCAGTGATAATGACGGGACTGACATCACCAGTGCGGACGAGTCATAGTCTAGTCGCGGATGGAGTGAGAACGACAGGGAGCTGCTCCAGCTGTCCCGCCTCCAGCGTGAACTTCCTAGTTTCGATAACGCCTGGGCATCTCATGCACCTCGCGCGTGCATCTGCGGCCAAAGCACGCCAGAAGGCATAGATCGCGTGTTGGAGGCTCGGCATCCGAAACAGATACTTTGCCGTTCTCACGTGCTCGCAATAAAACGCGCATCTAAAGTTGTTTTTGTTTTTTCTTGATGTGCATTCTGGGGGGGGGGGGCGGTCGACTTACAATCGAGTCGACTTACAATCGTGTAAATACTGTAGGTTTCGTTTACAATTGGTTTAAAAAACATTGTTGCAAAATGAAGCTAGTTGAGATAAAGCCTCTCCAACGCCCCCCTGCCCTCACCACCCCGATTTACACTCAATAGCTTATTTAGCCTGTAGATATACTAATTCCCGTAAATTGCCAGCGGAATCCAGCATATATCTGCCCACGGATCAGGCGTAGCTCTTTGTGAACCGTGTATCGAGAACGATTGTACCACTGCCGTAGTTAGCCCATGCATTATCGATAGACATAGCTGGCCTTCCGTTTATTGAGTGTTCAATAAACAGGAGCAAAACTTTGCTTCTCAGTTGCTCCGTGCACTTATGTATCTTATTTATTCATCTATTTCCTACAGCGCTCCATACGGCATTACAGTAGGGGCAGTCATCATCAAAAACGAAACACTGAAATTTAAAGGGGGACATGGGCCTAAATTTTAAATTTTTTTTTAAAAATTCATTTTTTAATTTTGAGGTTTTCAGTTTTAGAAACTAATTATACACCCTTACACCAAATTCAATAACCATACGCCAAATAGTTATGTTGATATAAAATATTTTTAACAGATTGTGAGGCAGCAACAAAGTAAAGGAGTTCAATGTTTGAATGCATTTTTCTCAGTTTCACTTTTTGCTGCAAATTTCATACGAAGGAATCTTTTGTTCGAAGGTGAAAGTACCCTAATACCACAATCAAGATGTTTCTGAACTGAAATTTACTGAGGAATTGGGCTATCTACTTTATTTTGTTTGAAGTTGGAGTCTTCAGTGATAAAAAACCAAGTTTTCAAAAATTGACATAGGACAGATATGCATCTCATAGTTTGAGGTAATAACTGTTCCTGAAATACTTACAATTAAGCTATTAAAACTAGATAGCCCGAGGTCCCATATCCCCCACTTTATATTCAAGCAGTCAAAATGATGCTTAATAGCTTCATTTGCATATCATAGATTTCTTAATGAAAAGTGACACATCATCTTATGCAGGTATGTAAATTTGTCCTAGAGAGCTGAAATTTTGCACAGTACACCTACATCTGAAGTTAAATCTTCCCTGCAAATTTCATTCCGATCACTTCAGTAGTTCAAAAGTTTGACCTCTAGCCAGTGTCCCCCCTTAAGCAACCACAGATAAGCAAGGCAATAAGTTACACAAAAAATAATATGTACAAACTCATGCACGGATATAGGCACACATAAAGAGAATTTTGGTTTGCAAGGAAAAGAACACAAGTGCAATCAATCAGATACAATGCTGGAGTTGTGAGAAAAACGAATCTGGATTTTGAAAGGCAACAATCTCACTTGGCAGACAATTCCATTCTTTTACTGTCCGTAGGAAAACATAATTACAAAACAAATCAGATTTTGATGCACCCGCTTCACACACGCAGCAGACCCAGGATCGAAACCTGGGGGCACCGCGATGGTGGGCAGTCTTTTTCAAGCAGTTGGCAATATCGACGTCAGATGCCCTACGCGCTACGACAACAAACATTCTTTCCACTGGTGGGAAAAGCCTATGACAGCTATTGCTGTAAAAAAATAAAGGGGTTGGGTGCTCAGTGTTCCTTTAAACTGAGGCCTGTTCACACACACGCCACTGCGCTAATGCTATCTCAGTGCATTTTAGTCGGTGCTGGGAATGGCGTTGACCTTGATGATACACCATGGACTACGCGCTATATTAGTGATAGAGCAAATCAGAGCTGTTCCTAGTGTTGATTTAGTGCTGCGGTATATAGGGTGGCTACAATGAATCTTGCGGTCTAAAACGAGCCAGAAATTTCAGTGCCTCCGCACAGAAGGTTCAAATTTTCACAGAACATGCATTATGCTGGTACATTCTAGCCGATGAAGTTTCAAGCCATAAATTCCTTTCTGTGAAAAATCCAACAAACTTGCAAGATCGACGGCAGGCGGACTCACAGACGGTAGACGATTCGGTTAACGATTTTTGTAACTCCTGGCGCCATCTCCCGACAGGTGCAGCGAGTGGATGACGCAATTCGTCGTCTGCTGGCCTTGTCCGTCGCATGATACGACGTGATGGAGCGGGTGACGCAGTCTGTTGTCTGCAAACCTGTCTGCCAACAACCCAAGCAAGTTTGTTCATCTCAATTTTCGCAGAAAGGAAGCTATGCTCTAACATTTCACCGGCTAAAATGCACCACCTCAATACAGATTCGGTAAAAGTTTCAGCTTCCTATGTGCAGGCACTGATCCTTACGGCTCGTTTCACAGCGCATGTATGAACTGGCCTTTGGTGCGGTAGGTCAAGAATAGTAGCAACGACAACATCGATCGGTTCCCCAACCAGAGGAATGAAACGCACCGGTCCTAGGTGGCTTCGCGGGGCTGGAAGCTGTGGTTGCAGGCGCTGGCCCGGCCTCGTCGACAGAACTGTTGTTGTTCGGGTGGGCGTCATCGGCCGGGGAGTGCTGCTCCGAGGAGGTCCAGTGGCGCGTGTCGACCAGGGGTGTCTTGGGGCGGCTCACCACCACGGCCTCCTTGTCCCGCGAACTGTACAGCTCGGCCGTTGGCGTCTTGCTGCGGTACTGGCCCTGGTAGGCCGGAACGTAGCCCTCTGCAAGGAACCAATGACCGGAGGACGACTTCTTTCGGCTGCTCGTTTCAAGCGGCGTTTCTCGAGACTACGGAGAAATCGTCTGCTCTCAAGGAGACTTCGAAAGCTCTTCTTTCAACTCGGAATGCTCCGTAGTTCTTTGGCAATTGTAATGAGCAAAATAAGGAATAAAGACACAGAGCTGCAAAGGGTTAATGCAATAATAAGTGGCAATCTGACTGACTGCTCGTTAATTACACATTAATTTTAGTTTTATTTGCCTTAATATTAGTTCCAACTTAGGGGTTTTGATAGTAGTGATTATAATCACACTTTGAAAAGTAGAAAATAATAAAATTAAAGCAGCAAATGATGCACACACAAAACGCTGTTACATAAAATAAAAAATATGGACAAAAGCAAAATATAGCAAATAAGAAACAAAAAATAAAAATTGCCACATACAATAGCCTTGCTGTGTCTAAATGAAATAAAAACTCAGAAGCATGGAGTGAAACAACATTATCTGGTGATACACATTTTCAAACCGTGCGGGGAAAAAGATCTTCATTAAACACAAATTCTTGCAAATAACTAGAGTGTGTGTTACGAGTTGTACTGTGTTATATGAGAGTAGAACCTCATTGATACGGTGTCAACTGACGCATTCTCCCTGCTGCTACGTCCACAAACGATGGTCCCTGTGAAATGCCGTTGGGACATCTGTATTAACCTTCTGTTCATTGCGTTCGACTTCTTGGCTGTCATGTCTAGAAACTGCAACCGAACACAATGTGTTGGGCTATGTGGCCTTGACTGCCCTTTTCCTTTTGCTCTGCTCCTCTACACCAAGCTTCTTGACCGGGCAGGCATAACCTTAGACTAGACTCTTAAGGCAATTTGAACCGCTCTAAAGGCGACCAGAACCGCACCAAGCTTCGCAGCTTTGCGTCGGAATCGAAGGAGCAGTAGCCGACGTTGGGGAACGCCTAGACACTTTGCTCACTCACGTAAGTCAGCATTCTTTAGTTAGGAGTATAGGTCACCCCCAATTATCTTTGATTGGGAATACAGTTCACCCCCTAATTATAAGATCTGTTCCATAAAGTAACTTAATCTATGCTATAGCAAACATAGTACAGTCGAACCCGGATATATCGAATTCAAAGGGGATCGTAAAATAGTTTGATATATCAATAATTTGATATACAAAAATATGTTAACTTAAGCTCCAACTGAAATTTCTGCGGTGTCTGCTAATACTGAAGGCCGCGACAAACCGGACCTTACCAAATAGCCTCTAAGAGCCGCTAAATACAGTAGAGCTTAGTTGGGGAAGATCACAAACACCACTGCAGCCAGCATTACCCGATGGTGTTTGCAAAAAACATGTTTACTTTCTCAACGTTTACACCTGACCACGACCTCAACACAGCGCCGGCAACAAAACACGAAAATAATTTTAAAAAATGAAAGGGAAAAAAGCGAGCCACATAAACTCTGGATCCATGGAATAAAGTTAAGCAAGCAACAAAAAAGAAACCTCACTAAATTCAAGCAGCAAAAAAAAAAAAAAAAAACGAAAAAAAAACAAAAAAACACGGGCAAAGTTAAAATTGTGAAAGAAAAAGGTAACCAAAGATAAGGCAGTCAAAGTGCGATTGCTCAACCGTTTTGGACACACCGACTAAAAAAAGACTTTTTTTTGCTTATTTTATCTTGTGGTTAAGGACTGTGTTCGGGGAAAGAGTGCACGCTACCCTTCCAACAGTGGGCACTCACTGCCATCCCTAGGTGCGCGCGTGCCCTTCCCCTTGCTTTTGCCATCCTTCCAATTGCTTTTTTGTTGCGTATTCTGTATTCCCGTGGTGCGCGTATGCTGGCTTGGTGGTCTGCCAGCCCCGCAACGCAAGCTATGTGCTCGCTGCCTGCGCAATCCGACCAAGGGAGAAGGGACGGGCAGGGCAGCCCTGCTTTGTTTGCTATATCTAGTGTCCCCTCCATGGGAGTTCGATACAGAAAAACAACTCTCTTATCCTATTACATGCGATTTCCAAGGGAATGTTTGGACTGTTCGATATAAACAATATTTCGAAATACCTAGGTATGATATAACCGGGCTCGACTGTAGTTCTCTACAGCCACTAAAGTTCAAGGAAGATAATTTGTTGCGTGAGAGTCTTTCCCCGTCTCATATAGTATACCGCAACAAACCCCTATGATCGAGGGCTTCCCCAGAGAGACCATCTAACCATCTATCCTCTTTTATTCTTTGGCTGAATATCCCCAACAAAAAAATTCTGAAAATTCGCCCCCCCCCCCCCCCCTCCCTCCCCCCCCCCCCCCCCCCCCCCCCGATTCCTGCCGGCTAACACACGGTGTCCGACGGGAATCGCATCAACAGCGAGGTCTGTGGTACCGGTATGTGTGACAAGGGAGTTTGTAGCGGTTTCTGTGGCATTTATTGCACCGTGAAAGGCAAATTTGCAGTGTCTGCAATCGGCTGTATCAGCTCCCGTCTCGCGGGGTTTGAGCAAGTGTCCCGGTGTTTATCACCAATTTAATCCAGAATGCAATTTACAGCCCACTGGCACTTAGCCATATTAGGGTAGGTGTCAGCAATGGAAGTTTGCAGGCCGACTGCCATCCGAACGCAGACACAGTGCTCTTCTCCTTGCCAATTAGACACTGGTGCCAGCCGAACTTCTTCCTCGAATGCCTCCGTGCGTCTCACGGCGGGGGAGAAAACGTCACATGTTCGGACAGAGCAGCGGTGCTCTACTTGGTGAAACGAGCGCACTCTGGACTTCCCTGGACCCCGGAGAAAGAGCGCAAGAAAGAGCGGCAAAAAAGAAAGCCGCCGTTTCCTTTGCCGGAACAGGTTGAGATATGTTTGAGCTTTTGGATTTCTTTTACTGCGAGCTGGCACCATGGCTCTGCTCGGCGCTGCTGCGTTCCAATTGTTCTGTTTACCGGTAGAAAGTTGGACGAGTTGGTTAAACATGATTACGAAAAAAAGAGCGCAATGAAAACGACGAAGGACACAGAAGAGTATACGGACGGAGCGTCGCCAATGTATTTCTTGTTTAGTGCGACCACGCCAATGGGCGTTCCTTCCAAAATAAGCAGTTGACAGACAGTGTTCCGTCTCTGTACTCTTTTCTGTTCTTTGTCGTTTTTATTGCAATGTTTTTTTTCGTAATTCTGTTTTCCGCAAGCTCCGTCCACTGCGTCTCACACTCCAACAGGCTCTGAGAAAGTCCCATTTACACTGCAACCGCAGAAGACGGCACCCACCATTAGATTGTCCCCAGAGCGCCCAGGCGCTTTTCCCTTGCACGACACAGGGCGGCTTCGTGCCACCAGTCTCCTCATGTACATACAGTTTCTCCACACTCTCTCATCGCATTTTGTGTTCCCACTGCCTTTGCCACGCTAGTATGGCAAAGGAGTAACGTCTTGTATAAAACTTTTCTGTCGCATTTTCAAAGATTCTTTACTACTCATCTCTTTATTTCAGAAGGGCGTCTTACGGAATTTTATGGTGGGCCCGCAAAGCGTCGGCAGATACATTTTTCTCGTTTTTACTGTGGTCCCCTGAAAAACATCAACGAGCTTCTTCCGCAAAGGGGTGTCCGCAAAGGGGTGTGCAAGTACCAATAAAAGAACAAAAATGTTAAATTATAAATTTTAGATATTCCCGCACTCCTACAAATCAAAGATAGAGTAGTGCCGCTCCCACTCACCTGAGTGGTAGCTCTTGAGGGCAAAGTGGGAGAAGGTGGAGTTGGACCCCTTCGAGAGGAAGTCCTCCGACGGCCGGACCTGAAAAGCGCAAAAGCGACTGAGCTCCCTGCCGGCCCGTCACCCAGCAAGACAGAGATGGTCTTCGAGAGATCCACTAAATCGGGTGTCCTCAAACTCTTTGACTTCGAGGAACCCCTATTTCTTTTAACTGTTAGCCAAGAAACCCATCTCGGTCCCAGCATTAATGCATTAAGGGGGGACACTGGCTAGAGGTCAAACTTCTGAACTACTGAAGTGATCAGAATGGAATTTTCAGGGGAGATTTAACTTCAGACATAGATGTACTGTGCAAACTTTCAGCTCTCTAAGTCAATTTTATATGCCTGCATAAGATGATGTGCCACTCTTTGTTAAGAAATCTATGGTATGCAAATGAAGCTATTAAGCACAATTTTGCTTGCTTTAATATAAAGTGATGAATATGGGACTTCGGGCTATCTAGTTTTAATAACTTAAATGTAAATATTTCAGGAAAAGTTATTACCTCAAAATATGAGATGTATTTTCTGCCCTATGTAAATTTTTGAAAACTGTCACTGAGGACTTCAACTTAAAAGAAAATAAATTAGATAGCCCGATTCCCCAGTAAATTTCAGTTGAGAAACATGTTGATTGTGGTATCCGAAGACTTTCAACCTGAAACAAAAGAGTCCTTCGTATGAAGTTTGCAGAAAAAGGTGCAACTGAGAAAAATGCATTCAAACATTGAACTCCTCTACTTTGTTACTGCCTCACGATGTGTTGAAAATATTTTATATCAACATATAACTATTTGGCATATGGTTATGAAATTTGGTGGAAGGGTGTATAATTAGTTTCTAAAACCGAAAACCTCAAAACTGAAAAAATAATTTTTTCAAAAATATTTTAAATTTAGGCCCATGTCCCCCCCCTTAAAGCGGCAAAGAAGCTTACAGACATTGCAAACAATAAGGCGCACACTAGTGGCTCTTAGTTATGCTATAATGAGTGACTCAGATCTACTAAAACAGTGTTTGAACTGGAACAGCACTAAACTCGGAGACAGCGACGCTTCAGGAAATTTAAAAGTTGGGGGAACCCCTCGGGACGCTGGAGCCAACTTGATGCTTAAAATCATTGTTGCCACCTCCTTGAAGCTTTGTCCGAAACCACAGTAAACGCTTTGCCGTCCTCAAAAACGTTAAAAACAGTCCGCGACGGAGTTAAACGGGGTCTTCCGAGCTTCTTGACGCCGCAGCTAGAGCTGGAGAAACTCGAATTTTCAAATCGTAAAGGCCCGTTCGCACATTTGGTAGACGGCATTGCTACTGCCTGTACCTGCTTACGAGGTACCATGCTGGCACCATCTATTGGGTAGACCTGTAACACTTCCGAGCAGCATATATTTTGAGCATCATTCTTTTGCTGCGTGCCTGAAACACTGATCATGACAATGTTCTGAAGCAACCATCTCTCATAAATGGTGCATAGATTTGATTTCCACACACTGCAAAACCTTCAGTCTAGTTATATGCAGATTGAGAGTGTTTCATGGCTACTCGACAGATAGTGGTACCCCCCTTCCCAACATTTGGGGACTGGAGTGTCGGAGCTCCCGACACGGGCTCTTCTACTTCTACGGCGTCGGCTGTAGAGAGCCTGTTGTACTAGGCGGGCCTCATGACGCCGAAAACGAATGGAGCACGCGGGCGCTCGTTGCAGTTGGCTTTGGCAAGGAGAGGGTGCCACCTGCTCTTTCTTGCCCTCGGTCGCCCGTTCGCTCGCTGCTCGGTCGCGCCGCTCGGTCTCACCCTGGCCAGTGGGGTGGGACGCACTAGCTATTCTGTGTGTGATCGATTCTGGTTTACGCGAGACCCGGTGTTTTTGCCGGTGGCTTGCCACAAGGTTCTTCGGTCGTCGTACCCGGAGAGTGAGCCGACAGCCTTCGAGGTGCAGGCTACGTGCCTATGCGGTGTACGTGCTGGCAAGATCCAGAATCTTGCCACGTGCAGCGGGTACGGATACCCGCTGATGTCAGAGGGTCTGCCTCAATTGGATCTCGAAGGCGTGCGTTTGATATCCACTCTGCGCTGTAAGCTTTTCGAGCAAGGATGGAGCGGCTAAAGCATACGCTGGAGCACCATGCAGCATCATTGAAACATTGCACCAGCCAACACTGTCCATTTTCATCACGATAGCCGAGAAACTCCTCCTGATCTTGGCATTAGTGCGCTAAAGCATAGGCTCTTAAACCGGGTTCCGGGAACTCAGGAGTTCCCCGGACCACCATCACGGGTTCACCGAGCTCCCAAATTTCTTTAAGCGACCCGACCCCTAAGAAAAGTATATCTCTAGTTTAAGCAATAGTTTACCAGATCCGAGTCACCCAATGATGCATAGCCATGAGCCAAGAAGTCCCTAGTATGTACAGTATTGTTTACAAGGCTTGTTAACTGCCTTATTGCATTCAGACGAGACTGGGAGTTCCTTGGCATCTATTTGAGGCAGATACATGTTCCTTAAGAACAAAAAGTTGTAAAACCTTTGCATTAAAGCACCGCAGAAGCCTACAGACATTGTAAAGATGAGCGCACATACTCAGGAATTTTCCCCACGAAGTTAGGCATCTCAGTCACGCTCAGGCCTTTTAAAATAGCACCTGAATGGGGAGAACGCTTCTACTTTGGTGCAGGGCGGTCAAGCAAATTTGGGAACTTGGGCAACACCCGAGGGCTCCCGAGGTAACCCAGTTAGGGAACCCAGTTTGGGAACACGCTCCGACAAGAGAAGCTCATCAAGTGGCTTTCCGGGTCCCAGAGTGTGCTCACCTTGGCGGCGCGTGCCTTGACCTTGGCTGGGGAGGCGGCCGTGTGCCTGCCCCGGTGCACGGTGATGCGTGCGCCCTGGCCCACGGGGCAGTCCTTCAGGGCCTGCACCACCTCCGTGTGCAGCCGGCCCCTCACGTCCCGCCCCTCTATCTCCGCCAGGATGTCCCCCTCCTGCAGCCCCTGGCAGCGGGGCTCGTCTAGGATCTTCTTCACCTGGGGGCGAGGAAAGGACAACGGTGGTTAAAAAGCGGCCCCGGTCGCGCTCTAGACGAGATAATCCCAGAAGACACGGAATGTGTGATGCGTTTCGCACTGTGCTCGGTACTCTTTCGTGAGTTCTTTTCATTTGTTGCCTTTATTTTATCCTTAAAGGACACATGCAAAGGAAAAAAAACTTTTTTTTTAAACAGGGTAGATGGAAAAAGAACATTATAAAATGAATTAACAACGAAGAACTCCGCACGCAGAACGTTGTGCGACGCCACTTCAAAGAGTTTCTTCAAGCTGCTGTTGCCGCCGCCGCGCAAATTCGTCTGCTTCGGGGCGCCACTGCCGTCATATGACCGGCGCAGAGGTCTATCACGTCTGCTTGCACTTTTTCAGGGGTTTCCTTTGGGCTCTAAAAGTTACTTATTACTCTTAGTTTTTTGTTATACTTCAATCAAAGATGAATTAGTTACTTTAGGAAGCCAAAGGAAGCTTCGGAAAGGGCGCAAGCACCACGTGACAAATAAGGGCCACGTTTCCGCGGCGCCCCCGGGCGCCAACTACAAATTCGTTTAGCGGCGTAAATATAGCTCTAAAAGTTTTGTTTCTTCATTGTAAAATTGTTTTATAACATCCTTTTCCATCTAAGCTGTTTAAAAAAATGTTTTTTTCCTTTGCATGTGTCCTTCAAAGGTCCCTTTCCAAGGGCATTACAAAGGAAGGGTTTGGACAAGGTAGCAATGTGTGATGAAAACAAACTATCGGACTCACAGTTCTGAGTTTGAAAGTTGCGCTAAATTTGGCGGTGGCCGCTAAACTCAGTGTCTGTGCGCAGTCATATACGGTAGGTCTGCATGGTTCAGAAAATGAGAGCCACGTCAGTGTAGAGGGAGAGCTAAAAAAAGGTTCTTTTGTCCCTGGCGCCAAAGTTTGTTTTTTAGAAATGTATATTCGCGACAAAACAAAAATGGCAAGGCATCTTTGGAAAGCCCGGTCTCTAGCATGCGCTCCGTGCCTTCCGCCGTAATTTGGCTACGCACGCACTCGAGGTGCACGAGGCGTTGAAGCGTCGTCAAAGGTAGAAAGCCGGAGGCGGGATGACCGAAGCCCCTCTCTGCTGCCCTCTCTTTTTAAGCGACCATAACCGACCGAGTCCCAAACGAGCGAGTGCCCACCAACCTTCTGCCCATAGGCGCTGTCGGCGATGGTGAAGCCAAAGCCGGAAGTGCCCTTGACGATCTCGACCGTGATGAACTGGGGTGGCTGGCTGGGCTTGCCCCCGACCGGAGAGGACGCCCCGAAGTCCAGTATGTCCGGACCTCCCCCGGGGGCCAGTAGGTCGGCGCTGTTGTGCCGCTGTGGCTGCGACCGGGGCCGCTCCGACCCGCTCAGGTCTGGCATGGACTTGGCCGGCCTCGTGCGGGACTCCCCGCCGTCCAGCTCTTCCAGGCTCTTGCTCGAGTAGATGTCCTGCGTAAGGGGATGCACCGTTTGGAGCGTGCATCCTCGAAGTGGGTTCCTCGGAACCCGGAGCTTCCTCAGAATACCCTCGAGGATTCTCTGAGCCTCCAAATCTTCTAAGTAAGGTGTTCTTACTTAGAGGCCATCTGCTCGAGAACAGAGCCACAGGTCACTGCATCAATGCAGAGACCTGTGGCTCTAACATGGACGCTCAGCGAGAAAGTCGGCAAGATGTCTGACTGCCGCGGTTGCCCAGCGCCGCGCTTGACCTTGGCACCGGCTGGCCAATTGCAGTAGTCACAGATTTCGCGGCGTTTCCATCCACCTTCAAGGCTGCTGTCGCTGTTTTTTTAGCTCCCTCACATTTACCAAATTACCATGTATATCAAATTTTATTGCCATCCTGTGCACCACTGCTTCCGCAAGTGCGGGTTTCAATGCGCGGGGCAAGTACAAGCGTTAACAAAAAACAACGCTGACGAAGACGCCGATGATTCTCGAGAAATGGAAGATGCTATGGCAAAAATGGGAGCTCCCATTACCGACTGCGAATATGCGTCGCTTGACGACAACGTCGTTACCTCTGAACCGCAGAGCATAGCGGACATTGTGGCCGACCTCACTACTGCCGACAACGAAGAAAGTGATGAAGACGAGCAAAAAACGAACGATTACGCTGCACCCACGTTTGCGGACGCGACCGCTGCGTTGGACACCTTGCGCCGCTACGTAAACGTTCATGACTGCGCGGAGAGTGAGAGGGGAATGCGGCTTCTGGAGAAACGACTTTTACTGCACACCATTAATTCGAAGCGGCAGGTGGATATTACGCGCTTTTGTGAACGTGTCTGAGTCCAAAAGAGTTCGGTAAGTGCATAAAATAAACCATTGCATAAGAGCTGCTTTCTATCTCATATAGAGTGCCTTTAAGAGCGTTATCGGTTGCTGCGCTTTCCCGGTTGATACGCTTTTTTTCCGCGGTCCCCTGAAAAACGTATCAACGAGGTTCTACTGTAACATTTCATTCTTTTCAAGGAGAAAATGAAGGTAGAATTTGATTTTTAGAATTTATCTTGTTTTTCAGATTTGGGAAAGAGCGGGGGGATTGTCTTGCGAGGTTCGTTTCACGCCGAGATTACATGTTTTTCGGTGCCTATTTATGGCGTCAATAGATCAAACAATCAATCAATTAAAAAAGGGTCTCTTTTGGCAAAATGCTTCCCCGCCAAAGCCGCAAGTGAGCCCTCCCACCTGGTAGTCGTCCGGCCGCCGAGGGTGGAGCGATACACCGGCATCAGGAGAGCTGACGGCCATGGTGGTGACGATCTCAGTGTTGGGGTCATCTGGGTCGAAGGGCAGGCTGTACCCCCGGCACACCTGCAGGTGCACCATCTCCCCAGGGGAGATTGACTGGAACAGGGACACCACTCCCTGGTGGGTGTAGCCCAGCACGCACACCCCGTTCACGTACACCAGCACGTCACCTGCACACGGGCGGATGCAAAGGTTGGCAGGTAAGGACACGTCGGGTGCCGAATTGTGATGTGGTCACTCAATTACGACAATTTCAACAACTACGCACAGAGGCGGCAGGCAGGTCAGGACCGGAGGGGAAAGCACAATTAAAAGTGGCAAATAGGATGTGGGGCGAGTAGAGGAAACAAATGCACCAGGGGTCCGATTTTGGTCACCACGAGAGTGAGATCTATTTTGTCTCTTGCGGAGCGAGCAAAGATAGCGCTCCTAGAGAGATAGTCGGCTAACGCAAGCAAAGACAGTAGTTCGTCTGCTACGAAGTTGGTTCATGGACAGAAATAGGGTGGCTATCGCCGACTGAAACCAATCACGTACAATGAAGGCACTGTGATTCTGAGCTTTCTTTTTTTTTTAGCACGATTGGTTGACCAGAGGTAGCAAAGCCACAAAGAAAACAAGCGCCGTGACGATGCGCTGTTTGCGCGGCTTTTTTGCCTCCGTCGGATTGTTACGTTGGTTGCGATGGGATTTAAGTATAATTACGTTGAACTAACTGTGACTCCCCATCAACGATCGCCCGTGGACTAAGTACAACGTACTAAGTATGAATCGCCACCAACAGTCACCTGCGGACTAAGTATGCTGGATTAAGTATGGCTGGACTTCGACAGTGGACTGCGGATAAGGTATGGTAGTATGACTCGCGTACGATGGTAGCCCGCGGACTAAGAACGCTGAATAGAGTACAGTTGCCGACTGATTCCGACAATTCGGACTTGTTTGATATTTCGGACCTAAAGGAGGAACCGTGACCTACCGAATAGAAATAGTCCATGATCACGACCAATGTTTCGAAAAGCCTAAAGACCGAATGGTAAATTTTTCGGACAACATTGTCACGAGCGATCAGCGGAAACAACACCGAGAAGCGGCCATTTTGGATTCTATGTTGGCTGCACGTGGATTGGCTTGGTTTGGCAGCGCTACTTGAGTACTGCTAAGTCCTACTGCTAGGTGATGCTGCACGGCTTTTTTTTCTCTAGCTGCAGGTCATTATCATCATCATTGTTGTCACCATTTTGCTTTGTTTACTCGCCATTGCAGACGTGGACTTGCGTCTCTCATCTCGATCTTGTTTCGGTGAATCATGTTTTCGGACTATGCTGGCTTGGACGTTATTGCCCCATCTGTTCTTCCGCTGCCACGATGTGTCGCTAAAAGTGCAGAAAGTATTCGACCGTAACGCTAGGAAAGAAGGCAGTGATTCTCAAGCTAATAGAAACTTGCCGAACGCAAGCAGAGGCGTAACCTCAAACAAGGCGTGCAGGCACCATTTACGGGTTTTTTAAGCCAGCTTAGACATGATAAAGGCAAGTTTCTTAATCTAGTGGTTTTTCCGACTGCTCTATTATTCGGACGTTTTCTCGGTCACTGCGAAGTCCAAAAGATTGGTCAACGACTGTATGCTGAACCCAGTATCACCTGCAGCGGACATGCGCGAGCTACCGCGGGCAATCGTCGCCGGCAAGTCATGCTTAGTCCAGTTGCTTGCGCTCTCATTCGTCTTCTGCTTGTGGCGCCGAGCAAAGACGTCAGACTCCGGATTGCATGGTCGAGGGTCCAATTCCCGCTGAGCTCCTTGGGCAATATTTCTGGTTTCGATAGTTTGTCCTTAGTTATGAGTATGTATGCTATATTTACGGCACAAAACGAATTTGTAGTTGATGCCGGCGGTAGCCGCCACTGGTCACAAGGTAGACCTGTCTGCCGCCGCAAGTTACGCCAAAGCTCTTCAGCGCCGCCGCTGAAGTCCCAAGAGTTCCCACGCGGACGCTACACGCTTAGCCTGGTGCAGCTCCAACTGAATGCGTTTCTCTACGTTGTTGCCAGAAGAGAGCACTCCTGCGCGCCGCCACCGTCAATTTCTGACCGGCGCACAGGCCTATCACGTGGTGCTTGCGCTCTTTCGGGAGTGCAAGCACCACGTCAAAACGTGCAACAAAATATCTTCCAGTTTTTTTGTTGCACTTAAAACTAAGAATAATAACAAAGTTTCAGAGCCCATAAAAAGCTCCAGAAAGAGCACAAGCATCACGCGACTATAGCGGCCAGTCACATGACTTCAGCGACCACTCTACAAATTTGCTTCGTGCCGTAAATATAGATCTAAAAATTAATTTTTAACCACGTAATAAAGGCAACCGAAGTGGCTCCGCGCAGCAAGAGAGCCGCCGTTGTGGCAGGCCACAAAACACAAAAATGGTTGATTCAGCCAACGGAACGCAGGGAGCACTACCGTAATACCCACTTCTTGGGCCAATATTGATTTCCAAAAGAACACCGAGTCATTGCCCACCCCTTCAAATACCCAACGCTGACTCCGCGATCCGCGGACATTCATCCTACTGAAATGACGCGGTTGCGGAGCTTATAGCTAAAGAATGTCCGTGACAGTGTAAAACGAAGGAGAGAAAGACACTTCCCTTTGTTTATGCATTTCCTCCGCGAGCGACCTCGACGTCGTAGTGCATCCGTGCGAAAAGAAAACGATGAAGATAACAAAATAAAAGTTTGTCTTGCATACAAAAAAATCTACCAAAAAAAAAAAGTCGGAAAGATAACACAAGCAGTACTACCCCATTCAGGGATTGCAAGGTAAGCGAACGCCCCATATCCTGGAATGTAATCGCGGAGTGTAAAGTTAAAGTCTGTCTCCGCCGAAGTAAGGTCGCCGTGAACCTGTTTCTCCTGGCACGTCGCGACGGCGGTTTTGCAATGTTTAAGACAAAGTCAACGGGTAAATAAAGCTTTGCTGGAAAGACGCACACAGATGTTTGTAGAGCGTCCCATTTCGAGCTCCATGTTTGTTACCGTCCACGCCACGCAGCAACGCCGCCTTAACCCGTGTTGATAGCATGCTGTGAACAAACGCATGCATGTATGCACCAAGCAAGGTTGCGCAAGAGCTTGACAAGGCGCCCGACTTGGCCTGACGCCAAAGTATTTGCCCACACGATCGCCACACTTTCTGCTTTCTCAGCATTGCTCTTCGTCACATCTTTAGTCCGCTCGCTCGCTCGCTCGTTGCACCTGGTTAATTTTTCTATTTTCTTGTAAAGAGCAGAACATAGCGGTGTAACGTGCTTTCACGGAACAAACGTATGCTGATCGGCAGTGTTCAAGGCACGTATGCAACCAACAAACTTCGCAATAGTAAAATATTCTTTTACGGGCATTTTGTGTATAAAACAATAAAACTAATTTGAGTTTTGAGTTTAATGTATCTTTTGTGTAGCCACGCTAGGTATGCACAAAAAATGGGCGTTTTTTTCCAATTTTTTAAACTTGGCGTTTTTTTCCAATTTTTTAAACTTGTTCTGCTCACCCACCGAGACATGGCCCACCCCACTTTTTTTATGAATTTCAGGCGGCAGGGGGGTGGGCGATGACTAGGGATATTACCACCAAGCTGACAGTGTTGTGGAAGCTACATGCTCGTCGATACCTCCGTTTCATCTTTCTTTTCAAACTAACGATGTCGATACTGCGTGGTAAATACTTTCGGTCGATCCTCCCTATGCATAGTTTGTCGGTAGATACTTCCAGACCCACAGCCACAGCAGCTGTTTTGGGGGACGTGCCCAAAATTACAACTTTGCGCAATCTGCAGAAAGTGCTTCGGATCGAGTGTGCTTTTAAATTGTTTTAGCAAAGGCAACACTTTTTTTTTTTTTAATACAAAATATGGTTTTGTTTTGCTGGGCATTAAGTTAACAAAATATTTTTTTTTTCGTCAAAACTAAAAATGGCAACTGGACATGATCGGCCGTACTTATCTGAAGACAACTCCCTAGTCTTTTCTCCACTGTTTTTACCTTGCCACACACCACCAACTTGTGCAAGTTTATGCTCTGCCGAAGGCACAGAGAGCCACGGCAGTCCCAACCAAAAAGTGCATGAAATTGGAAAAATTAATGTTGCTTTTTCCTGTACTACTTGAAACTGTTAAGAGCAGAACCTCTATTGCAGTGTCAATTTACAAAAAGGCACAAACTACCTTAATATTTATTTTATTATATGTCAGTAACTCAAAACACCTCGACCAGCATTAGGAGCGTATGCAACTTTTCTTTACTGGCAGTTTCATACCTTTAATAAACTGTCATGGAAGGCCTGATGCCAGAAAAAGTTTCTGAAAGCAATTCAATAGGGAACAAGTTATTGTATCCTCCAAAGCAACGCTTTTTCACCTTGACATCTTCTAAGAACTGGATGGAGGAAGCAGTAAAAAAAAGAAAAGAAGCTACCTTGAGCACCACTGTCAGTATGTCTGCTATTTTTCTATTCCCAAGTTCATTAGAGGTTGTGGCCAATACGTATACATGCCTAAACACTAAGAGGAAAAAACATAATCCTTTCCCACAAATACAAAAGTTATTAACTGCGGTGTTACATCATTGATGATGTCACCGTGATTCAAACATTTCACTGTCGGAAAAAAAGGCTTGAGGTACACTTAAGCACTTCTTATTACGAGTTGTGAATGCAAAAGCATGAATGTCGTTCTTCGCGCCGCGGCCACTTCTGATCCTCTCGGCACCGAGGTCGTTTGTGATCCTCTCGGCGCTGCGTGCCCATGCCGTAGCAGAAATGGCCGATGCGCCGAGAGGATCAGTAGGCGCCCTGGCCGTTTCTGCTCCGGTACGGGCATGCAGTGCTATGGGATGGCGCTAATTGAAACTGACGTTCGGCGGCTTTATATCACTGCCATTTTGCGTGGCTTTCTGCATGGTTTCAAAGCTGGGATGCCTCAGATCGAGGCTTCGGGAATTCATCTGCCGTTTAGCATGGCTGATCACGTCGACTCGCTCCATGGGACAGTTAATGCTTTCGCATTCAAATAAAGAAGCTAACGATCACCACATGGATAGTAAAACGTGCTATCGCTTTGAACGTGACATTTTTCGGACAAAGCGAAAGCTTCAGAGTCAAGCGGCCAGCACTCACCGGTCCTGAGTTTTCTGTCTGCCCAGGCAGGTCCATTGGGCACTATGCTCTTGATCTGGAGGAACTCTTCCGAGTCGTTTTCGTCCGCCCCGACAATGGTGAAGCCAAAGCCCCGGGCGCTCTTGACGAGCGACGAGTGGATGATGTCGCCCTGCAGCTCCGCCGGGTTTCGCGTGAAGTCGTACGGAAGGCGGCCGTGGTGGTCATTGTGGCCTGCAGGGTGGCACACAACACAAGCCGCTAAGAATAAATTGAAAGAAATAAACAGTTTGCAGCTGTCTTTCAGTTTATAGATCAAGCCATCACACATTCTTGTTCAGGCTTTGAATCTCAGCACTTTAAGTGACTGCAGACATTTCCGAGATAGAGCCCTGACAACAACCTCCCCCTTCCATTGCACACAATGCTACATTGGTACCGTGCTATATGATGTCAAGCCATAAGAGAGCCGCACAACGAGGGAGAGCATCAGGAACAAAGCTGAGCTGCATTGCCGGTACCATTTCCCACGACTCACTTGCTAGGGCACGACAAACGCGACCGAGCTAGGTCTGCGGGAGCTTCCTAGAAACCAACACGTTGCTTACAAACGGGTTTGCGTTCGCCCGCACGAGGCGTAGGCACTGCGCATGTGCAGAAATTGGTTTCTCACGAAAGATGCGTCTGCACACGTGCAGTGCCATGGCAGCACCGTCGCAGCGGTGCAACGCCACAGCCGCAAGTTGGTGTGCATAAAGAACCTAAAAAACCACGAAATCCAAACAACAAAAAGGGTGGGGGGGAGGTGCTCTACCTGTGGCGGGGAGGGAGGAGGAAGCAGGGGAAGTGTCGTCGCGAGTCCCCCTCCCCCTCGCCGGCGGCGGCCCCAGGTGGCTCCCGCCGTTGGCTCGCTGCTGCCGAGCGGCGCCGGGCGACCCGGCCCCCTGGAGCAGACTTGTCCGCTCCGCCCTCTTCTCCCCGGGGGACGGGACGGCGGGCGGCCCTGCCGGAGGACCCGTCCCTCCTCCGGCGGAAGAAGCGCCTTCTTCCGAGGACGGGGGCGAAGCGTTAGTCGGGTGCTTGCCCCCGTCGTTCAGGCAGGGCAGGCAGGGGAAGAGCGGGGAGTGCCGGGAGGGGGGGGTGCAGGGGGCACGGCCGCGCGACTCACGGTTAGTTCGCCGGGGGGTGGGGGTGGCGGCGGTTAGGGGGACGGCCGAGGACGGGGCGTCCTTCCGTGCGTCCGGGCTTGACTGCGGCGGGGTGGGGCGGGCCGCGCCGCCGGGAGACTGCCGCGTCGGCTGAGGGGACGATGGGCGCAGGGGCAGCGTGCCGCCCAGGCTGCCGTTGCCCGGGGCAGGGCCTCCGAGAGACGCTGCAAAAGAGGCACCGCGAATCACCGAACCGACGTCCCGGCTGTGAGGTGTGGTACGAAAACGGACGACACGAAACGTGCCACAATCGGCTAAAGGCTGGTTTGCGTCTGCTTGCGACGGAGTTCTTGTTACCTCTTTCGAAGAGAGGATAGGCTGGCGCCATCTATGAGGTGGAACTGGAACTTTATTTTACTTTGCGGTTTTTGCGAGATCAAATGTGTGTACTACCTATGGGAAACGGTCACTTATAGTTTGGTCAAAAGTTTTTCGAGGCAATAAAAAAAGTATAACTCGCAAACAAAGTAAGAAATTCACGGAAATGCCGAGTGTTTGACGGCCACCCGAAAGGTGGCCGTTGCGCCAGTGTCTTCCCTCATCGAACGAGATTACGAGAGGTTTTAAGACACTTGGTCGTAAGCAGCCAAGAGTGCGTAAAACAGCCGCTGCCCGACGGAAAACAGAAAACGTCCTATTGCACTTCAATAGACGACAAACTCGGGCAGTTGCCCGCCATGATCCAACCTCCCCTAAGCTGACACTGCAGTGGAAGCTTAGGGAAGTCATACATTTCTTTCACCGCACAAACACGCTCCCTCCCACACTCGCGGTCGGTGACAGGCGTCGGGCGATAAAAGGGAGGCAGTGGATTGGCCCGGCGAGCACGTAGCCCTCATTTACTGCTAGCTTAGGGGGCGAACGAAGTATACGGGGACTTTCCCAGAAATGGGACTGTATGGGATCGGGACAAGGGTAAAGAAGCTAAAGGCTCGATGCGGGTTGCTGGTTTTCAAATGTTGCATCGTAAAGTAATGGGTGTGGTTGCGCAGAGTGAAGCAAGTCGTAAAGCCGATGTCTCGGCGCAACAAACTGTACAAGTTAAGCTATCAACAATGTAGGATTCGGAATCGAGCGTTCTTGGAAAGAAGTACACGACTAAAGCCAGCAAGAACATGGGCAGGTATGAACCAGTGCGAACTTAACTGCTAAGCACTTATTTCTGAAATGCCACATTTATTGTACGCTTAACAATGCATGCAAGAAAGCGATGAGTAACCCTAATGATTTGTCAAAAATTCGGGCTCAGTAAAGAGACACTGTTTCTCCTTTTATGAACCTTTTGGTTACTTTTAACTCAGCATAAACCAGCTACGACGTTCTACATGCTCAAGCCGTGGCTCCAGCCAGTTTTTTTGTTACCTCGGGATAAAAAAAGAGAAAAACGCTTTGTCACGTAATGACTGCATTTGTTTTACGCTCGAAAGAAAGACAATTATGACGTGCAAACAAAAACAAATTCTCACAAGGGGATGTCTGCATCTTCGTGTGTGGCAGCGGGCTTTCGTACTGCGTCCTCCTGTTGACGTGGCTGCAAAGACAAGGGCCCAGCGGATGATGCGAGCAACACTGAACAATATCGCTTCAGCACGAGCTACTTCCTTAGGGGCCACGTGAGAACCTGACAAATGCTGTGGGTCCACTCCCAGTCCCACAAGCCAGCGAAGAAAGGTTGCACAGATTGGCTAAGCCTAGTGGCAAGTGACAATGTCCCACATTGCTTCGTTGCACCAAGCTGTATAAGTAAAACATGACCCCATCTCCGTGTGGTGAATGATGTTGATTGGGGCGAAGCTCTGGTGGTGCTGATGATACTGATTTTTTTCATAGGTAGTGCTGATTCTTTTTTTTTTTATTGCTCATAGGTAAGCTGAGTTCCGGGTTGCGTTTCGACTTCATTATTACTGCTTTATGGTCGGTGAAATGCAGAGTCAGTGGTTCTCATCGTTTTCATCCATGTCAGAAAAAGAATGTGTGGTATGGAACATGGTTATATATGCATTTGAGCATTTGACCGCAGCGCCCTCTCGTCCATAAACGTTGAGCCAATGCATGCAAAGTTTAACGCGATTATATACGCATTTGACTGCAGCGCCCTCTCCTGTATAGACTTTGAGCGGCTACATGCAATGTTCCATCCGTGACATCCCCAGCTCTTGAGTTACTACCACATCTGAGAGCACCCTACTCGTCCCGCAGTCGTGGCCGAGTGGTTAAGGCGATGGACTAGAAATCCATTGGGGTCTCCCCGCACAGGTTCGAATCCTGTCGAATGCGCAAACATTTTTCCTTTTTTTAAGAAGACAGATGGGATAGCAATCGATGTGAGCACGGACGCCGGATGGACAAGGCTAGACCCTAAGGAGCTTTGCCCTTAAAATGGAATGACTGAATGACTTACTCGATGTAGTATGTTCCGTAGTGAGGGTCGTCAATCCTCTCCCAACCGTACGGCAGCTCTGTGTAAACAAACAATGATGGCCACCAATTAGTGCAATACCAAGGTTTTCATTTAGTATAACAGAAGAAAGACGATTAAAAGAAGACAGAGCCAAAACAATTATTTTTAAAAAAGGGATTACAAACTTACTAAAAAAAAGTCAAACAAACTGCAATTACTTGGAGATTTTGTCCTCCCTTTATGCTTATGAATTAACAAGGTTTCCCGATTTAAACAAATAAAAGTAGGACTTACCAAATTCTCCATCGTAAGAGACTCGAGATTCACTCAACCTTGGGTCATGCCACTGTGACGTGTTTGCATTGTGGCTAAAATCAAAAGAAAAGGCAAAACTAAATGTTAGTTCTTATTCAAGGTTCTTCTATAAGGGCGAACATATCAGCTGTCGACCCTTCCCCCCCCCTTTCCAAAAGCGACTTTTAAATGTGACAAGTTAATCCTACAACAATTGCATTGTGCTTTCTCTTATTTCAATACGTAAAGGCCCCCTTGCCAAAAACTAATAATATTAACATGCAAATAGTAATCTCTATAACTTTTTTTTCTTGGTTCCACTTCAATTTTTTTGAGGGCAGGACAAAGCTGGCTATACCACTAATATAATTCATGACGGTATTGGCCAATATCCATAATACGAATTACAAGATATATAAAAAAAACTTCCGGTGTTTTTGTTTGTTGGACAAGCTATACTGCAAGCACATTAGGCTCCCTGTTCCCAAAGCTGCAGAAAGAATGGAATTTGCTATCAATTTTAGACATAAACCCTGGGGGCCTTGACTTTTTCTCACAGAGTGTCTCTAGAATTTCAACCTACTTCTCAAGAAAGATCTCAATGTAACTGAAAAATTCTGGATGTGAAGAAGCAACTCGCAGGGTCATACTTTAAGGCTCTGTCATAGTCTGACGTTGAGCGCAGCGTAGCGCAGCGTAGCGCAATGTGCACGTTTCACTGCCCGGCGAGCAGGAACTCGACATCTGCGACCAATCAGTATCTCTGGGCGCTGGGCTACGCCAGCTTGCTACGCTAAACGTTGGAGCGTAACATAGCCTTTAGGGGTGTGCAAATAGTGGCTCAGATCAAATAGTGCCACATAATTCATAGCTTTCCCAGTGCAAGGAAAAACAAGAGATGCCAACCTTCTAGGAAGCTAGGAATGAGACCGCACTATTTGATTTGATCCATCCACTGTTCACAAACCACCACTATGCTTTGTTTCACCTTAAAGGACAACCTACAAAAAGGTTTCCTGCGGGATAGGGAACTCGTGTTCGCCACCCTTCCCATTTCCCCCTCTCCCAGTGCTATCTCGACGGGGGAATCCTTTTGTTGCTGCATCTCGGGGCTGGATAAGCCGGAATAAGATCGGAGTCTCCCTCCGTCAAAGTTGCCGTGGGAAAGGGAGAAACGGGAAGGGTGTCGAGAAGGATTTTCCTAAGTTGCGGAAAAACTTCTTGTAAGTCGGGCTTAAAGGAGCTGTGCAACAATTTCAGGGCTTTGCTTAAATAATTGTGGAAGTTGATGCCTGACACTTCTGCAGTGAACTACAGAAAACAGATTTTGCCTGGATACCCTAGTTTTTATTTAAAAAAATGAAAAAGATCCAGGTTTTTGCCGCCTCTCAACTCGTGCATCGTCTTCCGGGTCACGTGCACAGTGACGTCACTAGAGTAGGCGCGGAGTTCCGGAAAAGTTCTCTCTTTAGAGCCATCAGCGAGCAGCGAGAACTCATCCGCTCGCGACCGCGTGACCACCCGTCCTTGCCCGTCCGGTGCTGTCCCCCTCCCCCTCCGGCTTCTGGCAGCTGTTCGCGGTTTTGTGGACCTAGGATAGATGGCGCCACTAAAACTCCGAATAATAAAAGTTTTGTCGATGATACCAGGGTGTTGACGCATTTATATATATGTTGGAACGACAAGATTTATAAAAAAAGTTACCTTTTATCGAGCAGGTATTCGCACAACTTGCTACCTTTCTTACAACGACCCAAGTGACGTCACGCCGCTTGTTTCTCATGGCCGCCGCTCGTGGCTGCAGGTCGAGAAATATTCCAAGTTTTGCCTCGCTATTACGCGGTGGAATCGCAACATTGCGATGAAAGGAGGTGTGTTTTCTGCCATTTGTGACACAGTGAACAATATCAAAAGCAGAAAATGACAATTCTTTCAACGTTAAAATCGTTGCACAGCTCCTTTAAGGGACGAAGTGGGGATTGACAGAAACTTTTCTAATTTTCTAATAATTCTAATACAATTTGGCACATATGTTGGTAATGCCCTGTATGGTGATACAACCAAAATATCCCTTTCTTATCTAAGTTACTTTTTGATTTATCAAACTTTTCTGCTTTGGTCTTTGTGGAGAGCCTGCAGAATTAAAAAGATACAACAGAAGGGTTGTTTTACAACGACAATATTCCCAAATGTATCCTAGAAGACATGACATTCTTGAATTATTTTTATTTTTGTCATAATTTTTTTTTAATTTTTGTCACCTGGTTTGGACAGGAACAAAGGACATGCAGACAAAGAACCCCCTCATAGAGTAAAAATTAAATAATCTAAAAAATAAGAATGTCATGAGCTGTAGCATAGCCCAAAGAGTATAATGAAACAAATGAAACAAAAATGTTCAAAGCGGGTGCCAAGATATCAGCTCCACGAGCTGAGCGGAAAGCAAAAAGTAAAGTTCAGAGGAAACAGTCTCTAAAGTTCTAGGTTCTGCTTTGCACCTTAGAAGCCACCAGGCTCGTAGTTTTCCACAACCTATTCAGCACGGCCCTTCTTTGGCTTCTGACCTTTTGCTTCAAGAGCTTTTGAAGCTTTCTTTTTTCGCGAGGTGTGTTTCTCCGCTGCCCTACGAAGGGCGAGTCCTCCAGGTCGGATGCCGAGGGAAGAACAAAACTCCGTGTAGGCACGATAGCTACCACAGTTGAACTTGCAGATTGCCTCGCTGACGGCGGTCTCTGCTGCAATCAGGGAGGCGTGCTCATATTTTGGAAGCACCGACCAGATTACCGAGTGAAGACTCTCTGCTGCATTCTGCGTCTTCTTTCCCTCGCACCGGTCAAGGAGCTGAGACTCGAAGAGGCACTGGTACACCGGCAGGAGGGCAGTGGCAACATGGCTCGCCAGCTTGTACTTGTGAGCTGGCTGAGGCTCGCCTTGAGCTTCTGCCACTCGATGTCTGCACCAGCTCATGGGTCCAGGCGGACAAAGATGATGATGAGGTTCTTCATCTGTCAAAGTTGTGATAGAACGTCGCCATCACCGCTCGCTCTATCTCGTCAACGTCAGAGTGGCTTCGTAAAGCCATGCCGTAGTAGCTGGTGAGCCTTTTGATCAGCTCCTGCGCCAGGCCGCCTCTTCCGCCAAGGGTTGTCCTTTCTTGCCTTTGGTAATGCGGGCACGCAGAGCTGATCCCATCCTCTTCTGCACGTGGTTTACGCAGTCTTTCTTTTGAAACGGAATAAACCCGCAAGTCGCATCCTCGCCGAGGGCCAGAAAAGTGTGGCTGTCACCGTTGCATACAATGTTGGTGTAGCGCAAGTCGTTCTTGGCTAGAGAACGTCCAAAGAGCAACAGGGCCGCCTCAACTTCCATCCTGCCCGACTTCACTCCAGTGTTCCTTTGACACTTGAGCAACTGCACCCGCTGGCTGTAGCCCTCAGCATCTGGCTTTGGGCCCACTGCACACCCATGGCAAAGGGTTAAAAGAACTACAGAGTCCAACACTAACCCTGTGTAATATTCAATCACGGTACCCACACTTATGTAGGATGTGTGACCGCATGTCATCCATGTGCCGTCGTATATCACAGTCACATTCTTTGTGAAGGTTGGGTCCATTTCTTCGTACACTTTGCGCACAGCGTTTACGGCATCAGTGAATACACCTGCTGCAGCTGTATCTGCGGCAGGGCTGAACTTGGACTTGAGGTGCTCCTGGAATGTTTTGTGGTGCATTCCCCGATGTGACACGTTCATAACAGACCAAAATTCTGTCAGTGCAGTTGCACCCTTGCCAACACTCTTCACGGCCTGCATTGACTTCAAGTTCACCTCGAAGGCCCGGCTGTCTTCTTGTCGCGGTGATGACCAATGGTTAGAGACAACGCCACACGTAGAACAAGTTAGGAGCATCTTCACCGCCAAACCAAGCCTTGTTCGCTGCACGACAGTGACTCGGCTGCAAGCACTTTGGGCATGGTGTCTCGCTAAGGAGCGCGTTCAGTGCCGTGACCTGAACCACCAAATACTCATCAGATGACTCTGCACTTGCGGGTTTCTAACCTTCGCCGGTCAGATTCATCTTCCACTCAGTTGCCGACACTGAACTCAATGACTCGCGGACCGCAGCAGCGCACTCGCAAGACTCCTCCGCCAAAACAAAGTTTGGTTGTAAATGTGCCTGAATGGTGCAATCGGTGCTCGTAGAGGCCATGTCTTCGACGCCAGTAACAGGACGCAAAGTGCTAGGCCGTGCATTCAAGCCGTCCGTAGCAAACTGCGCTTCAACAAGACGCGCACTTTCGAAACTCGGCGGCAGGAGGGAAGTTTTCTTACTATTCTTGGCCATTGGGGATTTCCGCTTGCGATTGCCGAAGCGATGCGTCGTACCGTGCTTCTTTTCGAAGAATCGTCGATCCATGATCGCGCCAAAAAGTCCAAGCGGGAGCAAGAAAACAGCGTAACCCGAAACAATAAAAAGCACCTACGGCGAGCAAGCGAGCAGGCGAAAGCGGCGTAGGAGCAGACGACGCTCTCCCAGATATCGGCCTCGCCAGCGCTGTTGCTAGGGGCAACCACTCCGCCGGCCAATGGTGGAGCGCGCCCGACCCGCGCAGCAGAGAAGGCCAATCGGAGGCCGCTGTTTCCATCCGGGAGGCTTCCAAAGTTGTGTTTTTTATGTGCTTAGTTCGCATTTGAGGAGACGGTAAGCGCGGGAAATACCGTATTTACTCGAATCTAACGCGCCCTCGATTGTTACGCACACCAGTTTTTGTAGGTTGGATACAGAAATTTACCTTTTTCTCACTTGGAACAACAAAGGTTTATTCCAAATGCGTCAATCTTGCGATGAAATGAACGGCGCCGTCTCTCGCCGGCAAGGTCGTTATCATGACGCCGGTCCGGGGCAGCGCCCGTGGGGCAGTATGCATCACTCGTCATCGCTGTCGGACGACTCCTTGTCGCTGTCAATGGCCCAAAGCATTTCATCTTTGAAACTTGCTGGCCAAAATCCTTTCTTTCTGCTTGCGCCAGTCCCGCAAGCAAGTTTCTGGAACCCTAACAGCACGTGATGCGGCCCGATTTCCATCGCTCTCCGAAAACAATATCACTTTCCTTTTGAATCCAGAATCATGGTGAATGCGGCGTGTCTTTGCAGTTGGAACTTCCATGCTGATACGAACGCAAGAAACACACGACTACGCTAAGCGCTGGCTACGCTCTAAGCCTCTCAACGCGCAATAGATCGGCCATTTTGAAATGTTGATGGAGATATGGTAGCGCAGTTCTGGGTCGTACTCGATTCTAGAGCGCATGCAATTTTGGGACCTATTTTTCCGGAAAAAAAGTGTGCGTTAGGTTCGAGTAAATACGGTAGGAAGATGACAAAATATACTTCCCATAGATACCAAGATGGCCGCGCTTGGTAGCACAGGCGCGGAGAAAGGAGGGTTTGAAAAACATAGATTTTTCACGGATTGGAAGCAATATTTTGCTACCTGACCCCATATAAGTGATTATTTAGAGCACTCAGAAATACTTTTTAACAAAAAAACTTTGGGAGGGCATAGAGGAAGACCCATAGATGTGAAATAGTCTATTTTGTAAAAATTAACTTTTTTTATGTTTTTCGCGAGTTGATCCCTGCATCCTCCCTTAAGCCGGGGTGCAGCCAACGCTAGGAGCTGAGAGGGAGAATCGAGCAGCGTAAAGAACACAATGTTGTGGCGGTCGTAATCTTTTTGCGAGAGTGCTGGTAACGACAAAGCTGATCAAGTGCACTGAATCTCTTGTGACCCTGTGCTCATAATATATGTGTCTGCGTTTCTGTATGTCTAAAGGCCGGTTCGCACATACGGCAATATCCGGGGTGGTGCCCCACCCCTGAAAGATAATTAGGATTTTGTTTGTTTTCGGAGTTTATTTTTCGCCAAATTTGTAGGGTGTTTTTCGGAGTTTATTTTTCTTCGATTCCCATTTCTCCGAAATTCTGAGCTTAATTTTGCAGTGTTCTTTTATTAAAATAATTATATCTGGGTGTAAGCGTGTGCTAGCTTCAAAAGAACGAGCTTGTATCAATCAATATTTCTTCAACTGGATTTGGCATTGGTGACATTGTCATTGGCAACACTAATTTGTCCCACGACCAAAGTTGCGAACAGGTGTTTCTTCGATAAACATTGAAACTTTAAAATCAATAAACTCCTGGAGGTGGTTGCTAAAAAGCTTGTATTCATCATATCCTATCCACCAACCACCCCGCGGCTGCGCTGGGCAGAGCGGTAAAGGGTGTAATATAGAGGCTTCAACTGCCCACCCCCCTTCCCCCTTTTATGAAACCTCTATGGTCCACAGCCTTCACAGTTACAAAAACACAACCCCTCCTTCCTCTAAGGAGCACTATGGCCCAAACTGGAAAACGGGAAAGTGTCCTTTGTCGTGACTTGAAAGACCTGTTGTTCTGATGAACCTTGGTGAGATACCATGTTTACACGATTTTAACGCACACTTTTTTCCCGAAATTTCAGGCTCGAAACTGCATGCGCGTACAATCGGGCCCAAAAAAAATAAAAAAATTGGAAGTAAAAAGAAAATCTTTAGTAAAAAATATCAGCTAGGTGGGGCATGCCACCGCTTGTTAGGAAGTGTGCAGCCGCTATATTTCTTCCCGTTTATCTGTCACGTTATCACGTGTTTTGTGCGCGTTTTTTCTTTTCTTTTCTTTCGTTCGCGAGCCGCCATTTTTACTTTCGTATTGTCTAAGCGCCGTGCTGTCTCGTGTCACTGTGTGCTTGAGCGGAGCTGCTGCGGTCGTCGGCAAGTTGGAGAAACAGAAGCGATTTCACTACGAGGCAATATTCAAACGGAAAGTGATCATCCTTGCTGAGGACCAAGGTAATCGAGCAGCATCTCAATCACTGGGCGTCCCGGAAACGTGTGTGCGCGATTGGCGGAAGCAGAGAGACAAGATTTTCGCCTGCAAAGCCTTGAGGAAAAGCTTCAGTGGCCCTCAACGGGGACGATTTCCAGAGCTGGAGGACTCCCTGCGTCTGAAGCAGCTGCCCTTCTCTTCAGACATCATCAAGGCGAAAGCCCTCGCGCTTGCTAGAGGTTACAAGATCCCTCGCTCTTGTTTCAAAGCGAGCAGGGGTTAGTCACCAACGACGGACGAGCATTTGCCAAAAGCCACCTGAAGCCTATGAAGAGAAGTTGGTTGCGTTCTAACGTTTTGTGATCAAGCTTCGACAGTACAGGGGCCACATGATCGGACAAATTGGGAACGCAGAACAAACGCCTATGTTTTTCGATAACCTTTCGAATTACCAAAACAAAAGGAGCCAAGCAGGTGCGGATCCTCTCAACCGGTAACAAAAAACACCGGATTACTGCGATGTTAGGATGCATGGCGGACGGGCACAAGTTGAACCCTTTTTTGATTTTCAAGAGGAAGACTTTGCCTACCAATGCGACGTTCCCGGAGAATGTCATTGTTCGCGTGCACCCAAAAGGATGGATGGACACAGGCCTTATGATAGACTGGATTGATGCCGTGTGGCGAAAGAGGCCAGGAGCCGACTTGGGAGTGCGTTCTATGCTGGTTCTAGACTCGTTCAGATGCCACATCAGCGAACGTGTCAAGGACAAACTTGCGGCATGCCTCACCGACTTGGTGACCACCCCGGCGGGATGACGTCTCAACTGCAGCCGCTGGATGTGTGCTTAAACAAGCCGATGAAGGACTATGTGCGTGCAGCACACAACGAGTGGCTCATTGCTGGCGAGCACGCTCTGACGCCAGCAGGACGTTGGAAGAAAGCGACGCTCGACGACCTGGCGCGATGGGTGCACAATGCCTGGAAAGCAATCCCGCGGGCGATGGTCGTACGCTCCTTTTAAAAGTGCGGCCTTTCCAACGTCATGGATGGAAGCGAGGATGACATTTTGTGGTCCGTGGACAGCGATAAGGAACTTCCGCCAGACTCCGACAGCAACTAGTGTGGTTGCTTTTGTTTGTGCGTGTGGGTACATATGTTTATGCGTTCCATTAAAAGTGTCTTTCAGGTATGTGGTGTTCAGCACTCATTATTTTACCTACGCGATACAATCAGCATCAAATTATTTTTAAGATTATTGAGAGCTAAATTTACCTGTGCTACAATCAAGGGCGCGCTAGAATCGCGCAAACACGGCAAGCGGTAAGATTCCTTCTGTCAATGGTCCGAGATTTTAAAAAAAAGTGCTGTGACATTTTCTCAAAACCACTGGCCCTTTGCGCTGTCCAAAATCAATCGTAAAATACTGTCTTTCTTTTTTTGCTTAGGTACATTGAAATTTGGAGTTAATAGTATCTATTCAAATTGCTGAAAATTTTATCAGCAGGTGTTTTTTGGAGTTTTTCGGATTAATCTGAAAACAAGGAACCCAAGACTTCAGCAATTGCAGTGCCCAAGCCAATGATGACCCCAGCAAAATGGGGTTAGTTAGCTACAACTGGAGATTACCAAACAATGCTGACTGGGAACGATACTCATCTTTACTTCATTGCCCCTCGCTGCAAGGACAAGTTTGCCAGGTCACATAATCTAAAAATCACACATTTTTTAAACGTTTCTCGGTTGTACGCCGAAAGTTAACCTACTCCTTTTTTCACATAATATGCGTATGATTTTAAGTGTGCTCTCCGCTAAATCAGCACTGTGCGGTGCTGACTTGAATGTAACATAACACCGACGCAGCGTTGTATCACTAATACTAGAGCGGGAAGTCAGTACTGAGTCAGCAATATCGGTGCTATTTCCTGTGCTGACAATAGAGTTGAGGTAGTGCTATGCTGCATGTGTGAACAGGACTTTAGTCTCCGACTGTGTTTAACTTATGACAAAACGAAAGCAAGCAGCTGCCTTCCTTCACGAGCCCCGACATGCGGACGGTCAAGACAAAGAAAGGGCTCGATTCTGGGAGAGGAGGAGGGGGGGCTCACTTGATGAAGTAGGGCTCTCCGTCCTCGGTGTAGGCTTTCTCCCAGTACGCGGGAAGGGGCTCCAGGTCAAAGGACGAGTTGCCTTGTTCTCTGGGGGCGCCCACCCCACCGCCGTTGGTGTGCACCACGGACGCCGGCGTGGAACATCTGCACACGCCCACCACACCCAATCACGGCTCTGCGGAGGAAGCCCTCATCCCCCCGAGCAAGCGCCGACAATGCTGCTGAAGTCCTTTGAGGACCGCTCAACAGAGGCTTCCCAAGTGGTTACTTGTGTGAAGAGTTCAAGGAAAAGGATTAGTGCATCTCCAATGTCTCTAAAAAAAAACCACTGAAACTGAGCCTGTCCAGTATTTTCCCTCAAGTAGAAGATAAATAATGTTGTAAAGCCAGCAACAAGTGAAGGCAGTCAGGTAATGAAGCGTGTTATGCGCCCTATGACGAGCAGTTCTCAAGGGCTCTGGGGTCTGACTTTACCGGTGCGGTACCCCCTAAGCCTGAAAAGCCAGAACAGCATCTGCTCAACTACAGGCATTTACCGTTGCATTTTATCAACATATATTAACATAAAATATTAAAATCTATGCTAACCACAATAATACCTGGCTGTAAATTAAAACAAAGAAAATTAAGCAAGTAAAAAATGGGGTCTTTGAGAAAAACTATTTTACCTTTGCCCAAGTCTTTGAGATAGTTGTTGTTTATTCAAATGCACATTAACCTTCCTGGTCTTTCATATAAACCATTGAATCAATAAAAAGATTTATTTTTAGTTTCCTCCAAATATCAAAATTAATAAAAAAAAAATTGAATAGTCCACATCAAAAAGCCTCCGAACTTTGGCAGAAATCATCAAAGAAACACAATTTGACATTTCGAAATATTCTAAAATTTTAAGTCTTTGAATTCATACATCATAATAAATTCTCTTCTGAGTGCATCTCAAACAAACCCTCCAGGCAGTAGTTTAAGGAGTAAGGAAAAAAAGATGTCAGCAGTTTTTGTTTTGGCCACATCAATGGTCAAACATGTAAATAAGAACTACACCGAACTTGCTGTTTGCACCTGCTTTCATTGTAAGAATGTCTTCAGAACATTTTTTTTTTTCTATCAAAATTACAAATTCTATTACAGTTGAGATGAAAACAAAAACACCTACGGTATATGCACTCTAGCATGGATATCGATAGTTTTGAAAGCTAGGAGATCAGCACTGCCAATGCTTACAAAAGCAATCTTTTCCTTTATCTGATGCCCTTGCCGCCCAACCAAACTTTGAGGGCACGTGGTCCTCACTTAAAAAATAATATGGGAGATACAAGCTGCTAGCAATAACTATTCCCTATGCATAGCTTCCAAGGCAGAAAAATCCCCAAACAAAGGACCTTTTTTTTTTTTTTTTATCTGTCATAAACAAGTACCAAACTTTTTTTTGCCTGAGAAAAAGCTTTATAATTTCTGAGGCTTTAAATCCAAAGTAGGGGTGTGTAAATAGTGGCTTAAATTAACTAGTGCTGAATCATTCTTAGCACTCAGAGTGCAAGGAAAAGCCACGACACTTTGGCTCTCTTCAGAGTGTTCAAGCTAGGGACAACACTGCTATTCGATTTGAAGCAGTATAAGCACGTTCCCAATTCAAAGAAAACCGAATCACAAGTGCGTGGTCTTAAAAAAGGAACATTGAACTCCCAAAAAACTTACTTAGTTTTGGATAGGTCACACACCGTAAAATACCGAGCATCCGCCCATGCCACAATAAGTGCCCATCCCTCAATTTTTTAACATTAAGAACAAATTTTTTTTACATACTGTTGACCTACGAAGCGCCCATCCCTAGTTTTAGATGATTGCTTCAAAATTTTGCATGGGTGCTTGCTCGAGAGTTTACAGTATGCCACAAAATAAACTTTCCCTGAGAATAAAAAGAGAAAACCCCCGACCTGGAGTTGTTGCCCTGGGAGTTGTGGGCCGGGCCGTCTCCCTGGGGTGCATGGCTGCCATTGCGGGCGTCCTGCAGCGTGCCGTGGGGCGGGTCCTGAGCCACGGACTTGGCCGTCATCGCCTCCACGTTGGAGCGGTTCCTGCGCCGCTTGCCTTCCGAGGACGGGTGGGCTCCCGGCAGCAGGGCCGGGAACGGGCCCTCCTCCTGGGGACGCGGGGTGCCGTAGTGGTTCCCTACGACGGACAGGAGGTCACACACTTGCCTGCGTCTGTTTGATACCATCTACGGTGCACACTCACTAATTCAAACTCTACGAAACAACGCATTTTGTTTGGGCTGCTGGAAGTTTGAATTATCAGAAATTCATCTAAATATGATGTGAGACTAATCTGTGATTTGTTATACGATGGATACACATTCAAAGCAGATATTTGATGATTTCTTCTGCACCGGCCTACTGATCATAAGCGGGTATGCCACACAAAACATAGGTGACATCTATGACATAAGCTTACTCATCCCTCAAAAATGTTGTCTATTATGAAGTGTGTTTAGATAGCACATGATGCCTCAAAACAAAATTCAGTCTGTCCATCCAGCAAAAAGTTGGCTACTGTGGACTATTAGTCCTGCTGAGTATGCTTCTTACCGAGCACCGGTGTACTGCGGAGAAGCACCGCCCGCAGAAGCGAGCTCCGCGGGTGTTGCTTCTCTGCAGTGCACCGGTGCTCAGTAAGAAACGCGCTCAACAGGGCCGCTAGAACAAAGTATAGATTACATGAAAACGCAGTCCAAATTAAGCGGCTTAATGATATATTAGGAAAACAACGGGAAAACCTCAATTTTGAAATTTGTTGGAATTAACCAGGAGTGTAAAAATCCAAGTTTTAATAATGCGAGCCTACTGTACAAGGCTCACATCATCACTATAGTCAAACAGGAGAAAACGGCTGGGAGAAGCTTCAATTGGAGGGAGGGGGGGGGTCAACGGACAGGGTGTCACTCTCCTGCGTCTGCTCTATACCACCCACAAGGCAAGGCCCACACCTTTCCCCCTCTAATGCCATCGCTATAGCAAGCAACTTAATTTTGCTGTATGTTTAGACCAGGGGGTCTCTAAACACTTTGGCTAAGGGGCTGCATCGGGGATCTGTCGCTGTCTCGAGGGCCGGTAAATAAAGAAACAATTATAAAAGAGGAAAAACTAAATTAATTACCCTAGACAAGCATAGAAATAAAAAAACTACAAGTAACAATTAAAATAAAGGGTGGATAAGTACATATAAAGTGAAACCCGTTTAGAACAAAGACACATACAGCGAATTATTGTCGATATCGAACTCACAGTAAAGTTAAATAAAAATGCATGTAAAAAGTACTTTTTATAACGAACAACATATTCACTATATCGAACTTCTTCCCCCCACAAAGGCTTTCAAAAATGCGCAAACAATCATCTTCTAGCCTGTCCCCCCCCCCCCCCAAAAAAAAAATAGGAAAGAAAAGAAAATTCCAAAAGCTCAAGTTGCGAACAAAATTGAGCGAAGAGAAGCAATTCAGAATGGGAGAAAGCTAAAAATACACTCTGCATGCACGCACAAAACAATAATACTTTTCATCCCAAAATCGTTGCCCACAAACAGAAACAATTCAGAAGGGGAGATAAGCTAAAAAAACAAACTCTGCACGCATGCAAAAAAACAAACAAAAAAACTTTCCAGCACGTAGTTACAAGGGGGAAGCGAAGAGATGAGAAAGAAAGAGATGCTCTCGCTTTACAACCAATGCAACATGGAAGTTCATTATAAATGATTTTTGCTATATCGAACTGATCGTAGCGTTTCCTGCTGTTCGTTATAAACAAGTTTGACTGTACTTCATTTTTAAATTTAATAGTTAGATAATAATGACACAAATAATTGGGATCCAGAAAACCTACCAGGCATAACTCAAAGCACATAGGAACTTAGGCATGTGCACACAGGGCAGAAGACTGGCAATAATGATAGAACTGATGCTGACAATATGCAATAGATACAACAAAGGACTCTAAGCACAATATACACGGGAACTCAAAGGAGTTTCAACATACATAATTCCATATATAAAACATGGTACTAAGAATAGTGATGGCAATGTCCAACAAATATTATCATTAAAAAACATGCCTTTTTTTTCTTCTGGTATTTTGGTTTACATTGAGGCACCATTTCCTTGTGCACGCTTTTGCGTTGGTAGCAGCAGACTTGCTGGAAGCGGGCGGCGGGCCGGACTTCATTAAAAGGATTGCGGCCAGCCACGGGCCGGTCAAAAGACTCCCGCGAGCCGGATTTGGCCCGCAGGCCAGGGTTTGGAGACCCCTGGTCTAGACAGCAAGAATTTAGCCAGCCCCAATGGGTGTCTGGTGTCTCCGCTGTAGACAAGAAACTGGGTCGGTTGAGTACAACTGCTAGTCTGGCTTTTTAATGTGTAGCAAGCAGCAGTGACACCTTGAGCTCATGCAATAGCCATGAAGTTGGTAAAGCAGGCAACGAGTACAATGGCCCTTTCCGAGTGATGGCCTAGCTTTATTCGTGGCATTTCGGCTAGTGAAGTATTGTTTTTTTTTTTACTTCGATTAATTTTATTGGCAGTTTTAGGAAAGTAAACGAGGCACAACAAACACTAGACCAAGGCACCATACTCAACATAGGCATTAACTATGGCAAGATGGTATACTATTAGGTTCTTGTTTTTCGTAACATCTTAACCCATTGCATACTCAAGTTTTCTTCTTTTTTTGTTTGTTTGTAGGCCTCTCGATGTTCTTTGTTGCTCTCACTGTCAATTCCTGGCCATCTAATGTGCCCATTCTGTAGTTGTTCACTGTATGGTACTGCTGGAAACATTCGGAAAGGTGGAGAAAAACAAACAACATCTGGAGGCCAAAAAACGCTTCATTTTTGCGTGAATCGCTGATTTTGAATTAAGTTTCCGAGTCATTGGAGGGGTGGTGCGACTCGCCATCAAAAATGATGAAACACTCATCACTTTCAAAAAAAAAGTTTCTGTATTTCTTCAACAGCTAAAGTTGAAGCCATGTCACGTTTCCCCACACTTGGAGATGTCCAATGTTTTATTAAAATTTTTGTGAAAAAATTGCTAAAATAAAATTTGAAAAAAGCAACAAAATAACTTGAAGAGGACACAGCAATAGTAGAAGCGCTGCCAAATGCCGGAGAGCACACAAAACAAGCTCCAGAACACGAGCGAGACGCATAGTTGGGCCTATTGATTCGTGATGGATGGCACAAGTGGCACTCATAATTAGTAGCCAAGGAGTTCATTTGAATGAAAAATTACAATCTATTAGTTCCAAGGTAAAATTGGCCACTGTGTTTCTTTAGATACTTGATAAAAAATAAACTGTGCCCGTGCAGTGTTACAATGCCATAGACGATTGAAGTTTGAACAACTTGATTCAATATTATTGCAGCAATGAATGGGATGTTACAAATTGGTGGGCCCAAAGCAGGCACAAAGTAGGCAACTGCCTGGAACTCTTAGAGCACGCTGTTGATCCCAAACATTTTTTGTTCCAATTCGAGGAAAATGGCTCAATCACAACAATACAAAAAAAAAATGGTTCAAACTGGTCCAGATTTGCGTTAAAAACATATTCTACTGAAAAAAAGAAACTAGGCTTATTTTTTATCAAAATGTCAAATACTGTAAACAACTTATTTTTTGCGTGTTCAATATTTCGCAATATAGGTCAGAGCTGAAGTTTTGGAATAATTCGCGAGTTCTAATTTTTCCAACGTGGTGGGATCTCGTATAGATTCCACTGTGTTTACATTTTATCGGAACTGTTCGCAGGGCCTATTTTTCACAAATTTCAGACGATTTGCAAAATTCACGAAAATTAGGTCTTCGCAAAAATTAAGTCGTTTACACTATCAAGAAAGCAAAGTTCCAAACTTCCTAAAGTGAGTTGAACAAAACCAGCAAGCCCATTTTGGAATAGGATTTAAAGCTGTATGGGAAGAGGCGGTGTTTCAATTAAATTCTGGCTCGGGCAAAAATAATGCAGTCTTGTCTGTTTTTGGTTTGACACTATGCTTAAGATTAAAAGCCTGGTATGGCAAAATAATTATATCTGTCCCAAGATTTAATTTAAATTCTCACAGCATCATTCACTATTGAAAAGGTCTCCTCCACACATAGTGTATGGCTTTTGAATGTCATATGTGCACCTGTTGGCATAAGGTAACAATGAAGCTGTATAACACAAGGGTAATCAATAAGAACAAATAAAAAGCAGTCATCACGATTATTTCGTTTTCATACATTCATTGCCAGTGACCCCTACTAAAGCTCTTGGAGAGTGTAATGGATTCTTTTGATTCTAGCTGCACACATTACTTGCCTTTGAGAGTAACCGATAGCCTTAAAACCAATTCCTCAGTGGTGGTGCCCAGCACATACAAACTCATTTAAACAGGTTACAAAAATGCAAGTACGCTTAAATTCAGGATGTTTAGATACTACATGAACTTACAGAACTACATTAAAAAAAAGGTAATTCCACTCACTAGAACCAGCCCAATTCTTAAAAGCACAAAATTTAATGCTCAAAAGTGTCATTTTATAAAAGGGAAGGTGAAACAATTGGAGACCTAGCAATTTTCAATTTCCAAGAGGATCAAATGGATAAAATGTCAGTTGGTGTTTCTTCTCCCGAAAGAATGCTATGCCAAGAATACCCCAGAATACTTGCAAAGTAAATATTCTGCGGTCTTCTAAGCGAGTTTATGGTGCAACAAAGTAATTTCAATGAGGTTACCCACAACTGTAGAATAAAAAACAAACGAGTTTTAGTAAAGAAACAAATTATAGAAGGACATCAATCTCGACACAAGATGTGTACAAGAACCTATGGGCAAAGCAAGCAATGCCAGCAGTCATGCCCACATGAATCAGTTCACATATTGCAATACATGGGAAGAATGTAAGTCGAAGTGACGCAGTCAGGGATGAACACAACGCTTTGAGAACACTGCCATAGAAGGAAGTGAGACTTACCCTCATATATTCCACTTTCAAGAAGGCTTCCACTCCTGTCGAGGGCGACAAAATCCTCAAGTGTCAGGAAAGTGTAGTCGACCCCGTTCACCTCTCCTTCCCTGGGACTCCTCGTGGTGCCTAAAAGCATGGTGCCTCCATTACAAAATGACACTTAAACCTTCTTTCTTTTTTTTTTTTACTTCACTACTACGGTGTTTTCTGTTAAAGGGGTACTCCGTCAATTTTTTGAGCTACCCCAACTGACTATATTTTTGAAATCATCCGACTTTACCCTTTAGGGTACGCTATTCAGTATCGCAAAATTCAGAATAGTTATTGAGAAATCGGGAAATGAAAATGATGTCAAAACCAACATTAAAATATGCCTGCACTTTTCAGTGCGTGACGTCAGTGAAAGGCAGGCTGCAGGTCAAGCTGGCAGTCTATAAATGGACTATGAGGAGCATTTGACAAGCTTCCAAAGTATACATTTGACACCATGAAACGGCTCCTAATAAATTGGGAAGAAAGTCTACAGTTCAAAGAGTGGACCCCTGCCTTCTGCTGACGTCACTTTTTCATTGTTGCCAGTAGAGATTTTCAGTTTGAAAAGCATGGTGAGGACCAAAATTGTAAATTCAAAAACTTTGCAGAAAATATTTATTTTGGCAAAAAATTTGGGTTGCTATTTCAGCGATGTTTGCTTGTGTGTTTAGCAAACTTTCAGGCAAATCGAGGGCTATACGGTCACCTCTGTTGCTTAAAAAATCCTCCATAATATGAGTTGTCCATAATAATGAGACAAAATGCATGCACTTAACCAATTTGTCCCCAAAACTTGTCTTTATAGCGATGTATTCATATTAATTAATGGGACGTGAGTGTAACAGTACAGCTGACCCTTGCCAAGAGATAAAAATCAATTTATATTTCACACAGTTTTGGTAAGGTATACTATTCAATAAGTAATCTGTGAATAGAACGGCTTCATGATGCCACACAGTCGCACGACATATAACAATGCATAAACACGACGCACCATACAAGGGTTGCCATCAGTGCTATAAATGCTCCTAATATTTACAGATTACATTACTATTTGTCTCATTAAAAAAATAAAAGTTCAAAGTGCTTTTGTTAGGTAATAGAATGACAACCGTAATGGTCATAAAGATTTCATCAGCTATTGTTCAGGAGATGATTACAATAAGAAGTACAAAAATAGACTGAGCACACTAAATATGTTTTAATGAGTGACACACCAATGGCATAAAGCAAGTACAGGCATCATTTTCATGCTGACGCTCCAAGTGAATGAATAATAACCCTCCCCCCCCCCCCCTTTTGTTGCCCTGTAGGGCGTGCCCCCGAAACAAATTTACCATTAAGTATCTCTGAGGCACCCACTTAGTTCAAGCGCCCACTATTAACATTTCCCCAAACTTGGGAATTCTACAAATTGTACATTAAGCACCCGATTTGACTGGACAAGCGCCCATGCCTAAATTAGCCCAGTTTTCAGCAAAAGTGGAGTGGGCGCTCGCCCAGTATTTTAAGGCGGTGTTTTTTCTACCCCAAAGATAAGCTATGCATCGCCAAACACTCAGTCTCTGCCCAGATGTTGCGCTACCGGTAAGATACCAGATGCCAAAGTTTCAGAAATAATTCTTATCCGAATGAAAAGTTATAAGTGATTTTCTGAAAGTCTCAATGGGAAAGTGGGGACTGCTCCAGCAAGCTGAAGCTAATCAACTCCATGCATTTGCAAACTTCGTCGAGCGCCAATATTTTGTTGACAATTTCCAAAAATTGCTTAGAACTTTTTAATTAAATAATGCCAAGCTCGGAAACTTTGGCACCTTATCCGGGCCGTTGGGAGCTACATTTCGGCGGAAAATGAGCGTCCAGTGTTGCATAACTGTTTTTTAACAAAAAAAAAAAAGAAAAAAAAAAAAGAACATTGTAAGTGTTTTTTTTTTTTTTTTAGGCCACTTTGTATAATTTTTGGTAGAATAGTTCTGCATAAACATTACATACATTCCTGCTTGGGCCACAATATTGGTGTACAGTAAATACAATATATCAATGAATAAATAATAAAGATATCCAGGCACACCTGCACAAAACTAGTTCCCTATAATTCAGCTCCAAATGGTCCCTCATGTTCCTTAACCCATACCTAGGGCTCCGTGTTTTCGGATAAATCCGAAAAACTCCGAAAAACACCCGCCGGTAAAATTTTTGGCAATTCGGATTTATCCGATAAACTCCGAATTGTTATGCGCCCCAAAGCAATTTTTTTTTTTTTTTTTGTTAATTTTAGCAGCGCAGGAAGAATGGTCCTGGGAAAATAATACCATAATTATCTTTCAAGCCTCCGACCGTTGTCAAAGGGGGGTCTTACGGCTTGTCTCGTCAAGATTGGTTCAGGGTTATATCAGGTCTGTTCTCGAGCACGCGTGTACAGTCTGGGACCCACCAACTGCTGTTGATAGAAATAAACTTGAAAGAGGTCAAAACTTAGCGGCTAGATATGTTTCCGGGAATTATAACAGGCGACTCAGCATGACAAGTCTGAAGGAATTCTTAGGCTGAGAATCTCATGAAAAAAAAAAGGAAAATCTACGGCTAAAATTATTTCATAACATTTATCACTGCAGAATTGGTATACAGCGTGAAAACTACATTTCCCGCCCGCATTATATCTCTCATCGTGCCGATCACGAACGAAAGGTATGTGAATATAAATGTAACACAAACCAGTTTAAATCGTCTTATTTCCCCAAATCTATTAGCGAATGGAATCAATTGCCTTCGGAGGTTGTTCACATTTTGGACAATGACGCTTTCTTTGCTGCATTGTGACAAATGTTTTCTTTTTTGTTTCCCGTGTACTGGGTATGCATGTGCGTGTTCTGTTATGCTCCTTTGTATTGCTTAAATGTATCACATTAATACCCCCCCCCCCCCCCCCCTTTACTGTAATGCTACCCTGGCGCTGTGGGAAAGTGAATAAATAAAAGGAAACAGGTCATCGTACCATTCGTGTCGCGACAAAAGCCACTCTTTTGGTTTCCAGTTTGGGCAATGGGATTTGGGATTTAGAGAAAGGGGATGGTATGTTTCTGGGGGTAACAGTGAAAGCTATGGACCATAGAGATTGCATAAAATATGGAAGAGGGGCAGTTGAAACTTCTCTATTGCATCCTTAACCACTCCACCTCGCGCAGCCGCGGGATAGATTGATGGGATGACTACAAGCTTCCTTGCGGCTACCTCCGGCAGTTTATTGATTTTAAGGTATCGACGTTTATGGAAGCCACACTTGTGTGCGACTTTTGTCGTGGGACAAACTAGTATTTATTTATTTATATATTTATTTATTCATTCCCTCAGGGCCCGAAGGCACTATAGAGGGGAGTGGACACACACATCTAATTGCACACAAAGACAAACAGTAATTAGGCAGGTAAGCATAAAAATCCAAAAACAGAACATTGTTAAAACAAAACACTGTCAACCAAAATCCAAAAAAAAAAAAAATGACACCAACGCCAAATTTAACTTATCTTAATTGATAAGTTGAATAATTGAAATCTTAATTGATACGAGAATGTTTCATTTTTTATATGGCATACGTTTGCATCCGGTTATTACTTATTATTTTTTAATAGGAAACACTGCGATAGTAATCTCCGAATTTCTGAGGATCGGGGATTTACGAAAAATAAACTCCGATAAACACCGAATTTTCGCTAAAAAATAAACTCCGAAAAACACCCTCCGAATTTCACGAAAAAATAAACTCCGAAAACACGGAGCCCTACCCATACCTCAACCGAAGTTTCATGTCAAGGGTCGTACAAAAATTCAAAACAAACGACGAATGCAAACATTTCCTTACTGGTAACAGGCGTGGCACGCCAAATAAAAAAAGTAAATAAAAAGGAACAGTTTCACTTACAAGGTACAGTTCGCAAGTACAAGTTGTCTCTGATTGTGTTCTGGAGGTCGTGGTCAATGGAACCCTTCTGAAATCGGGTATTCAGGTACTGCCGCAGGTCTTTTGTAAGGTACCCTGCAAAAGTTGGCACGCGCACAAGGTGAGTTCACAACGCAAACCGTTCATTACCAAGACGTAATGCATGGCATTAGAGAGCTCACCGCCTAAATGCCGACGCAACACACGAATCGAGGCACGTTTTAAACACGAAAAAGACGCATATTTTTTCTCTGGTTCTTTTTAGTATTAAGAGCTCTTCAAAACTTTTCCTTTCAAGTGGTTAAACTTGCTGCACGGAAAAAAAATACCGGCCACAAACGACAAAAAATAAAAAAAAAAAAAGATTTGGAGTAATGGAGATATCAGTTGCGCGCCGCACTATCGGCGTTGATCTTTCAAAGGGATCGTATTCCTTTTGGCAGCCGCGTTTCCGCGTTTTTATTCCTCGAAGCGCACCTGCGAGTGTTTGTTTCTTTGGATGCGTACTTTATTTCTTAACGTCTTCGGCCGATTTTGCGTGCGCCATTACAAAAGGCGCGAGCACACAACACATGCTTGGAGCGCTGCGACGGGCTCTGAATATTCTCCATGTCACTGCATATACTAACTAATAAATTCGGTCAGATCGCTCGACGCGAAAGAACGAGGACGAAAAATGACGTCTCAAGAGGTTAATTGGGAAGACCTACCTGCTCGGACGCCTCGTACCGAGACGGCACTGTCGTTTCGTGCGCTGTAGCTGAGCAGCGACAGCACGTCGTTTCGAGTGTATCCGGCCACACGGTGTCCTTGGATCTCCAAGATCGTGTCGCCGTCTTCGATGCGACCACTCAGGAAATTCGCCTTTTCCGAATTGACACAACTGAAGTAGGCGAAATCGCCCCTGTCGGAGCCTCCGTCGACGCTCAAGTTCAAATTTCCGTTGTCGTCGGCCGTCACCACCGCGTCGTAGATGGCTTGGCTCCAGGAATTCGGCTCTTTTCTCGCTTGGCTCGGCGCTTGGTGCGTTTTTCCCTCCTGCTTGGACATCATTTCGTTAGCGACGGGAAGACAAACCCATATTTCGGCGGAAGAAAACACAGCACGGCGCTAGGCCTAACGTCGGTCCGACCGTCGTCGCCACTTTTCATGCTCTTCGGCGTCGTCGTGAACCGAATTCCGAGAGTGTCGCAGTCGCCTTCGAAGGCCCGGTCGCTTCGTTGATCCGCTCGCACGATGGCTTCATCCGATTCCCAGTGGCACCGACGTAAAAGGTACAAATTCCATCACTCACGGATACATAAACAAATCGGAGCCCGCGGAGATTTTCCCGGAGTCGGAAAGCTGTGCACCAGCGGCCTCGCCTTCTGGCACGCTCTTGCGCATGCGCGGCAGCGCCGTATCGTTTCCGCCGGATTGTGTGTGTGTGTCGTCGGCGACGGCGGGAATGGTTGTTGTTCCGTGTCGCTCATGCGAGACTAAATGAAACCAACAGGGGATTGCCGTGATTGACAGTGACAGTGGGCTCGTTTTGTGTGTGTGGATATCGGAGATCGCGCTTCCGAGTCTTTCCGTCTGATACGGACGCGACGCTGCCACGTAACAGGAGCAGAGGAGCGGCCGCGGTTAGTAGTGCTACTCCGGGTCCTTGACCCCTTTTTTTCGTGGGACACTTGACAACTGCCGCGCCTCATTAGAGGCGACCCGATTCCTCTGAGAAAAAAAAAAAAAGAAGCGCAATGCGGAAAATTTTGGAAGTGCGGACGGAACGCTTAATAGCTTTATTTACCATGTGTAAGCATGGTGGGGGCTGAGGAAAAAAGCTGTCCAGGCGGATTGACCCGGTCGAAGTTCATCAGATTTTCCGGATAAGGTACCAGATAGGCGGTCGAGATTCTGTTCTCGACCACTGATTTTCAGTAGATCTCGTTCTCACGCACCCTCTTGCTTGTCTTTCTTTTTTCTTTTTTTTTTTATTTCGATTCAAAAGCGAAATAATCTAATTTGTTTTACTTTGTGTCAATAATAAAAATTTACTTCGCAAATGCCATACTAACATAAGCGCAAAGGGGCAGATAATTATTTTGTTTTGTGCGACGAGGTCGTCATATGATTGGACAAAAAATATGACAAGGGGGCGCATTGTACTTGCGCACATCGTTTTTTTTAGATCTAATTATATGCCGAGCTTCGTCAGTTGCTGGCGATCCTTCTAATTTTCGTCGTGATTGGCTGTCTTCGTGTTCTAAAAAAAAAAAAAAAAAAAAAAAAAAAAAAAAAAAAAAAACGCAGACCTTTTTCTTTTTTACTTCTTTTTAGTGCGAAGAAGCACAAGAATCACAAGAATAAACGTTTTATCCAACTTGCCTTTTTTGCTGAACACGGAGACAACCAATCACGGCGAAAAAACGAAGGATCCCAACGAATGACGAAGCTGCAGAATCAGGGTGAAGATTAAACATCAAGATGATTTAGATCGCGGCTAAAATCCTGATTTAGATCGTGATTTAGATCATACTGGTTAACGACGATTCAAATCAAACCTTTTCCGCTTAAATAATCCCCAAAAATATTGTTTTTATTTACCCTTTGTCTATTATTTTATGTTATCTACGTGCACTTTTCTTTTTCATTTAGATGAAGGGATTATTAAGAACGATTTAGATCAGGTTGAACACGAGCACAAAGGGTAAATCGGAACGTTTGAGCTCTCCTTCTACCATTCACTCCGTTCGCAGTTACGTAATGCCCTGTGCAAGTAAACAAGATCGAGCGAAAGAACAAAGTAATGTCATATTGCAAAAATGTAATCAGAACGCAAAAGAAAAAGCATTTAAAGCTTATCCACTAATCTAAAAATGTCAAGTTATTTTTGTAGGCTATGGCGGCGTTGACTAAAAAGTTGCTGATTAAACTGTACTCTAAATTTACATTAATTATTTCTCCCGCATTGTTTTCAGCGATCGGGCGGATTGATCAATCAATCGGTCATGTTTAAAAATACACCTAGTGATAAAAAAAAAAAAACACTATTGTAGGGCTACAGCGATTTAAATAAAATTATTCTGATTTAATTAACAGACATGTTCACGCTACCCCAAAAAAGTAACTAAATACCGTTATTCGTTACTCGCTCAAAAAGTACCTAAATATGTTGCTCGTTACTGATTCTCAAAAAGAACGCGTTACAGTACTTCAAAAGTAGCGAGTTACTTTTCTCGTTACTCTGACGACCAAATACGCAACTGTTTTTTTTTTTTTTTTTTTCATGGTTTATTCTTTTCTTTTCAGTAGTCGAGTTGCCTCTCGAAGTTTTCATCAGTGATGTTTCCCCACTCATTGAGAATACATTTCCGGCGACGCTGAAGAGTCGTTCTACTGACGCGCTCGAAGGAAAGGCAGTGTTGTGCTTCAGGAAGAGCTGAATCTGGGATTCTCCTGCCTCTTTTGTTCTCTCTGCTTCTAAAGCTCGAAGTTGACAATGGGTTCTGTGCCTTCCCGCGTTGGCTATTGCCGGATTTACATATTAGAAGTGACAAGTCTGGTGTAATGCTGTTTCACGAAGAAATGCTAGGGAACCCATGAGGATACAAGACATTGTAATAGACCATGTAGGAAAATACTAATATCTGGGAGTCTTGCTTAATGAGGGAAGATAAATATCTAGAGGGACACGAAGAGAATATAATTAGAAAAGGGAAAATAAATGAATCTATCATGAAGCTCAGGGCACTGTGGAATTATAATATATATGAAGTGGTCAGAGGTATATGGAAAGCAGTGATGGTGCCAGGCCTGTCTTTTGGCAATGGGATACTGGATGAAATCAGTGGTTCAATCAGGATTAGAAATTCGACAAAGAAGCGTAGGCAGATTGACACTGGGAGCACATGGAAAGACACCAAATGCATGTGTACACGGGGTATCGGGCTGGTCGTCTTTTGAAAGCAGTGAGCTAATTAGTAAGTTGAAATTTGAGTAAACGTTGACCGAAATGGATGATACGCGGTGGGCACGGAAGGTATTCAAGTATTTCTGCATGAAAAGTTTAAACAAAAAATGGACACATTGAATCCGAAACACTCAGCTCACGTCCGAACGCAGCCAAAGCGACGTGCGGCCGGGGCCAATCATAGGCCGCGTGACTCCGCCTGAACTTCCCGTATCACTATGCCGTATCATTTAGCGCGGCGCCCGCGCCAGCCGCGCCGAGAAATCGAACGAATATGTTTCGTCTGGTCAAAATGTTACCATTTCCGAGCTTATCTAACAGCTTGGGTTTGTCCCGGTTCAAGAACGAAACCGTGTATGCAGACTTCGTTTTTTATTTCATTAATTAAGGGGCAGTATGAAATAACGTTGACGAATACATCACTTTCTCTACTGGTTACGCCACCCGAGGAAGAACCTCACTTGCCATTGCACCTTATCAACCGCGCCTTAACAATTTCAAATTCTGCTTTTTTCCTCGAACGATTGTAGAATGGAATGGGCTTCCTTACGAAATTATTAACCAAGACTCTGTAAGTACATTTGTTTCCGCTTTGTGTTCTGAATGAGTAACTCTTTGGTACATTAACGCCTCGTTTTATGTTACTTTCCACCCTGCTACAATCCCTAATGAAAATCAACAGTACTTGTAAAAAAAAAAGTGCTTTGTTGGGGCTTGAAATAACCCTTTCGGTGTAGTCCCGGTATGTATCAGCACCTCTGAAGAGCGGCCAACGAGCGATTGATGCTCTCTTATGTTGTTTGGATTTGCGGAGACTTATTACCACCAGGGCTTCTCGGTGTCCACTGTGTTCTACAAACGAGGAGTGCCCTTGTTTTACTGCGTGTTCGGCAAATCTACTGGTCCGGATGCCTTTCTTTTTTACATTGTATTTGTGGAAGCGTGTAACATACAGGAATGCTCTTCACCTCCTCGACGTAAGGTAAGAAATTTCACTCGCGGGGGCGAACAATTTTTCCTTTGGCGATGAGTCAAGAATATTTGTGTCATTTTTTAAATGACAGCAGTTCTCTAGACCTTCCTCGAAAGTTCTAGTGCTTTTCTTAGTTTTTTTTTTTTGTTTTTTTTTTTGCCCGATACCCCTAAGGTCATCCCGGTGATATGCCACACTGCCTGGTGATAGTTAGGGGAAGAAAATGAGCTTAGAAGGGCGGGGGAATCATATGTTTGTCTTTCTTATTCTTAGGCTAGCTGGCGTAAGCTACAGCCATCTGTACACGATTCTGTAGGTTTCAACAAACGAACCTTATTGTGTTTTCTGGGTGAAGGGCATTCCCAGCTGCAAAGTTCGACTTTCCCTCTCTACTCAGGGGGGGACCCCTTTATTGGGGTTCCTCCTTGGGAGGCGAGGAAAAGCAAATATCACTACGGTGGTGGTTGTTGGGTGCATTTGTTGCCCTTTGCCCATCGTCGACCTACTGCCCTTTTGTGCCCCTTTGCGGGGTAGGGGTGGTGTCGGGTTCTGGGGGTCCTTTCTCCCTGTCGGTTTTTCCTGGGCTGTTTCTAGGTGTGGCCCACTTTTTTCGTCCCCAATTGGCTTTTTGGTGAAATTTCCACTTGATCCAAGGATCCAATTAATTTATATCGAATTGGCTTTAATATCGGTTGTGCCTGCCCAGGCGGTACCGATCGAGCATCTTATAAATTTTTCATTCTTTTAACTTTTTCACCTTAACAAATGTAGAGCTTGACTGACGTGTTTAGCGATAAACGTTGCTATACCGTCATAGTGTTAAGTTGTTTTTCGGGTTGTCCATCTGCCTTTGTCGCAATAGACACATATTTAGGTTAGAATTAAAACGAAGCTGTTTAAACGTTGTTGTACACGTTACTAACGAAAAGCCGTTACTCGTTACTTGGCCTTAAAAGTAACTACTAAGTACGTTACTCGCTCGCGGCTACTTTCATACTCGCGGCACGTCCAAGAATGTTCTGAACAAAAACGCTCGATGGAAGTCGAAAATTGGCTGGAATTTTTAGAAGAATACAGAATTAATCAAAAATTCGGCAGAAGCACTCGAGCCTGCTTACGGGTAGGAAGGCGAAAGCATTCGTATACGCAGCGGACAAGCAGCTCGCCACGTCTTCCGATCGCACGCGGCGCTCCGGCGATGACATCACGGTCCCCCACTGCGCTGGCCTCACGACGGCTTCCGTGACGAGGCATCTGCGTTGCTGTGCTTTTCTTTGTGTTTTATTTCTGAGGCGTATGCTTGATGACGTATTTTTAGGACCATCTTTCGGGGACAACGCCGTCGCTTTTTCGAGTACAAGGCTTTCGTCATAATAAGGATCCGGGCCGTGCTGGATTCGAACCCTATTCTGTGTGACAGCCGCACCCGTTGCCAACTAACGAATCATAACACAAAAAGGCCG